AACCCCAACCCCAACCCCAACCCCAAATTCCAAAATCTTTAAATAATACAATACTAAAATTTACAAAAGCAATTTAATTTAAATTGAATTAAAAAATATAATCTGTAACAAATATTACTTTTAATTTCACATAAACAACAACAAATAAAGTATTTTTATTTTATCATTTTTAATGTAGCTTATAATTTATTACTTATTATTACTCTACTTCCTATGAGAAAAAAAGCTAATTAAATTAATCAACATATTATGTTAAATAAAAAAATATAAATTTATTTAAGAACTAAAAAATTTTTGAACCCAATAAAAATTATTTTTAAGTTTAAATTTTCTTTATTTCAAATTAAACAAATTTGAAACATATATATATATTCTGATTTTAATAATAAAAATTGATAATTTTTGATTTTATTTTTTATTCCAATAAAAAAAATTATTATTCAATAAATTAAATTTTAATAAAAAATCTAAAGATATTTAAATTTAAGTAAATAATTGGTTTTCCGTAGTCAAAATTTAATTAATTTTGAAAACTAATTTGTAAGCATGTACGACTTATGATTAAAATTAATAATATTTAGAAGAAAATTACTTTATTTAAAAAATGATATATATTTTAAGTTTGTTTTAAGAGGATTGATTTATAAAGATTTGTAAATTTGATATTAATTATTAATTATACCTTAATCTCAAAAATATTTAAATATTTATTTTATAATTAAGCAATTTTGATATTTGATTGCTAGAATTAGAATTATTTTAAAAAGCATCAGTAATAGCCACTTATATTGTTATTTCTTCTTGATTTAACAGATTCAGGAATGAAATTTTATTAGTAATTTATTTATTGAGTTGAGTAGTTTGATAGATTGCTACTTGATATGTTAGGGTTATTGCTCATATATTGTTGTTAAATTTAGCTTTGTGACATTGAATTAGTATTAGTATTGTTATACATTAGAGATTGATTTGAGAAATACTATTATTGTTATTATTAGATTTAAGATTGAAGAGACTATTATGGTAAATATACCATTTGCTATTATAATTACTAAAGATATTATTATTGTTGTTATGGATTTTAAAATTGATTAAGTATTGTTTTTTAATGTGGATGATTCGAACTGTATTTATTAGCACTGCTTAAAATAGAAAAGCTTCTTTGAGATTTGTGTTCACTTCGGGTGTCTCCTCCAAAGAAATTACTTTCATTGTTAATAATTTTAATTTGTTCAATTAAATCAACAAACTCATCAGAATTAGCGAGTAATCTAGTCATTTCATTAGATTTTGTTGTTCTTCTTAGAATATCAAGCATCAAATTTATAGTATCTTCTGCTGAAAGCATTTCTGGAGAGAATTAATCCATTGGATTAAAGTCTTGCTACTTTTTCAAAGTAGTTTTATTGATACTTTAGCTGATATCATTCTAGTTTAAAATATCAATATTTTCGTCTCTTACTCTATTCTAATTTACATGTTAAGCAGTCTTAATGGTTTTATTAGTTAAATTTATCTACGATTTGGATAAACTTTGTTCATTCATAATCTCGTTCATTTATTCTTTTAGCTAATTATTCACCTCAACCAAATCCTTTTTCAATTTAAAATATTAAATTCAATTTTATTTTATGATTTTTAAAAATGTCTACCTTAATTTAGAGATTAAGTTGCTAAATATCTTGCTATTATTTATTGTTTTTTAATGATAAATCTTCTAATTTAGAATGAAGAGCCTCATTTGCCAAGTTGTTATCCTCAAGCTCTCTGTTAAGTTGATTGTTATCTCTTTCTAAGTCTTCTTGCTTTTCTAAGGATTCTCTCAATTAAATTTGCAGCTATTGAATCTTTTAAGTTAAGAAAACCTTTACTTATTCAAATTCTGAATCATTAATGTTTTGGTCTTCTTATGTTTTTATCTTTATTTATCAATTAATTAAATTTTTCCAATATGTTTGTTTTATTAAATATTTACTCTGTTATGTGATCTGCTTGTTGTAGGTTTTTCACTGGCGATTTGTGTCGAAAGAAGGTCATTTTTTAGCACAATTTCTTCATATCTGACTGACAGATCTTAATGAGATTTGTGTAAATCTTAGCATTTATTTGTTAATTATTTAATATCGTGTTGCTTTAAATTAAGTTGCTTCTTTGTTTTTTCCAATTCTTCTCTGCATTAATTGTAATTTGACTCTGCTTTTTTGATTTAGTCTTAAATCTGCTTTTAATTGTTAAATAATTCAATATTCTTTTTATCTTTTTCTTTGATTTATTTCTCCAATTTATCCTTTTACTCCTCTAGTACTTTAATGTACTCTTCTTTTTGCTTTTATTAAAGTTAAAATAGTTAAATAAAAAATTGATTAAAAATAATTAAATTTACTTTTATTAATTTGTTGTTATTTTATTAAAATTCAATTTAAGCAGTAAGCTCTGTGTTTTTTTCATCTGCAGCTTTTTTAGATTCTTCAGCTTTCTTAAAATTTTAATTACTCTTTTCTAACTTTTACTGTAAATCTTTAATTTAACTGTTTAGATTTTCTTCATTTTCTTTAGAAGCTTTAATTAAATTTTTAACTTCATCCTGCTTCTGTTTGATCTCATTCTTCAATTGGTCTACATCTTTCTGTAATTTCTAGTTTTATTTCTTTTCATCTAATAGGAGGTCTTTTTCTTTTTCCACTAATTTCAAACAACTTGTTTGAGTATTTAACTGATTTTGAACACGATTTTTCTCTATTTTTTCTTATTTAAGTTATTGTTAACAGTTTTCAAGCTCATTTTCAATCTAACTGAATTCTTCTTACTGTTTCTTTAAATTTGCTTTGAGTTTCTCAATTTAAGTTTCATATTCTTCTATTTTTTCTTTTTTAAATGTGTGTTCATATTGTGATTGCTAGAGCTAATTGTAAAGATCGGGTTATTCTTTAAGTTATTCTGTTAGCTGTTCATTGATTTCTTAGAGATCCTTAAGTTTTTTCTTTTCAGCATTCAATTATTTTTCATAATTCAAAGTGGTTTCATTGTATTTGTTTTTGAATTATCTTAACTCATCAGCCATTTACTATTTAGATATTGAAATGTCTGTTAATTCGTTATTCTTTTTCTTAAGCTTTTCTTAGAGTCCATTAATCTTTTCAGTTAATTAACTTTCTACATATTCCTGTCTTTAACTGTAAGCTTTTTTCATCTCTTAAGAATGATTTTGATCACTATCTTGAAGTTAGTTTAATTGCTCATTCAAGAAATGAATTTCTATTTTATTTATTTATTTATAATTTAAATATTTTTAAAAATTTATTTACCTTATTCTTATTCAGAAACTTTTTATGATAATAGCTCATTTTGATTCAAATAATAATTATTACTATGTTAGCATTCATCTATCTAACTTTTCAAAATTTCTATTGTGTGCTTGTAGGCATCTATTTCCTCTTAATATTAACTTTTAGATTTTTCTAATATCTTAATCGTTTCTTCTAAGTTTAGTACTGTATCTTGGAGCTGCTGAACTATAGGACTCTTTTCAGATATGGAATCTTGTAGAGGATTGCGGTTGACCTTCAATTATGAAGCTAAAAGCTCTTTTTCGTTTTTGAGAACTTTAAAATCTTGTTAAAGTGCAATAAATTTTTATTGTAATTCTTTTAAAATTTTATCTTTTTCTAACAAATCACCTTTGTAACTCTGAATTTTGTTAGCAACTTACTATATAAAGCTAACAAGAACATCAGGATCTTTGTTTTCATCAGAATCGTTAAATATCAAATTAAATTCTTAAATAATGTTGAAATCTTTCAAACTCTACTTTATTAACTCAGAAGGTCTAGAATATCCTATCTAAACTACATCACTTTTCTAAAAAAATATAATTAATATAAAAATTAGATTTTAATCATAGAAAAATTATCAATAAAAATAACTTCTCTCATCTAAAATTAGCAAAAATGAATAAATAGAAAAATTAGGATTTCCTAAAAATAATTAAACAATATTTTAATTTAGATTGATAATTAAATCTAAAAAAGAAAAAAAAAATTGCCAATATGATAATTAATATTAAAGCTTCTAAGAAAGACTAATTTAGAATAATTTTTTGTTTATTTATTAAAAAGTTAAAAGAAAATTAATTAAATTACAGTTTGGTTGAAATCATTATTTTGTGTTTGATTGAGAGTAGCATTGTTATTATTCTGTAAAAATTCAATATTAATTATCCTTGAATCTTGACTTCTGTTACTTCCCTAAGCATTATTTTCTTCATGTTTATTCATTTATTGGAATACCTCTTTTGATTATAATTCTTTTTAGTAGGCTAGCTCTTCTTTCAGCTTCGCAATTTATCTTTCATAGTTAGTTTTGATGCGGTTGAGTTCATCGTCAAATTATTTTTTTTAATGATTCAAATTAGTTTTATTGTTTTCTCCAACTAGATTTGCATCAAAGCCATCTTCTAAACCTAAAACCTTCTCATATTCTTTGAGTGTGTTTGTATCAGCCTTTTAAATCATTACTAAATCAAATTAATCTCTTAATTCTTTAAATTTTGTTTCTGATTATTTTCTCTCTTCTTCCAATTACTTAATTACTGATTAGAGTCTTTCTATTTCATTATTATTCTGCTTTATCTACTATAGATCACCTTCCCTAATGTCATCTTTATTCTTACACTATTTACGTAGGCTATTCATTTCTTATTCAAGTTTTTACAATCTTGTTGAATTCTCCTACATTATATATTCATTGTGCTGAGAGAGCTATTAAATTTATTGTTCATTCTCTGAAATCCTTTTTACATAGCTGTCATGAATTATTTTGTATTTAGAAATTTCTTAATTAACTGAATAAAGCTCTTGTTCAATAGCTTATTCTAATTATTCCACATGGCCTGTTAGCTGTTACACCTATTCAGACAATTGAACTATTTTATTTTCCTTTTTATCTACAATATTTCTTAGTTTCGCTATTTATTTTTATGCTCCATCTAAGCTCTTTCCTCTTAGCTATTCTAAGCTTGAAGCATCCTAATTTGTTATAAATATTATATTAAATAGAATTTAAGCTATTTTTTGTTTATTAGCTTGCTAATTAATTAATAAATGAAAGATTATTATTTATTTTTTAATTCATTTTTATTGTGTCTGTCTAAATTAAATAAATTAAAGCTTCTAAAAAGTTTAAGTGAATTTATTACTTTATATTTTTCAGATAACAATGAAAATTTCTCCTCGATTTCATTTATTCTTTCGTAAAGCTACGATTACTCATATTAAAGACCTGTGATTACTTTATCTTTATCTTTGAGCATTCCTTATAATTAAACAACTTATTTTTCTGCTATAGATTAGTTTATTCTAGAGAGAGATTATGCTACTTTTTAATGAATTTCATTCATATCTTCTCCAAAGTTAGACTTTTAATCATACATCTAGCTGTTATCCTAAAAATTCATATTAAACTAATTATTTGATTAATCAAGGTTATTATGACTTTGATTGTTGTCTTAATCTTAAAAGCCTTCTACTTATATTTCAGGTTAATTAGCAAAATGATTTTTTGTGAATTTTTATTATTAATATTAAAAAATACGAGGATCTTCAACTTCTTCACATTCGTCTTATTGCACATCTTAGAAATTCTCACTTTTTTCCATATTTTAAGAGATGTCTGAATAGCCTTAGTAATTATTATTGCCAGTCTTGCTATTATGGATCTTTTAATTTGACTATTGGTAAGATGATTCATCAACTTCATTTTCTTCTATCTTATTATTTTGATATTGCTTTAATGCACTATTTTCTTGCATTTGCTGCTAAAATTATTTTAAATTTTATCTATTTTATTCTAGTTTATCCTTGTAGCTAGGCTGGGATTAATAGTATTTATTTTAATACTGAGAGAATATAGCACTATTTTCATTTGAAAGTTCCATTGTGGGCATATTTATTTCAGGAAATAAATTTGTTGTTTTTATAATATTTTATTACCAATCTTAGTTGTTATTGTTTTTGTTATTTTAATTAGGTTTTTTTTATTGATGCTGGTTTGAATTAAAATTATTATAGGAGGCTTCCTCTTCGAAATCTTCATCTTCATCATGTTGTCCTTACTACTATTTTGTTACCTAATAATTTTTTTTGTTATTTTTTTAAGGATTTTATTCTTCATCTTCATAGAAATTGTCTTCATTCTAGAAGTTAGAATTTCCTTTTGGCTTTTATTAAATGTTAGCTGAGCTGCCATTAAAGCGATGCAAATTCTATTTATTAAATTAATTGCCTTGATTAGATAATCTATTGTTTTAATTCATTCCAAATTTCTAAAATGACTTATCTGGAGTTGATGAATTTGAGTTAGATGTCATACTTAAATCTCCAAAGGGACAAGGTATTTCATTAATTACATTTGCAATCTATTAATCTTGTTCATCTATTAATTTATTAGGGCTTTAATCATCCATTTAATTTGCGAAATGTTGTGTTCTTTGCATTTCATTAACTCCATATAAATTATTGTGTATATTCTACTGCTAAAACATTTCAAATGTATTCTTTTTTTGTTACTCATGCAAATATTGCTTTGTACCTGAGCTAGCATTACTATCTACTAAATCATTTTCGCTGAGTCTGTATCCTTAATTTTTATTTTATTTTTGATACATTTGATTTTAATTTCTATCTGTATTGCTAGGAACATTTCTTGAACTAAAATTTTAGTTTGGTTTTAAATCTCTATTTTGATTTTAAAACTACTAGTTATTATTATACTTTTACACTTATGGATTATTGGTTTATGGATGATTAAATTTTTGGCCATATTGATTATTTGTTCCATTATTCTCGCCATCATAATGATTTTAATAGTTTTATAATCCATCTTCATCATCATCAATTACTTCTTATTGCCTATTATTATAAATTCTCATATCTTCTTCATCTAAATTCCTTGGTATAATTATTATAAAAATGTAAATGCTAATTAAAATAAAAAGAGTTATCTACTAGTTTGAATTAGGTTGATCACTGAATAATAAATCATTTAAATTTTTATCGTCTATAGCATTTTTTTTGCTAATCATTTCTCAGATTTTAAATTAGAATTGCTGTATAAAAATTATTTAATAATCTAAAAAAATATTTAATTCTTTGCTGAATTTTAAAATTTTTAATTTTTTTCAATTTAAAAGGAGAGATTAAATCCATCCTTCTCTCTGAGATATTTATTTATTTAATTCATCAAATGTTAGCCAAATAGAATTGTAAATAAAAATTTTGATTTTTGATGATTGATGATTGATTTTCTATCATGAATATTTTAAATAAGTAAACCATCATGTATAATAAACAATTTATCCCTCCTTAAATTTTTTAAATTTTAAACATGAAAGATAAACAAACACATTTTTTTTACATCAAATTCAATTAACGACATTTTTATTAAAATATAATTAAATAACAAATTAAAAAATCGTAAATGTTAAGAATTAAAGATTAAGAAAATTTATCTACTAAATTAATAAATAAACCTCAAATTCATCATATATTTCTCAAAATTTGTATCTTTAAGTTAAATATTTTTAAACAAATCTTTTTTTAAATTTATAAATTTAATTATTAAATTTTTATTTAAAATAGAAAATATTGAATTAAGGAAAACCCAAGATTATGAACCATCATCACCAATCAAATTATGGACTTAAATATTTAGTAAGGGAGGTAAATTTATTAAAAAAAAAATAGTAAAATTCAAACTCAAGTATATTTTATTTAAATTTAATTTTCAAAAAATTTTACTTTCATCAAATATTAAAATAAAAATAAATAAAACGAGTTTCAATATCAAATTATTTTAATATGTTTTTCAACTCATCAAAGTAGCTTTTACAAGATTTTTTTTTTAACCAATTGAAAAAACCTATAAATTATTTAGTAAAAATTAACATTTTTGTCAAATTTAAATTAATTTAATCATTTTAATAAAGAATAATTATTTATACAAACAAATTTTTAATATTCATAATAATTTTTCATTAATTTCATCAGAAATATTTTTATAAACTTTTTATAAAAAGTAGCTATAAATATTTCAAACATTTCTTTTTAGATATGAATTATATAATCTGTTATATTAAATTGATGATTAACTAAACTTAAATTAGAATATGTAATTTATATTTTAAAATATTTTGCTAGTACATTAATTAATTTATTTAGAAAAAAAATATTAGAATTATGTTGTTTGCACGCCTGATGATTCATCTAAATTTTAGTAAACTATTTGTAAGAAACTCCTAATTGAATTATTTGTATTAATAAATAATTGAATATGGCAAATAAAGGAAAGATATGTGAATAAATCAAAAAAATGAAACAACTAAAATAATTAATTGTATATCAATCAATCAATAATTATTATGAAAATACAAGAAGACATATAATTTAGTTAATATCTATTCATTTATGAATGTAATTAATGTATGTATGTCGACTTGTTAACAATAAATTAATAAATAAATAGATTGATAAATGAATGAATAAATCAGCATTTTGATAAGATTTTTGGATTGATTTTATTATAAATTAATTTGAAAATAATGTAGTTTTATAAATGAATATGAATGCAAAGGATTCAATTGAATTGGATTGAATTGTATACATTACAACAAAAGATTTGAAAATTAAATGCAAAGAGGAAGAAGAAAAAGAAACAATAAATAACTTTAATTCTATTAATTAATAAAGGCAATAAAGAAGAATAATTTGCAATAAATAAGAATAATTAAGAGAGTGAAGAAGAACAAATTATTTAGCAAAGGATTATAGATTAACTAAATATTTAAGGAGAGATGAATTTTGCATATCATTAGAGCGTCACCAATTTATTATAGCCAAGCAGACTCAACTTTCCTGTAAGAAAAAAAAAATTTTAATTTTGAGACATTGTGCATATTATTAATATATATTAAAATATATCAAAATTTATGTGTCAATTAAGTTTCAAGATATTTGATAGAAAATGAATGGATCAATATTAATATTTTTAAAATCAAAGAATAAAAATGAAAAAGTACTTGACAACTTGCCAATAGATGATGAAAGAGAAGTTGATGATGAAACTTTATAAACACAACTTGAAAGCTTCTTAAATTATTAGGAAGATGAGGGCAAATTAGAGCTCTCTAAACTACATTAAGGAGACTACCTCTTTTAGTTTTATATGTTAAAGTTAGAAAAGAGGATTAATATTATTAGAAAAACTTATGAGGAAGGTCCCTGGAATGGTGTTGAAAGCATAAAGCTGATTGAAAAATAGGATATTGGTATAATAGTTATTTTGAGAAATCTTATTAGTATATTAGAAACTCTAGTTGAACTTTTTAGTGAGCGTATAAATGCTTTAAAAATTGAAACAGATAGATTCAACAATGTAGTTTAACTCCTACTATATTGCGATAATCTCGAAATCAATTATCTTGTTCTAAAGTTTATAGTTTTTGCAGAAAGGTAACTAATTTACTCATTACTTATATGAAAATGCAAAAAATAATAATATGATTTTTCATCATTTATTTATTTTTTTGATTGATTATTGATTGTAACTTACTTGCACGTTTTATAACAAATCAATAAATTACATATAAATTTATAAATAAAATAGGAGATAACCTTTTTTTTATTACAAATTTTATTTTAATTATAATAAAATTAGCAACTAGGTCTTAAAAACAGTAGATAGCTGCAGATTGATGGAAAGCTATTACTTATATTTTATTAATATATGGCGTCAAAGATATCCCTATGTCGCTGAAATCTTTAAAAATGAAAAGTTTTATAAAGTAATTTTCAATCATTTTTCATTAAATAAATAATTTATTTTGGGAAAATTAATTATTTGTGATTTAAATAAAATGTTTTGATAATAAAAAGGATACAGGAGCAAAACCAATTGGCAATGATGTTTAAGGTGATTAAGCCTTTTACGAAAACCCAGGAAAGGAAGTATTTAAATTAGAAATTAACTCAGTAAAGAAGGAATATTCTGATTTCTTTTCTTCTTATTACCAAACTCAATAACTTTTTGCAAAAGATAATGTATAATCACCTCCAAATAAAATAACTCCTTTATTTGTTAATGTTATGCTAACACTTCGTTTGGCTAAGAACTTTTCTGCTATTAAAAATAGAGCTTTAATTGCTGGAATTTAAGTAAATGATTTTAAATTAATTTTTTTATAGTTTTTTTTTTTACAATTTCATAGTGCTACTCTTTTGTTGGCGGATAACGCTACATTACCTGTATAGATGCTCTCAAAAAATTCCATCTGAACAAGGATTATCGCTTATTATATGCTATGAAAAATTTCCCATACCCAGACTTTTAATTAGATATGCTGTGGTGCTTAGTATTTATTCGTGATAGCTAGGCTCAAATACTCAATTTAGAAGAAGACACAAATATTGAATTTGAAAATAGATTTGTAGATGACTTTAAAGCAAAATATCTGAATGAAGATTAGACAGATTTTGTAGAAAATGTTAAGTTCGATGATGTTGCTCGCTACTTTGAATAATTTACAGGGATTTATAAAAGTATTAAAGTTGATCTTTTGAATAAATTAGGAACTAAAAACAGTCCTCATTTAGCCAAGTTAGAGTAAGAATGTAATGACTTGCTTGATACTTTGATTAAATATTATGCTTTAGCTATTAATCGTTTGGTTAGAGAAATCAAGTAGGCTCATGATGAAGATAGCATAAACAGATCAGGAAATGTTATGAATTTGTTTAGATTATTTTATGTTAATTCTTATTTCTTTGAAATAAACTCTGAAATTATTGGAAAAGAAGCTGTTCCTATTATTGAAGCTGTTAAAGAGCTCTATTTAAGTGTTATCAATTTCCATGAAGAAGCACAAAACCCTGAATTACCATTTAATGCTTTGCATTACTTTAGATTTATTAATCACAGATTGCTAGCTACTAGGGGAATTTTCAAAAACGAAATAAAAGAATTTTTAACCTCAAAAACTTTTTTCGATAGCTGCTATAAAGGATACAAAAGCGATAATTAAGTTGGAAAAATAGGAGCTTAAATTATCTTTTACCACTGTGATATTCTTTCCAAAGTCTTTTTATCCAATAATGACGACGAAAGGTTCTAAAACACAGCAGAAGTTGTAGCAAGCTATCTTTAATATAATAATCTTTAATTGAAAGCATTTTCTCCAGCTAATATGGTGCTAAATGCCTTTATTAAGAAATATGGAGACAATTTATAAATGGCTTAGCTTGTTGAAAAAGTTAACTACACTCGTTTTTGCTTTTCTCATTTGAGACTTGACCAAGCCAAAGAAGATCCTGACCAATAAGAAGATGAGAAAACAGTTGATGAAAATGGAGAAGAAACATCTAATAAAAAAAATGCTAACAATCTTCTTTCCTCTGACATAATTGATGCTTCTTTCAATAGATTTACTAATAAATTTGTAGCCTATTTTAATTAGTTTTTAGATGAAAAAATCCCTATTTTACAAGAAGACAGAGCTTTTGAGACAGCAGTTATGGAGAAATTCCCTAATTTTACAAGAAATGCCTATGTAAGATCGTTTGTAGAATCCTTAATTTCTACTAACGCTTTTAGGGCATCATAATTCCAAAGTGCATTTTTCCAAAACTTTATCAATATCCTCTCAAAGGTATTATTTAATTATTTCGAAAATAAATTCATTTTTTAATTAAATTCAACTGAATTTTTTAGGTGCCATCGTTTATAAGCGAATCAGACTGCTTAAATCTTATTAGAAGATCTTTGGAGTTGGTTCATTATTGCAGTGTTGACTTCAAAATAACCTTGCTTTACTACTTGAATATTCCTTAAGACTCTAAGCTTTTAATAGAAGAGAACAAGGAAAAAATTCCTATGCTTCATGTCTTTATTTAGTTATTTGTTGAATTAATAGATAAGAATGAAAACACACTTACATTCTTACCTTATCAAGGAGTAAATAAGAATTGGATTTTAGGATAAAGAAATAGTTTAAGCATTGGTGATCATGCAAATATTTTAATAAATAATTATGATGCATAAAACATTGCCAGTCTAACTCTCGTTAAATAACTGTGCACTCTGTATGGTCTCTTTAAAACATAAACTAAGTAAATCATAAAAGACAAGGTGAAACTTTCCAATGAAAGCTTAAATGCATTTATTTTAAAAGCCAGAAAGTGTTTACCTGATTTGATTGCCACTCATATTCCATAAAAAGTTAAATATTATGTCAGCAAAATGGATTTCAATTTCGAATATAATTTTATTAAAACTTCATAAAACCCTCAAGTAAAAAAATCTGTTCTCACTTATTTATATAGCGCCTTCTTGTATAAAGGAAGCGAAAAATAAGAATCAAACAAATACGTGATTTCTCGTACTTTTATGGGCGATGTAGATGCTTTCCACTCCATCAAAAAGGGTTTAGAAAAATATTTTGTTGGTAAAATAAAATTAAAAAACTTAAATAAATTTAAAGCTAATTTAACTTATCATTTATAAATAATAGGTCTAAATTAATAACTCTTAAAGGTTTGTTGGGAACAAAAAGAAAATAGATTAATTATTGATGATCTTTCAAGTTCAATAAATTAAAGTATATTAGCTAATGTATTGACAGGACAAATTCGTACTGATAACATAAGAGAAGCCTTCCAAGATTTAGCTACCAACCTTGTTGCTGAATAAGAAATAAGAAAAAGTATAAACTATGGTAGTCTAAATGCTACTTTTGACTAGAGCGAATATTACAAGAAATTATCTGATTTGACTAATAATATCTTGATTGTTTTTAGAAAATTCAAAATAAATTTGGAAATTCTCAAAATATTGAAAGATGATTCTAACATTACTCGTGAAACATGGTACAAATATTAGTTTTTGATTCTTTCTATGGTCTTCATCAGATGGTGGTTCTTCGTCTTACAAAACAAAAAGTCTACTGCTTAAGTAAAATAAACCTAAATTTGGTGTATTTATGTTTGAATTTACATAATATATATAAATAAATAGATAACTTTGGATGAATTACTTATGGGAATATCTCCAACATAGTCTTTAATATCCCAACCTGAAATACTTAAAGTTTTAATTCTTGATAGTAAAGACAAACTTAAAAACTCTTTAGCAAAAGACCATTGCATTTAATTCTTCATTAATGCTGTTAATATTAGACACTTCTTCTTAAGTAACACTTACGATGGCTCATACGATTTAGAATTCAGCAACTACGCATAATTGGACGGCGCTCCTCCTGCTGCTAGATAATTTATTGGTTAATATCTAGCCAGGTTATTTGGTGAAATATCAAGGTAAATTGTATTGATTTTATTAAAATTTTAAATTTAAAATGAATTATTTTATTCTTTTAGAACTGGTATTGCATTAATTAGCGAAGAAACAAAGGCTATAGCTTCTACAATTTTGTATCTTTAATTAAAGGATGAAAGAGTTCAAGTAGCTGCTTCTTGTACATATTTGCAACAAATTGTAATTGATCTGTTTAAAGAATATGATCCAAACTTTTAACCTTAATTGTATCCTCCAACTGATTTGTTTATATCAATGAAATTAAATAAAGCAGTTGATTAGTTACCTGATGGAATGAAAGTCTTTATTGAGTGTTTAAAGAAGGAAATAGTAAATACTCCTCAAATCAATAGAGCTCCTTTAATCGGTTCTCTAGTATTTGTTATAATTGATATAATTAACAAATACGAAGCATGGATTATTAAATTTGCTACTTATAACAGAACAAATATTGTTTAATTCTTCATTAAGATATTTGAAATCTACCTTGACTACCTCAACATCTCTCCTCAAAACTTAAAGCATTAAATAGTTAATGTATCCAATATGTTCAAAATGCTTAATATCTGGTTTACTCAGCTAAGTGTTTATTTGAGAGAATGCAGCAGAGTGTCTGAAACCTAAATTGAAAGTAAATAAATAAATGATATTTTCTTCGCAATTACATTTATTTAGATTCTTTGATATTTATTTACATCTTAAATTAAATGATTTTTTCTAAATTCTTTATCATAAAATATTTTTCCATAAAATAGAGCAAGTTTTTGTGACTTTAATTAAATTGAGCACCTAAACACTTGACAGAATTATTGATTATCTTGAAGCCAATTTGTTTAAAGAGTACTCAAAATATAGCAAAGTCTTCTCTCCTTATCCTATTTTGAGAAATCTTTTAACTTTCATAGCTTATTCTATTAACAAACTAAAATATGTAGAAATTAATTTAGACGAACAATTTGCATAATTAATCAAAGTTCTATTCAGATTTTCTTCTATTTATTATGATGATTTTATCTTTGAAAGGTATAAATTTTTTATTTGTTTGATAAAATTTAATCATTTTCTTATCTTTAAAAGAGTAAATGGCTCAAAAAATACTAATAACTTGTGGACTCCTTTAATGAGATGCTTTGAATTAGTATTTACTTTCTAAAAGGAGAATTTCATTAAAACATGCATTGAAATTCGTATTAAGAACTCTCTTTATCTCAGCCTTGAGAAGAGATTCAAGCAGTATTGGAGCTTAAAAGAAATTGATAATAAAAAAATTATACAAAAAGACATGTTAGAAAATGGTAGATGCCTCCGTTAAGTTGTTGCTACTCTCTTCGAAGGTCTTCCTGAAGATTAAATCGAATTCTAGGAAGACTATGAACCAGAATAAGAGCTGCTCCCTGAAATTATAAGAGATGCTGATGAACCAAAGGAAGGTGAAGAAGAAGGACAAGAAAAGAAGGAAGGAGAAGAGGAGGAAGAAGCTGGAGGAGAATAACCTGCAGCTGAAGAATAGCAAGCTCAAGCTGCTTAAGAACAGGAAAATGAAGAAGGTGAAAAAGCTTAAGAAAATGAAGATATTGTAGAAAAGTAAGAAGGAGAAGAGGAAGAAGGAGAATAATAATAGCAAGAAGTTGAAGAAAGAGAATAGTAATAAGAGGAATAAGAATAAGAAGAGGCAGAAGTTGTTATCAATATTGGTTAACCTGAAGGTAGAGATGAAGCTTCTGGAAGTGAGGAATAAAATTCTAATAATTAAAACAATGAGGAAAATGAAGATGACTTTGTAGATGCTGATGATAGTGAAGATGATGAATATAAATCAAATTTAGGAAAGTCAGCCAAAGCAGAAGAATCTCAGAAGATATAAAATAATCGCAAAATTCGTTTTAAATTTTACTAAAACACTGCTATTTAATCATCAAAGGTTGTTAAATTGAATGTAATTTAGAAATAAATTATTGACCTCTTAATAGACCTCATCGAATAAAGAATTAATGATTCATACAACCAATCTAAGGAAAAATAAAACTCTAGTGAAACTTCTCTCTTTAACATCTATTATTTAGAATATCCATTTGCAATCAAACTCTTATAAATGTTTATGCAAAAATATCCTCTCACTATACCTTATATTTTAGAAAAGCGTATTAAAATCCCTGAGTTTTCTATTTTTAAGAAAAATAATATCATTTCATTCTTGGATTTCCTGATTGTAGGAGGTTCTATTTCAGAATTTACATCCAATTAAATTTTAGAAACTCTTTTCAAAATTAATTATTCATATGTTGAGGCCAAAAAAGCAGCTGAAGGAGAAGAAGAGGAGGAGTAAGAAGAACCTCCTTAGGAATAAAACGAAGAAAATGAAGAAGGATCACCCTCTTCCAAGCCTCCAATCAAAAAGAAGCCTAAAGCTATTCCAATAATAGGAAGTGCTGAATATTATTTTAGAATCGTCATTGAAAGAAATATCACATGGATCAAAAAGGTAAATAAATAAATAATAAATCTCAAATTAACATTTATATTAGATCTTAAATTAATCAAATAACAAAAAATACATCAAAAAAATAAATTGAACAAAGAAAGTAACTTTACATTTTTAAAAATAAAATTTTTAATGAAAAATAGCTTCAGGATAACATTAATTTCTTAATAAATTTATTTATTTTTTATTAATTTTAAACAAAGAACAACAAAATTTTCTCATTAAATTTTTTGATGAAATATTTTATTGAAATTTGAGATATAAATTAATTCATTTATTTATTTATTTTTTTAACTTTTTCAAATAAATAATAAAATAGATTATCGAAACAAAGAATTTTATAAATCTTGAAAGTTGCTTTACTATTTTGTATGGATTAGTGAGTAGCTTAAGGAGCTTCTTCGAAGATTATAACATTTATATTTCGACTGACTAGTATAAGAAAATACTATCTATCCTTGTTTATTTAATAAAGAGATGTGCCAATTAGTAGGAATTATTCAAATTGATTTCGATAGATGTTTTTGGATTAATGAAAGAATGCTTGTAAACTCTTCCTAAGAGGATCTTCAAAGATAGAAATATTAATGTTGAATACGAAACTGTTCTGGATTATCTTAGTTATTATATCAATCGTAACATGCTATCATACTTTGAAAAAGAAAAAGGCTTAGAGCTTGAAAAGTCTTCCCAGTTTAACTATACAGATATATATGGAGCTATTAACTAAAACACAAAATTAATAAATCCTGAAATTTTATAAGTTAGATATCAATTATCTACTATTGGACCATTAAATAATAACTCCTCAATTTATGATAAACCAGACTTAAAGAATTAGAAGGATTCTACCGATGTCACAAAAGAGCTTCTCGAAGAAGAAAAAGGTAAGTTTTAATATAAATCTTAAACATTTTTATTTAGATTATAAAATATCTATAATAAGCTTTTGAAGGACTATTCTGCAAGTAGGGAGTAATTTAATCAATAGATGAAATGTATTATGCTCACCATGAATAATTTACTCATGGATTGTAGGCATTGTATGATTTCTACAATGCTTATCCAAATTTATTTGCTAAAAAAGAACATACTTAAACCTTCATTTATTGCTTGAGTCATCTTTATGTTGTTCTTAGACGTTAAACAGAATTTGAGAAATAAGATTATGGATTATTAGAGACCGTTTATCATCATCGCCCTACTAAATTAAGTTAATTCGAAATTTTAGATGAGATTATTTTCAAGGAAATAAATGAAGAAAACAGAATAAAGTAAAAAGAAAAAGAAGAACAAGACAGACTTAAAAAAGAATAAGAATAAAATAAAGATAAATAGGAAGGTAACGATAAAAAGTCTGTCAGTAAAAGCGCAGAAGTACCACCTCAGGTACATAGAAATCCTCCAGCTGTTTAGGCAAACTCTGCTAATAATCAAGCTGTTGCAGGACCTTTCTAAAACCTTTTAAATGTTAATCCTTTTGCTTAGAATATGAATTTACTTTAAAATGCAATTAGATAAGCTTAGGAAGCTGTTTAGATTTTTGCCGATAGGTACTCAACAAGCCAGAGAACAACTACTGGAACTACTAACTCTCATAGCATCCAATCAACCTAAGGTACTACTGACACTCATGTCTCTGTATTTGATTTCACTTCTATGGGATATCCTGCTAATGCTTTAGAATTATATAAGATAGATGAAAATGCTTTCTTAGCTGCTAACATTGACCAAAAAACAGAGCTACTGAGAGAAGGCAAGAAAAAATATTAACTTTTATAAAAATTATAATTTGTTGTTGAGAGAGAAAAGGATATACTTGAAAAATTCATGTAAAAGATTAATGCCCAAATATATGATGCTGAGTAAGACCCAAATAGTTTGCCAAAATTCAATGAAGATGGCACTATATAAAACCAAGAAGAATTGGAAGAAGAAGCTCATGGATCAGCATCTGCTACTGGTATTAAATCTGGAACATCCAAAAAGAAAAATATCCCACACATTCCTGATTCTCTAAAAGTTTATATTTAACAAAATATTATTGACTTCTTTAACGACTTGAAGCCTAAAGAATAAAGGGTGTAAGCTTTATCTTGGGATCAAGAGCTTGTTGATTAAATGCCATAACCTATTTAAACCAAGGTAATTATTAATTTTTGAATAAATCTAAGTCTTTTTAAATCTGGATTTTTTGTTTATTATTACTCAGCTAAAGAATTTTTGAATTTAACATAAAAAAAGTAAGAAAAAACTATTTTTATCCAATCACAACTTTATTTTTTTAAAGCTAACAGATTCACATAATAAACAATCATTATCTTTGTCTAAATTATTTTAATCAATTCATCTATGAATTAAAAAACACTTTTTAAAATTTTCATAACATATTTATTTATAAAATTTTCAAAACAAATTTATAAAATAGATTTTCCTAAACAAAAAATAAAACATACTTTTTTTTAATTTTATTATTTTAACAAATTTTGAAATTTAGGTTCAAAACATAAGAGAAGAGCTAAAGAATAAATTCAAATAATTTGAAGTTAAAAAGGAGGTAGCAAAGGATAATAGTATTGAAAATGAAAATGAAGAAATTCAAGATTTAGAAGATGATATTAATACTGATAAAATTGAAGACAATTTATTGTATCCAACTATGGAAAAAAATGCATCAGTTGATAGAGTGCTTAAGCATCAAAACTTGTTGCTTGAAATGGTACCTACTTTCGATGATGAGTTTTTATTAAAACTCTTTGAGGCATTACATATTTTTACAGACAAAAATAAATTATACTCTCATAAGAGTGTTGTCGAGTTACTTGGAATTATATGTTAGAATCCCTACAATGCTTATAGGATAGTTGACCTTATTTCCTTCCTTCTCTTCTTATACCCTAGAAGATCAAAAATTACAAATGAGTCACTAAACTAAAATAACCTAATGCAATTGATCGAAATGCCTATCCTTCTTTTAGATAAATAGGTCAGCTACAGAGCAGAAGTTGATGTTAAATATTGGAAATGTGCCAATTACATTAGCGTTCTCCATGAACTCTTAGTTTACAATCAGTGTCATGTATTGTATGGTTTATAAGATTATCCTATTAATTCACTTGAAGAATACAAGATTTAAGTTGGTAGAAGCGAGTCACATTCTAAATTGCAAACAATTGCAGTCTAATTCCGTCCATTTGATCATCTAAAAGATGTTAAATTAGGAAATTTGATAAAAGGACAAAAAGATGGGTAAATTAATTAAATAAATTCTATTGAAACTTTAAAATTGTTAATTTAAATAAATATCTAATAGCATACCTTTGAACCAATTAGTTTCTTTTGCTCAAAAATGGATAGCATAGGACAAAAATTTGTATAATAATGTTTTATCTTATTCTTACTCTGAATCTTCATATCAATTGATAACCGAACCTTTTGATAAATTTAATCAAATCTTTTACTAGCAAATTTAATACAATGGCTAGATTAAGGCAAACTATGACAATAAATACCCTGTACTATATAGACCTTGGAAAGAATTAAATATGGAGGAGCTGATGGAGTCTTTCACCTAAGAAATTCCTAATGATTTAGCTAAAAAGAAAAGAATATCTGTATAAAATTTAAATTTAATAATATTTTTTGGCAAAATAATTAATATTAACATTCATTAAATAAATAGGAATCTAGCAGCTTTACTCTACTTCAAGACAAATGCAAAGTGTTTACTATATACCTTGACTTTGTTAAATAATATATGAGAATTTCTATTAAGAAACTACACCCTGAATTAAAAAGGCTCTAAGCTGCATTTATTCATAAAAGAACTCAAATCAAATAAAACCGTAATATTTATTGTTGTTTTTCATTCTTATTTTAACACTTTTAATCAATCAAAAGGTGGATTTGATGATTTAAATGATGAGGCTGTGACTCTTAATGATATTTTGGATTACAATGATTTCTTAGTTAAATTTAAAAACTTCCTTTAATCAGATATGGAAGTCTTCAAAAAGAGCATCAAAGATTTAACTGTTTTCTTTAAGATCGCTTTAAAAGAAGAGCTAAAATAAATTCTCGATGAATATAAATTGCGTTTGTCAGAAGATGGTCCAGAAGCAGCCATAGAGTGGTTCAAAGAAGAAAAAAATAAAGTAATTACTTAAATAAACAAATTTTTTTATTTTATTTATTTTTAATAATAAATAATTAGATCACTTTAAGAATGTTGTAAGATGTAAGACAAGTTTTGTTAGTAGAAGATCCTAGTGTTATGTCTTTCTTCTTTGACCTCTTGTAGTTTATGATTCAATCAGTTAATTACGCATGGTCTCTTCAAGATTTTGTAAATTTTATTTTTATTTAATTTATTTATTAATATTTATTTTCATTTTAGATAATTCCAAGCTATAGCTACTTTGATTATCCTCTTAAGTGTATCTTAACATTGTATGACTTCTTATATCCAGATGAGAAAAAGAAGAAGCTCAATCCTGCTGAAGAATTTGGAGGAGAAGATATTCCTGATGACTCATTGCCTTAACTTTCTAAACTTATTACAAAAGCACCAGATGATATGATGGATAGTATTGGTTTGGGCCAATCTATGACTAGAACCATGACTGCTTTAATGTCAGCAAGCTCTTCTAAGAATTTCTCTGGTGTCGACATGACTTAGCTATATGATCTAATTTTAAGAGAATTAAATAAGTTAATACAATATTTGATAAATAGTTATGATGTAAAATCCAAGAAGAAATGGGTAGAAATATCTAATATAATTGCTGTTGATGTAAAATCCTCTCGTCGTCTAGATGCAGAAAAGAAGATGGCTAAAGCAGCGTAAAATCTTAAATAATTAAAATATCCAAATAATAATTTTATATTAAATAATAAAAATAGCACCTTCGCTAAATTTATTGCTAAAAAGAAAACTAAAGGAGCTGAACGTAAGATTTATATAAACTGCCAAAGAGAATAGTGCTGGTAGTCTTCTTTGGGAGATTTGATGAACTATCCTCCTAATGTTTTTGTGGTTTAGAAGTTTGATGTAGTTTTTGAAGGAGAATCTGGTATAGATTAAGGAGGTTTGACAAGAGAATGGATCGTATTGGCCCTCAATGATATTTTAGATCCTTAGAAAGGATTATTTAAGCTCTCCTCAAATGGTGTAACAATGCAACCAAGTCCCACCTCTTTCCTTGTTCCAAATCACTTAACACACTTCAGATTTGCTGGTAGATTGATTGCCAAGGGTTTGATAGAAAAATTAGACTTTGAAGTTGATTTCACTAAATCTTTCTTGAAACATATTTTACGTACAAAATTAATAAATTCTTTTTTTTAATTAACTAAACATTTAATAATTCATAAATAGATAAAACTCTTTTCATAAGCGATCTTGAAGATATCGATCCAGATGAGGCGAATAACCTCTTGTGGATACTTGACCATGATGTCACCGATCTATGTTTAACCCATTCAATAGATAGAGTTGTGCTTGGATAAAACTATACATTAGATTTGATACCTAATGGAAGAAATATTGAAGTTACAGAGTAAAACAAAAAGGAATATGTTAAACAAATAGCTCACTTTAAAATGACAGAGGAAATTAAAGAATAAATTTAATCTTTCCTAAAGGGATTCTATGAAATTCTTCCTTAAAGATCCCTCAAATATATGAATGAGTAAGAGCTCGGACTTTTACTCTCTGGAGTCAAAAAAATTGATGGTAACTATTCTTTTTCTTTTAAATCTGTTAAAATGCTTATAAAATATAGTTGACGACATGAAAAAACACATGAGATATTATCGCTATAATAAAGATTCTCAGATTATATAATGGTTCTTCGAAGTTATGAATGAATACGATGAAGATCAGCGTAGTTTATTCTTGTTCTTTGTAACAGGTAAAAAACTAAAATATATTTTAACAATAAAAACTGACTTTATTAATAATTTTAAAAAATATAAATAGGCTCATTTAAAGTTCCTTTTGGTGGATTCAAAAACTTGTAATTAGAAATTGCTAAGATAGATAATAAAAATAATTTGCCAGTAGCTCACACTTGCACTAAATCTTTAGATCTTCCAGAATACGATTCCAAAGAAATACTAAAGGAAAAGCTAACAATAGCAATATAAGAAGGAAAATAAGGTTTCCATATTGCATGAAAAAAAATAAAAAACTAAATCATTTAAATAAAATTAATCTCTTTTTTATAACTTATAAAAAAAATGTTTGTTTAGAATTAAAAAAGTACTCAATTCTTATTAAATAAATATAATTTACTCATTTTAAACTCTCAATTACTTTATAATTATTTTTTATCTATGATTTAATACCTTTTTTATTACCGTATATCTTCAAATTGGATGTAAAATTTTTAAGTTAAATTCTGAAAAATGGTTAATTCCTATGAAAATATTTGGGAAAAAAACTTTATTTGGAGTAAAGGTAAATGAAATATAATGGACTTTACAGTATTTAATTTTTGATTTTGAATGCTTAAATTTCATACATTATAAACTTAAATATATTTGTTTATGCAATAACGCATTCATACATATATATTTTATATATTGATTGTTTAAATATCTAAGATTAGATCTAATTTGTAAGGTCATATAAAGCTGTGAATATCATAATGCATTAATGTTATTTCTTACTTCCATTGAGTTGTGAGAATCTTAAAGAGAAAGAACTTAATTGGTTTTTTTTGTTTATTGTGTTTACTAAGATTGCTATTCTTCTAAATCAATTTTTTTGAGGAGATTAGTTGGAATTCTAATTCTGTTAATACTTTTATGTGGTTGTAATAGATCGTTTGTATCGTAATTTTATAAGACAGAAGACTTGCTAATTAAAGGTAGATGAAAATCATCTTTTTGTTTATTAGGAGAAAAAGAGTTTTGCTAGAGTTTTAGCTATTATTCTTGGGAATCTCTTATATTATTGTATCTTTTATATGATTTTATCTAACTTTATGGGCTTGTTTTTTCATTTTCAATGGATTTCTATTTTTATAAAGATTTTTTATGAGAATCTAAGCCTGAATTGTAAAACTAACTATCTTAAATTTAATTATCTTCTTTTTTTTCTTCTATGCTTGATAATCCTGTATATTTTTAAATTTAAAATTAACCATTTAGTCTTTCTAATTTGCTGCTATTTTTTGTTTTTTGTCTTTCACTCGAGGAATCAGTTGATTAATTCATATTCCTGCCTTATATTTATGGCATTAATCTTATGTTTTTTTCTATTTCTATCTAAATGAACTGTTTTTTTTTATCTAAACTTCTAATTTTATTTTATTCTTATACTTTTGCTGCATACATATCTTTCATCAATTTACGAGTAATAGCCTCTTATCTCAACCGAGAAGCAGGTGGGCTATTAGAGGAGCTTAGAAACTATTTATTTTAATATAAAATTGGAAGAAAAATATTCTTTCCTTGGCTTATGCTGCTTTAGTCCTAAGAATGATTGCTCCCTCTTGTATGATTATCTCTTGGAGAAGAAATATTACTGAGCTAGTGGTTAAATGAATTTTCTTTTAAAAGGCGCTTCCTTTTTTCATTTAGACTACCTTCATTATCTTTCTATTTCTCTTGTATATGATATTCTTCTTAAATTTTAACATTTCTATTCAAATTAGGAGATCTTCCTCTTTTGTAATTTTCTTTTATGAATTGTTGATCTTTTGGAATATATTCTTTCTTTTATAGGCTATTTTCACTTGGATTATTCTTCTTCTTTTTTATCTGGATGCTTAAATTTGCTTCTTCATTTTAGATGAAGCTATTATCGTTCTTTTTTGAGTCAGTATCAATCTAATTATCTATTTATATAGAAATCTTGCTTCTACTAGACCTATCCAAACTTCTTTCATTCTTAGGAATACTTTTTTTAGCTTTGATTTCTCTCAATGAAGGGATAAGAGATCCCTTTTTAGAATAATTTATCTTTTATTGCTTTTTGGCAAGAGGGCTAGCAGAAGAATCTGCTTCTTTTGCTAATTTTATGCTAGGAGAAGGCTGTAAACAAAAACTACTTTCATTATTATTGTTATCATCTTAGTTTTCTAAAAATTCATTAACTATTTTCTTCACACTCTTACTATGATAGGAATTTGGATAATTAGGTTAAGGCAAATTCTCTTGAAGTGACGCAGTCACAGGTTTAAATTATATTGTTTTAAGTAGAGTGGATTTTTCTTCTTCTTCTCTTGACAGGATGCGCTTTTCTGATATTTTTTTTTAAATGTAGGGAAGTTGTAGAATTTAAGAGCAAGAAAATCTCTTTTTGGGATCAATCTAAAGCATATTTGATACCATATTGGATAATTCTAATGAGTATTTTGGAGATATTTTTTTATAGACTCCACTCATTATTTTTCCATAAAGCTCTTTCATTGACTCACCATTAAAAGGAGGTGAGAGAGTAGCTAATTCATATAAAACACATCCTAAACTCCATATGTCGCTAGAACTAGTGTAAGGTTGATCGCTCCAAACCTCCGGACTGGCATAGTAAGGAGTACCTGTTTACGTATATAGAAGCCCCATCTTAGCTTGTTTGGAAACGTTAAAATCACCAATTTTAGTAGTTCCATCTTTGTATAAAAATAAATTTGCGTTTTTGATATCTCTGTGATAAATGTTTAAACTATGGAGAACTTAAAGACCTTTAACGCTTTGAATAAAGACACTCCAAATGTAATCTTCCCTTAACCTGGTCCCTGTTCTAATGTGCTTTTTGATTTTTTCTAAGACATCACCATCATCTGCATATTCCATAACTAAATAAAGAAACTCTCCGTCATCACTTAAAAAGCTTTCCTTGAAAGAAACCACATTTGGATGTCTGATGGAGGCAATAATTCTGACTTCGTTAAGAGCATTCTCTTTCTCTTTAAGAGACAAGTTGGTAAGATTAACTTTTTTTAAAGCGTATATTTGCTAATCAATAGTTCTTTTAACTTTATAAACTTAGCTGTAGGCTCCTTCGCCTAATTTTTCAATGATTTCAAAATTCTACAATTTCATACCATCTAGAGATTGATTACGATATTTATGAAATATAATAAATTAATATAGGAAGTTTTTAGTCTATTTTATTGTTTTAATTAACTTATCAATTATTTATTAATCAAACAATGATTTAAAATTAACATAGTAAAAAAAATTAATTCAGATAAATTTTATGTTCTATTATCATCACATATTATAACTAATTTAGAATAAACAAAAAATGAATGATGAAATTAGTAAATAAACAACTAATATATTTAATCATATTTTAACATTTTAGTTCACAAATTATTTACAATAATGTAAATTCTATTAATTTGGCAAAAATAATCAAAATTTTTATGAGAAAACAATTAAAACTATGAAATAGTATTAAAAATACTTACAAATATGAATTTATTGTCGCTTTTTTTATATTATTCATATTATTTTTATCCCAATTCACAGAATACAAATGAAGTTTTTTTGATTAAATGATAAATTCTTTACAAAAAATATATTTTATTTTTACAAATGTTTTAGTAGTGTTTAATCAATTTTCTTTTATTGAAGACAAATCATCTTCTTGCAAGTCAAATACTATAACATCTTACTAAACTTCTTAGTTTGAGATTTTGTTTTACGGAGATTCTGAAATTTATTCCTTTGAAGGGGTTTCAGTGTGTTAAATTTTTTATTCGCTTATAATTTTATCTGAATTTCTAATACTTTCATTTTAATAGGTAGATTTTTAATCAGAATGTGTTTGTTGATTATTTTGTGCAAAAGTTGATTGACGTTCTTTTTCTTTAATAAATCTACTCGCTTCAATATTTTAAGATTATCTATTTTAATAAATTAACTAAGAATTAAAGCTTTAATTTAGATTTCCCTTTGATTTTTTTTTCATTCTATTTTAAAAAATTAAATTAATATTTATAAACTTTAAAGAATTTCTATTTACAATCTTGCAAGTTAAAAAATTGTTTTTATTTCATCCCCTATTAAATCAATCAGTTTGTTATTCATTTAGCTCTGCTAACTTATTTTCGAAGAAAAATTAAGAAAAAAAATAATATAAAATAACTTTAATTTCAAACAATTAATTTATTTAGAAAATTATTTAAAAAATTAAATTAAATTACTCGTTTCTATCCTCTTCTATTAACTTTTCATAGCAGCTATAAAGCTTCTGGTAATGAGAAAACTAATTTTTTTTTGTTGAACTTTTAAACTTAGCGATAGCTTTGCTAACAATAGCAATATTTTTTAAAGAAACCCGTATTTTATTTGTGCTTTTTCTTAAAGGTTTTTCTTTTTAGTTTTATTCTAATTCAGTTAGTAACGCTTTCCTATCTATAACATCACTTTATGAATCAATACTAATAACTGGTTTAGGAAAGAAATTAAAAAGCGTTTATTGCTCTGGGTTAAAGAACAAATTCTTTAGTTTTTCTATTTCTTTTAGCCTGTCTAAAATATTAAAAATATCTAAATCCTCTCTAATGTGATATTCTGCTTTATTTAGAAGTTATATTTCATCTGAGTTAAAAAATTTACCACAAGTAATTTTATTTAAAAAGAATTTCAAGTTAAAGTGAAGACTTCTCTCTCTTAATAATAAAAATTTCAATTCTCTGTCTAAGAATTCTTTTTTTTCGGATTCTCCAAATATTGGTTTTAATGAAGACTGAGGAGTTTTAGGATTAGTTATTTTATTTGACTGTTATGTAAGACTTCTAAAATTTTCATTAAATAATAATGTATTTTAGTTAGTTGGTGATGAATTTATCTGAAGATTTGAACTTGTAGACCTTTTCTTATTAAGTTTTGAGTAATTTTAATTCCCAGTTTTTTCTAATAGGAAATTCTAATTATTTTGCAGTAACTGATTACTGTCTGATATTAAAAGTTAATTGTTCAACCTATCCAATTAAGGACTAGCCATATATTGATCAACAATTGTTTATTTTCGTGTTTAAATATCAGTATTATTTTCATTTAGCCTTTCAATGTCAAGTTCGCACTCTTAATTAAAGCCTTAATTATTATTTTTGCAAAAAATATTGTCTTGAACAAGATTTTATTTATTGTTGTTCTCTTTTTACTATTCTAAGTGATTTGTGTAATCTGGATTGTTAATCAATAAATTATCTTTGGTATTCAGTTCTAATCCTAAATTATCACCAAATTTTTTATTTTTAAAATTTTACTCTTTTGGATTTAAGCCAATTATTTTATTTTATTCCTATAATTTGTCTTTAGAATTATCATTTTTTATTATGTTTGTAACATTTTATTTCTCTAACATTTTTTGTATTTAATCAAGAGGAATTAAACCAGCATCTTCTCTTGTTAATATCCTTCCATCTTAGTTTAAGCTTTTGATTCTTTAAAAGTCTTTTATCTTTGGCCGAAAAGGACTTTTCATTATTTTATTTTATTCATCAGCCATAGTAGTCATTTATTGATTTTAATCTGCTTCAGTTATATTTATTTAATATTTTTCAATCTTATTTTATTCATTTTATTTCTTTTAATCTTTTTTTTTCCTTTTTATATCGAAGTCATACAATCTATTAGCAAGCTCAAAAGTATAAACATAATGGTTATAAAAATGAACTATTTTTTAAAATAAAATTATTTTTTTTAATTTATATAAATTAATATTTTTCTCTTCTTAATTTGAAATAATTTGTTGAAATTTAGTTTGTATTCCTTTTAAAATTTAAAAAAAAGTTAAATATTCTTTGTTGTTAATTTATTTATGCTCAAGAAATATTAACAAATAAATTTTCATTTTATACTAAAATTCCTTTTTAAAATTTTTTTTCATGATTTTCAAATAAAATTTATTTTCATTTTATTCTAAAAGCTTTTTAAAATTTTTAAAACAATTTTACATTAAAAAAAAATTATTGTGAATTTTTGAGTATTGAAAGTCTTTAATTTTAGTAAATTAATTTACCAATAATTGCTGAAATAAGGAGAAATATTTAGCAAAATCCCCCGATATAGCTTATAACTTCATCTACCTTTAAGTACTAACGATTATATGTTGTAGTAAAAAAGCTTCTGATAAAATAAATATCGCAATAATTAGTAAAGTTTCCAACTTAGAAAGATTAAGTATAATCATTGTTTTAGTAAATCGTATAGCTTTCTTAATTTATATCTGAAACTGGAATTAAACTTTGATCAGTATTTATTATTTATTAATTAATGTTCAAATTAGCAGTTGTATACATCTATAATACAAAATAAAATAAAATTAGATATTATTTTACTTTATTTTATTAAAACTTACTTGCTGAGGTTAAAATGAAAATATTAGCGAGCTAATAAAAGATTATGCATGATTTTAAGTCTTCTCTGGATTAAGCTGCATATTTGTTAATAAAAAATTAACTCTAGTTGATTTACTTTGACTTGCCTTTATATTTTAAGGGGTATCACAAACTGGTTACCAAGCTGTGCTACTTGGCCAATTTGTTTGATTTACACAACTTACTACAGAAAACCTTAAATGATAAAAATCATTGCTTGAAAAAGCTCCTCCAATATTAAAAACCTCACCCTTTCTTGAATTTTTTTTTTTAGTAAATTAATCGAAATAATTATTTCCAAAAGTTAAAAATGAAATTAATTAATTACTTTAAACAAAGGAAATCATTTATGTTTTCTTCTATAAAAACTTATGTCCAATTTATTTGTTTCGAAGGAATATCTGAAAAATGATCTATTGTACAAGGTTCTAGCTGTAAAGGATACTAATTTAGAAAATTTATAAGTAAGTAAGTAGGTAGAACTAATTATTTATTTTTAACAAATGAAGACTGTTGATAGTTATTTACTTTTTTTTATATGTATGTCCCATTTTAAAATCTTTAGTAGTGTCTCCATTCAAAAGTTATATTATATTGAGGTTTGCTAATAAAATTTTGCTAATCATTTTTTACAGCAATCATGAAATTTTGTTTCCCTACTTATAATACTCCTGGATCAGTATCATATTGAACTGATTCAATAAAAGTAATTTGTGCTTTAAATAAGATATCAAAAGATGTAAGATTAATCAAAAGATAATATTTTTTGAAGATTAATTACTTTTAGATACCAAGGTAATTACCTGTTTTTTATAATAAAATATTTATTTATTTACTTGTTATTTACTAATTATTTTATTTATTTATTGATTAATGTTATCTTACATTATTGAAAAATAGTAGAACCATAAAGCTAAAAAAAAGTATAGTAACCACCCCACCAAAAGCAGTTCTAAAAAGATTATCGTTTTTATAATTTAAACTTATATCCGATCCAAAAATATCTAGACCTTTAAATGATTTAATCAAGTACTTTTACATTAATCTTCACTATTTTTTTTGAATATTTAATGACTTTCTTTATTATTTATTTTGTTATTTTTCTTTTATCTTCTTCAACAAATTTATTAAATTTTGTATTTTTTACGTTTTAATTATTTTACTTATAAAGACTATCTCATATTGTAAAAAATTAAGCTTTTACATACATTTCTGACAGACTGTTATTTATTTGAAATAAATTAAAGTCAATTAATTTATTATTGCTTTTCTAAAATTTTATGTCTGCCTATCGTAATTATTTATAAGTATATTCCTACATATTTTTGCCTTTGATATACTTATAAATATAATAAAGCTAAAACTTGCATTAATTAGCTAAATAAATCATATATAATAAATTGATTTTTAAAGATAAAAGTGAATTATGGTATTTATTACAATACTTAAAATATTAATTAATTAGAAGAAAAGTGAATAAGATACTATCTGGCTAGATTTTATGTTGATTATACAAAGTAAATGAAAAAATAAAGTTAATTTTTAATAATTAAATATGATAATTATATTAAAATTAATTATTACAATTTAAAAGAAAATAGAAATATAATAATCAATCTTAAATTATAAAATAAATATTTTTAAGTAGAAATAAAGTATTAAAATAAATTTATTTATTTATTTATATCAACTTAAATTTAGTTTAAATAAAATTTACTATGAAATTGTTAATTTTTATTCAAATATTTCTTACTTCCCAAAAGATAATTTTTTATTTAAAATGCAATTAAAAACAGTAAATTTATACTAGATTATTTATATAGATAAAAAGATTAATGATTAAGTCAGTAAGTAAGTACTGTAGTTCCTAAATACAATGATATGAATAGTTTATGAGGAAAAAATTTTTTAGTAAAGATTCATTAACTGCATGCAGTATGTATTTTAAATTTTATATGTAGAAATTGAGCGAGAAATTAAGGTAAGTAAATGAGTAAGTGAGCATATATTTTTTGATATTAATTAAGATTTTTGAAATGATGTATAATATTTATATAAAATAAATTTATTAAAAAGTAGTTTAGTAATTTTCATTTTTATTTTTTTGATTTTGGTGATTTTACATAGTTATTTTTCTTTGCCTTTGCTTTTTAAATAATTTGAACTGGAGTATTATTTTATTCAATCTAAAAAGAAGAGATATTCATTTAATTTTAATCATCTTATATATTCGAATTTACATTTTTATTTAGGCTATAAGATTAGTATACATTAAATTCCTCCTCCTCTTATATATCTTATTAATATATTTCAGTTTCATTTTTTTTTTCATTGTTATTAATGTTCACTATGCTTGTCTATTCTGCATTACCAAAATTATTTATAAAAGGCAGAGAGGTTGCATTTAATACAGAAATATTTTAATCAGTTTGCATCTGCTGTTATTACTAAGCATGTAAATCAATAATTTTTTCTTCTATTAAACCTTATTCTTCCACTTAAACATTTTCATCTACTTATTGGTTTTTATGAGCTATTTATTGCTCCTCGTCCTCTTATTTCTTACTTTCAGAATTAGAAGAGCTAACCTGATTATCAAAATATGGTTTTCTCATAATTTATTTTCCAATAGGAGAAACATCTTCTTTGTAATTTTAATTATAATATTCACCATTCTAATTTTATTAGATGGCTAACATAGTTTCTCTGTAAATTTGCTCTTCGGTTTTCACATATATTCTTAAATTAAAAAAAAAATTTTAAAACAAATAATTACAAAGTGATGAATTATATTATTATAAATAAATAAATAAATAAATAAATAAGCAAGCATACCTTCTTGTAGCTTCAAAGATTTTAACAAGATCTTTTCCTAGCAATTCAATAAGTCTTTCATTAATTCTATTTTTTATTTATGATAAATAAATTTTTTAGATATTAAAAAATATAAAATTTACTCAGCTTAAGAACTATTTGGATCATTTGTATGAATGATCTTTACATAGGCATCATACAATTTTTTAATCTATGAATGTTGATTTCTTTTGAGGTTCATTTTAAAACGATTGATTGCTTTAATTACTAAAGCAATTTATTTAAATGATGTAACTTTTTATTAGTAGATCAACTTGTTAAAAGTTACTTTGTTATTCGTTTATGACCTTTTTAAATAATCAATCTTAGGTATTGCATCATCTTCTTTTAGAGATATGACAGGTTTAGGGAAGAAATTAAAGAGTGATTCTTGTTCTTTATTTAAAAGGAGTTTTTTGAGTTTATCTAATTCTTTAATGCTTCTTATCAATTCATAAATATCAATATCCTTTGAAAGCATGTCATTCGCCTTATTTAAAATCTGAACAACTGGTGTGTTACAAAATTTCCCAAATGTAATAGAATTGATAAAATACTATAAACTTAACTTCATAGGATTCTCTTTTTTGACGTAATTTGTTATTTCTCTTTCTAAAAATTGCTAAGCATTGTAAAATTTAACTCCTTTTTTAATTTTCAAGGCTTACTCACTTGTAATTTATAAGGCCTAGTTAAAGTATTCACCCTCATTAAAAGCATTAATATTATTATTGTAATCATTCTCTTCATTTTAATATGGGGTCTAATTTTTGTAAAAGAAAGATATGTTGATTATTCGATCTATCAATTTAAATAATTTATCAATTTTTATTTGATCTACAACGATAAAATTTAATAAAAAAGATTAATTAATTAATATTTTAATTCCAAAACAAATATTGGAAATAATGAATGGATGGATGAAGCGATCGATATTGAGATCACTTAATTATATTTAATTAATTTATATAGTAAAAGTAATAAGTTGATAGGTACCTTTGCATAGTTTTCTAAGTGATCATTTTAATTTGTTTGTTATTGCTATAGATTTTATAAAGACTTTGAAATGTTTGACTCTTATTCTTTAACTACGCTTTTATTTAATAAAGTTTTTTGCTTGCGTCTTTTTGGTTCATCGCCATAAGGATTATTTCTTTCTTAGCTTGAAGTGTAATTTAAAGGTAAAACGGATGCGGATTACTAAGTAGAAAATTAAAGTTTTTCTAGATTAATTCTTTTCATTGGAGAAGCTCTTGATTAAGTTGGGCTTATGTTCTCTCTGAGTATTTTAGATTAATAATTTTGATCGTTGTTTATTGTTCTTTCGTTCTTCTCAAAATTTTTAGATATCTCTTATTCAAACTATTAGCTTTGAGCTAATTTGCATGGACTTAAATCAATTATTGAGTATCTTAAATTTTGGTGGTGACCTTCAGTCTAAAAGGCGCTTTTATCAATTTTTTAAGCTTTTATCTTATACTATTAGTTGGCATCTATCTAATTTGAAGACTCTATTGGATTAATCTTACAATTATGTTTTGCTTAAAAGCTAGATGTTCTTCTCTATTTTGTTGGATTCGTTTTATTAGGGTGCTAATCATTATCATTTTATATCTCATTCAAATCAAAATCATAAAGCTTGTTTATTAACTCAAATTAATAGTGATAAGAATTGTAAGTTCTGACTAATTAATTTAAAAAAAAATAGATAAATAAACAATTTATCCCTTACACTTTTTTAATAAATTAAGATTTACCTACAAATGCAAACAAAAGCAAAAACATTTGACAGAATCCACCAATGTAACTTATAACTTAATCAATTTTTTGATATGCTCTATTAATCTATGTATTAAAATTGCTACGAAGGAAAAATATCTCGCTATATTTCTGATAATCTCCCACCGAATATTGCTACTTGTAATCACCATTATTGTAAATAGGAAATATTTCATCAGAGTTATCTTCGAAAGGAAACAAGCTGTTATCGGTTGTCATAGTTTTCTAAGTAATAAATATGTTGGCTGTAGAGTACATCTAATTAATTCATTATGTAAATAGGCTAGTTAATTTATAGGCTAAAAAACTAAAATTTACATAGTGAGGCTAGAATGTAAAAAACATGCTTTCTAAATATATCTGAGATGTACTATCAGGTTATTCTGGATTCAAATTGTAATTTGTAAATAAAAAATCAATTCTTGTGTCTTCATCATTTTACTTGTCTTTGATTTCCTAAGACGTCTTACAAACTGGTTTCCATTTTCTGGTAGTATCAGTCGAATTCTTGCATTATGTGACTAAGAATTTCAGGTGGTAAAAATCTTTATTTTCGAATTTTCCTCCTATAAGGTAAGTTTAATTTCTCCTACGATTGGTTATAAAAAAATTAGTTAAATTTATAATTGCTTTAATTCGAATTAGTAATTTAATCAAAGTAATTAGATACTATAAGCACAAAAAATCGTCAAGATTTTATAAATCGTAAGCTTTCTGCCAATCATATTGTAAATTAGGAAGTCCTTTAAAGTGATCCCATGTACAAGGTTCAAGTTATATAGGAGTCTAAAACGTTTAAGAAATTATTTAATTAGGAGAATTTTATTTTTTTATGTTACTTTATTCTAAATGTAAGTGCCATTTTCATATCTTATATAGTGTCTTTGCTCAAATGTCAAATTATAATATGGTCTACTTATAAAATCATCTTAATCTATTTTTACAGCTATCATATATTTGTTAGTATCTAATTCGATGATGCCAGGTTCTGTTTCAACTGATGGAGAAGTAGTGTAGTTAACTTAAGCTGTTCATTATATTAAATGCATAAAATTTATCAACTAAAATCAATCAAACTTGAAATATAGATAGCTAAAACTTTCCATTTTCCCAAACTTGTTGTATAAAAGCAAATAATTAAATAAAAAAATACATTTCTAAATAAGAGTCACAACCTATTTATAAAAATAAGATGAATAAATATAAGTTGAAAGGCTAGCTTAAATAACTTACTTAGTTGAAAAAAAATATGGTCATCATCGCAATGAATACTAAAGTAGTGAGTCCACCAAAAGCTGTTTTATACACATTATCTTATTTATAATTTAATCCTATTTGAATTCCAAAGATGTCAGCTTTTTCCAAAATATTCATTTTCTCTTTTTTGATCAAACAATTTTCAATTTAATTATGATTATTTAATTTTAACTTATTAGTTAGTTGCGCATCCACATAGATATAATATCTCTTTTTTTTATTTGATCTATTTACTCTTATTCAAAAAACATTACAGTTTTTATTAATTCAATAATGAAAATTAAATTTGTGGCTCATAAAAGCGTCTGCGAAAAATTAAAGTTTTTTGAGTTTTGAGATGTTAGTTTAAATCCAAATCTCAGTTTGTATTTTTATGTTATTAATTTTAAGCCTCAAATTCATTACTTTATTTATCTTATCTAATGATTTTTGCATTTTAATTATATTTATTTATCCTCATTTATTTATCATTTATCTATCGATTAATTCCTATAAAATCTTCTAAGTTGCTGTTATAAATAAATTTGTAGTTTCTATCTAATTTGAGAAATTAAAAATCAATCTACAAATAAGTATATTTATTTTTAAGAAATCGATCCTTCAAAATTGAAACTATTGATATAATTTACTTTTTAATTAGAAATAAATCACAGCAAAATATTGTCCACACTTTTGAAGTTATAAAAATAAATTTCTTCTTTCTTATCTTTCTTTAATTAATAATCTATTATGTCGTATTTAATTAATTCTGTAACTGCTAATCATGATGCAAATATTTTAAAATGTAAATAATTGAAATTTTAATCAGAAATATATTTTATTTATATTAGCAATTAAAAAAGTTTATCTATTTTAAGAATATTTAAAGATCATATAAATGCTAAAGAAAATTAATTGATTAGTCAACGAATTTGTTGCTTATTTTAAAATGATAAGAAAGTCTTAAGAATTCGTATATTTATTAATATTGATTATATAAAAAGGTAGCTAGCTTGAAAGAGAATGAACAAACAAATAAAAATAGATGATGAATGAACATTAATATATCAAAGTATTTTTAGTATAAATTAGTTTAGATTATGAAAATTTAACTAGTAAATTTTATTCTTCTCGCTTTTAATTATTTTTCTGAAAAAATTTTTGATGTGTATAAAAGAAAAAAATAAAATTTGTGAAGATAAATAAATAAATAAATCTTTTGTTATTTATTTTTTATAAAATCAATTTTGGAGTGGATTCTTTAATTATTCGAAATTTCTTTAGAAACATATTTTGTTATTTTACATAGATTCTATATTTTATTCACATGCCTCATCTATTTACCTGTTTTCTATCGAAATTTAACTTTCTATTACTTCGTTCTTCTATTCTAAATAATCATTACACTTATCATAAATTTGATACATTTTTAATTCTTCAGGAACAAAGTTTTTCATGTTATTTTAATTATCACTTGCGCTTTCATCCATTTTTACATTTTAAATAGATCTGAAGTGAGAAACTTTATGTGATTATAAAGCTTAGTTGGCATTTTATTTATTATTCAGCATTTCTTAATTATTTGACTGTGAGCTTGAATTTCTTATGAGTTTCTAACTGTTAGGGAACTCATTTTTATTCAGCTCTTATTTTTTAAATTGCATTCTATCATTTAATAAAATATTTTCATTAATTTGTTAAAAATTTAATAAACAAAATTTTACAATTTAGTAGTTTCAAATATATTTCTCATCTCATCTCCTAGTAAGTAAATCAATTGATTTTTATACCTTTTATAGAAAGAAATTTCAATTATATAAAGGAATAGATCTTTTTTATTTATTTTTGTTAAAGAGTAACTTTTGTAAAATTATTTGGTTGAAATTAATTAAATTATTTTCTTATATTTTATTTTACACTTAATTAAATCTTCTTTAAAAATTCTATGTTTGTTTTTATGTTTAAATCCAAATTAAATTAAATAAATAAATAAATACTTAGATTCTTAGTTCTGCATAATCTTATCGTAGCACTCAAAGAGAGTTTCATATTCATTTATCCTGTTTTTTTTAAGGTTGCTTTTGAATTTAGCAAAAGCTTTTGAAACAGTAGTAATGTTTTTTAGGTTTATATTCCATTATTTTGACTTGCTATTCAGTTTGATTTTAGGAGATTAGATTTACCTTTAAGTTAAAGCCATCTATTATCTTGAAGGAAGTTACACTTCATCTTTTAGCTTTATCACGGGTTTTGGGAAAAAGTTAAATAAAACCTATTCTTCCTATGTGAGTAAGAGTTTTTTTAACTTTTCAACTTCTTTTATTTTATCTAGGACATTAAAAATATCTAAATCTTTTCTGACAAGTTAATTAGCTTTTTTAATTAATTTAACTTCCTCATTATTGAAAAGTTTTCCACATGTAATTACATTAACAAAATATTTGTAAGATAATTAAATAGACCTATCTCTTTTAATTATAAATTCAAGTTCTTTTTCTAAGAACTAATGTGCATTATTAAACCCAAGGCCTTCAAATACCTTCTTCTCATATTTTTAAAGGATGCTATTTTATGATTCAGGACTATAAATATCAGATTATTGATTTGTAAGAGAATTAATTTTTCTATTGTTTTTTAAGTCATTCTCTTTTTTACTTTATTTTATATTAGTTTCAGTTTTAGCAAAAATACGATCATCATAATTTTATTAATTTTAGATTAGTGGATGGATATTGTTTATAGATTTAGGTGTGAAAGAGTTGTTGAAACCATTTTCTGCTTTTATTTTGGTGTCACTTTGTTAGGATTGCACTTAATTAATTTTATCTACTTCTAATATTATCATTTATTCAGAAACAGGTTCATATTTCGCAATACTCTTTATAGACTTTTATTATGATGCTTATTCTTCAGATATTTAATCTATTTTATTGCCTTTTATGTATGATAAATCATTGTTTTAAAGAGGATTTTTTCTAGGTATGTTATTTGCTATGTTAATATATGTCTTTTTTCTGCTACAAATTATGTTCTTAATTTACTCTATTGGCATCAAACCAGCTTCTTCCCTATTAGTAATTTTTTTATTTTCATTTCTGATTTAATTGTTTGTCTCTTTATTAAATTAATTCTAATTTTATATTTATTACTCACTTTTCAATTATAATTAGCCTGAGGATAATATTTAATTTGTTTATTGACCTATCCCTTAAATAGCTAAACTTTAAATAGAAATTTATTTTGGTCTTTTATCATTTTATTTACAATTATTTGTATTAGGTTGCTACAGTTCAAAATCGTATAACCTATTAGCTAGTTCTAAATAATAAACATACTCATTATAAATGCTAACTGTTTTTATTATTTAAATAAAATAAATTTAAATTTAGTTAAAAAAAATGCAACAAAGAATAAATTATCATTAGAATATTTTAATTATGATGAAATATTAACAAAATAACAAACAAAGCGTTAATATTAATATAATTGAGATGAAATCTTTAAAAATATTTTGGCGAATTAATTAAATATTCTAAAAAATTAGCAAAATAATTTAAAAAAAATAAAAGATTCAAAACAAAAAAAAAATAAATAAAATCACAATAATTAATTAGAAATGTATAATGGATATTACCTATTACAGTAGATATTAAAAGAAATATTTAAGAAAAGCCACCTATATAGCTTATTACTTAATCTACTTTCATAAATTATCTTTATATATCTGTGCTAAAAGCGCTTCTCAAAAAGAAAATTTCACAAAACTTATCAAATTAACCAACAGCGTTTTGTTATCTAAAGTCTCCGTTATCAAAAGTTATATAACTGTCTTTGTTAATCGACTTAATTAGAAAGATGCTTTCATCAGTTTCTACAATTTTTTCGTTCATAAATATATTAGCTGTTGTGTACATCTAATATTTTTTATTAAAGAAATAGATAAATATATATAAATGTAAATTTAACAGTATTTTCCACAATTAATTTTTTAAAGAAAGAAATAAATAAAGAAGACTATGAATTTAATTTGTAAAAAAAGTAAATTAGAAGTACTTTTTCAGGTTGAATATTAAAAATTAAAGAGTCTAAAAAAGCTGTAGTAACACCTTAAGACTTTTCAGGCTATAATAAATAATTAGAAAACATAAATTTTATGCGATTGTCTTCATTTTTCAGCTTTTGTTGGATATATTCGTTTGATGCGCATTTATATTACCAAGGATTTTTTGGATCAGTCACATTAGCACATTTAGTAGCAACAAATTTTAAATGAAAAAAATCAGGGCTTTCATATCTTCCACCAACTGGAAAAAAGGCATTCTCTCTTTTAATAAAATCAAAAAATTAATTAATTAATTGAGATTTTGGTAATAGTGAAAACAAACAAACAAACAAATGATTAATTTTGTTTATTATCACTATAGACTAAATATTTAAAATTATCTATTACTTAAGACACAAGTAGTCACTCAAATCTTGATCAATATACTATTGAGTCCAATTAATATTTTAATTAGGTAGCGAAGAAAAATGACTTATCTAACATGGCTCCAAGTAAACAGGTTCCTTAAAATTTTAATAAAAGCAAACATAGATATTTTAAATAATTTATGTAATAATTTAATGTAATTGCAGAGGAAATATTTTAGTGTAAGAAATAAAGTTAAGTTTTCTAATTAATTATTTACTGCATATATTATTTACATTATAATTTAAATGGCAAATAATTTCCATAGTTTTAATTGATGGATGAATATGTAGAAAATACATTAAAAAATTGTAAGTAGAAAATATTTCTTTATATTTTAGATGAATCAATCAATTAATTAATTAATACTTACTTTTATTTATACAAACGTTCCATTATCCAAAGTGTAGTAATGTCTTCTCTCAAATCCTATTTTGTAAGTAGGCCTTTAGATAAAATTGTCTTAATCTATTTTAACTGCTATCATGAATTAGTTTTATGTAAAGTTAAGCAAACTTGGATTGACATCATACGACTTAGACTATACTACACTAACTTCACCTTCAATATAATAAAATAGAGTTATTACTTTATTTTTGATTTAAATTCTCATTAAAATGTTCAATCGTAATCTATTTACTCTTGGAAACTAGCGTTGAAAACTATTTTATAAATTGATAATTAATTTAATTGTTTGTTTATCAATATAAGTAAAAGCCATTTATATATAATTCATCTAAAATATGCTTACATTATGAAAAAATAAAATTATTAAAGCAGCTGCAAAAGCGATAGTGATTATCCCTCCAAAAGCTGTCCTAAATAAACTATCATTTTTATAGATAAGGCCAACATCGCTACCAAAAATATCAAACTTATTTAGAGATCTATGGCAATACCTTTGCATCTTATTTATTTAATTATTAGTAATTAACTATTTTGTGCTTTAGATGCAATTTTAATTATTGAATTTATCAATTTAATTATAATTATAATTAATTGTTATGTAACTAAGTAGTCCTCTATCTATCTATCTTTCTATCTATTAATTTTTTTATTAAATATATTTATTGATTCTACTAAAATATTAACTAGAATAAATCATTTACTTCATTTCACTTTAATTTAAAGCAAAACAAAACAAAGCCAGTAAGTAAATCATTATTAAAATAAACTTAATATTTTGCGTTATTATCAGATATCAAAGTATAGGCAATTTTACTGATATATATTTAATATAAAATGTGTATTAAAATTAAGCTAACATTTAGCTAATATTAATATTTAGTTATATATATTTTTTATTATAAAAGACTACACAATAACTAGAAATCTGATATCTGCTAAAATTTCCTATCTAACTTTACTCTTAAAATTATACCATTAATTCTCATTAAGTAAAATTCTTTTTAAATAAAGATGAATGAATCTACCGTATCGGATTACCATTTCATTATTTAGATAAATATTTTTAGAAATATCTTAAGAATTTGTAAAATAAAATAATGCTAATTTTTAATGGTGTAACAGCTGATATTAAGATTTACATCTTATACTGTATTTATTATATTGTAAAATTAAAATCAACTGTCTAATATTTTTAAATTATTAATTAATTGTAAAATATTTTTTTTTGATAAATTACTAAAATATTTAAATCAAAAAAATATCTTCATTCTCTAATTGTAAAATAAACTTTTATACTCAATAAGAAACATGAATTATTTAATATATATTCAATATTAGCAGTAATAATTAGCATTTTATTTTTTGATTATCTTTGAAGTTAAATTTATGCTTTTTTATTATTTTCATCAAAGTATTGATTTATTTAATTATTAATTGTTTTTTAAGCTAATTTATGTTTTTTAATGTAAAAAACTTGTAATTTAATAAAATATTTTAAAAGAAACATAAAATTAATATTTGTTTGGATTTGAAAATAATTATTTGAGTAAGTTAAACCATCATTATTACATACATACATACTTAACATAAATAAAATAATACAAAATTATAAATTAATTAAAATAAATCAACTTAATAAAGCTTGAATTATAATATTTAACTTGAGAATATTAAAAAGCTTGTAAAAAAAGCCTTTTTCTACTTCTTCTTTTTATTTATTCACAATATTTTTGGCTATCAAACCAAATATAAATGCAGTCAAAACCTACACTATGAATATATCTGTTACTAAGAATTGAATGTAGGTTAGGAAAAATTTATTTGAGCTTTCAGGATCGTCTCCACTTATGATAGATATAATTACATAGATATAGAAAGCTGATTATAGAATAGATAAAAATACACCTATTTTCTTGAGGAGGCTATTAGTTGTAAGCAAAACTTCAATAAAAACACTAAATATTAAAATTAGAAGAGAGCTTGCTATTGAAATAAATACTTTCTAAACAAAGGTTTTATCAATTCCAAATAATATACTGATTGCCAGAGTATGCTAGTATCTTAGATAAAATAAAACAAATCTTACAGCTCTTGATACTTCATAATTAAATACTAAAAACACTGATAAAAATTCATGGAAATGAGCATAATATTTCAAGCTGCTTATTTTATTAATTTTTTCTTTTTAATCTAACATTAAATCATTCTAAATCACCAAAGCATTTAATTTATTAGCTTTTCTTTCTTTTTTACTTTTTTTAATTACAGAGTTATTGCTATTCTGGATTTCTAATTTTTAGGCTTATATTTTATTTTATTCATTATCTGTGCCAACACTTTATTAATCTCCTATTGTGGTAATACTAGGCAATTAAAGTAGGTTAGTTTTCTGGTTAGTAAAATTTTAAGGAGTTTGATAATCTCTCTAATCTCCTATTTGAAAAATAGAGGGTGCATTGCTTTAATGGGAAGACTTCATAAATTACACATTTTGATCTAATTCATTTAAACTGTGCGATTCTCTTTTACTCTCTTTATTATCATTGTTAAGGCTAATGTTTGGTAAAAAATTAATTAAACCTGCTGAAGCAATAGTGGGGTCTTAAATTTATTATTTATATTTTAAAAACTCTGCATCAAAATTTTATTATGCATATCTAGTATTTCTTTTTCTTAAATTTTTTGTTGATTATTTAATTGTTGTTTAGCTGAACGGTCTCGTAGTGTCCATGTTATTCTGATTATTTTTACCTAAACTTATATTTGCATCATTTTCAAATATATCTGAATGGCTAAAGTCATGATTAATATTTTTAGTGTTCTGAATTTAATCATTTTATTGCTCTTTATTTAAATTTTATTCAGCATTTTAAGTCAGTTTAATGTTCATCATCGATTTAATTTGTTCTCCATTATTTATGTTTTTCATTTATTCTTCGCTCTTTAAATTTTTATTTTATTCATTCTCTTGCAAATATTTAATATTAGTTATTTGTTTCATTTCTATTGTCTGTTCTTTGTTTTCAATATTTTAGATTTATTCTAATTTAAAAATACTAGGAATATTGTTTGGTAAATTTTTTTACAAATTTTTTTTAGGGCTTTCCTTTTCATCTTCTTCTTCTTTTATTGTAAAATTAATATTTGCTTAATCTGTTGGGGTGTTAGGCTTAATTGTATCTAACTAAGTCTATTGACTGACAGGATATATCTTAGATTAACTAATTACTTATTTCTTTCTTAAGGATTTCGGAATGCTGCCATATAAATATTCTGAATCTAATCGTTTTCCATAAATTATAAAGCAAATAAATATGAAAGTTTGTATAAAAACGACCCAGAAAACAGAATACTCATAAAAGTTAGAGAAATTTTCTATATTGCTTACTCCTTTTGAGCTGAATACAGTATCAATATTTTTATTGTTTTCAAAGAGGCCACTAATATCTTATATTACTGTTGTAGGAGTTAAGTCATTACATATACATTATGCTTAGTTTTTTTATACATTAATCCTTGTTGAGCATGAAGATTTCGACCAACTTTTATCATTTTATCTATTAAAACAAGTAATGTTTTATGTACCATTTTTATTATTACTATTCAAATCAAAGTAGTGAATAACACCATTTTGAGGATAATAAGGTTATTTTGTTGCATTATTTTGTATGTTTGGATCAATAACAGGGTACATTTCAGCCTAATTTTTGGTATATTTTAAAATCTGATCAGTATAATTTTTAAAAGATTGATCTTATTAGTAAAAGTTGACATTATATTTATTATAGCAAGCATCATAAATACTTGTTGAATTGTTTAATTGCTATATGAAACTTTAAATGTATTAATTATCACTTGTGCTGCTTTGACTCTATAAATTTCTTCTAAGCTTGTACTAATCTGAGCCTATTCCTGTAAATAGTTAAATATTTTTCTCAGTTACCTATTAAGCTGTAATTTAGATATTTTATCCTTTGAAAATAATTGCATTTTCATTAGGAAGAGATTAATAATTTAGCATACTTCCTACTTGGTGTACTATGTCAATAACTTAGCTATTTAAAGAAAACGTGTTTGCTTAAGTAATAGTACTTAAGCTATCTAATATGTTAAAAGTAAGATATAAATCTTAAAGACATTTCTCATATTTAGTCTAACTCTAGAGACTAGGTTCACACTTCTTTTAAATTAAAAGCAAACTGCTATAAATTAGTGATACTTAGTTCATCTAATCGTTGAGTTATAAACTTATTTTAGATTGAAGTAGCATGCTGACTGTTTAATCAGCAAGCTAATAGAAGGAAGATGTAGCCAATAATTAAGTAGAAACTAGCTGTATTTATTATATTATTTATAATTTTAAATTAGAAAGTTAGACACTTATAGTTTAAAATGACTATTCTCTGTTAATGATATCTTAGCTTAGTATATTTAAATTAAGAATGCGTTATTCAGGTAGTAGGTTAGAAGAATTTTCAATAAATTTATTTATAAGCTATAGAAATTCATTAGGAGTATAGCTTTAATAGTTTACATTAACAGTGATTGTTGAATTAGAAACAGCTCCTTTAGAATCGATAGCCTAAGCTAAAATAGTTAGCTAACCACCAGGAAGAAAGGTGATAACACTATTAGATAAAATTTTATCTGTTAACTGCTATCTCTAAATTTGTTAATTGTTATTTAATTCAAAATTATATGAAGTACTTTAAGTATAATAAAAGAATTAGTATAAAATAGGGGAGTTCTAATCTTAACAATTGTTTAGGTTAATTTAAAAAGAGTCAATTAGAGAGTATCCTGTTGTTACGTTGGCTATTAACTAACAGTTTGATGGAGGAAAATTCAACACAAAATTTAAAGTGCACAAACTAGGGAGAATATATTGCGGATTATAAACAGAAAACCTAACTTGGATAGAGGGATTAGAAGAAGAAAAACCATTAAAATAATCCCAAATCTAAAATCTAGTAAAACTGTAATCAAATTTAATAACTCCAACAACATTATCATTGTAAATAATTGCTCCTGAGTAATAGAGCAAGTCTGTATTAACAGTAAGATCATAGACCATAAGAGCATGAATGAGCTAATTAGGATTTATTGTTGGATCAATAATTAAATCATCTGTAAGCAAAACAGTTAGAATCGGTATATCTAATTCAGTAATAAAAGCAACAATTTAATCAGAACCTTATCTAGTTACTTAGGTATTTTGATAAGATTTAGTTTTTATACCTTTTAAATTGAATTATAATGCTTAATATGGTTAGAATGTGTGTGCACTTATATTCAAAGATTTTTAGTCATTTTGTATGGATAAAGGTTATCCTTTACTGTTTATGCAATCTTATGAGATGCCAAGATTTTAGCAGCTCCAGCTAATAGAAATGCCAAAATTAGGTTCTTATGAATTTTAATCTTCAAAATCTTCAAGAAATGAATCAATAATCATGGCTTTTTAATAGCTAGCATACCTGTTTCCCCCAATAATTTTAGTTATCAAAGGGGAAGGTGTTATATATAAGTTAGCTGAGTCACTTAGAATGATAGATGAATCAGAAGCATCTATAAAAGTTGCCTATATTATAAATAAATAGCATTTTTATGATTTTTACTAGAAAATTTGAATTTATATTATTTCCCAATAAAAATAAAAAATGGGAATTTTTTTAATAAGATTTGTATCAACTAATATATTAATTCTTTTACTTAGATGTTATAAGTGCTGCTTGCTTTCATAGAATAAGCTTTAATTGTAACTAATATCTAATTTTCATCAAAGCTTTGTTTGATTAAATTTATGCCTAATTGATCGTTTTAAATATCAATATTTAAAGGTTATTAAATTCTTAAAATTGTCCCCTACTCATCACAAATTTAAGAGTTAACACTAAACAAGATACCTACATCTTAATTTCTAAATATTTAATTTTTAAAATTGAATTTAAAATTTCAGAATTTATTATTTATTTTTTTTTACATATAGTACGGTGGAGAAGACATAAACGTATGGCTGGCGGTTAAGAATTTTTTTTTTTGAATGAAAATGTTGATATTTTATATACCGCTTTGGCCTATCCAAAGTGTCCATGAAACTTAAAAAGATAACTAAATATCCTATTAAACCATCGGTAAAAATACAGTTATTTACAAGGATTAGTTTTAATTAGCTTGATTAATTGCTATTTAAAATGATTGTTAGCTTTTGCTGTCACTAGGTGAAATTTAATTTAAAGCCCAAGAAACTTATTTGAAACCTCTTTAACCATCGTTAGCAATTACTTGTAAAGATATTGTTTGAGAAAAACAATAATTTTAAATTTAATTGTAATCGCTAAGCTTAACTTAGGCTTGTAAAGGTTAGTCTGTCATTTAAACTTAGTTACGATAAAATTATGTTATGGTCATTTGGTTGTAAGTGTATTAGATAGAATTAATTTTAAAATTAACCAAATCCCCTGGTAAAATTCTAGCACTACCATCTTAAATTTTATTATTTTATTTTAATTAAATAATGAATCAACAAAAATTTTAATTTTTACCTAACAAAATATTTATTTTTGAGCCATTAAAAGAGCATTGTGCTCCCGAACCTAGTAATTATTAAGTTTGCTGGTCAAACAGCTATAAGCAAGTTTATTGTGCAGATGAGCTTAAAGAAAATAAAGGCTAAATTAGTATCCCAAAATCGATTTATAAACTTAAATAATTGCTTGATAGTATGATATCAAGGACTGCTTGCTAATCTTAACTGCACCTGGTGTCATCTTAAAACAATCTAGCATCATTTGAGGAGCATAAACATGAACCATTAACAACAACTCTGTTACTTTTACAAGTAACACAATTTTGAGAGAGAGCACTCATTGAGCCTGAACATGATTAGCAAACAAAAAAGCAAGGCTGGCACGTAATAGAACCAGAATCAAACCTATTTAAATTAAAAAAAATACAATATGTTAAGTAAAATTGTTATTTGTAAATAAATAATTCCAAATTACCATTAACTCTCAGGACATTAGCAAAGCTGGGAAGGACTTGTTTGGATTAATCCTTTTTGGCAGGATGAGCATGAAGTAGAATTACTACAAGTACTGCAGCTTTAATCACATATTTTACAATTACCAAAACTATCAAACCTATGAAAATAAGATTAAAAATATTATTTGAAATTAAAAAGTATAAATAAATAAATAATGATTTACCAATAGTTAGTCTATGAGCAGGAACAAAGTCCTTACTAATTAAATACTAGCTATCCTTTGCATTAAGTACATTAATTAGCTTATGTACATGAACTACAAGAAGCGTCACAAGGTAGATTTGAATTACTTACGCTATCGTAACTAATTATAAAAGAATATTAATTAGCAATAATTAAAAATAAATAAATATTTTACTAATATCCTATAGGAGTGATACAATTTCCAGATGATAACTAAAATGTATTCAAGCATGTTGTGCATCCTGTGTTTGGGTCATATCCGAACTGTTAGCAATATAAGCAATTCAAAGTATAAAAATCCTTAACTCCACAAACTGTATCTGAAAATTATTCAAATAAAACAGTTGCTTATACAGCACTTGAAAATGCAGAGACAGCATTAAAATAAATTTCAAAATTTTATTAAGTAATACCAGAAGAATTAACTGTAATTTCATTTGGCTAGTATTTCAAATACTGAAAATCTTTTTAAATAATATTGAAATTAGTAATAGAGTAAACGATATCAAGAGACAAAGGATTTAAACTACTGATAATAGGACTAAGAGGTGTAAGAGGTATTTAAGATAACTAATATTTTTCCAAGACATTAATATCTTGAAATATAGAATTTGCATTATAGTTGAAACCAAGATCATAGGAGGATATTTCAGGGGGAGTTATTAGATAATATATAGTTGGTGATGTTGAAAGAAGGACAGAGTTAACATATATATCTACACTAATTTTGTCAGAATTAACTGAAACATCGAATTAACAAGTTGGGCTTTTAAGAAAAATGATTACAGGATTACATAAATAACCACCAAAGAAAACATGGGTATTAAATTGGGAAGAACTTTTTCCTTAGTAATAAGCTCCTAGAGATGGAAGTTTATAATTTCCAGAAGATGAAAGCAAGTTAAATGACTTGAGTACATCTGAATAAAAGTACTTAGAGGGTTGGTAAGCAAAATATTGCACATGTAAATAAAATGAAGGTGCTGAAACACCAGGAGTCACAGTCATACTACTTTAAGTTATTGATTATGCCAAAACTTAAAACTAGCCAAATTATGCATTAGAAACACTATAGCCTAAAACAGAGAATATAACATTAGGAGGTTAAGTAAAAGTATTCTTAAAATTAACTTATAATTGATTTACACTATTAAAAGTAAATTAGCCTATTTCAAATCCTTTTGTAAGCTTTTTAACACCTTTTTTATTAAGTAAAAAATTTTAGAATTAAAATAAATTCAGTTAATGAATAGCGACATTGATATATATTTATTTATTTATTTATTTATTTATTTATTTATTTATTTTAAAATTAATATTTCAAAATTGAACATAAATCCTTAGAAATTAACACAAAATTTCGAAATTTAAAAAAAATTTTTGTTTTATCAAGATTTTATGACTTATTTTTCTACTTTCAACAAATTGGTTTTTGTTAATGATAATTTATGGATAATATAAAAATCTTAAAAAAATATTTGTTTCATTTACTAAGAATTTATTTTTTCTAAAAGATAAATTTTCTATTTAATTAGGTTAAGCAAATAATAATTAAATTAATTTTTACTATTGCATGATAAACTTTTGTAATCTTCAAATGTACCACTTCCACAAAGACATGTTGTTCCTTTCAAAACTCTCTAAGAGCTACAAGAGGTGCATATTAAAGGATCTTAAGATGAACAATTATTGCATCTATAAGAGCATTTTGGAGCACATAAACGAACAGACTGAATTTAATTTTCAGAAGAGCTACAATTTGATACACACTATCCTGAATTATTTAGAAAATAACCACTCTAACAAAGAATACACGAATACTACTGTCTTTCTTAGACAAGAGAAAAGCAGTTTGGTATCAGAGAATTAATAGAACTAAATTAATTTGTATAAACAGAACTTTAGCTAAACATTCTCACTTGCGAAAGTTTTCCAGTGCTAGACGCTGGGTTATTTTCACCTCCAATCTAGAAGCTACCACTGGACGTTTCTTAAGAAAAGATATTTAACAAATTTAAAGGGATTCTCTGATTAAAAATTCCATTTATATATAAATCAATATAATAAGGATTGATTTGAAGAATGATATGGTAATACTAATTAGGATTTATTGAGGAAGGCGTACTTAGAATATATTCAATACCTTAATAGAATGCGCTTAATTAATAGGTATTGATACTTTGATTCAATTTTATTTTAATTTAAAATTAATTATTTGGGGAATTATAATTAAGTACCTAAAAAGATTGAACTGTGGAATCAAATTATATCCAAAAACTAAAAATCAGAGACATTACATCGTATGAAGTGCTTTGATTATTAATATTCAAAGAATTATAAAAATTGTCCATAGGTTATCCAAATCTTACATATTACTTAAGAAAATCATATTCCTAATTTTGAGTGAATGTATAAATGAAGTACCCTCCAGCATTCATACTTTCTAAAACTCCGAAGGCTTGCTTGGCAATTGCTTGAATTTAGTTGGAAGAGGAATCAATTAAGCAATTGCAATCTCTTTGTTCGTATGAAAATTTAAAATAAAAGATTTACTAAGCAGAAGGATTAAACCACATTAAAAATTTTTCTTCATTTAAGTTGCTATTATTTGAGTCTCTAGAAAATGCATAGTTTTAAATTATTGATACATCTCCCATCTTTTCACTAGAGTAGATGTAGCCATCTTATGGCTTTTAGGTTTGAATTGCAATCAAATAGGTATTTAAGTTGGTATTTATATATTAAGAGCTACTTTACTTACAGTACTGTAAGCTCCCATCAGAACGTTATAAAGTTAAAGATAGCTAGATTCCACTTGAATTTTGTAAAATGCTAACAACAAACCTGTAGGTAGAACCCTATAAATGTTGTAATTCACAAGTGCATCGAGATGAACCAAGAGACATATCTTACCTTAAGATAAAATGAGTAGAGTTATTTCCAAAGAAAAGCAACTTTTCATAAACATTGGCTTAATTGAAAATTTAAATTTTGCTCTAATAATTGTTAAGATTTGAGGCTGTTTTAGTTTAGATCCAACCTGTAAATGTGACCTATAGATTTGATTTATTGAGCTGAGTAGTGTCAAGGTTGAAAACAGTGATATTATCTATATAATATAATGGTGTGGAACTGTTAATTTAAAGTTCTCCTTTTGAAACAGTCAAAACTTGATTAAGATTTTAAGCGCTAATTAAATAAGTTGCTATCAGCAAAAAATATATTTAAAATATCATTTTTGAGTATTATCAATTTAATTTATTTTTGGTTTAATTGAATTATTTACTTTTATTAGTAAACACACTCTCTCTCTATTTAAATAATTTTTTTTTAATCTGTTTAATTATAAATAAGCAATCTTCATAATTTTTTAGAAAATTGCTTAGTAATAATTTGGAAAACTTCATAAGATTTTTATTATTTATAAGAACTCTTAAGTGAAGTATTTGATTCAAATTTATTTTTACTTTTTATTTTATTTAAAAACTATTTTCTGCTCTCTATCAACTTCTCTAAAATTCAAGCATTATTTCATCCCAAATTTTAGGAAAACATTATAAAAACATTCCTTCAAATTTTAAGGACACCTTAATAAAGCATTCCTTCCATTAAATTTGATTACAGTCCAAGTAAGTAATAGTAATGCTGCACACATAATATACTAATCAAAAATTAATTTTTTTGAAAGTAAGTCAGTCGTATTAAAATCCACTAATTTAGTAAATTAAAGGTAAGAGTGTAATTATTTAGACGAAATCTTTTAATTTTAACTAGAAATAAAATTTGTAATCTGCAAATAAAGGCCGAATTTAAATATCATTAGAATGCAAAACATACAATTTAACACTTCATTTTGATAAAATATAAAAACAAAAAGGCAAGTAGCTTATTTCTTTAAAAATTTTAATGGTTTTGTTTATTTTTTTTGGTTTATTTTAGAACCTTTTTTTAATATGAAAAATATGCAAATAGCATATATATTAAAAGGTTTATTAGTTTAATTTATTTAGTATCTATTTTAATCTATTCACATGATCTAATCTTTATTTTATAATAAAGAAAACAAATAAAGATATTGATTAATTTGTAAAATCAAATAATTTGATTATTAATTTATAATTTTATTCTGATGTTAATTTTATTTCTTATATGATTATAAAGCTTGAATTGAATTTGATCCTGAAAACTCAATAATTAGTTTTTTTATTTTTATGTACTAGTTGGTTTGTAATAAATAGATAATCTTTGTAAATTAATATAATCAAAAATATTTAATAATGATATTTATTTATTGACAATAATACATAAAAGATCATGCTACTTATATTTATAATGTTTTGTAACGAATTTAAATTTAGTATTTTTAAATATCAAAATTATTTGTCTAGTTGAAATATATTAAATTAACTGAAAAAGTAAACAACTTTTTTCGTTATTTTAAATTTGCTTCAAGAAAAAGATAAATTAATTAACTTTGTTTGTTTGTTCTTTTCTAACTTATACCAAAATATTACAAATTAATATACTCTTAGAAAATTATTTTTAAAAAACCTATGTGGCTTGAATTTTGAATTGTTATTCGAATTATCTTTCATGCAGTTGTTTTAATTTTTAAGTTTACTTATTCTATTTTACTTCGATATAAATAGATAAACTATAATAAAAAAACGCTTTCATAATAGAGATTTTATTATATTTTATTTATAATTGATAAATTTTGAAGTTACCTATTCTGAAGCATTCCTAATTTAAATTATAAAAAAAAATGTAAATTAAATTAGTAATAAAAGTGCTGATTAAATTGCGGAAGATGTATAAATTCAGAATATTTTTGGGTAAATACTTCAATTTAATTGAATTCCAATTTTTTATCAAGTACTACTACTTTATTATTTTCTGCTATTAATACAAATCTCTTGTAAATATTTGAAAATTAATTAGTACTTCAGTATCTTCTAGAAATTAATTTACAATCAAGTATTTCTTTTTATATAATAATTACCAATGAAAAATATCGAAATTCACGAAAGTAGTATTTTATATTAATTCAAGTACTATGTCTTATCCACATTACATTAAATTTTTCATTAAGTCAAAGATATAATTATAAAATATTAGCTTTAAAACCTTTTAACTTAATAATTACAATAAAACACTCCTAAAATTTATATTAAGAATTTATAAAATTTAGAAAAAAGACAGACAGACTTTTTCTACGAAAGTATAAATTCAATAAATAAAGTTCCTAAGAATCTTTTTTCTTATTATTTAAAAATTAAAAATATTTTCATTCAACTTATAGAACTTCTTTAATTCTTTCTTTGTATTTTAGATATTTAATTTCTAATTTAATATTCGCAATATTCTAAATTCAATATTATTTTCTAAATATTTGATTTAAAAGCAGATAAAATAATATTATTAATTAAGGTAAATCTTGAAATATTAATACTAAATTTAATTCAAAATCTAACAAATGGATAAAAATCTTTTGCAAAAATAGAAGTTTTTTTAACAATTTATATTTTTTAAAGGTAGAGCTTTGATTTTAAATTTACTGAGATATTAAAGATAAAGCCATTAAATTTATTTATTTTGAATTAATTGTAACAAATTAAAGAATTTAAGATAAAATTTGTGGATTTGTAAATAAGTTTAAAGATAATAATAATAATTACATTAAGAAAAGTGTTTTTAAAAAGACATAAAACTCCTTAAAAAGAAAAAAATAAATGATAGTTCAGTTAAATAAATTGTATGTAACACTCATAGTAATAATAATATCATTTTTTTATAAATTTTAAAAATTTTTATCTGTCAAAAAAGATCTTGAAAAAATTAACCAACTGAGAAATAAATGCAATTTATTTAATTTTTAGGCTATTTATTGTTTTTAATTGAAAAAAGATTGATCTAAAATTTATATTTTATCACATAAATATATTTTTTATTAAAAATAACCCCATAATTTTTTAAATTAGAAAAAAATTAATTTATAATGTAAAATAAATTCAATAAATCAAATCTCATAAAATAATTTTATATTTATTAGGTAAAAATTCGGTTTTTTTATTAAGTTTTGGGTTTATATTAGTTATTTGGTTTATAAAAATTATTATTTTATTTGACATTTTAAAACTTTGATGTAGATAAATTTAATTTAGCAAATTTTGAAAAAAAATTCTGATTATAAAAATAAAATGATATTAATTTTAATGGAAGAAAAGCTAATTTAAAATTTACTACTTATATTGTATTTATTATATTATAAATTTAAAATTAATTTTTAAGCCATTATTACAATATACATACTTAACCTAAATAATATTATACAAAATTATATATTAATTAAAATAAATCAACTTAGTAATTCTTGAATTATGATATTTAACCTGAGAATATTAAAAAGTTTGTAAAAAAAACCTTATTCTACTTTATCATTTTATTTATTCACAATATTTTTGGCTATAAAGCCAAATATAAATGCAGCCGAAGACTGCAAAATGAATATATCTGTTACTAAGAATTGAATATAGGTCAGGAAAAATTTATTTGAGCTTTTAGGATCATCTGCACTTATTATTAATAAAATAACATAGATGTAATAAGCTGCTTATAGAATAGATAAAAATACACCTATTTTCTTGAGGAGGCTATTAGTTGTAAGCAAAAATTCTATAAAAACACTAAATATTAATATTAAAAGAGAGCTTGCTATTGAAATAAATACTTTCTAAACAAAGGTTTTATCAATTCCAAATAATATACTGATTGCCAAACTATTTTAGTATCTTAGATAAAATAAAACATATCTTACAGCTCTTGATATTTCATAATTAAATACTAAAAACACTGATAAAAATTCATGGAAATCAGCATAATATTTCAAGCTACTTATTTTATTAATTTTTTTTTTTATTCTAACATTAAATCATTCTAAATCACCAAAGTATTTGACTTATTATCCTTTCTATATTTTTTACTTTTTTTAATTACAGGGCTATTGCAATTTTGATTTTCTAATTTTTATGCTTGAATTTTATTTATTCATTATCTAAATCATTAAAGCAGTATGACTCTCTATTACTATCTTTATTGTAATTGTTTAGGCTAATTGTTGATAAAAAATTAATTAAACCTGGTGAAGCAATAGAGGGTTCTTTAATTTTTGTTTACATTTTAAAAACTCTGCATAAAAATTTTATTAAGCCTATCTAGTATTTCTTTTACTGAAATTTTTTGCTGATTATCTAATTGTTGTCTAGCTGAAATATTTCGTATATTCCATGTTATCCTGGTTATTTTTGCCTAAACTTATATTTGCATCACTTTCAAATAAATCTGAATGGCTAAAGTCTTCATTATTTATATTTTTATTGTTCTGATTTTAGTCATTTTATTGCTCTTTATTAAAATTTTATTCAGCATTTTAAATCAGCTATATGCCCGTCATAGTTTTAATTTGTTCTCCGTTACTTATGCTTCTCATTAATTCTTCGCTCATAAATTTTTTATTTTATTTATTCTCCTCCTAATCTTGTATTTTAGGTATTTTTTTCATTTTTATTGTTTGTTATTTGTTTTCAATGTTTTATATTAATTCTAATTTATAAATAGTAGAAATATTATTTGGTAAATTTTTCTAAAAATTATTTTTAGGGGTTTCCTTTTCATCGTCTTCTTCTTTTATTGTAAAATTAATATTTGCTTGATCTGTTGGGGAGTTAGGCTTTATTTTATCAAACTAAATCTATTGACTGACAGAATATATTTTAGATTTTCTACTTACTTATTTCGGAATATTGCTATATAAATATTCTGAATCTAATAATTTCAATAAATTATAAAGCAAAAAAATATGAAAGTTTGTATAAAAACGACCCAGAAAACAGAATACTTATAGAAAATAGAGAAATTTTCTATATTACTTACTCCTTTTGAGCTGAATACAGTATCAATATTTTTATTGTTTTCAAAGAGGCTACTAACATCTTATATTACTGTTGTAGGAGTTAAGTCATTACATATACATTATGCTTATTTTTTTTATACATTGATCCTTGTTGAGCATGAAGATTTCGACCAACTTTTATCATTTTATCTATTAAAACAAGTAATGTTTTATGTACCATTTTTATTACTACTATTCAAATCAAAGTAGTGAATGACGCCATTTTGAGGATAATAAGGTAATTTTGTTGCATTATTTTTTATGTTTGGATCAATAACAGGGTACATTTCAGCCTAATTTTTGGTATATTTTAAAATCTGATCAGTATAATTTTTAAAAGATTGATCTTATTAGTAAAAGTTGATATTATATTTATTAAAAAAGCATTATAAATACTTGTTGAATTGTTGAATTGCTATATGAAACTTTAAATATATTAATTATCACTTGTACTGCTTTGACTCTATAAATTTCTTCGAAGCTTGTACTAATCTGAGCCTATTCCTGTAAATAGTAAAAATATTTTTCTCAGTTACCGATTAAGCTGTAATTTAGATATTTTATCCTTTGAAAATAATTGCATTTTCATTAGGAAGAGATTAATAATTTAGTGTATTTCCTATTTGCTGTACTATGTCAATAGCTTAGGTATTTAAAGATGATGTGTTAGCTTAATTAATAGAGCTTAAGATATCTAATAAATTAAAAGTAAGATATAGAATTAACAATTAAAATATTATAAAAATTAATCTATCTAAATTATTTTTGAAATTGATATCAATTTATAAGTGTTTAAGTTTATTAAGTTTTGAAAGATATTCAAAAAAAAAATGTATGATTACTTAGCTTGTAAAATATGGTTTTCTTTTAAATAAATAAAAATAAAACATGATATTAAAAAGAACACATTTTTAATATTAGATTGCATATATTCAGTTTTTATATCTCCATACCCTCAAAAAAATAAAGGTTTAAATCGAATTTTTCAACCTCTCTATATATATATTTTACTAAAAATAATTGTAGAATTTCAAGTTTTTATTTTGCAATTTATGAAAATAAGATATAATTGTTTTTGTTTACATAATAAATCTTATATGATAAAGCATTCATTTGGCAAAAAATGTTTTGATTGCTTAGATTAAAGCTGTAAATCTTAATAAGACAATTTGTCCGAGTGGTTAAGGAGGAAGACTAGAAATCTTTTGGGTTTACCCGCGCAGGTTCGAATCCTGCAGTTGTCGTTTTTTTTAATGTTAAATTATTAAATTTATTTTTAAGAAATTTAGCTTATTTTGAAAAGTTTTTCAAAAATAAAATAAGAAAATTAAGAATATCAGAAAATTACTTAAGTTTTTAAATTTAAAATAGATAGAATTTAATAATATAAAGTTATATTTGATTAATCTTTTATAGAAGATTTGAAAAGGATATTATCTATTTAGAAATTTATTTTTCATGTCATAAATTAATCCTGATAGTATTTATAATTGAAGATTTTAGCTGCACAATAAATAAGAAGTTGAATGATTCAATCAATCAATATATAAACATAAATAAATATATTTATATTAATATGCGCAATAAATTATAAAAAATGTATCATTTCCTAAAAGAATTTCACAATCAAAAAGTAGATAGATGATTATTACGAACGTATTAAAATAAAAATAAATAAAAAGACATTAAGAAGAGTGGGATAGAAAACAAAATAAATAAATAAATTAATAAATAAATAAATATACATATGTTTTTATGTATAGATTGATTGATTAAATGAATGTGTTTTGTGTGAATCAAATAGATTGATCAATGAATTATTAGTAAATTGTTTAGGAAAATAAATAGACTAATTAATTAATTAATTAATAATAATATTGAATATCATTTTAATTTGCAGTAATAAAAGATAAGCAATTAAAACTAAAGTACAAACTAAAAAGAAAGCGAATGTCACAATAAATTACACCTAGTAGAATGTAGCAACCAACATTTATTCAATTATTGATAAATAAATATCTTTCAATTAGCTCAAAATTAGTAAAATAAGTTGGCATATTAAAATAAAAAGCATTTTTTTAACGAAATAGATGCTATTTATTCATATCAATTAATCATTTCGCAGGATTTTTAATTATCCATTTTAATGATCTTCAACTGTTTTCTTAATTTTGAGCCAAAAAAGATATTTTTTTGTGGGAAAAAGCTTAAAAAAGATTTTATTATCAAAAAGGACTCTTGCTATATATAAAGCAAAGACAGTCTCTGCCAAGAAAGGTCACGAATTGCTTAAAAAGAAATGTGATGCTTTGAAGACCAAGTTCAGAGCTATTATGATTGCTCTTTTGGAAAATAAGTTGAAGATGGATGAAGAAATGCAAAAGGCTTTCATCTAATTGGCTGATGCTTATTGGGCTGCCGATTAATTCAAGTAAGATTCTAAATTTATTTATTTTTTATGATAAAATATAAACTTCTTTTGATCCAACAAAATTGGATATCATAATTTACTTAAAAAATAGCACTAATGTTAGAGAATCTGTTAAGAAGGCACTTGTTAGAATTGAATATTCAAGTGAAAATATTGCAGGTGTTATGTTACCAAACTTAAATATTAGAGAAAACATAAAGGACAATGAAGATACTGGTAAAAATTTCTAAAGCATTAACCATATTTTGGTTATTTTTATTAAGCCAAATTAGACAATTAAATAAATCAAGAAAAAGCTTATTTAGGATATTTCCAAAAAATCTAATTATTTTGTTTACTTATAAATATTAGAGGGTAATATGGGTTTGCTTGGTCTTGATAAGGGTGGTTTCTCTATTCAAAAAGCTAAGGAAAGATTCAAAGAAGCTCTCTACCTTCTTGTCAAAGTTGCTTCCCTTTAAGTAATTTAGAGTTAAAATTTGTATGACAAAAAAGAAAAATATTTTGTTTTTCTTTAAACAATTAAATAAAATTAATTTTAAATTAAATAAATTAACTTATTTAATAAAATATACTAGACATCTTTCATAACTTTAGATGAAGTTATTAAGGTAACAAACAGAAGAGTCAATGCCTTAGAACACGTCGTTATTCCAAGATTTATGGAAGTTTAAGCTTATATTAATTAAGAACTTGACGAAATGTCAAGAGAAGATTTCTTCAGGTAAAAAAATTAAAAAATTAATAATTAATTAACTAATTTTATAATAACTAGACTTAAGAAGGTGTTGGATTTCAAGAGAAAGGTTATTGCTGAAGAAGAAAAAGAAACTGCAGCTAAAGAAGCTGAACTCCGTGCTAAGGGTGTTAAGAACATTGGTGGTGATCTCCTTAACGAAGAAGCTGATGAGGATATAGTTGTTTGAAAATATCTAAACTATTAATAAATATAAATACATAAAAATCATTTTGAAAACGAAATTTCTTTTGTAATTAATATAAATAACTTAGTGTTTGTTTGTTTATCTTCCTTGTTAAATTTATTTTTTAATATTTCTTAAAATTTACATTTAATTTTATAGTCATGTTTGTTTGTATTCATAATTTTATAATTAATATCTTATTTTACAATGTAAATTTATACATTTAAAATAATATAAATATTTAAGGCTATGTAAAACATGCAACAAAAAATGATTTTTTTTTTTAATTTAATAAATAAAAAAAGGAGTTGAAGTTATTGATAAATAAGCATTTGTAATAGGGTTTGTAACATACATTTAATAATATTATTAGTATTTGTTTCATGAATAATAGATATCTTATCTTAAAATATAAATTATGCATTTTAATTCTGTAAAATAATATAAATATTCAAACCTTGCAATACATGCAATTGTAAAAGATTTTTTTTAATAGAATAAATAGATAAAGGAGTTGAAGCTATTTATAAATAAACTTTCATAATAGTATTTGTAGCAAACATACAATAATAATATTATTATTAATATATTCATGAATTATAGATATTTTATTATATACCGTAAATTCTCCTTAATTAAGACACTCGACTTTTAAATGTTTGATTGAAAAATGGTGTCTTTTTAAAATTTTTGAATTTTAGTGTCTTAATTAAAAAGTGTCTTAATTAAGGAGAATCTACGGTATATTTTAATTAGGTAAAATAATATAAATATTCAAGGTATTGCAAAACATGCAATTATAAATAATTTTTATTTACTTCAGTTGAACAAATAAAAAAGGAGTTAAAGTTATTGATGAATAAGGATTTATAGAAATGTACAATTAATTATTGTTAATATAATCATTAAAACTTAATTTATATTAAGTATTTTAAAATTTAATTTTAAGTTTTTTTATTTATCAACTGAATGAATTGAATATTTAAATAAATAAATTATTCATTATATAATCTTATAGTTAGAATTAGATAAATAAATCAGTATGTAATATATATAATTAGAGAAACATACAAAAATTAATATCAAATATTTAATTTTTAAATTCTAATAAGTAATTTATTAATTGTATCATTCATTTTCATTCATTAAATTATTGTATAAATCTTTGTTTGCTTTTAAGTTAGCATTTTTAATACTTTGATCCCTATTATTTATTTATTGATTGATATTTTAATAAAAATAAATATAAGAATTTGTTTTGAAACTAAATGATAAATAAAATTGTAAATTTATAAAATATTATTCAATAAAAAATTCATTTTGAATATATTTATTTACTCTTTAACTAATTTATTGCTCAATCTTTAGTTTCTCTTCTTTTGAGTGTCAAATTCATAATGCTAAATTTAAGCTCTATTATAAATTAAAAATCATATATTAATTCATTCATTGGCACAAAGCAATTGAAATTTATAAATTAATTACCTTATTTTTCTTCCATAAAGTGTTTCTTCATCAAAATATCTTTGGAATTTAGATGCTTCTTCAGCTTTAGAGAATTTTACTATACAATATCCTTTATTTGTCTATCCATTGATTGCTAGTGGCATATCTACATAAATAACCTCACCAAAATCTTAGGCTAAAGCAAAGATTTCTTCTGAAGTAGCATCGAAAGGTAAATTTGCCAAGTAAACTTCCTTCATGCTTCTATCAAACTGTAATCGGGTTTTCTTAGTTTTTAGCTCAAATGGCTTCATAATTATTCTTTATAAAATATCTGTTGTTTCTATAAAACTATCACTATACTTTTTAAGATAGTCATCACATATTTTAGAATTATTAAATTTAATAAGAGCTCTACCTGTATAGCCACCTATTCTATTCTTTAAAAGTTTTATTTCTGAAATATTTTTCCCGCTAGGATCAAAGTATTGCATCAACTTCTACTCATTCCAATCGTTGGGAAGAGCATGGCAATACACCATATTCTTATGTGTATTTTAAACTGAATTGTGTTTCTCTACTTCAGAAATATGTTTCTACTAATTGGCTTATTCATTTAATTCATTATTCTACTTTTGAGTTTTATTGTAATTTATATCTTTAAGTATATTATTCTACAACAAATTAGCTGAAGAAGACATTTTATATTAATTTTTAAAAATGAGCTATCCTTTATTAATGAAAAGCTGTATTCCTTATCTTAAAAACATTTTCATTTTTCCCAAAAAAAGCTTTAATTAACTATTAAAGATATTTTAATACTTATTTATCTTTTTAACAATAAATAATTAATTCTAGAAATTTGAATACAAATGCTGGTCTACTTATGTATTTATTTATTTAATTATTTTATTAGGTTTAAAATATGATATAAAATTAAAATTATTTATCCAAAAATAAATAAATATATTTTTTTAATTCCTTAATTAATTTTAAAATATTTACTAATATAATAAATATTGTTTTCAATTTAATAATGAACTAATTCTGATTATTATTTTGTAAAATGAGATATAAAATTTCATTAGATTAATTATTTTGAAGCTATATATATATATTAAAAATTATAATTATGTTAGTTAATTAGAATCATTTTTTAAACTTACAAATAATACCAGCCAGTTAAGCTTAAAATATTTTTTCATATTTATCCAACCAAATTAGAATAATTTACATTTGTAGTTTATTAATTTACATAATAGTAAAAAATAAAATTTATTTTAAAATTTACTATATATTTATTCAATAAAATATTTAATATAAAAAAATATAATAAAAACAATGAAAAAATTTTAAATAAAATTATTAATTTAAAAAGATATAAATAAAGTTTTATCAATTTTAAGCAAAAAAATTATTTTTAATTTAAAATAATTTAGGATAAATAAAATTATAAAAATAAAAGTAGTTAGTTAGCAGGTTAGCAAACTTGGTATATAATTAGTTAAAAATTAGCTATATTTATATACTTGGTTAATTCTTTATGAATATAAATTACAAAAAGTAATTAAAACTTTATAAATTCTAAGATATTTTGCGCTAAATATTATAAAAATTTCAAATTAGAAAAATCTGATATTGCTTAATTGATAAAGTTAATTGTTATAAGATAATTATACAAACAATTAATTCAAATATTTGTTTTCATATAGAAGAAGTTCAGTAATGAATTTTTAAGAAGAAAATGAATCAAATTCAGACATTATTGATAAAACAAACAAAGAAAGTATTGATTTACTTAAATAGTTTGGGATGATAGACGATGAAGGGAATAGAGTTAATAAAAATCACTTAATTTGTCAAGAGCATAAAAGGAAAATAGAATTTGTTTAATTTTTAGATGTTTCTTAATCATATAAGTTTATGTGTTCAAAATGCTTTTAAGATCACCCTAATAAAGAAAGAGGAATTTTAACACTTGATGAATATATTGATTGCATGATAGAAATGGAGAAAAGACTTCTTGCTGAACGACAGCAAGTAGTGAATGAAAGAGCAAATCAGTTGAGAAGGGCAATTAAAAAAATTGAAAATTCTCTATAAAATATGGAAAGAGAAGAATTAGATGATATAGAAAAATAAATAAATAGCATTTAAATTAAATTTAATGATAAAAACAAATTAGAAGTGTTGGAAAAGAGCAATCAAGCCAATATTTAGCAAAGAATTTAAAAGGATTTGCTAGAAAAAGAATGCTAGTTTATAAAAATGTAAGAGAAAACTTAACATACTTTATAACTCATTCAACAATCAGAGTACGACTTATCAAATCTATAAGGAATTATAATATATTAGGATAATCTGTTTGAAATAGCTTAGAGGTAATAAAAGTTGATGAAAGATAGGTAGATGAATAACGAATAAGAAAATAGTTTAAATATTAATTAAGATGATGAAGAAGAAGCCCAACCAGAACTAGATGCTGGCATATTTTACTCTTCTTTTTTATCTGATTTAGAAAATGGCAAAGTAATAGTTTCTTTTGTTAAGCTTTCAAGCAATTTAATTGTTTTCAGCAATAATAAAACAATTTACTACTATGACTTAGCCAAAAAATAAATAGTTAATTAGCTTTAGTTTAAGGGAAATGTCTTTATTATGAAACTTGATAAAATTTCTGAGAATAAAATAGCTTTACTGCTTTACACTGAATTAAGAGACACAAATTTACCTGGCGTAATTGTATTTGACTTTGAAATCTATGTAATTGAAAGGGTATTTGACAATTTAAGAAAAGAAAGAATAAATATTCCAGATAAATTTTAAGTCTACAAAGATATCTTTTGTGTAAAAAATTCGTCATTGCTCGTCGTAGTTTTAGAAGATGCAAGTTTAATTATTTTAAACACTAAGAATAGCAAACTAGTAGCTTAATTCAAAGGAAATATAGATCAGACCTTATTTCCTTTTTAGGGCATAGTGAGTTGCACAATGCTCTATAATTTTACTCTAGATAATATTTTTTACAAATCTATTATTGTACTCAACCTTATTGATGGAACCTATGGCTTTTGGGATTATGCCTCGAATAAATTTATTTAAAAGAATTTTTATCAAAGCGTGGTTTAAAAAATGTACACCTAATGTGTAGCTTTAAATATAAATGAGGCTTTTAGTACCTAAATGAGATTAAGAAACCCTAAAGATTAAAGTAAATAACAATATTTAATGATGATATCAGGAAAGCATAATGAGACATTTTTTTAGAGAGATTATGATGGACAAATTGAAATAAAACTAAATTTCTAAATGCTTTAACACTTCGATTTGTTTTATAATAAATCAGCTGTGCCGTTTTATAACTAAAATACAATTTTTTTCTATGATTTTATAGATAAAAAAAGGTTAAAAACTATTCCTATATCTTGCCAAACTTTGTAGGGGCAATAGCAAGCTTAAAATCACTTTGAAATTTATTTAAATTATCCGAATATTTCGTTCTAAATATAATATGATTTTTAGATTTTAACATCATAGAATATTAGATATTAAGCTTTTTAAACAAATAATTAACAATAAAATTCTTTAAATTTGACAAGAAGAACTAGCAGCATGCAAAGTGAATTTAACAATCAAAATGTTTAGACTTTGTTTTCATCATAAAATTTATCCAACTAGAATAGACCAAGTAGTCAACAGAACAATATTTCATAATAAAATAACTCTTTTTCTCAAACATGGGATTAACAGCTCTAAATATTTTAACAGAGTCAAAGAAACATAAGTTAAACTCCATTTTACCAAAATAATAGATAAAATTCAAACTATTTAAACAACACAAGGTCTTTTGATAGTAATTTATTCTAAGTTATGAACTAACAAACTAACTAAAATAATCAATAAAGTAATGTATCAAGTGAAAATTAAGAATTTAAAGTAAATAACACAATTAAAAATAAACAAATGGATGTATGTCCTGTTGCAATAATAAACTGCTTTGAATATATCATTTTAATATTTCCTAATGGAACAATCTAATATATTAGATGAATTCTAAATTAATTTAAAAAATTATTCTTAAATACTGTAAAATTAACAAAAATGTATAATTTCTTTTTATATTTTATCAATTTGTAATTGATCTTATTTAAATTAAGAAAAAAATTATTTTCTAAATTATCTTTTAATATAAATAAAAACGTTTTCCGCAAATTGAAATAAAAATCAAAATAAAATAATTAATTTCAAAATAGCTTAATTAAATTTGAATTTATTTATTAAAATTTAATAACCAACTCAAAATTATTATTTTTAAACTAATTTTTTGTTTTTTAAATCAAAAAAAATAGTATTTACTTATTTATTTATCATCTTAAATATGATAAAGAAGATAGAATAAATTAAATAAATAACTTGAAGATTTTAAGAGAGATAAATTAGCTCAAATCTAAGCTTTATGTTGAAATTATACAGATTCTTAATGAAACTATCAAAATTTCTCCTTTAACTGATCAAAAATATTTATAGAAACAACAAAATAAATTATATAAAGTGTAGTTAAAAGAAATAAAATCAAATAGCATTTTGATTTAATATTTTACCCTTTATTTTAAGACTGAAAAGATATTTAAGAATAGTTGAAATTTTTAATTTGAGTTTCTTTGTATCTAACTTCAAATTAAAATAAGACAGAAATAAATGAAAAAAATAAGTTGCATAATAAATTCTTTGCTAGTTTTGCTTAGAATTTTGCTTAAATTATCCTAGCTTGTCTCCTACTATCTTCTATTCTAAAAATAGTTTTATGTTTCTTTGTTTATTTAAGTAATCTTAAAACTATACGGAAGTCTTATTTTACCAGTTGTTGATATCTTTTTTGTAAACTTTAACAGATAATTCACTTTACAAAGATTATTATGGGAATTTTTTTACTTCATCCCAGAAGGTGATTTAGAGTAGTTAACTATAAATGTTATTGGAGTTAATATAGGCACTAAACTTTTTATTCATGCAATTTCCTTTTTTTGGAATTTGGTTTTCAGCATATTTTATGAGTCTAACATTTTCTGGATTATAACTTTTATTCTGAACTCAATTCTACTATAGTTTTTGATTAATTGTTCGGATATTGGCTAAAAGGTAGGCGTTATAGATTTAAAATATAGTTTTATAAGGAATTTATGCCTCAGCTATTTATTGATTTTTGTCTCATAGTTATACGGAATGATATTTTGTATTTCTATAATACTAGCTTGGGTGATATTCTTTAAGTTGAAATTACATTAAACTAAATACTTTAATTAATTCTATGAGACATATGAAGGAGAAATGAAATAAATAGATGCAGTTTATTTTTAAATATTTAGTCTGCATTTAGGATTTTAAAGATAGTTTGATTAACAGTTAAGCTAAGGGGAAAATATTAGGGAGAACGAAGTAAGGAACTTGCATTTCTTTTTATAAAATACATTTATAATAATAGCAATGCTATTTGATTTTTTGGTTGTTAATTAAGGTAGATTTAATAATCTTAGAAATACCCTTTATCTACAAATCTTATTTTTGCTAAATTCTTACTCCTGTTCTATAATTTGGGTAACTAAATATTTTAAATATGGTCCTCAATCAAGATAAATAGTTATTAATGAACTCAACAGTGAAAATTTATAATATAAACAAATCATAGAAGAATAATTCAAAATATTGCCTTATGAGTAGTTTATCTATATAAAAATTGAACAAAAAAGCTACAGCTTTTATAAATAATTGCTTATATTTTTACTTCAACAAAATAAAAAAATTGTAAATATAATCTTCAAAGTTTCTCGCAGGAATAATATGTTTACCAAAAATGGTAATAGTAAAATAATTGAGATATAAGCTCTTGATATCCCTTTTGCAATTGTGAGTTTGAAAGTTTTAATAGAAAATTTATATTGTTTGTATAATCATAAACTTTATTTTTTCTGTCATGAAGATACTAAAAAATGTAGGCTAATTTTTCAGAATTTAGCAGAAGAATATAGATTACTGGCATATTTGTAGTGGAATGAATGGTTAAAAAGTAGTAATTTAAATTAATTTAGGTAATAAGTTTTATAGATACATGCTTTTAACAAGTATGTCTATTCTGATATGATGCTTTCACCATAATAAATTCTATACGACTTGTTTGATTGATTGATTGATGGAAACTGTAAGTTCTCTTTAATAAACCTCAATTTAATTAAATTAAAATTATTTTAAAAATTGTAATGTTCAAAAAATTAACACCAACATTGAGATTAACATTTTTCATTTGAGATGGAGTTAATTTAGTATTGTCTCATAATTAGCATAAATGAAAAAAACTATTTTTGAGCTTATTTTAACTAAATAAAGTGAATTTATATATTGTTTATGTTTTTTGTACATTTTTTAAAACTAATTTTGCAATAATTTCTTCAAAATTATAAATGATAATGTAAGCTAATTACACTTTCTTTATTTAAAAAATCTCTCTAAAAAAAAGAAAAAGTAAAATTCCTCAAAAATGAAGCCTACTTACTTGCAAATTCTTCCTCAAGAAATAATTCAATAAAGTAGAGGAAAACAAATTCTCTGTTGTAATAACCAAAACCTTTACTGCACAAAAAGTAGATTTCCTATTACAAATGTAATATGATAACAACTTCGTCAAAATAGAAGCCATTTTCTCTTTAGATGAATTTGAATTCATATAATAATTACTCCAAAAGATGATATACCATAGTTTCTCATATATAAAGGACATATTCAGATAAAAACTTTTGATCAAATTTAGTCCTTGTATGAGAAATTTGTATTTAATTTAAAATAATTTAAGCTAAATAAAATTATACAAATTAAAGTAGTTTGTTAGCAGAATAGCATACATAATTATATAGTTAAAAATTAGCTTTATGTATACTTGGTTACCTCTACTAATGTAAATTTCAAAAAGTAATTAAAATTGTATAAATTCTAAGATATTTTGCTCTTAAATATTATTAAATATTATAAAAATTTTTTCAAATTAGAAAAATCTGATATAATATTTATGCAAACAAATATATAATAAATGAGTAATTAAAAGAAATCAAATCAAACATTGTTGATTTTAATACATTACCGTTTATTTTACAAATGAATAAATATTAAAGAAAAGTTGAAATTTTTAATTAGAGTGCTTTAAAATACAAATCAAAATAAGATAGAAATAGTCTAAATGAAATAAATAAGTTGCTAAAAAAAATTTTTGCTAGTTTTTCTAAGAATTTTGCTTAAATGTGTATGGCTTATCTCCTGCTTTGCTCTATTTTAAAAATAGTTTTATGTTTCTTTTTATATTTAAGTAGTCTTAAAGCTCTTTGGAAACCTACTTTTACCAATTATTGATATCTTTATTGTTAACTTCAACAGATAATTCATTTTACAAAGATTATTATGGGATTTTTTTTACTACATCCCAAATTATGATTCAGAAAAGTTAGCTGCAAATGTTGTTGGAGTTAATTCAGGTACTAAACTGTTTATTCATGCTATCTCTTTTTTTTCGTTTTTATATTTTAGCATATTTTATGAGTCTAACCTTTTCTGGATTACAACATTTATTCTGAATTCAATGTTTCTATAGTTTTTGATGAATTTTTTAGATTTTGGCAATAAGGTAGGTATAATAGATTTAAAATATAGCTTTATAAAGAATCTATGCATCAGCTATATTTTGATTTTTATTTCATACTTATAAGGACAGATATTTTGTATTTCTATAATACTGGCTTGGGTGATATTCTTTAAGTTGAAATTACATTAAACTAAATATTTTAATTAATACTATGAAACATATGAAGGAGAAATGAAAGAAAAATATGCAGCTTATTTTTAAATATCTCACCTGCATTTAGGATTTTAAATATAATTTGATTAAGAGTTAAACTAAGGAGAAAATATTAGGGAGAACGAAGTAAGTAACTTGCATTTCTTTTTATAAAATACATTTATAATTATAGCAACGCTGTTTGATCTTTTGTTTATAAATTAAGGCAGATTTAATAATCTTAGAAATGCCCTTTATCTACAAATCTTATTTTTAATAAATTCTTACTATCGTTCTATAATTTGGGTAACTAAATATTTTAAATACGGTCCCTAATCAAGATAAATAGTTATAAATGATTTCAACTCTGAGGATTTATAATATAAACAAATAATAGAAGAAAAATTCAAGATATTGCCATAAGAGTAGTTTATTTATTTAAAAATATAACAAAAAAGCTATATTTTTTATAAAGATCTACTTATATTTTTACTTCAACAAAATAAAAAAATCATAAGCATAATTTTCAAAACTTCTCATAGGAATAATATGTTTATTAAAAATAGCAAAAGTAGAATAATAGAGATATAAGCTATTGATATCCCTTTTGCAGTTGTGAGTTTAAAAATTTTAAGAAAAAACTTATAGTGTTTGTATAAGGGCTTTATTTGGAATAAATCAATTTAATTTTTAGATAGTATTATTATAAAATAATTAAGGTATATTAAATTTATGATTTTTTTAATTTATAAATAAATGTTTTTTGTATAATTTTGAAATAAAATAAAAATTATTTTCATTAAATATAAATCAGCTTTACATTCACAAATATTAAGTAAGTAATTACATATATTAAAATTTAATTAAATAAAATTTTATATTCTAAATTTAAAATAAATTGATGAAGTAATAGAAATTATTAAATTAAATTATTTTTAAAATTAATAAAAAATGAATATTTTTTTCTTTAAATTTTAAGCTAAAAAAAATCATTTAAAAATTTTATTAATTTATTTATTTTATTAAATTTTTAATAAATGATGACTGATTTATGCATTCATTTAATATAAAAAATACAATTTCAATAAAAATAATCATCGTCATCTACTTCATCATATAAACTTCCATCATCGTTATCATCCTAATTTACGCCATCTTCTAAAATTTAGTTTTATTCATCAGATTTATTTTCATCCAATTCCTACTCTTTATACATAGGTTTAGAAAACTCCTTTGCCCAATCTATATTTTTTTCTTAATCCCCAAATAATTCATTTTCTAATAGTACTCTCTCGTTGACTGAATATACCTAGCTTGTTTCTGCAATATCAGCTCTGATTTATTAAAATCTCTCCTAGTTATACTAAATATATGTATGTTTAAATAATTAATGTGTTATATCTCAATAAAATAAATAAACTTTACTTATTCTGAGTATTAAAAGCCATTAGACTTATCAATCTGATAAACTAAACTTGAAACAAGCAACTTATTTTCAATCGAAAGAGGAATAAATGAAATAAGTTTAAATTCATCTATAAGTCTAGCTAGTCTCCTATCTAATCTATAATTTTTTTTTTCAAAATTACTCAAACTCTTTTTATAACTAATAGAATCATATTTATATGCAAGTGAAACTCCGTAGCCATCTAAATAATGATCTAAAGACATTTTAGGCTTTCCATACTCCTTCATTAGATCTATTTTGCTTAAAACCTATTTATTTAAAGTCAATTCTTAATTTTTTTTCTTAAAAATAGCATTATAGCAAATACATTTATATGAGGCATTTCTAAATTGAGATACGATACTAAAGCTTGCAATGTTAAACTGACATAATTTGAATAGTCGTAGCAATAAGTGCTATCAAACAATTCAACAATAGTAAATTCAGCTTCAAAGATGTCATTCTTTTTTAATTTTTCTATGATATTCTTAACATGATCACTTGCCATATACAATTCTATCTATCCTGTTTATTATAAATAATTTTATATTTCTACTTAGCATGACTTTATAAATAATTTTGTAGATTTATGTCTACTTTACCTGGTAAATCAAATATCAAGTATTTTCCTTTAAGCTTAGCTATTCTTTCTTTTAGCCAGTCAATATTATCTTCGATAAATTTCATACAATAAATCAAGCCTCCATTGGGTCTAATATTTTTTTGCAATTTTAAAAAATTAGCCAAATTAGCTTTAAATTTAATAATATGTTCCTAATAATAAAATATGTAATTTCTATACCCTAAATTAAGCTCTTCCATAACATCTTCTAGATTAATAAGATCTTTGATGTCTACAGCATACTATTCAATTAAAAAATATCATTTTAAATTTAATTTTGCTTTGCTAATTTAATTTCTTATACTTAATATTTCATTGTTTCATTAGCAGGATCTAAATTAATAATTGCATGATCTCTTTCTAATAGTTTGTAAAATTGCTGCAAGCCAGTGCATAAGGTTGTTTTTCCAGATCCACTAGGTCCAATTACAAGTGCTCCGTAAAATTCCAACAAATTAGGAACATCTTCTAATTTAAACTCTTGATTTTGAGTCTTTTATTAATTGCTATCTTTACTCATATCTAATTTCTCACTAAAAAATATAGCTTAATTACACTGAAAGTATCTATTTAGAATAATAAAATCTAAATTATTAACAAAACATCAGCAAAAGAGATCAAAGATTTTTCTTTAAAATTCAACCTTAATTTTTGAATATATCTAAATCTACTTACAATTATATTTTATTTTAACAATATTAATTTTATTATTTTAATTTTTTTATTAGAGATATTACTCTTTAATTACAATAAAATGCACAACTAGCAATAATTCTTACTTATTAAATAAAAATAAAATAATAAATTATTTAATTCAAGAAATTGTATCTCAAAATATTTTGAGAATAAACAGATATCATTTTCAAATTATTTTTTCTATTTATTTGTTTTATTTAACTTAACTTTTAAAGAAAATATTTTTAAATTTTTAAAAATTAAAACACTTTGAAAAATTACATCAAAATTTAATTATTTATTCTATTAAAAAATATTTATTCAAAATTTTAAAGTATTTATTTTAAAATATGATAAATTTTTGATCAAATTTTAATAATAATTATTATTGTAGACGATTATTTTTTTCTTTCTAAATGCTATGACTGGTAGTTTCTTACAAGAAAATCAAAGAATCGCGCGTATAAATTATTCACAGATTTTAATAGAATTTTAATATTTATATCAAGAAAAATAATTAGTTAAGATATTGCAATTAAGAATTCAACTTTCAAAAGTAAATAGAAATAACTTTATTATAATTTAAAATTGCAAAGATTTTAGGAAGAAGAATCCTAAATAGAGGAGAAATTAGGATTAATTAAGATTATTGAAATGAAGAGAAAGAGTGATATGGTAAACGAACTTTCAGATGACGAAGAGAGAATTTGTTAGTTAGTTGCTGAGTATGAAAGATAGGAATAATAATCTTAAAAAAAACCATTAAAAGGTTAATTTTATTTGTAAAAAATGATGAAAAAAAATGATAACAGCGAAGGCTAAAGAAAAATAAATGAAATGCCTCCAGTTTAAAATCAAATGATAATGAGAGGAGCTAGCATGAATCATAAGCGTTTTTAAATTATTGAGTTTCAAGATGCTCTAGTTTTGAAGATTTTGATCAATCAGAATTCCGAAATGCTTAGAAAATTTTGTTCATAAAAAAATATGAATTTCAGAATCCGCCGAGACAAGAAAGTAATTTTTAACTTAGCAATTCATTCAAACTTAATTCATTTTGATATGTGAAATAAAAACTTATAATTGTTTTATATCATAAAAAGCCAGCCTATATTGAAGTTTTTGGGAACAATTAATAAGATATGGATGAAAGAGACTTAGAAGAGTTCACAAATTTAGTAATGAGCTGCAAAGTTAGTATACGAAGTGAAATAAAGGAAATAGAATTAAAGTGTAACTCTGATGAGTATGCTTATATAAACAAAAAATTAGATGATTACATAGAATAGCTTAATTATACTGAAGTTAAATTTTTAGATCCTGAAGGCAATTAGGATGAAATAAATCCTGAAATAGTATATAATCCTGACTTAATAAGATCTTATTTAGTAAAGTTTTATAGTATTTATTTCTGCAAATATCTAAATATTTTTTATTATTCAAATACTTAGATCAATTAAAAATTTATATTGAAGCTGTCCAAGATTGAGAAGCCTTAATTATTAGGCTTTCATAATATAGATTTATTCTTAGTCAATATTGAATCTGATGGAATTTACACTGATCCTTTTGGATACGAATTGATTAACAAAAATAAATCAATCAAAGATTTAATCAAAAAAAACAAGGATAAACTCTCTTAGGAAGATATTATCTATGATCAAATTTTTAAATATGACAACAAGGTATATATTATTTAGTTATTTATTTTATTATTTTATCAATCCAAATTATTTTGAATTTGCTTGTTGTTAACTAAATATTTTATTTTTTTAATTTTTAGGAAGTCAACTTAATCATTTAGACATCAAAATCTCAAGAAAAATGCATTGAAAATTTAAAGAATCTTTTTTAAAAAATTGATAAACAAGAACTGTATAACAAAGGCTTTTTAAATATTTGCATCAGTTTGAACTTAAATTGTGGAAAGAAGTACATGCAAGAAATTCTTAAATATCTCAATAAAGTTTCTGATGAAGACACCTATCTTTCATTTCCAAGTGAGATTAATTTGTTTATGTCTGAGGAAAGAGAATCAACGATATCTTCTTACTTAAGTGATGTCATCAAAAACAAGAATATTAACCCTGATAAAGTAAAAAAAGGAGGTTAATGGTCTTATGCAATTTGTTATTATGGATAAAATAGAAATTAAAATTACTTTTTTAACTTTAATGCTAATTTATACCAAAATACACCTACTACTAATTTTAAAGAAAATCCTTCTATCGCCATTGAAAGAGCTTTTCTCAGAGATGAGAAAAAAGTTTATATTGCTACTGAACAACTAGCTTAAAATGTAAATAAATACTTTTAACTAACATCTTTTTAAAATGTTAATATTTCCAAAATATTTTAAAAAATAGCCTAATTAAAACCTATTTGGTGGTTATTACAAGAAAGGAAAAAAAATCAACAAAAATAACGAAGTTGAAGAAGATATGGTTGAAGATGTTGAAGTAAATTTTGAAAATATGACAGAAACTTTTCTTTCTAGTAAACTTGAGAGACCCATATCACAGGATCCTAAAAGAAAGCAAAAGTGGTAATACATAGACACTATCACTTAGGAATTTGCAGATTTCGAAGATGAATTATGCAAGGTTTTCAAGTCATGTTAAGAAAATGGTCAAAAAACATTCATTTACCAGAGGAATATTATGGATTTTAATCTTTCCTCTCATATAATGAAATGTGACATTAGTAAGAGCATGATGACTGATTTGAAAACAGGTACTTATTTTTTTATAGTTTTTATTTTTTTACAGAAAATTTAGTTTAGATTTTAGTCATAAAATGTTTGCTAAATCTTAAATTTGTAGAATTTTTTTTTAAATTAAATTAGGAGTTAATTTTATTTTTTAAATTTTACAAGCAAAATGTTAATTTAATAAATCTAATTTAAAAAATATGTAAATTTAAAGGTGATGTTTTTTTCATAAAGAGAGAAGAGAACTCCAAGTTTAATTATCTAGTTGAAGAAGCAGATCCTTCTGCACAATCAGAGCGTATTGACGTACAAGAATAAAAAAAATAAGTGAACAAAAAAGATAGAGCTAAAGAAAAATAAGAATAATAAGAATTAGAAGAAAAGAAAAAGCTTGGTCCCTAACTGAAAATAAGGGGACTAAAAGATGGTATAGAAATCGTCAAAAACATTTGTGAAAAAATGAAAAAAGATAAAAGATCAGTTCATATCATTAAATTAGAAAGGAAAATACCTAAAAATAACATAAAATTTTTAGAGGAAATATCTTTGTAAAATAATATTGAGATGGAGTATGACGAGAAGAGGGAAGAGTTAATTTTGAAAGGCTACAAAAAGACTATAAACAGACTTAGAAACTAATTTATAAAAGGTAAAAAATTGCTTTTAATTTTTCTGGATTTCACATATTTTATATATAATCTTTTTAGGTTTAAGCATTAAGTTTGATGATTTTACAGTACCTGATGACTGGGAATCTCAAGATTAAGATGTGGAAGTTTTTGATGTGAAACTTGATAGTGATTATGCAAAAAATATAATGAAAATAGTCAAAAAATCTATACCAAATGCCAAGTTTCATAAGTTAGAAAGAATCTAAAACTTAAAGTTATGGAAGAATTTCTGTTTTGAGAGAAAAAAGCTTGAAGAAAAAGGTGATGCTACAGAAAAGTGGCTATTCCATGGAACCAGAAATACTGATCCTTCAGTTATATACAAAGGTACTTCATTAAATTATATAAATACTTATAAAATATACTCATCTGTAAAAATTAGGCAGTGAAGAAGGTTTCGATTTTAGAGTGTGCTCAGGAGGTATGTATGGCAGAGGTACATACTTCCATGATATGGCAAGTTATTCTTATGGTTTTGGTCATAACAAAGGAGGAAAAATATAACTCTTCTGTGCAAAGGTTTTGATCGGAAAATGCTACGCAACAGGACCTAATGGAAATTTGACCGCTCCTCCATTTATTGCTGGATCGAAAAGTATTCGTTATGATTCCATCCGCTCAAATAATGCAATAGGATAAAATGAATATGTTATCTTCAACAATAGCAAAGCATACCCTTATTATTTAATAACAATGACTAACTAAGGAGGTGTAGGAAACAATCTAATGTTTAACAATATCAATAACGCCAATTACTATAGTGAAGAAGACGAAGAAGAAGACCCTGATTTCTATGATGAAGAAGAAGAGGATTATTGAGTTTATAACATCATCTTAAAGAATTTTATCTTATCCATAGTTTAAGATAGAAATGTGATTATATTAACTAATGAAATTTCGAAATAAAACAAATAAATAAAATTTATTTGAACTACTATGAATAAAATTAATAAATTAATAAATAAATTACTTTGATACTAATTAATTAAAAAAATTATAAAACAAATCTAACTTGTAATCAAATTATATATTTTTGCTTCTTTCTAATTTTATGTACACACATTTTAAGATAAGCAAATTTCAGCCAAACATATGTCTTAATTACCAAATTACTAATTTAATTTGATATTATTATTTATATAATTAGTCTTTCAAAGAATTTTACAGAAACACTAAAAGTAGATTCATTATAAATATCAGAATTTTTCTTTTTCAATAGATTTATTATATACTTGATCTTTATAAAATATAGAAGTAATAATAATTAGGGTTAATTAAAATGAGATAAACCAAAAAATCTGGGATTGTTAAAGAAATTACCAAGCAAACTCCAATAGTTTCTTACACGTCACAAGCTAGAGTAGGAAGACCTGCACCTTAGTTTTGTGCAATGGCATATGATTAGGGCAATTTTAGATAAATAAGATTGGATGACTATTTAGGATAATATGTTTTGCTATTTTTTTATCCATTTGATTTTACCTTTGTATGTCCTACTGAGATAATTTCTTTTTCTGATGCATAACCACTTTTCAAAAAAATAAATTGCCAAGTCTTGGGTTGTTCTATTGACTCTCATTTTGTTCATTCAGAATGGGTTTAAACTCCTAAAAAGAGAGGTAATTCTATTTTTTTGAGGACTTTACATTAAATATATAAAAAATAAATTAGGAGGATTAGGAAGTATAAATATTCCATTACTATCAGATATGAATAAGTAGATGTCAAAAGATTATGGAGTATTAATAGATGATGGTGATAATAGAGGAGCAGCGTATAGAGGAACATTTATTATAGATAAAAAAGGAATAATTAGGCATTTATCTATTAATGATTTGCCTGTAGGAAGAAATATTGATGAATATTTAAGATTAGTTGAAGCATTTTAATTTACAGATGAGCACGGAGAAGTTTGTCCTGCAAAGTGGAGGCCAGGTGGCAAAGGAATGGTACCAAACCATTAGTCTGAAAAGCTTAAAGAATTTTGGGAAAAAGAATTTGACAAGAAATGAAAAAATAAATAATAAAAAATAGCCTATTTTCAATTAAAAGATTTGGGAATATAAGCAGAATACGTTTATGTTCTACTAAAGTAACACAAAATGTTAATAAAATGAATATATACAAGCAAACAAACATTTACATTAAAAATAAAAAATTTTGAACACTAGCTACTTACTAACTTATTATTTATATTTTATAACTAAAATATTTAATTTTGTGATTTATATTTATTGAAAACAATTATAATTAATTAAGTTGAATGTTTTTACTGATCAAAATAATTAAAATTTATATGCTTAACTTGATTGCTATTTGAATAAATTGCATCAAATATATTTTTAACTCATAGTACAATATTTTACTTTTTTAATCACAAACAAACTAATAATCGCTTAAAAAAATTAATTATATCTTTGTAAAAAATTTTACAAATAATACACAAAAATTTATGTATTATAAAAAAAATCATTTAGAGTATTGACAGAGTGTTTTATGTTCTATGAAAGTAATAGCCAATTTAGAATATTAATTAGAAGGAAAAAAGCATACATACCCTAAATCCTCTTTAATCAATACCATTCCTCTACTTAAAAAATAAAATGATAATTAATTGCAAAAAGTACAAAATCTACCTCTTCAAAAAGAAAAAATTTTCAAACAAAAATTACAATTTACATTAATTAAAATATTTATTTTTAAAATTTTAATTTATGAAAAAAAAAATGAGAAATTTTATTTTTGTTACTAATCAAATATATTAAAAATAGAATTATGTATTGCTTACAAATATATTTTATAATGGTTAAGAAATAATCAAGTAATTAATTTTCTGATTAAAAAAATGGAATTTTTTTCAATAAATTTTAATAGATGTGCATCAATAATCATGAATGATAAAAATATTCAGAAAAAAGTTATATATTTTCAATTAAAATAAATTTAGACTCTACTCTATCAAAATAGTAATAATAGAAAATATTCCTAATTTATGTAAAACCAATTCTTTACAATTATTTAAATTAAAATGCTTATGATTAATGATTATTAATATTTTTAACTAAAGTATTTATAAATTTTTTTTTTATTATATAAAAAAGAATAAATTAACTCATTTACTTATTTTTACTGATGAAAGTTAATGTATAAATAAAATTTTTATTAACAAAGATTTTTAAAAATTTTTTGATTTTTTTTGTTGAAAAATAGTTATTTATATTAATAGTAAACAAACAATATTTTGTTTTATGAAATATGAAATAAATAGTGAAATTGTTTGAATTTAATTATTCTATTTTTTATGAGATTTAGCCTATCTAATTTAAAATAAATCATAATATCAGCTTTCTAAAATGCTGCGCACTTTTGAAAACTTTTTGCTCATATTTTTTTGTTCAGGCTCTCCTATAATTTAATTATTGGAGTGAGGGATATCATAGATTGACTCATGAGGTGTCTCTCCTTATCCTTGCACCATTTACTACGCTTAAGGATTAAAAACGTTCATATGCAACCTAGACATCCTATGTCTATTTGGAGACACTTCAGGTGAAATATTAGATTGATCAAATGTTTCCATATTGTTAATACTTCCTTCTCTTCTTATTTAAGTGACTGAAGAAAATTTATTTCTTTTAAGTCTCTAAGACTGCAATGGACTATCGTTTTCATCATTATCTTCTTCTCTAGGCATTTCTTTTACATTTTAAAATACTAAGGTACCTAACTTAGATTAAAAATCTGTTCTCTACTTAGCATGTATAGATGGAGAAGCATACTCATTATTGGCTTGTTCATTTTGTTAATTGTCAAAATTAGCAACTTTTGATCTGTTTCTTTTTTACTTAAGTTCTTTAAGGTATTCATACAAACTGTACAATGAATCATAAATGATTCCTAGAAATTACCACAATATTACAAAAGTAATTAAAGCTATTGCAATCCATCCTAGTGTAATACGGTGACTCTCAGGTTGAGATTTAGGATCATCAACTAAAAGGGCAATTATAATTTGAATAGCAATAAGAACAAACTCTGCAGCGGCATTCTTAATATTTTCGTATTTACTTTCAAAAGGCTAAATTACTATGTAGTAGGCTGCAACTATAACATTCATTAAAGTTATTATGCCTAATTAAATATAGCTGTATTTGTACAAGTATACAATGATCAATGCAAATATTATTTTGCGATAGTATAAAATAGCCAAGTTATATTTTGAAAATTTCATGACTAGTTTTTGTCTCCATCCAATTTACTAAAGGTTTAACTGAGATTATGATTAACTGCTTTGAAATAAATTATTTGTCTATGGAGGAGTATTGTTTTCATCATCTTTTTGGATTAATGAATCTTTATTACTGAAGAGCTTTAAGCCTGAAATTAAAGATGAATATTTAGTTCTCATATATTTATCATCTTTGATATTTGGATTGTTAACAATTACATAAGTTATTATTATTGGAGCTCCTAAACAAATTATAATCCATAAGGCAAACATGGAATAATTTAATGGACAAGATGAATCTCCACAATCGAAGATATAAAATTGTAAGAAAATACCAACAATTATGTAAGTGTAATTGCACCATATCAAGTCGAAAAATCCACCGTATTCCCATGTTTCATAACAAGCTCTTCTACAATAAGCTTAAACGAATTTGATTTCTATTCCTGAAAATAGTTTAGCAAAAATGTATAAACAGAAGATAATCAGAACAACACTAATACTTTAGCCTGTACTATTTAAAAAGTATGAATCAGTTTATTATTGCATGAATTACGGAGGAGCTTATTATACATAATTCGGATTGATTGCATTTTGAAAGAAATTAGGAATAAAAGCCATTTAGAAATTCTAAAAGATTCCATAGAATTAGAATATATTGATTGGGAATCTAACGTTGATAAATAATAGGTAATAAAGGAAACCAGTGAGATCGATAGTATTTATTAGCACATAAAAATTTCCTAAAAAAGCAATAGGGATTAAACAGCTAATCATTGTTGTAGCTACTGCAGTCCCTCCTGTTTTTAAGTCTTATGCCTACTTTAAATCCGTAGGAGATACATAGACAAAAGGATCTAACTCTTAAGAAACAGTAGATGGTTTCATAAGATTCTAAGATAGGAATGTTTTATCAGAAATAGTCACATAAATATATTCATTTTTAATATTACCATCACATTGAATATCAACCATTAATGTGTAATTATCCTTTTAACCCATAAACTGGTAAGTGTAGTTTTTAAAATTAGAAATAGTGATGTTAAGATTACTTTGATTTATGGTAGTTGCTATTAGCTAATTTTAAAATACTAATTCAAGCTTGTAACCGTTAGTATCGACCTTCTATTTAATTGTGTAGCTGTTGCTTGAAAAATTTAAAGTTTAGCAGCTTTTAGAAGTGTTATTAAAAATCATTCCTGGTACACAATATGTGCATGAATAAATATCTTAACAGCCTATACAGTTCTAAAAAATGCACCTACATTGGTAATCCTAATAGTTATTTTAATTTGATACAATAGCAAGAGTATTTTAAGGACATTAATAAGTAGTCTAAACATTTATTTAAGAAGGTTATATTAAAATTAGTTATCCTGATAGCCTATCTTGATAATACCCATTCGAACTGAAATTAGTGCAGACTCCATCTTAGTTATATTAATCTATTTTGGAATAAATAAATAGCTTAACTTATTTCACATTAAATTAGTAGAAGAATAAATAAAAAATTTGTTAAAAGATCATTTAAAAATTAATTTTTTAATAAACTGTAACTAAATTAATTATTAAACGAATTACGATACTTTAATAGATAAATTAAAAGGAAGTATGAATCAAAGTTTATTTTATTAATTAATATTTTTATCAAAATTAATAAAATCTTTATTTAGTGATTTTATTTTACCACCTATTTATTGATCTTTTCTTTATCAAATAAATTAGGTCAAAGAGAAAATCATTTATTTATTGATTTTAGTTAATTACGTACTTAAATAATAATCTTCAATTAGTTATAACAAAAACCACAAATTTAATTTTAACTTACTAGTAATAGTTAAGTTTTTAATTCAATATTTGATGAATTATGGTTGGCTGATTGCGTAATATACCAAATTAAGAAGTGATCTTTTAATTTTATTTAAATTTAATTAAATTTACTTGCTTAACAGGCAACCTGAGGGGCAGGAATGTTAGCGGTACATGTTTGTGATGATGAGTTTAATACAAATCCAGGTTTACACTTCAAGCATACTTCTTAATTATTATACTATGCACATGAAAAACAATTACTTGTTTAGCATACTCCTACTTACTCACAAACTTAAGGACCAGAAGGGAAATTATATTAATTATATCCATCCTAGCAAGTTAAGCATGATGAATTAGTTGAACAAGTTTTGCAGTTTGGTGTGCAGTTTTTAGATATTCTAATTGATCTCAATAAAGAAAGATAGCCTGCTGCTTGTATTGAAAATGTTACAATTACATTGGTTCCTAAAGGGAGTTGCTAATTTAGTATAAGAGTAGATGTATAAACGTTTTAAACTTGAAATCCTGAGCAAAATAAAGTAGGAGCGTCATCCAAGTAACTTTAAGTTGGTGAAGAAGATAAAGTGATTTAAGCTAGTCCATTTATATCTACATTCAAGGGATTAGCAGGTCTAACTCCTAAAAAACTAAAATCTACTTGGATATACGAATAAGGCTCTGTAAATTATGTCAAAGGAAAATTAAAAACGGCACCTAATCTGCCAATAATTTCTAAAGTAATTGCCACATTATTTCTATCATATTAATCAAAAGAACATCTATAGTCACATCCCATATTATAAGGATCTCCAGTTGTTAAAAAAACATTATTTTCTATTCCTTCAAGACAGCTCCTTTTCATTAAAAAGTTTCTATCCAAAATAACTTCAAGCCCATGAACATCTAAATTATTAAATAGTATGTACAATATAAAAGAGAAGACATAAAAAATTGTATTTATTTACTTCTTAGAAATAAAATCAGGAGCAAGGATTCAAAAAAAATGTGGAGCAGATTCATAAAGTTAAATAATAATTGTTTGGATTGAATTTTAATTTAGTGAATTTATAAAATTTAATTTTTTATATTATTTTAGTTCAAATTGATTACATAAAGAAAGATAAATCTTTTAAGTCGTCTTTTGAGAAAATAGAGAAGATGTCAAAAAAGAGTATTTTTGATTATAGTTGATTTACCTATTTTGTGATAAGGATTAAATTTGGGGATTTAGATTATATTTTGATTTGTCAAAAATAAGAATTTTGTATTTAATTTAATCTAATTTATCATCCACTACTTTTTTTTGCATTTTTATCACATAAGATTTAATTGTATTTTTTTATTTAATTTTCACTGTAACTCTCAATTCTCCACTAAATTATATTTATGATATATTTAATTAGATCATCTTTTATTTTTCAAAAGAAAAATTAAGTAATTAACTCATTATTTTACAGTCATAGATTTATTTTTTAAATTTTTAGTTTTTAAATCTTTAAAATTACCAACAACGATTTTTTTTTAAATGTATACGGTAATATCTTGAAATATTAATTTATTCATTTATATCTTTTGATTAAGGTCAAAACAATTAGACATCATTTTTGATACTTAATTGAGGTAAAAAAATAAGCTTTATTAATTTTTCTAATTAAATTATCTTACTTGAACAAAACTTGTCTTGTGATCGTAATTAATTAATTAATTTATTTATTTATTTATTTATTTATTTTGAGAATTTGGTTAATTTATGTAAGGTCTATTAAGCACTAGAAAGTGTTAATATGTACCTAAAGTCAACTTTATTATTACCCTTGTTTTAATTTTAAACGCCACACATAAAAATTAATAATGACCATAAAAAATAATATTGAAAAGACTTAAAGGATTAATTAGACGATCAGAATTTTGATTAAACAAAAACATATTTATAATGTAAATTGCTTCATATCTGGAATAGCTGGTCATTTATTTAATTTTTTATTTAAAAAATAGCAAATTTAAATCACTCAAATTTTTTGAAATAATTTGTTATCCTTTTCCTACATATTTGCTTAATTTTTATTGAATTAATAGTTTAATCAATTTGAATAACTCTTTTATTGCTCATTCTAAAAGATTTTTACGTTTCAATGAATTTGCTTTCAATTTATTAAATCTTTTATTAATTTTTTTAGACAAAATTAGATAATGTAATAATTTGGAAAGCAATTCAACCTAGAATTTTAGATTTTGATTAGAAATTTAATAAAATTTATCAAATTCATCAGATTTATATAAATCTACAGAAACAAATACTTATTTACTGACATTTAAAATGCTAAATTTAATCATATTTCTAATTTAATTTCAGAATATTTTACTTGATTAAGTGGGATTATCTTTCAAAAAAAGTATCTTCAAAATTTTTGTAAAACTTTAAATTTTAACAATTCAACTTTAAGATTTTTTTTTTGAAAATAAAAATAATTCATTGTAAGTCAATTTTAGAAAAAAGGAAAGAAGATTTGAGCTTATGTAAGGTTTTTGAGGCTTAATTCATTTATTAATTCGAAGAAAGAGTTCTTTATAGATACTACCTAAATCGAATTTGACAACAAGAAAAAGAAAATTAAAAAACATAATAAAAATTGAAAATCTATTTAGTTTGATGATAGAGTTCTATTTAGTAAGTAACCTTATCATTCATTAATTTGTTTGATGCAGTAAAAGAAAAAAATAACTTTCTTCATAAATAAACATATTAAAAATTAAGCGAGTAAGCTTTTTTCATTGAAAAAGGAACTATACAATGTAATTTAAACTAATCTTTTGAATAATAATAACAACATTAAAGAGAATATTGCAGAAATATAAATAAATACTCATTAAAATATTTTTATAATTTATTGTTTTATATATTCAACTTTCTAAAATAGCTTTGATCTTATTGAACCTTCCTTTCGAAGGTGTTTAAGAATTCGTTCCTATTGGTGATTTTTATGTTTCAGGATTGATTATTTGATAATTAGAATTTGGTATGTCATAGGCAGACTCACCGGCATTTTCGTTTTACTACACATTTGAAACTTGGGTAGGTTGAGGGATAAAGTTTGTTATTGATAACCTAGATACACGCTTTCTCTTTGGGGATACTTCAGGAGAAGCATTTGTGTGATCAACAAAAGTTTCTAAGTTATTAACACTTGATTCTTTTCTTAACTAAATTTGAGAGAACTTAGCTCTTTTTAATCTTTGAGATTAAACAGGCAGACCATTTTCCTCTTCATCTTCAATAGGTTCTTCTTTGACATTTTAAAATTATTAGTTTTCTAACTTTTATAGAATAGTTGTTCTCTTTTTAGCTTCGTTTGAAGGAGAGATATCATGGTTATTTTCTTAGCCATGCTCTGCAGCATCGAAGTTAGCAACTTTAGATCTGTTTCTTCTGCTTTTTAGAGACTTTAGATAAAGGAACAACTCGTATAACACTTCTACACTCATACTTATAAATGACCACAAAATTACAATACATACCAATGCTATTCCAATCCATCCTATTAGAATGCGGTTTGCTTCACTTTAAGACTAGGAGTCTTTTACCAAAAAAGCAAACAAAATTTAAATAACAATCATTACTATTTCAAAAGCTGCATTCTTATAATTTTCATATTTTTTTTCATATGGCTGGATCAACAAGTAAAATAAAGCGACCACAACATTCATCACTGATATTATTGCAATTTATGCATAAGTATATTTATACAAATATACAATTATTAAAAGGAATGCTATTTTGCGGAAGTATAGAAGCACAATATTATATCTAGAGAATCTTCTTACCATTTATGCTCTCCATCCCTTCTCTTCTTCTTAAACTGAAGATTTTGATTAGGTCAAGTTGGGGAATAAATTATTAGTATCGGGAGGAGTATTATTTTCTTCGTCTTTTTCTCTTGTTAAAAAGGAATCCTTATTGCTAAAAAGCTTCAATCCAGCTATTAAAGAAGAACACTTAACTCTCATATATCTGTCATCTTTTATATTAGGATTTGTTTTTATTAAATAAAAAACTACACAAGGAATAGCTGCGCAGAAAAATGCCCAGCAACCAAACCAGAAATAGTTAAATCCACAAGAATTATCAGAGCAATCAAATTTGTAAAATTGTATAAACACATAACCTAATACGTAGATATATATGGCCCAAACAGCACTTAATATTCCACCGAATTCCCATGTTTAGTAGCATACTCTCTTGCAATAGTCCTAGATATTAGGTAGCTATATTCCAGAGAATATTTTTATCAAAAGATAAACACATATAATTACAATAAAAAAGCTGATTATGCTTCCTGCTGTATTCAAGAAATATCCATCAAATTATTATTGCATGAATTAGAGGGTAGAATTTTAAAAGTAATTCGAATTCACTGCGCCGCTAAAGAAATTAGGGAAAAATCCCATTTAAAAGTTTTTTAAAACTTCAGCAAAGTTCTAAATATTGATTGGATAGCGAATGTTCAAGAAAAACAGGAAATACACAAAACCAATAAAGTCAACAGTGCTTAGTAACGCAAAGAAGCTACCGAATATCGCCATAATTATAAATATGCTCATAGAGGCTTTAGATATTTTTCCTCCTGTTTTGTTTAAATCTTTCGCAGAGTTAATTTCTGATTAAGAAACAATAACAAATGTCAATAATTAACCTTATACAGAAGGTTAAGTGATCAGGTTTTTAGCTAAAAAATCAGAATCTGTAATAGTCAAATTGAACATTTTGTTTTTTACATTTTCTGTACATGAGATGTTGATAGCTATGGTGTTATTTTAGATTCCTATCAATTAGTAGGAGAAGCTATTAAAGCTAGAAATAGTCAAATTCAAATTATTTTGAGATAATTATTGACTCACTAAATTATTATCAAAAATCAATTCTAATAGATATCCGGTTTCTGTAACTTTCTGAACAACTTTGTAAGAATTTTGTGAATATGTTAGCTTAATACATTTCATCTAAGATTAACTAAATTCCATTCCAGTAATACATAAATCACAAGTGTCTATGCTTGAACAAGCAGTACAGTTAGCAAACATGCATCTGCACTAATAATTTTGATAATTATTATCTTTCAGCACAATGGCTAGAGAATTCTAAGGACATTTATAGGTCTTTTGGACATCCACAATTGCACTATTTATAAGCTTGAAAGATCCTGTTTGCCTATCTTAGTAATATCCAATAGAACTGAATGGCTAGCATTTACCACCAAATGAATACTAATCTTTATAGATAAAAATACTTAATTAGTTATAAGAATATTAATTAAAACACGCATTTTCAATTTTAAAGTCTAAAAAATAAATTAAAATCTATTCATTTTTTCTTCTTGGAATTAAGTAACTTAAAAGTTAGATAATTGATTTTTAATTAGAAAAAAAGATAAAATTAATTCTCCCTAATCTGTTTCTGATAAGACTGTATCATAAATTAATATAAAACTTAAATCACCATAGAATTTAATTAATTTTAATTAGCTTTCAAATAAAGATATTAAAGTATTCTCAAACGTAATATCCACTAAAAAATCAAATTATTTGAATAACTTTACACATTTTTAAGTATGTGTTTTAAACATTTTTTTTCCAAATTTAAATTTTCCCACTTTGTAAAAAAATAATTAACTAGCTTTACTTGCTTAACAAGGAGATAGAGGTGCTGGGGAATTTTAATCACATTATTTGGAGGAATTTAGATTAAAACCAGAACTGCATTTTAGACAAACTTCCTTTCCACTATACTAAGCACAAGAAAAACAGTTAGCTGTAGAGCAAACTCCAACTTGTTCACATACTGATGGACCTGAATCAAAGCTGTAAAGAGAGTATCCATCATAGCACATACTGCATGAATTTGCACTTTAACATTTTGAGCAGTTAGGAGTGCAATTTTTAGATACTTTTATTGACCTCAAGTACGTCATCATATTTGATGATGTACCATCAAACTAAACAACAACATTTTAACCTGATGAAATTTATTAATTTAAAACCAATGAAGTTGTATATAAGACTGTTTATCTTCTGTAGCAAAAAATCTAAGAAGGGTCTGAATAAATGCTTTAAGTTGATGAAATTCCTATTTATTTTGATGCTAGCCCATTAATATTCATAAGTAAATCATTTGCTGAGCTTAATATGACATAGCTCACATCTAGCTATATGTAAGAATAAGGTTCTGTGTAGCTAGCTAATGGAAATGTAAATTGGGCACCAAGTCCTTATATTATTTCAAGCACAGATAAAGGATCACTGTTGTCAAAAGAATCGTTAAAACAATTCATTGCACATAATTAATTGTATGGATATCCAGCTAAGTAAGTAACTTAGTTTTAAATATCTTAAAGACAATTTTTTCTCTTTTAGAAATTCAGATCGATTAACACTTCTAACGTATAAGTAACTTTTTAATAGGATAATTAAATAAACAAGTATAGAGATATGATAATTTACTTCTTAAAATAGATGAGAGTAGTATTAAAACTGTGAATATTAGATCTCTATGTTTCATGATATTCGTTTGTCTGTTAACAAATTTGAGGGTTTTTTGTTATTAGAATAATAAATAGGTTTTTTCTTAAATCAAATAATTATAAAAAAATTTAGGAGCTACTATGGTTTTAATATATTTAATTAAAATACATTATAATATAGTGAAAGATTACTAATAAGAAATCTTTTAAGATAGTGCATGCCTAATTGGTTTTAGATTTTCCAAAATTTGTAATTAGTTTTGATGTCTTAACATCAAATTAATTAATAAATAAACAAAAAAATAAAATTAGATATTAATTAAAAAATACAAATAAACTACCCTTACAAAAGTTTTATTTATAGATTTTCTTAATTAACTAAAGTGTTAGCCACACAATTTGATTAGGTAATCTATTAAGCCAGATTTATTTAACAACTATTTCCATCCAAAAAAACTGTTCTATTTAATCTCTACGGGATATGCTGATAATCAAAATTAATTTTTTGAGTAAGAAATACAACAAAGATAAAACTCCTTTTAACTAATTAGGCTAATATAATAAAACTAGTATAAAAAACTAAAGATATTTTAATGTAGAGAAAGTTAAATTTTCATTTCGTTTTATCAATAATTTTGCTATAATTATTGACAATAAAATATATAATAGAGGTAAATTTTGTATTTAATAATTAATTGAATATTATCTTTGTTTTATTATTTAAACTCCTGTGTTTCTCCTTTCAAGCTTACCATACAATATAATTCTCTACATTAATTTAATTACAATACACTTGATAAAATCTTATATTAAGGATTATATTAAAAAATAACAAAATTTACTTATCTTTTTTTACTTACACTACTAAAAGTATTTGAATTTTTTATTTTAAAGATTTATTTATTTAAGAATATTGTCTTCTTTGAAATGTAACTATTATATTTACCTTACAAAATTTATTTGTACTCACTATCACTAATTTTTTAATAATAAAATCAAATATTAAGAGCAGTAGTAAACAAAATCAAGGACATCAAGAAATAATTAGCTTAATAAAAAAATATATATAAATATAAAGATTTCCTCTTAAAAAGTTTGTTTTTTCACTTACTTAAAAAAAAGAAAGTTCAGTTAATAAAATAAATCTTATATTTTTAATTACTAATTTCAGATATTACTACAAAATATCCTTTGTTTTCACTTAATAATTTTATGAGAATAGGTAGAGAGGTAAAATTACTCTTTAGTAAATCACCTTTGATTATTAAAAATCTCTATTAGTTAAAATAAAACTTTACAGTTATGATACTTAAAATATTAATTTAATTGTTTAAATGGGTGTCTTTGAAATAATTTCTTTTGAATGAAAAAAAATTAATAAAAATGATTTATTTTATGAAAAACAAAAGAAAATCGAACTGAAAAATATAATAAAAATTTATATTCAAATTCAAATGAAGTAAATGAATTAATTAAAATTTAAAAGCATAAATGGAAAATATGAAAAATAAATTTAAAAGAGACTTTCTTTTTGTATTTAATAAAATTTTTTAAGTTAAAATATAATCAGATAATTAATTAAAAAATTTAATGTCCTTTTTTAAAATCAATCAATGATAAAAATAATTATCAATTGTATAATTGATTTTTTTCTTTTCAAAATTTAATAAAAAAATTTTTAAAAATGTATTAGAATTATATCTAGCTCGGGTAGCTCAGTTGGTTAGAGCGTGGGTCTAATAAACCCAAGGTCGAGGGTTCAAGCCCCTCCCGGAGCAGTTTTTTTACTTTATTTTTATTAATAAAATAATAAATTTATTTAAACAATTAGATTATAAAATAGGTTTTTTATATTCTATTTTTTTTAATTATTTTGAAAAATTATTTTCTTTCTTTAAATTTAAAATTAAAGAAAAATCAATAACTTATTTTATTTATTAATATGTAATGCTCGGGTAGCTCAGTTGGTTAGAGCGTGGGTCTAATAAACCCAAGGTCGAGGGTTCAAGCCCCTCCCGGAGCAGTTTTTTATAATGAATTTTACTTATTTTTAATTAAATATTTTTATATTCAAATTAAAATTTATCTTTTTAAAAAAATAAATAAATTATAATTAAAATTTAAATAAGCTGATTTAAAAAATATTTTTTAATAAGCATAAAATTTTCATTAAGATTAAATTGAAGATTGACATCTAAATAAAAATTACATGCAATGCTCGGGTAGCTCAGTTGGTTAGAGCGTGGGTCTAATAAACCCAAGGTCGAGGGTTCAAGCCCCTCCCGGAGCAGTTTTTTTATAAATATTTAATTATTAATATGAATTTTGTTAACTAAAGCATTTGTTTTTTAAAAATTTTGAATAATTTATTTATTCTATTTCTTATATTAAATTTGGAATTAAAAATGATAATTAGATTTATATTTAAAGATATTAAAAAACAACTATTTTATATAATTTAAAATTATTTCAATTAAAATTTTATACTATCTGAAATCCATTATTTAAATAATAATATGAATGTATACTAATTTTGTGTTGAATTACATATAGTTTAATTTTATTTCAATAGTATATTTATTTCTCATAAGCATTTAAACCTTGAATTTAAAAATAATTCATTATTTCACTCAAAGTTGTCATGAAATGCTCGGGTAGCTCAGTTGGTTAGAGCGTGGGTCTAATAAACCCAAGGTCGAGGGTTCAAGCCCCTCCCGGAGCAGTTTTTTTAAATTTTTTCTCATGAAAAAAACTTAAATTTCAATAAGCATTAAGCTTTTATTTGGAATTAAATATTTGATCAAATATTGTCCTAAATAATAAATATTTCCTCCATTTTATTTTAAATTTTCTTTCATAAATTTATTATTTTTTTTTATAGTAATTGGTATTTGATAAAATTAGATTTTTAGATAAGTTAGTAATATAATAATAAATAAACTTTGATTGTCCACAAATTAAACAAAATTAATAATTACATATCCAATAACAAACAATTATTTAATTGACTCAAAAATGATTGATTTTAAATATACCCTTTAACGATATTATCAAAAAAAAATCAAAAATTTATAAATCTTAATTGATGGAGTTGAATAAAGAGCCAAGAGAATTCAAATTTTAGTCACAAAAAAGGAATTAAAATAAGAGAAAAGCTATCTATATATTTAGATAGATAGATAAATAGATTGAATATCCTTAGAAATGCTTATATTTTAATATAATTGATTGCTAATCCCTTCATTCATTTAAGTTTTGTGTATTATTAAATGAAATCATTTGATTTTAATTTATTGAATGATTTAATACATGGATGTTAAAAAATATTTATATTAAAATTAAACAAATCAAAGCTTGATAAATAAATAAAAATCAATAAAGGAGTTGAATTTAGTTGTTAGTTAATTGCTAATCAAATTTCATTTAAAGCAATAGGAATCTAGATATTATTTAATTATAAAAGCATTAGTGATTATTTCATAAGAGAATGAGTCACTTTAGGACAAAATCTTTTAAGGTTGCAGCTCATAAAACTCCCTCAAAGGTTTCTTTTTATTTCAGCAATAAATTAATAAATCATAACAATATACTATTTGAATTTGATAAGTGGTTTATTTTATTTTTCTTTTAAAATTAAAGTATGAAATTGAAGATGATCCTAATAAGGGACAGGATCAAAATAAGATTAGCAAGTTTAGTAAAGAAAATTTTATGAGTCCATCTCCTAAAAAATAAAAATTCTCAAAATCTCCTGAGAGATCAAAGGTAAATTAAGATTGTTTCAGAATTATGAAATGATAAAAATAGCATTTACTTAGCTGATAACTTAAAATAATCTGCAATCTAATTTTTTTGTTTGCTCATAATAAAAAAAAGCCTTTCAAGAAGTATGATTTGACCAAAATATCACCAGCACCTTAGAAATATGTAGGACCTAAAAAATATAAAGAGTATTGGATGCCATAAATTTTAGAGGAAAGTGTAATTTTAATCTTTTCAAATTCAAAACAAATTTTGAGTTTTAGCAAAATAAAAGAAAAAAGTTATCTAAGATTATGGTTTTTAATTAAAAAGGGTATTGATTTTGATTCATGTATTGTAGAACATAGTTACTTACCACTGAAAACATTCAACAATACAGATTATGACTTTTATTCTAATGAAGAAATCTTCTAAAAACTTCAAGAAAGAGGTGAAATGAGAGCACAAGTAAATCAGTTTAGAGTTAATTCTGTGAAATTATTTGATTTTTTTATTTAATTTAGGCTATAATTTAAAGAGAAGAGAAAAGGTTTGAGTGGGAAGAAGTTTTAGTTATAAGTTATGATCAAGAAAAAGAACTCTTCACAGTTTAGACAGAAGATTAGCTGAATTTCTTCTTAAATCGTATTGAGCTTATTTTTGTTGAGGAAGAGGATCCTTTTTAATACACTCAAAAGCTTATAAATGCCTGGAATATGAGAACATTTATGGATTCTATTCTTAGATATAATTTTTATTTAGATAACATGCCTTGCCATGATATGGAATATATAGATGAACAAACAGAAAGAAATATTTTAAGTTTAGTTTTTAACAAATCCATTCTCTAATAGGGTGATGTAACCTAGCTTTTGGAAGAAGTAAATTAATAATATGTAAGAACATAAAATAAGCTCGTATTCAATAAATACTTATCTACTAATGCATCTGACATATTCCCTACTCCTCTGATATTACCTCCTGTAGAAGAAAAGATAGTAATTAAAATAACTTTATAAATAATAATAAATGAATAATATTAATTTTATTGGTAATTTCAATATTTTTTAAATCAGGTCCCTGAAAAAGGTAAACTTATGTTAGAAAGACTAAAAGGAGCTAAAGAATTAGTAGTTTATGAAAGCGGCGTAACATAAAGATTCAAAGCAAAAGTTTTTGAAGAAATTAGAAAAGATTTTGCAAATCATTCAATTTACAGCATAAAAGAAGTTATTTAATGTCTTGCAAAGCTTGAGAATGAATGCCAATAAATTGAAGGAGAGGAAATATTTGTATATTTCTTTGATAAGCCATAGGAAATTAATGAATTTAGAATTTCATAAGATTCTCATATTGATAGAAAGCAAGATTTAATTTGCAATAAGTGGCCTGAAAGGTTAGAAAAAGTATTTGAGAGAACCCTCTAAATCTCTAAGAATAAAAGCAGAATAGTTGATGACGATAAGTTGGAAAGAGTTATGGCTCTAGTTAGATATAAAATGCAAGACACCATTTATAATATCTGCAACTATTCATTCAACAAACTCTATGAATTCCTTTTTTCATTTGTTCCAGATTAAGGTAATTGACTAATTAAAATCTTTCGATTATCTTTTTATATTTTTAAATAAATGAAAATTCATATTTTTACAATATTCAGCTAGCTTGTGTTTAATTTTCTACAATCTTTTTATAAATTTATTTAGTAAAAATTGTTAATTCTGGAGATGTATAAAATATTTACGATTCTAAGACCAATACTCTTTAAACATCACCTAGAGTAATTACAATAGAGAGTTAAAATGGAATGAATTCAATGGCTTCTTTAGTTGACTACCAAGAAAAACCTAAAAAAGAATTTGCTCTTTATAAAATTGCAGTAGTAAGCAAGGATGATACTTTTTAGTATTCTTATGATTCTAATTTCTTCTTAGAAATGCTTTAAGGTTATTTCAAGAATACCCTAAACAAATTTCAAAAAATAGCAGGTAATCATTATTATCATGATAAAAAATAATGACTAATATTTTTATATCATTACAATAAATATTAGATATTGAGTTTAAACTGAATTCTAACTTTTAATTTGTGCATAAAACGAAGCAGTATGTAAAAGCCCCTTAACTTCCTAATTAAGAACCTAGGAGAGCTAACTTAAATGAGACAGGAGATAATAGAGTTGATGATGAAAATTTATGGGTTTGGGACTTATGGGTAGACTTAACATAGTTAATCAAGAAATGTGTTGATCCACTAGATGAGTACTTAACTCATTTCAAGAAATTTGAAAATATCCTAAGATTAAACCCTGATACATACTCTAAAGAGTTTGAGGGAACAGAAGAAAATCCTAGAGATATTTAAGAAATAAAAGAAGAAATTATTTAAACATTAATCAAAGAAGAGGAAACAAAAAAACTTTTACCTGAACTCATAAAGGTGTCTATTTTTGAAATTGACTTAAAAATTATCAGCAATACTTTGGCTGGAAAATACAAGAAATTATCAAATAATTTGAAGGACATCATTTGTTAGAGAGCAAAGAAATTAACAAATAATATAATCACTGAATTCTAAGAAATGCACTTCACAATAAATAAGCAACCCTCAAATATTGAAGAGTTAACTGATATTTAAAATTTTATAAGCAATGTTCCAAGTAAATTTAGTCTGTCTTTTTGTAATTTTAAAATTTATTTAAATAAAAAAATTAAGCTGAAATGGAGAAAAAAAAAGTAGAAATTGAAAGAATATTAGAAATTTATGATATCTTAGATGAATTTATGTACAGATTAGAGAAAGAGGCAATCAAGAGCAAACAAGAAATGCAATTCCTTCCTAAGAAAACTTTATAAATGCTAGAAAAGAGAAGTAATCTTCTTGATGATATCAAATCTAATTTCTTGAGAGATTAGTAGAAAGATTAAGATATGTTTAGGAAAGCTATTGATGCTGCCCAAAAAAAGATTATGACTTTCCATAGCTACACCAATATCAATCAACATGAAGAAGTAGCTCAAAAAGCCACTGAATTATATAATGAATTAGCCAAAATGATTGAACAATCTCGTAAATTCAACACAAGAGAACAACTCTTTGGTTAGCAAATGACAGATTATTCCAAAATTATTTAAATGCAAAAGGTATGTTTGTTTTATCATTTTTAAAATCAATTTTGAATATTTCAAATTAAAATTTATTAATTTTATAGGACTTCACTCCTTATTATAATTTGTGGACTATATCTAGCAAATGGTTTGAAAATATTTAAATATGGCTTTATAGCAGTTGGGATAAATTAGATGCTCCTTATTGTGAAAAATTTGTTGAAGATGGATTTAGAACTTTGGGCTAGACAATTAGATTCTTTAAAGAAAAGAATCTTTCTGCTGTACAAAAAATAGCTGAGAAAGTTAAAAAGGAGTTTGATGAATTCCGTCCAAAAGTCCCTTTGATGGTTGCACTTAAGAAATAAGGAATGAAAGATGTAAATTTAATTTTTAATTAACTAATTAAATATTTGGATGTATTTAACTAAAATAGAGACATTGGGATGCAATTACAAATAAAGTTGGATTCGAGGTTAGACCTGATAATAGTTTCAACTTTTAAAAAGTTTTAGATATGGGCTTGATGACTCATATTGAACAGTGTGTAGAAATAGGTGAATAAGCAGCAAAAGAATACACTATCGAAGAAATGTTAAAAAATATGAAATCAAAATGGGCTACTGTGGAATTTGATCTAATGACCTACAAACATTTGTTTATCATCAGGGTAAATTTTTGAAATTTAATGTAAATAGATTTTAATCAAAAAATTTATTGAAGGGATCTGATGAGATTTAAGCTCTCTTGGATGAACATTTAGTAAATACTTAAGCAATGCAGTTTTCTCCTTATAAAAAACCATTCGAAGAAGAAATCATAGAATGGAATAATCAACTTAAATTGATGAGTGATATTTTGGAAGAATGGATTAAAGTGCAGCTGTAGTGGATGTATCTTTAACCTATTTTTGACAGCAAAGATATAGCAAAATAACTTCCTCATGAAACAAGAAAGTTCAAATAAGTTGACGATATTTGGAAAAAAGCTATGATTTAAGCTAGAGATAAAAAATTAGTTATAAGAGTATGTAGTGAGCCTAACTTACTAGAAAATCTTCGAAATGCTAATGAAAAATTTGATTAAATACAAAAAGAGCTAAATAATTACCTTGAAAAGAAGAGAGAAAAGTTTGCTCGTTTTTATTTCTTATCCAATGATGATCTACTCGAAATTCTTTCTTAAACCAAAGAGCCTACTGCTGTCTAGCCTCATTTGAAGAAGGTTTTTGAAAATATTCATTAAATTGAATTCGATGATTAAAAAATCATTCATGCTATGTTTTCAGCTGAAAAAGAAAAAATTAACTTTGTCAAAACTGTAAACCCTAATCATAAAAATGTAGAAGAGTGGATGGGTGAAGTAGAAAATATGATGAAAGCCTCTGTAAGATTTGAGCTCTTTAACTCATATCAAAAGTATCCAGACACACCTAGAACTCGTTGGGTTGTTTCTCATCCAGGTTAGTGTGTTCTCAATGGTTCTTAGATGCACTGGACTCTAGAAGTAGAATAAGCTTTAAAATAAAATTCTGTTAAGAAATATTGGGATGTCCTTAGCTCTCAAGTAATTATTAAATAAAATATTTAAAATAAATCTTCAAGCTTTTAAGTTTTCAATAAAATAATTGACAAATACAACTATAAAACCTTAAGAATTAGAAAATAAAATTTTCTTAGAATAGGATTAATTAAATAAAATGAAATATTTTGAGAATTGTTTATTATTATTGAATGAATATACTCAATTCAATAAAATATAATTTAATGATAATTTATTTAATTTTATAATTTTTCATGCCATTTTTTAAAAAATAAAATAATAGCTTAATGATTTAGTTGATTTAGTTAGAACAAAGCTTACAAAGTAACAGATGGTTACAATTAATGCACTTATTGTCATTGATGTGCATGCAAAGGATGTGACTGAGATTTTGTGGAGAAATGAAATCACTGACATTAGTGCTTTTGAGTGGATATCGTAGCTAAGATATTATTGGGAAAAAGAAAATTGTATGGTCAAATGTATTTAAACCTCATTCCCTTATGGTTATGAGTATTTGGGTAATACTCTTAGATTAGTTATTACTCCTCTTACTGATAAGTGTTACATGACTTTGATGGGTGCTCTCAAATTAAATTTAGGAGGTGCCCCTGCAGGTAAAAAATAAAATTTTCATTTATTTTTCAAATAATTAATTTTATATTATTCAGTTATTTACTAATTAATTAAACAAATTTTATTTTAATTGAATATGAATTATTTTTTTATTGATTGAATCAGTCAGTCACAATTGTTAAATTTAATAGTTAGTTGAGTTATTGAATAATATTTCAAAAGTATTCAATATAATTATATAATTAAAATGAATAGGACCTGCCGGTACAGGTAAAACAGAATCGACAAAAGATCTTGCTAAAGCACTTGCAAAGTAGTGTGTAGTATTTAATTGTTCTGATAGTATGGATTATATTATGCTTGGTAAGTTCTTTAAGGGTTTAGCTAGTGCTGGTGCTTGGTGCTGTTTTGATGAGTTTAATCGTATCAATATTGAAGTATTGTCAGTTATTGCATAGTAATTGCTAATTCTATTTGGTGAAAAAGCAAAAGGTTCTTCCTAGTGTGAGTTTGAAGGAAGTATAATAAAAATCTAACCTACATTTTGTGTCTTCATCACTATGAATCCAGGTTATGCTGGTCGTACTGAATTGCCAGACAACTTAAAGGCCCTCTTCAGAGCAGTAGCTATGATGGTTCCTGATTATGCTATGATTGGTGAAATCATGCTTTACAGTTTTGGTTTCAAATAGGGTAGAGATTTAGCTAAGAAAATGGTTGCTACTTTTAAGTTATCTTCAGAATAATTATCATCTTAAGACCATTATGATTATGGTATGAGAGCAGTTAGAAGTGTCATTAATGCAGCTGGTCTTTTGAAAGCAGCAGAGCCTGATATGAATGAAGAACAACTCTTACTTAGAGCCTTAAGGGATGTTAATGTGCCCAAATTCCTTAAAGATGATCTTCCTCTATTCGAAAATATTATTTTAGATCTTTTCCCAGGAGTTGAGAAGCCTGTAATTAACTATGGAGAATTGCTTGATGCAATGTCAAAGTAAAGTAAAGTATTAGGATTATAGCCCGTTAAGCCTTTCCTTGATAAAGTTATTTAGCTTTATGATACAATTTAAGTTAGACATGGTCTCATGCTTGTTGGACCAACAGGAGGTGGTAAAACTTCAAATTACAGAGTTCTCTAAAAGGTATTTTTTGTCAAATCAATATTCATTCATTCATTAATTATTTTATTTTATTTTATTTTAGGCTATGACTTCATTAGAGAAAAAGGGATAAGCAAAAGTTAATACTCATATTATGAATCCTAAATCAATCACTATGGGATAGTTATATGGATAGTTTAATGATGCCACTCATGAGTGGTCTGACGGTGTTCTTGCTTATATTATTAGAGAAACAGTCAAGGATTAATCAAGTGATAGACATTGGATTGTTTTTGATGGTCCAGTTGATGCTATTTGGATTGAATCTATGAATACAGTGCTTGATGATAATAAGAAATTATGTTTAAATAGGTAAATAAATTTATCACTAAAATTTTTTAAGAATTAAATTAATTTAATTATTTTAAATTTATTAGTGGCTAAATTCTCACACTTACTCCTTACATGACTATGATGTTTGAAGTAGAAGACTTAGCGGTTGCTTCTCCTGCTACAGTTAGTCGTTGTGGAATGGTTTATATGGAGCCAAGTACAATGGGTTTAACTCCTTTAGTTAATAGCTGGATGGACTTTAGAATCACTGAGTCTTTCAGAGCAAATAAGCTTTTTGTTCCTAAATTGCAGTCATTATTTGAAGAATATTTAGAATTTTGCATCGATTTTATTAGAAAAAATTGCATAGAAATAGTTGATTCTATGAACAACAACCTTGCTTAGTCACTAATGCGTAATCTAAACTGTTTCTTAGTTAATTATGTTGATACAGATTTTAAAAAAATACCTGCTGAAGAAATTGAAAAATTACTTGACCATCTTGAATAAATATTTATTTTTAGCTTGATTTGGTCAATAGGATGCACAATCACTTATGAAGGCAGGGTTAAATTTGACAATTATCTTAGAGGTCTTATGAAATAAAATCAATGCTCTTTTAGTGTAATACTTTTAATTTAAGAATTATATTTTTTTAAAATTAATAACTTGTAATAAAATAGTTCCCTTAAGAAGGCTTGGTTTATGATTATTAATATATTGAGAAAATTGGTGAATTTTAACATTGGAAGGAGAATTTTAAGGATTTTGCCATTAATGATAAGCTAGGTTACCATGAAATTATGATTCCAACAGCAGATTCCACCAGAAATATGTATTTTACTAAAATTCATTTAACTATTGGATAGCACGTTATGTCACCTGGCCCAACTGGTACAGGTAAGAGTTTAAATCTCTTTTAACTTCTTGGTTCTTAAATGGATGAATAATTCTAATATATTGCTCTTGCTTTTAGTGCTTAGACTAGTGCTAATTAAACTTAGGATACAATTGATAGCAAAATGGATAAGAGAAGAAAAGGCTACTATGGCCCACCTATCGGAAAAAAATGCATTATCTTTATTGATGATTTGAACATGCCTAAAAAGGAAACTTATGGAGCTTAGCCTCCTATTGAACTTATTCGTTAATTCATCGATCATAGAGGTTGGTATAATAGAAAGGATCTCCAGTTTATGAAATTAGAAGATATTATTCTTCTTACTGCTATGGGCCCTCCTGGTGGTGGTCGTACATTTATAACAAACAGATTTGTCAGACATTTTAACATTCTAGCTTACACTGAATTAGATGAAGGAACAATTAAACAAATTTTTGGAACTATGTCCTCCTTTTTCTTAAGTAAATATTTTGAGTTTATTTGATATTTTAATTATTATTAAAAAATAAAAATAAAGATAAATTCGAAGAACCTATTAAAAAGTGCATTTAATTGGTTGTTGACACTTCTTATAATGTTTATTAGAGAGTAAGAGAAGAATTGCTCCCTACTCCTTCAAAATCTCACTACACATTTAATTTAAGAGACATTAATAAAGTATTAATAAAAAATTTAATTAATTAAAATTATAATTAATTTCTAAAAATCGAATAGGTCTTTTAAGGTGTTTGCAATGCATCCTCAAAGCATGTTACTGAATGTGCATAATTAGTAAGACTTTGGTTCCATGAAAATATGAGAGTTTATCATGACCGTTTAACAACAGAAGAAGACAGATAATACTTAAAGAATCTCTTGATTGGATATTTTGAGCAATTCGGCTTGAACTAAAAAGATGTTTTAGACATGGATAGAATCATTTTTGGTGATTTTGTTTAAGGCAGAGATTCTGATTCACGTCCTTATTAATAAGTAAAAAATAATTTGCAAATTAGAAGTAGATTTTAATTAATTTTTAATAAAGGTACCTGACTTGAATGAATTACTAACTAAAATGAATGATTTCTAAGATGAATATAACAACGAAGTCGGAGTTCATTCAAAAAAAGCTATGAAACTAGTTATGTTCTTAGATGCCTGTGAACATATTTCCAGAATAGCCCGTATAATTAGATAGCCTCTTGGTAATGCATTACTTCTTGGTGTTGGAGGTTCAGGACGTCAGTCTCTTTCTAAAATGGCAACCTTCATTTGCAACTATAAGCTTTTCCAAATTGAAGTAATAAAGAACTATTCTATGAAAAATTGGAGAGAAGATATCAAGGAAGTATTGAAAATAGCAGGTATTGAAAATGTTCCTGTTACATTCCTTTTCGTAGATACTTAAATTATCAATGAATAAATGTGCGAAGACTTGAACTCTATTTTGAATTCTGGAGATGTCACAAATATATATAACGATAAAGATATGGAAGAAATAAGTAATATTTTCTTTAATAAAAAATAAATAAAGATTAATAAAATAATTTTAAAAAAAAGTGGATGCATGCAAAGGTGAGTGCATTAAAAAGAATTTGTAACCCAACAAAATGAATGTTTTCACTTAATATCTAGCAAGAGTAAAAAATAATATCCATCTCGTAATAGCTATGTCACCATTAGGTGAAGCTTTTACAACTCGTTTAAGAAGGTAAATTTTCTAATAAATAAAATTAAAAAAATAAAAATATTTTTTTTAGATTCCCCTCATTTGTAAGTTGTTCAACTATTGACTGGTTTACTGAGTGGCCTGAGGAGGCCCTTATTGGTGTTGGTCTCGGAGCATTAAGAGAAGTTGACCAAGAACTTGGTATTGAAGAATAAGTAGATTCACTTGTTGATATGTTTAAGATTATTCACAAGAGTGTTGAAAAGATAAGTATTAAATATTTAAATGAGTTAAGAAGACACAATTATGTGACACCTACTTCTTACTTGGAGCTTTTACAAATGTATAAGCAGATACTCAAAGAAAAAAAGACAAAATAAAAGAATGCTATACTTAGACTTTAAAATGGTCTCGATAAATTACACGCAGCTAATTAAGCTACAGTTGAATTGTAAGTTAAATTGGGAGATATGAAACCGTTGTTGGAAAAAGCGTCTATAGAAACAGAGTAAGTTATGGCAAAATTATCAGTTGACTAAAAGGTAACAAATTTCTTTTGAATTTTGAAGAGTTTTTATCAATTATTAGATACAAAATTAATCAAATAAATATAAAATTTATTAATTAATTAAAGGAAGCAGAAGAAGCTGAGAAACTTGTTGCTGCTGAAGAAAAAATAGCCAAAGCTCAACAGTAAGATGCAACTGATTTAGCTGAAAAAGTAAAAATTTATATTTTAAGTTTTTTATTTAAATTATATTATTTTAAAGGCTTCTGCTGCAGTCGCTGATGCAAATAAAATTTTGGATGCCACACTCTAAGAAGTACAAAAATTGAAAAAAGATCACTTGGTTGAAGTTAAAGCTCTACCTAATCCTCCTAAAGCTGTGAAGGTTGTCCTTGGTGGTATTGTGATATTGAATTTAGATTACATCAAAAAATGTGGTGGAAATATTATTACAAAGAAAGTAGAAGGTACCTTGAATTAAAAAGAAGAAGATTACTTCGAAACTGCCAAAAAGTAATTCATTTTAAAAGATAAATTCATTTTTAAAAATATAATTATTAATAAGGTTTTTACTAAATGATCCAGCAGGTTTATTGGATATGCTAAAAGGTTTTGATAAAAATAATATTAATCCAAACAATATATAGAAATTAGAAAAAACTATCATGCCTGATCCTGATTTTACATTAAGCAGAGCACAAACTTGTTCTTATGCTGTGCAGTTCTTATTCTAATGGGTAAAGGCTATGTATGATTACAATAAAGTATATTTAGAAACTAAACCTCTCCGTGACAAGCTTGATGAGACTTAGAAAATTTTAGATGAGAAAACAAAAGAACTTAATGAAAAGAAAGCTAAGCTTGATAAGATTTAACAACAAATCAAAGGTTTAGAAGATTTATATAACTCAAAAGTATAGTTAAAAGAACAGTTAACTAACTAAATGAATGATTGTTAAATTAAGCTTGAAAGAGCTATTAAATTAACAAGTGGATTATCAGGAGAGTAGAAAAGATGGAATTAAGAAATTCTTAATCTAAAAGATGGTGAGCTTTATCTTGCAGGTAACTCTGTTATTGGTGCAGCTATGGTTGCTTATTCTGGGCCCTTCACAAGTCATTACAGAACTGAACTAGAATAGCAGTGGGTTAGACAGTTAACTCTTCATTCTATTATGCACACAGAAAAAATCACAATGCGTCAGTTCTTAGGAGAAGCAGTAAAAATTCAATAGTGGAACATTGCAGGTCTTCCAAAAGATGACTCTTCCACTGAAAATGGTATTATAATAGATCAGGTAAATAAATTTTGATTCATTTAACACAATTTTTTAACAAGTTTAATAAATCAACTTTTTTTGTCTAAATTATTTTTGCAAAAAAATTAGTCAAGAAGATGGACTCTTATGATAGATCCTTAAACTTAGGCAAATAAATTTATCAAAAATCTCGGTAAAGACCATGCTGAAGGTTTAGATGTTCTTAAGATTTCCAATCCTTAATTAATGAGAACTTTAGAATTAGCAATATAATTTGGTAAGAGAGTTCTCCTTGAAAACGTAGGTAGAGACTTGGATCCATCTTTAGAGCCTATCCTTCAACAATAAGTTGTAAAAGTTGGTTCATAGTTAAGCATAACAATCGGTGAAAAGAATCTAACTTACAACCCTAATTTCAAACTTTATATGACAACTACTATCCCAAATCCTCACTACCCTCCTGAAACATTTGTAAAAGTTACAATAATCAACTTTGGTATCACTCCAAGCGGATTAGAAGAATAAATGCTTGCTCAAATTGTAGCTCTAGAAAATCCTCAACTTGAACAGAAAAAATTAGATATTGTAATTAAGAATGCAAACGATAAGAGATAGCTATTGAATATCGAAGATTCAATTCTTTAAGAATTATCCAGCATCAAAGGAGGTATTGAAGAAGTACTGAAAGATGAAAATTTAATTGAAAAGTTGCAAAACTCCAAGAAGTTTGCTGAAGGTAAATAAAAAATGAAACTAATTAATTAATATATTTAATAAATAATAATTTTTTATCAAAAATATAGAAATTAATAAGAGAGTAGAGGAAAGTAAAATCACAGAAGCTTAAATCGACGAGGCAAGAGAAGGATATAGACCAGTTGCTTTCAGCTCATCTTGGTTATTCTTCTGTATTTTAGATCTTTGCTTAATTGATCCAATGTACTAATATTCTTTATAATGGTTTATGAACCTTTTTGTTATGGCAGTTGAAAACTCTGAGGTATCTAATATACTTGAAGAACGTCTTGATAACTTAGATAAGTTCTTTACATATTCCCTCTATGAAAACATTTGCAGATCTCTCTTTGAAAAGCACAAACTTTTATTCTCTTTAATGTTAACTGTCAAGATTTTGCAAGGAAAAGATTTAATGAATAAAGAAGAATGGAGATACTTACTTGCAGGTCCATCTGGTGATATCAAGGTATTTATTCAATAATATCCAAATTTTGTTAACTTATTTACTAACTTTTATATTTTTTAATATTGAAAATTTCACATTTACAAATTTAATTTTTTTTAAGATTAAATTTAAAAATTAAAATAATTTTTTATTTTAGATTTATTTATTTATTTTGTAAGTTGAATTTAATTAAATTTATTAAATATTTAATATGATTTAAAAAATTTTTCACAAATTATTTAATAGAAGTATTTTGTTTATAAAAATAAAATAGGTACCCGAAAATCCAACTTAATGGATTAGTGAAAATTCTTGGCCAGATATTTATAGATAAATATTTGGTATGAACCATATTGAAGCTTTCAAAGGCATCGAAGAACATTTTATGAAACGCCCTGATGATTTTAAGATATTATTTGATTCATTAACTCCTTAAACTGAACCTTTACCTGGAGACTGGGAGAAGAAACTTAATTAATTTGAGAAAATAATTGTTTTGAAATCATTTAGACCTGATAAAGTAGTTCCAGCCATCTAGAATTGGATTGAAAAAATTATGGGTAAATTTAAAATAATTATTTTTTTTCAACAAAATTAAAACACATTTAAATGTTATTAGGTAAAAAATTCATTATGGCTCCTGGCTTTGATCTTCCTAAATGCTTTAAGGATTCAACTTAAGCCACTCCATTAATTTTTGTTCTCTCAACTGGTTCAGATCCTGTTGCTGATTTTATGAGATTTGCTGAGGAATAAAGTATGTTATAGATGTTTGAATCTATTTCTCTAGGACAAGGATAGGGTGTCAAAGCAGAAAGAATGATTCGTGAAGCTGTATAAAAAGGTAAAATGGCTTTATTTTAATTCATATTTATTTAAATAAAAATACTTAAAATTCAAATAGGCACTTGGGTATTGCTTTAGAATTGTCATTTGGCTTCAAGTTGGATGAGTGAATTAGAAAGATTATGTGAAGAATTAGATGGTGATAATGTCCAAAAAACATTCAGATTATGGTTAACCAGTATGCCATCTAAGGATTTCCCAATCAGTGTTTTATAAAATGGTGTTAAAATGACTTTAGAACCACCTTAAGGTCTTAGAAACAATCTGTTAAGAACATACAATAATTTAGATTCTAAAGACTTTGAAGAATGTCAAAAACCACTTGAGTTTAGAAGATTGCTGTTTGGTTTTTGTCTTTTCCATGCAATTATCTAAGATAGAAGAAAGTTTGGCCCTATTGGTAAATATATCATTCATACATTAAATTAATTAATTTTTAAAAATTTTATCACCAAAATTTTAAGGTTGGAATATCGCATATGAGTTTACCAACGAAGATTTGACAGTATGTAGAAGGTAATTGAGAATGCTTTTGGATGAATACGAATTAGTTCCATATAAAGTGCTCAACTTTTTAGGTGCCGAAATCAATTATGGTGGTAGAGTCACTGATGATAAAGATGTCCGTTTAATAAAAACGATTTTACAAAATTACGTCTGCAGCTAAGCATTAGATGAAGGTTATAAGTATTCTAAATCTGGCATTTATTATCAACCAAAAGCAGAAACCATAGACGATTATATTAGGTATATCACAGACCTACCTCTAAATCCTGAGCCTGAAGCGTTCGGATTGCATGATAATGCAGAAATCACAAATAGTTAAAATACAACAAGAGAATTACTTGAAACTATATTGAGTGTATAACCTCGTTCAAGTTCATCTGGAGCCAAAAGTAGAGAATAATAGATAGAAGAAATTGCTGACTATGTTTAATCTCGTACTCCAGAAGTGTTTAATTTCTAAGAGATTTATAAAAAATACCCTACAAAGTATGAAGAAAGTATGAATACTGTACTTGTCCAAGAAATTATTAGGTAACTCTTTCTTTGTTTTATTAGTTTATTAAAAAATTTTTAATAAAAGATACAATCGTTTACTTGCGATCATGAAAGAAAGCTTGATCAATGTCAAGAAAGCACTGAAAGGTTTAGTCGTAATGAGTGAAGAATTAGAGTTGTTAGCAAATAGCTTATTCGACAATTAGGTCCCAATAATGTGGGAAGAAAAGGGCTTTTTAAGTCTGAAACCACTTAGTTCATGGACTCAAGATTTAAATGATAGAGTTAATTTCTTAAATGAATGGATTGAAAACGGTACACCAAAAGTTTTCTGGATTTCAGGTAAAAAAAGCAAAAAAATTATTAGACATAAAAAAATATTTTAAAATAATTAAAAAAGGATTCTTCTTCCCTCAGGCTTTCATAACAGGAACTTTGTAGAATTTTGCAAGATAAGAGATTATTGCTGTTGATAAATTATCATTCGAATTCAAAATTCTTGATAACTTACATTACACAGATATTCAACAAAAACCTAAAAGTGGGTGCTATATCTATGGAATTTATCTTGAAGGAGCTAAATGGAATTATAAGACTCATATGATTGATGATCCCTAACCAAAAGAATTATACTCTGATCTACCCTTAATTCATTTAGTGCCTAAAGAAAATAGGTAGGTACCTGAAAATGGAATTTATAACAGTCCTCTTTACAAAGTAGTTTCCAGAAGAGGTACTTTAAGTACTACAGGTCACTCAACTAATTTCGTTATGTTTTTGGAGCTGCCAACTGATAAAAAATAGGAGGTTTGGATCACTGCAGGTGTTGCTGCCTTTTTATCATTAAGATATTGATTAATTTGTAAAAAAGAAATAAATAAACAGTAAATAATAAAGTAACCTTAAGAGATAAACCTAATAATAGGAAAAAATTTAAAGATTCCTGCTTCAATTTATTAATTCATCTAAATTAATTAGAAAAATAAAATAAAACTAAAATAATCGTATTAATTTGCTTTCATAAAATATAAAATGAAAGATTTATATCAAATTTAATGTGTATATATATTATTATCATTTTTCTTCCCTTAAAAATTTATTCTTGCCTTACATTAATTTAAAAATTTTTGCAAGATTTTATTTTTAATTTCTTTAACCAAATAGCAAAAACGTATCTTTTTATAAACTATTTTGATTAGTTTATTTATTTATTTAGATAATATATAATTATTAATTTTAAGAAAATCTTTATTTTAAATGTTCCTAAGATAGTTTATTAAATAATCTCATTGTTTAAGGTCAATTAGAGTTGGACTCTTAAAGAATTAGACCAAATACCTTATTTCAAATAGAAATAGATTCTAACATGCATAAATCTTTAAAAATTTATAAAACTTAGCTTGTTTCCGTATGAGCAGTAGCTAATAGCAAAATGATGATGATCAAGAATTAATGAAATTTATTAGGCATTAAAAGATGAAATTATAAATGGATATGGAATTCTTAACTTCAACAATAGTGGAAGAAAGATGTTATAACTTATATCCTATTATTATTGAAAGTGGTAGTTCATAAGATTGCTTTGAACTTGGGTAAATTATGCACAACTATGTTTAAAAAATGGAATAAAAGTAAGAAGATCAATAAAAGATAATCCAAAGCGTCAATCTTAAAACTATTAAGTGTTATGGACACATAATAGTCGCTTTTGGCCATCTCAAAAACGATAACAATGAATTAGCAGATTAAGAATTGAGTAAAATGCAAGCTGAATTCTAAAGCTTTGAGTCAAAAATTTAATATCATTAGAAATTTCTAATTGTTTGTCATATAGTTAGTATCTTATCTCTAGCAGAAAAAGAAGAAAAGTGTCTTTTTTTAGTAAGATATATCTTTAATTAGTTACAAAGTGCTTTCAAAGATTTAGATTTGCTCGATGAAGGTCAGTACGAAATAGCTTTTAAAAGCATTCACTTTTATATTTTGAGTTTAATTTAAAAGAAAAAGGATGACATGTTAAAATAAATAATAGAAGAAAGTTAATTTTTAAATATTGAATACTTGTATAACAATTCAGTGCCTATTGCATTCTCTTCAGCAGGTCATATATTTAGTTGTATTGGATTCTACTTTTAACAAAATGGAGATAAGCTAACAGCATACAGATATTTAAAATTCTCAGCTGATATATTTGAATAGATTGAAGGAAAAGACTCTGAAAATTTCAAATACATTAAAAGCTAAATAGATTCTTTCAAATGATTCCAGATATATATTATTCATACATTCATTCATTATAAGTGTTTTTTATGTTTTTCCTAAATAAATTGAATAATATTCACTAAATGTTAACTAAACATAAGATCATCTTTGATTTTTTATAAACTTAAAAAAAGCTACTACTTGTTCTTTTTTTGACAAATTTTTTACTTTAAAGTTTTGTTTTAGCATTAATAAAATTAAATTTAATTAATTTGAGTTAAAAAAGATAAATTAATTTTATTTATTAAATTCATGTAAAATAAATTTGTTTTTTGATTTTATTTTAAGTTAAATTTATTAAAAAATTTAAGATATTTATTTACATCATATATAGGAAGAAAATAATCTAAAGGAACTTCAATTGATACTCAGTCTTCTCACAAAAATATATATGAATAGCTTTTTTACTTTTGTGTTATCATAAAATAAATTGCCTAAAGTTAATAACAGTGTAAAATGTATAAACTAGGTTCCTCGGACAAAATTTGTCTCAAAATTAATAGGTACCTTACTTTTATTTGATTTTATATAGAAAAAATAAAATTTGGAAATAAAATTGTGCTCATTTTTAATAATTCTTATTTTATAAGGATAGGTTTTATTGTTTGTACCTTATTGGTGTTTTATCTTATATACATTATTGAATTATAAATTGATGTATTATTTATTATCTTAAATTAAAGTATAAAAAAGAATTTTCATAATATAAAAATGATTAATAATAATTTTACTTATCTAAAATGAAAAAAATAAATAAATTATTTTATTTCTGCAATTATAAAATTTAGTAATATTTGATAATAAATTAATTCAAATAGCATTTATAAAACCACTCTGAGATCATTTAAAGTTTTTAATGGTAAAAAAAACATGTTTTATTCTGGATGGAATAGAGAATTAATTTTTACTCAAACAAATAAGTATTTTTCTTATTTCTTAAAACTAAATAATAAATAAATAACTAGCTAGAGAATGAATACACTTAAAACATTTTTATTTACAATTACAGGCTTTTTTTCAACTGCCTCAGCAAAAAAAAATTTCATCTAAGTAAAAGATGAAGCAAATTATTCATATTTTTAATCCAGTGTCAATGATCTACTAACATATGATATAATGAGCCTGACTTAATATAAAAAACATTTGTATTAAAAATTTATAGATGCTTTGACTGAATAAGATAAAATGCAAGTAATTTCCTATTATCGAATCAATAAAGATGCAAAATTTGAGAATGAATATGAAAACCTTTAATAATAAATGTCAATCCATGATACACAAACAAGCTATTCATATCTACCAAATAAATCAAAGAAGTAATGGCATGTCAATTTTGCAGATCAGCATCTTTTTGGATTTTATAATACTAATTTATTTGCTTAGGATGAAATTTAATGTGCTGAGCATCCTCTTTTATCTCATGTCCGATCAGCAGCTCAATACCTAGGAAATAGAGTAGCTCCTTTAACTATAGAAAACGGTCCAACTCCAATTTTAATTAAAGATGTCCACAGACTAGGTTTTGTAAACATAATGCCCACAAAGGAAAATAGAAATGGTATTTATGGTAATAACTTTGCCAAAGCAAGTTTGGACTATATAGATAGAATGAGCTAGTAAATCATAAATGATAAGCCTTTAACTAATTTTATAGCTATGGCTGCTCTTGGTTATGGATCAGGCACTTACCAAACTTATGAAATTGAATTCTTATTTTAAACAGCTAAAAACTCATTTAGTTTAGCAAAAGAACTGAGTGGAGATATGGAAGTAGAACTTCATACAGGAAATTGGGGATGTGGTGCTTTTGGAAATAATAGATAATTAATAGCTAGTATATAGCTATTTGCAGCACATTTAAGTGGTATTGAAAATATTGTCTATCATACTTTTGATGAGCAAGGAAAAAAAGGTTTTGAGTAGGGCAAGAAGATCTATGAAAATTTTTTAAGAGACATAAAAATAAATAATTGTGAATCGCCTAACTTTTAATTAGATTAATAATTCATAATGTATTTGAGTAAATAAAATTTTCAATGGGGATATTCTGATGGAAACTGAGACAAATTTAAAATAAAATTTATTAAAAATTTTTTGAATTTAAAATAATTTTAACAATATATATTTTCTAATAATTAAAAAAATTTTTAAAGTATCACTAATTAATGTAAGATATAATAAATGCCTAAATTTTAAAAACAATTTTTATTATGTAAAAAAAATAATTTATTTTTTAATAAATTTAACTATTGAAGGCTGGTATAATAAATTATGTAAAAAGCTAAAAAACACTAACCAGACCAGATGACATTTTCCTTCACCTTTAAATAGAATATAATAATCAATTAAAAGTATGTTGGTGTTCTTTATAAAAATATTTCAAAAAATAAATACACTACACAATTTATTTATTTTAATAAGCTTTTATTTATTATAAAAATTAAACAATAATTTAAAATAAATCAATTAGTAAATCATAAAACAATTTAATCAATGACAAAATTTATTAATTATAATTTAGTTTAACATTATAATTAAGGAAATAACAATAGAATTAAAAAATATATATGTATGCTAACTATTATATTCAATTAAGAATACATTTTACTATTTGTAATTTATTGAAATTAATATGTCATGTTTATTTAATACAATTTTATACAATCAAATATTTATTTATTAAACACAAATGAATTCTAATCTTATGTTTAAAAACTCTAACAGGTCTCCCTAACCAAATTCAATTTGTGTTTGTTCAAATTTAGTGAAGATTTCATAAATCCAGAATATACAGAGTAATAAACAGCTTGAAAAATGATGATATTTTTAAAGTTTAAAAACATCAAGCAAAATTTTAATAACAACATAACTTGCTTTTAAAAAAATATGAAAATGGGATCAGCTCTTGTTTTACCTAGAAATATATATATAGTAATCAATATCCTTGTTCTTGCAAAGACTAACAAACTAAATCAATAATTGAAGATATTCTTACATTATAAAAAACCTAGATATATACATACATACAGTTTGTTTTTGTTTATCAATGTATAACAAATTTGAAAAATTTCAAATAGCCATTATAAGATGTATGAATATTATTGATTGGGTTTTTATATCAAAAATTCTTTTGTAATTTTTTTTTTGTTATTATGCAAGAAAATTAGACAATTTCTCTTAATAAAAAAACTAAGTTCAATATTTCCTACACTTAATGTAGATAAATTCTAACTTTAACCTGTTTATAAGAGTAATATAGGAATGGTCTCTTCTTTTAATATTTTATGAGTTATTTAAAGTCTTTTTAAAATATCTATGATTTGCACTATATTTCCTTGTTTTGTTAGCAATTTTAAGTTGTCAAACATCACAAGAATCAAACTAATTCATATAAATTTTACTGATTGCAACATCAATTTCTTTTGTTTTAGTGCAATTTTCTTTATCACTAATCAAAAACTTAGTAAAAAAATTTTTTTCTTAGTAGATTCATAGATCTTTAATACCTTGTTTAGCTTATTAGTCTTATAAGAAATTGTTAAAATTTTAACAATTATATAAATATTTTTTAAACCGTAGTTAATAAATTAAATTAAACTTCAATTTTAGCTTTAAATAATAATGTATTTTTATAGTTCTTGTTTATTTGTTTAAAAAAATTCTTAAAAGTTAAATATAATTATTAACATTATCTGCTAAATTATTAAAAAATTTATTTAATAATTGCTTAATAATTAATCTCTTAAAAAATATTTATTGCAATTTCTATAAAAATTTAATTAAATTATTATTAGAAGAGAATAAGATTAAAAAGATAACTTTACTCCCTTTAGAAATAGAAGTATTTGCAATTAAAATATATATATTTGAATAACTTAATATTTTTTGAGTAAAATACAAATTATACCAAACACAAAATGTATATTTTATGATATTTTATTAATTTTATTTTATTTGCAAGTATCTTGATAGAATGGAATGATTGACTTATTTATTATCTTGTCTGAATATTTTTAATTTTGGGATATTCTCAAATTAATTAAAAAAAATATCTATCACTATAAATAGTAATTAAAGTAAAACTCTTAATAAGATTATAATCCTATTTTGATGTAAGTTCATCTTCAGTATTATTTCTTGTTTTTAATTTTTTTTTTGTCTAAATTAATTACTTCATTTAATTACAATATTCTATTTAATGCTAAACTTTCTAAAAAATTTATTTAAATAAATTTAAGAAATTAGAAAGAATTAAACTTCACTTTGCAATAGTAAAAATGTATAAATTTAATATCCTATTGATAGATAAACTTTCCTCTTTGTTACTTCTTTTTTTCAAAAATAAATTTTTAATTAAGATATAAAATTTTACCAGTGATTTTTATTGATTAAATCATGTTCTAATTTTAGAAGTTAATAAAACTCCAGTCTAGTTTATACTGCTTGAATATTTTTTCTTTCATAAGTGTGCTTTTTAGTTATAGAAAAGAGCAGAGAGATTCGAAAAATGACACTATAAGTAAATATTTTAGAGCATTTTGTAAATAATTAATTTGGTAAAAGAGTTTAAAATTTATTTATTTGATAAAGTGAAATTGATATTTTTAATTAAGAATTATCAAAGATAAAAAAGAAAGAGTTTTTATTAATATAAAAGAATATGTTTTTTTAAATAGAATTAATTAGGAAGAATAAATAAATTAAAGTAGCAGATAAATACTAAAATTCTTAATTAATAGATAAAATTGAATAGATAGATTAGAAATTTTAATTGATCTATCTATTACTAGAATATAGCCAAATACTATGAAATAGATAATTAATAATAATAATTAAAACTGGCAATTGTTCAATTGCTGAACATACTTTCATATCTATTTATATCTTTATTTTCTAATTAAATTTTAAAATGAAGATTGCTATTATACGGAAATGAAGCAAATAAAGTATTTTAGTGGCTGTATAATAAATAATATTCTTAATAGATTTTTTGTTTAAAAGCAATGTGCAGCAATCGATGAAAAAATTAAAATAGTAAGTAAGTGGATTTATAAGCAATTGTTTAATTTATATTAAAAAATCGTAAAAAAAGACAAAGAAATTTGATCTTGTTTAAGAAAATTAAATTATTCACTGTAATTACTTCAAAGCATTCATTCATTAATTAATTAAATTGATCAAATTAATAAAAATACAAGAAATTTAATATATACTAAGCCAAGATTCCTATTAGAGTTAGCATTTTGGAAATAAAGTAGTAAAATTAAAATAGGCAGCCCTATTGAGTTACTAGCCAAATTAATGGTAAAGCATGCAATACTAGCATCACAAGTATACGCTTTAAACCTATTTAGAATTTTAAGCGCTTTTTTACAAAAGATTTCATTTAATTTGTAGGAATTCATCATTATTTTTATCCTACAATTGAAATGTATTAATTATGTTTGATGAAGATCTTTGATTGAAGCGATTAAATGATAATTAAAAACTGTATTATGGACTAAAAATTTTATTTATGCTATAAAAAAGAAGTATATTTCCTCGTAAGTCAATCAGGGATGTGAAGCAAGTTGCAGATATAAGCCTGAAGGCTAATAATTAGATCAACATATCTGAAATATTTATCACACTCAAGTAAAGAATCATCACTTATATAACAGACTTTATAATACTTTTTATAATATAAAAATAAAATATGGATACTTCTACTAGCTCATCCTTATAAATTTTAAAATAATTTTATTAATAGAGATTATCTGGGTGACGAATAGCTAATCTTACTATCTTCAAGTCTAAAAAGATTACATCACCTAAAAGAATTTTTTCTGGATTTATCGTAATATTAATTAATAATAAATACTTTGTTATATTGATTAATAATATACAAAATAAATATTCACTTATGGAGCAAAATATATATAAAACTTATACTTTTGTTACTTAGCCAATAAAGCATATCTAGTACTTTAACTGAATTTAATATAAACAGAGAAATTAGGTTAGGAGATGAAGGAATAGGAGCTATCTTTAAAAATCTCAACTCTATAGAAAAAGTTTACACTCTTTACTTGATATTGAGGTATTTTAGCAAGTTTTTAATATAATTAAATTAGTAATTTCAATATGAATATTATAATAAGATACGACAACATAACTGAGCAAGGAGTATGGTATATGTCCTAAGTTCTTAAAAAATGTGTGGCAGTAGAAACTTTCTATTTAGATTTAGGGTAAATAATCTTATAAATTTATTAAAATATTCAAAATCAATGTTTTTCAATATTAAAAATACTTTTTTGAATTGTAATTTGAAATTCTAATAAACAACTTACCAATAAATTGAACAAATAAAAAGCAATATTTAGATAGATAAGCAAATAAGTTAATTTTATTCTATTTTGTTTATTTAATACAAACATATTTAACGAATTTGACCAACATAATTTAAGATTGGAATAAATTGGTAATTAAAAATATTTTGTTAAATAATAAGGGGAAATTAAATAGGCTCTGGAGGATTAAAGAACTTGACATCAATATTCTAGACTTGCAACAATATTTTTAGTCTCTCTTTGAATCTTTAGTAACTTTACTTATTTACAGTATTAATTTTAAATCTTTTTAAATAATTAGTTGGAATGATATTGGTTAGTAAGGAGCTGAGATTTTCAGCTAATCTTTTAGATGGTTCAGAAATCTTTAGCATTTATTCTTAAACTTTAAGTAAAATTTATTTCATTATAAAATAATATTTATCTAAATTAAATAAATAAATAAGTCGAAATGAAATTGGCGACTATGGAGTGTATCATATTTCTGAAGTGATTGCTAGAATGCCTACAATCAGAATAATGCACTTAAATTTAGGGTAAATAGACACCTTAAATTTACCATTTATTAAAAAATTAATTTAAATAACAGCCTGAATTTAATTACAGATGACGGAGCTAATTTCCTTAACTAATCTATTTACAATAGCTCGAACGCTACTGAGATAGTACTTAATTATAAGTAAGTATTTTTATAAAAAATATTATTATTTCTAAAACAATTTCACAGTTAAAACTTAATAGGAAGAAATATTGACCTTGAAATTCTGTCTATTTATAGTGCATTAAAAATACTTCAGAAAGTAGAAACATTTTCCATTTCAATGACGTAAAAATTTCACTTTGTTAAATGCTTATTTATTTTGCTTGATAACCTTTTTTACTTTTTAGATAAAACTAGATTAAAAGCATTGATCTCTTCGAGTTTAAGAAGTTTGTTTAATATTTTAAAGTTCTTTGTTGCTCTAAAAAACAAAAATTTTACAATTTGAAGAACTTTTCTCTTGATTTAAGGTAATATTTTTAATTTTATAATTTTAAAGTATAAATTTGTTTTATTTTTTTAGTTAAAATATGATTGACGACAGGCTAATGAAAGGGATTTCACACTAAATTTCTAAGCACGAAAACATTTAATTTTTGGACCTTAATTTCATGTAAAGTTATAAAACTGTCTAACTTAATTAATGATAAATATTTTTTTGAAAGGGGAAACACATTTTCTTATATAGGAGTTAAGGCCCTTTGTGAGAGCATCAAGGATCTATATTAGATTAATAAATTAAAACTAACTTTAGAGTAAAATTAAATTTACTAAATAATCTTTTTGAATTTTTTCTTTACTCAATAGCGAAAATAAAATTGAAGCTAAAGGTGTCTATTTATTAGGAGAGACTTTGAAATGCTTTAATAATTTGATATATCTCCATTTAAGAATTGGGTATTTTTAATTTGATTTAATATGATATCATAAACCCTTTTCGTATAATTAAGGTTGACATTTATAAACGATTAAGTAACATAACAGCTGTTTTTATAACTTAAAGAATGTAACAAAATAAAAAATTTGTTTCTGTCTCTCACGTAAAAAAATTAATTATTCAAAATTAATTTCTGGTGAAAAAAATGTTTTTTTAAATAAAAAGCCACAATTAACTAACAGATCAGTCACTTATAAATCTTAATGTGTTTCTTGATAGCTTACCAAAATTAGATAGTTTTGAGATAGATATAAGGTAATTCTTATTTCAACTTAGCAACAAAATAACAAATATAAATATCAATTATTTTATAAAATTTTTGAATAATAATTAAGAAATTAAAATTCTAATTTTATAATTAATTTAGTAATAATCTATTTCAAGAAAAAGGATTTGCCTTTCTTTTAAGATGTCTGTCAAAATGTTAAGGAATGATTCAACTGATAATCAACTTAAGGTAAAATTATTCTCAAAAAGATTTTAAAGTAAACAAATAAATAGAAAAAATAAAATAGACGATATTGACACATCTTATTTTGTAAAATATGCCAAAAAATGGTAAAAACTCAAATATTTTTTGCTCAATATGAAGTAATTATTTTTAATTAATTTTATTACATAACTTAACTAAAATTTGTATAAAGGTCTAACAATCTCTCATCATACTTAAAAAAAGAAGTTTCAATCCCTATAAAAAAGTTACCAGAACTAGTATACTATTAATTTCAGTGTTGATTAATTTAATCAAACAAATAAACAAACAAACAAAACATAATAATTAGACTCTCTTTAATCTTTTATTTGAACCCAAATATCTTTAAATAGTGATTAAATTTCTTTTTAGAGTAAATAAAGCTTAAATTATATACTAAAAAAGCTAATCGATCATTAATATGAATTTAATTAACTCACTCAAATAATCTCTCCTACTCTCCTTTAGTTTAAATAATTTAAAGATTTTATAATTAGAATAAATTTTCCATACAAAATTCTTAATCTCCTCTTAAACAATCAATATAATAAACTTAAACTTAAATGAAACCACGTACATACAAACAAACAACTAACTAACTAAATAAATAAATAAATAAATTACTAACTAATAAATTAAGTAATTATTTAATTAATTCAGCCTGGTTTAAATTTAAATAAATAAATAAATAATTTAATTATTCAATTTGTATATTCTTCTTTAGTAAATAAATATAACTTAAATAATAGTTTTGTTTACATGTTTTCAATTCAAAGAATGTATATTTTTTTGTTTTCAATACTGACTGAATGCTTTTAAAGTAAATATTTCAACAAATAATTTTATAGTTTTTACATAAAATATTAAATAGTTTCAAAATAATTGGAATTCAATTTATTTATTTATTAAAATTAATTAATCCTAAAATAAATAATTTAATGATTTAATTTTTAAATATTAATTTAGTAATAAAATACAGCTTAATTAATTTTATTACTCCCTTTCATTTTAAAAATTTTGATTTCTTCTTTTCGATTTTTTCAAAAAAATATAAAAATTCAAAAATTAGAAATCTGAGATTATTTTTAATGCATTAAAGTAAATATTTTAAAGGTTAATTTAGTATTTTTTATAAAAATGTTAAAGATTTGAAAATGATAATAATTCAATTAATTTGTTTTGCTTAACAATAAATAAATAATTTAATTATTCAATTAGTATATTTTTTTAATGAAATATAACTTGATTAATTTTTTAACTCCTTCTCATTTTAAAAAATGTTGATTTTTTTTTTTTTTGCTTTTCAATACATTATTGAACATTTAATGCATTAAAGTAAATATTTTAATAAATAATTTAGTAGTTTTTATATACAATATTAAAGGATTTCAAAATGGTCATAATTCAATTTATCTATTTATTTATTAGATATTTTATTTCTTTTTAAAGAAGCTATTTATTAGTTTTTTTTGAAAGAGGTTTTCATGAGTTTTTTAATTTTAATTTTTTATATAAAAGATTTTTTTTTTTTTCAGTGAATTTTAGTTAAATTTTTCATTACTTTTTAGGAGCTAGTTTATAGTAAACGAAGCTAGCAGCCACAACTCCTGCTCCTATAATTAAACTTGAGTAGATCGAATTCGACTTCTGCCTGCTATGAATAGCTTTTGATTTTCTTTCCTTAACATCTGAGTTATAACCTGACTTGGTATTACTAATATTTGAAGAACCTTAAAGTGATGCAGCACATCTCATTCTTTAAGTAACTTCTGATGAATTATTAAATTATTTAACTTTTTTAGGAGTGTCCTCTAAACTCTCTGGCTTTTCATGAATATTCTAGCTTTCATAGATAGTTTAAAGGCCCTTCTAATATTTAGAGCTTGATTCATATTTTTATAAAGGATTTAATGATTGAGGCTCTTCGTTTTAATAAGTAGTAATTGCTCTGTTTCTTTATATATTTTTATTGATTTATTATATTATTTGCTATTTGTTTGGAGCTTGGTGCTTTGGAGGAAGCTCTTGAAATTACTTTTAAGTCTAAAAAGATTATTATTGTTAAACTTACTGTTTTTATTACAAATATTCTGGTTACTATTATGACTTCTACTAGACATTTAACTTTTACTAAATCAAATTTTATTAATTAAATTCTTATTATGTTTAAGAATAAAGAGGACTTTATTAGCTCTTTCCTAAAGTCTATTGCTAATTATATTATGATTTACCATTTTCGTTTCTTTATTATTACAACTAACTTTATCCTTAACCTTACTAGCTAATTTATGATTACGGATACTTATTATTATCAGACAGGTATTATTTTTGAATCTAAGGTTGTTCTTTTTATTTATTGAACTAATTTTTATCTTTGGAATTTTACTCATTTAATAAATTTGAATTACTCACATTCTATTTATTTGAAATGTTAATGCTTTGTAAATTTAAATTGCTTAAGCTTTTCTAATTGGAATTATTCAATGAGTTATCATTTTGGTTGAAAGGATTCTTGTTAGACATAGCCAAATTAGATGTTTATTATTATGGCTATTATGAATATTTGAGTGAAATAAATGACCTAGAGTCACTTTCATTATCAGGAATATTATTAGAGTTGAAATCAGACACCTTAATTTTATTCATAAAAGAACTCTCTTGAAAAAGATGAAAGGTCTTGCAAGATGTTTCTGATAACTCTTAATTATATTTAGGCTTACGATCAAAGTCTTCAGGAGTTAAAATTTATGCAATTTGAGCAAGTGTGTGCTACTTTCGAGGCTCCTTATTTGCTTTGACATCTTACTTTACCTAACAATAGCTAGCTTGCATTTCTTTTACCTAGCTTTATAGCATAGAATTCTACACAGAGAGATTTTAAACTTGCTTATTATATTTACTCTTTTCTTTATCCAAACACTGCTAAAGTTCCTTAATATTCTTTTCATTCATTTTTAATTGCTAATATTTCTTCAGCAAAGCCTCCAATCTTTCTTTAGAAAACTGTATTTCAGTATCTATCTTTTAAATTTTTATATTATTTTGTTCCATTTGCTTTTTATAATCTTCGTTTGTTTATTCCATTAAACTAGCATTCTCCAAGCTATTGGAGTGAATGTTGTTCATATTTTCTAAGTTCTTTTTAATGTCTTGCAAATAATTTAGTTTTCTATTCATCTACTAAATTATGAGCATATTTTATTGCTACTCTGACTCAGACTCTTCAATCTACTTTTGTAAATAGCTGTTTCTTAAAAAAGATTCATTTGCAGACATTTGTAATTCTTCATTTTAGCTTTTTATCATTTACAGCTTATTCTTAATTCTTTCCATTTCATTTTCGCGATCTTCCTACTCCTTTTATCTTTCATAGTTAAGCTGGCTGGATTCCTTATACTCCTTTTCAATTTAAAAGACGAGCTCTTGAATTTTTTGTTTTTAGAGCTCATACTTTTTCTATATTTATGATGCATTCATTCCTAGTGCTACCCTAACAATTAATTTAATCTATTTATTTATTTTTAGAATTAACTGAGTATATTAATTTATATGATTTATCGCCTAGTTACTAAAGATAATACTAAAAAAATCTATTATAATTTTTGGTTTATATATTATGAAGTATTTTGAATGAAAAGAAACGATTTTTAATTTGCTATCTTGTTAGATTTTAATATTCTTTTAAATATTTAGAATATGATAAATAACTAACTAGAATCAATTTTATGAAAGAAACTAGAAGAAATTCTTAATTTCAATATTAATTTTCTATCTCAAATTTTCTTTCAAAGCTTAAAATTCATAATCGTGGATTCTTAGTGCATTTACATGCAAATTAATTTGCTTCCAAACTGATTTGTATATTGCAAAATTAACAAGAAAATTTATTGGTCAGTATAAATCCAAATTAAAAATAATTTAAATTATCATCTTTAATTAGCTAATTAATTTTTTACAAATCAATTACATAATCAAAAATAAAATGCTACTTTCTCATTTTATCTCTTTATTCAAATAAATTGTCAAGATATTTATATAAATTATCAATAGTGAAATTATTTGTTGAGATAAGCTCTACTCAGTCAGACTTATTATTTACCTCTAGTTTTTTTATTTAAAATTTCAAAATTAGAAGTAAGATAAATTAATTATATTTAATTCTCAATTTAAAAAAAATTAAAAAAATATTTGTTGAAGAACAAAATAAATGTTATTTAATATTTTTAATTTTCAAAAATAAAGGATTGCTTACTATCAAAGTTATCATTTAGATTAAAAAAATTAAAAAAATTGGTGAGGCTGATTGTATGCTCATTTATAAATAATTTATATTTATTTTATGCTTTTTATTATTTATGCTTATTTTAGATTAATTTACAGTTAGTTTAATTTATTTTATAATTTACCTATTATTTTTTTATAATGAATTTTAGAAATTAACTGTAATTCCTCAGTTTAAAATAAAAAGCCCTTAACTGAAGAATGAACAAAATTTCTCAAATAAACTTCTGAAATCTTGTTGATCATAAATGATAAGTAAAAAAGGTAAGGGTGTGAGGAATTAAGGTATAAACTATATGAAATTTAATTCTATCGTTTCATTTTTATGGAATATTATCAATACCTCTTTCATAAGCTGTTAATATTCATTTATAAAATTGAATGATTAGTTAAATTTTATAAATTTTAGTTTTATTCAGGCTTTAATTACATTTGATGTTTATTCATACAAAGTTTTATTATTTAAATTAATTTTAAGAATAATATCATAATATTTTTTAATAAAATAATTTAATTTTATTTATTAAGAGTGATAAATTTAAATATTTTTTTAGCAATAATAAAAATATTATTATAAGAACATAATAGAATTCTAATATTAGTTTACAATATCTTTCACTAAACTCAGTAATAATTTTGGTATTTTAAATGCCTTGTAAAGCAATTACATCAGTTCTTGTTTGATTAAAATATAGATAATAAATTAATTTATAAATTATAAACATGTATTTAAATTAAGTAAGTTGAGGGAATAAATCGATAAATTAATAAATATTTATTATATATTTTGTATTTGTAATTAATTTTTTATATAAATTAAAAATTGAAATCATAGAAAAACCTGATATTGATTGATAGATTGCTGTTTGTATTTAATAAATTAGTAGAAAATAAAGGTTGAAAAACATAAATTCAAATAAGAATGAGGAATTTAATTATTTATTAATGCTATTGATTGTTTTTTGAATGTGTTAGTTAAATAATAAATACTAATTAATACATATTTACATGCAATAATAATAGTAATTGTTGTAGGTTAGCTTTTATTTGTATTAAAAGTTAGTTAAAAAACAAATTTTTATATTTTAAAGATAATTTGTTCTTTGATTTTTAAAAAAAAGCAAAAGGAAGAAACAAAGTGATAACAAAAATTTTAGAGAGTTATTTTAGGAGCTTGTAAATTGTTTAAGTGCTAAAAGGAGTAAGAATACCAAAAAAAAATAAAAAAACTTAAACTTTTAGAGAAGAATAAATATTATAGATTGCTTATTGTATTAATAAGTTGATTGATTGACTAATAAAACATTTATAACTTGACAATTACTACTTTCAAATTATAATTATCATTTACAAAAATGGGTCAATGCTAATAGTCACATATGAATGGATATGATGATAAGAACACTTTTGATTCTCAAGATATGCCTAAGCCTTAGGAAAAGAGTAACTTTTTTTCATTATTCTATATATATTCTTAGCATATTAATATGATTTTTGATACAAATCATCTTTTTTAGGTACTTGAATGTTTATTGCATTAAACTAATATAAAAATTCATTTTGTTAAATTCACAATTATGAAAGATAGACAAAATTTTTAGCTGAATCATTCAATTTATTTATATTTTTACTTAAAATTAGAGTATCATAACTATAATCCACAGAGCAAGAAGTCTAAAAATGACATACCTACTTTTACTAACATTAATTAGGAAGACAATTATAAATAAGCTGTTAAATCTGAAAATAAACTTGAAAATAAAGACAGTGCTAGAGAAAGCGCAAAACAAAACTATCAATCTGCTGATTATCAATACACATTTATCAAGCGTCCTGCTCCCAACTTCTCAGGGATGGCATATTTCAACAAGGGATTCAAGAAAATATCACTAAGAGATTATAAGGGTCAATACGTAGTGCTATTTTTCTTTCCATATGATTTCTCTGAATTAAGTAGAAAAGAGATATTAGCTTTCTCTTAATTGAATGACAAGTTTGTAAAAGCAGCCTGTCAAGTTATTGGTTGCTCTTAAGATAGCTAATTCGCTCACATGAATTACTGTTAAAAGCCTTAATCAGAGGGTGGCTTAGGAAACTTAGAAATTCCTCTGTTATCTGATGTAGACAAGTAGATTTCAACAAGTTATGGAGTAGTTATAGAAGATGGGGAAGCAGGAGAGAAAGGTGAGTGTATAACAAAATTTTAATTTAGATTTTTTAAATATTTTAGAATTGCTTCAAACATGTTTTATAAATTTTAAAAAATAGGTGCAGCATTCAAGTCTACATTTATTATTGACAGCAATTAAATTTTAAGACATATGAGTATTAACGATATTTCTATTAGTATTAATCCAGAAGAGATTCTTAGACTTGTTCATACTTTCTAATAGCATGATAGAGAAAATCCATTAAAGTAGCAAATGACAGGAGGTTGTCCATTTAATCACAATGCTAAAGAAGATATTGATACTTTCTCCAGGTACTAGAGAAAGAAATCAGGTATAGATATTAATATGCTTTTTCACTCTCACTCACTAAATATAATTCTTAATTCAAATATATAGCCGACGATCAAAGCAATAAAAACGAAAGTGCCAAGTAAAGCAATCAAAGCAAAAGGTCCCATTCTAATTAAAATAATGATGGAAAAAATGAAGAAAAATAAATACCTTTAATAATAAGACTTGGAGGTGAAGAAGTTGTCCAAGATATAGCAGATAGATTTGTCAATGAAATTTATGGCGATTAAGATTTAAAAAAACTATTTTTGAATAAAACAAGCTAGAGTAAATAAAAAAAAGTTATCGGCCAATTCCTTAAAACTTACTTTGGTAGTAGATAAATGTAATTTTTATTTAATCTTTATTCTAAATTAAATTATATCATTTAAAAAGTAAATCTTTTTCCAAACAAAAAAGAAAAACTCATATTTTAATTAAAATATTTATTCAAGCAAAATTTAATGAATTTAAATATTTTAAATATAAACTAAATGAATTAAGAAATATATCTATTTAAATTAAAAATTTGATTTAAACAGTTTATTCAAGTAAATTTGTTGATTAGAAATATTTATTCAAGCAAAATTTAATGAATTTAATTAATTTTTAAAATAAACTAAAAGAATTAAGATATTTTTTTATTAAAATAAAAAATTTGATTTAAACAGTTTATTCAAGTAAATTTGTTGATTAGAAATATTTATTCAAATAAATTTATTGAATTTAATTAATTTTTAAAATAAACTAATAGAATTAAGATATTTATTTATTTAAATTAATCATTTGATTTAAACAGTTTATTAAAGTAAATTTGTTGATTGATTAGAAATATTTATTCAAATAAATTTATTGAATTTAATTAATTTTTAAAATAAAAGAATTAAGATATTTTTTTATTAAAATAAAAAATTTGATTTAAATAGTTTATTATAGTTAATTTATCGAATTTAAATATTTTTAACAATTAATTTATTGATTTGAAACACTTAAACAAATAGATTTAAAGTATTTATCAAAATAAATTTTTTGATTTGAAATGCTTTTAAAAAAAATAAAATTTCAAAAATTAAATATGTAAATAATAATTGATAAAAATTTAAAATGAAATTAAAGGTATTAAGGAAGAAATATGTAAGAAGCACATAAAGATTTAGGATTAAATGATGACCATTTCAATAAGGCCTCAGAATTTTTCAAGAGGATCCTAAAGGAGGATTTAAAGGTAAAACCACAACTTGTATAGGAGGTTATGATGCTGATTGAACCATTACGTTCATAAATTACTTAAAAACCATCTGAATCACTCTATAACAGAGTAAATAAAGAAGAAGGTATCAGAAAGGCTGTTAAATATTATTTTAACAAGATACTTCAGATTAATGAAATAAAACCTATTTTTAGTAAAGTAGATACTAATTAGGTCTAGGAATAATATGTCTAATATTTATCATTAGTATTTGGTGGTCCATCAAAGTAAAATTTAGTTTTATGTTTTACTTGATTTATAGCATATTTTTTAAATTAAAGATATAAAGGTAAATAAATGAGAGAAGCTCATTCTCACGCACACATTTCGGAGAAGGTGTTCACTTTTTGTTGCGCTTAAATCCAATAAGGGTTCAAAGAAAATGGAGTTGATACTCATTCAATAAATGAAATTGGAAGACTCTTAGAGTGTTTGAGAAGTGAAATCCCCAAGAAAAACAATACTTTATATGATAGACTAGGAGGAATTGTAGTTATTGAAAAGGCTGTGAAAAAATTGTATGAAGAAAAATTAATGAATATCCATCAATTAAAAGATTTCTTCAATAAAGTTGACATGAAATAGTTAGGTTAAAAGATGACAGATTATTATATTATGATTTGCGGAGGACCAAACAGGTAAATTTTTATTCTTTTAGAGAAAAAAAATGAGTAAATAAATTATCTTTTAAAAATAGATATAAAGGAAAAAGTGCAAAAGAAGCACATAGTAGATTTACTATTATGTCAAGCTAATTCGAGATATATAAGAACTTACTCAAAGAGTCTTTTACAGAATGTGGTTCTACTAAAGAGAGTATCATAGAATTCATGAACTTAATTGATACTATTAAAGTAGATATTGTAGGAGGTAAGCCACCTTCTTTGTTCGAAAGAATTGGAGGTGATGACTTCCTCACTTTATTTACTGAAAAATTCTTTGATAAGATTATGGAAGAAAAAAGAATTAGACATTACTTCATTAATGTAGAGCTGGCTCAAGTTAAAAAACATTTTAAGGATTATCTGAACATGGCCAGTGGTGGTTCAACAAAGTAAATTAAATTTTTTTCAATTATTCTTTATATTAAATCTAAATCCTTAATAACAGATATTCAGGCCAAAATGTAAGAGATCATCATGAATAAATGGATATAAGCGAAAAAGATTTCAATGTTTTCATGGAAGTATTGAAAAAGACTTTAGAACAAATGTAATTAAAATAAGAATTAGGAGTAGAATTTTTGAATTTCTTTGAAAATATGCGTAACATGATAGTTTCTGAGTATGATTGAGTAATTAATACTAAATAACTAACTAACTTCCTTACTAACTAAATATTAACTAGCTTTGTTTGAATATAACCTTGATCTTAAAGTAGTAATAAATAAATAAATAAATATATGGTCGGTTTATCCATCTACAGCTATTCTGAAAATAAAAGAAAATATTTTTAATGAATTTTTCCAACATTAAATAGATTTAGTAAAATAATTAAATAAACTGATAAATAATACACACACATAAACTAATAAATATTAATTATAAAATTATAAATTAAATAAATAAATAAACAATCTAATAAATAAGTAACTATCTAATATAGTCCTATCTATTATTTAGACTTCATCCAATGATTCATTATATTTATCAATTATCATACTATTAATTAAATTTTAAAGCTATTTATGATGTATCAATCTTATTTTAGCTCAAATGTATTTATCTGTGTTCTTTTTTATATAATTATATTGTATTAATTAATCACTTTTTCATTTTTTAATATGTTTTTTCTTAATAAAAGTGCTTAATTATAAATAAATAAATAACTATATTTCTGTTATTTAGACTTTATTCAATCGTTATTAGATTAGTAATAATGCTACTATTAATTATATTTTTTCTTTCTTATATTTATAAAATGAAATATGAATTTTCATTGAGTTTAATTTCTATTTGTCTCTCTTTCTTTTTTATAATTATATTTTTATATATATAGTAATGTAAGGTACTGCCTTTTTCAAGGCTACAAAGTGAATGATAACAAGTTATATTATTTAATAATTTATTACTAAAATTTTTTAAATATGACTAACTAACTGGCCTTCTCTAATTCCTACTATATTTTTAAGTATATGTTTTAAATACAAATATTAAGATTAAATAATTAATGTTAAATAAATTTTTCTCTGATATCTCATCATAAAAGCAAATTTATAAATTAATATTTGATAATTAATTATTAAATTTTATTTGTTTTATTTATCCATTTATAATTAATTAATTAAATTCCATAAATTGCTATTCATTATTTTTGAAAAAAAAAATAAATGATATTATAGATTAAATAATACAATAGATTAGAAGAAGTAATTATTTATTGTTTTATTAATATCCTTTAAATTTATATTTATTAATAAAAATAGTTTATAAACTCTTCACTTTTATCTCATTAGGTTTTCCATATTCATCTCAAGTATATTTTATTAATAAATATTATTTTTATTATTATTAATATTTTTATATATTTAGCTTACAATTTATTTAAATAAATAATTTTTTTTATAGAAATTATCATCATTATTCATTGATTTTTATTAAAAATAAAACTTTTTTAGCTATTTTAACTTAATTTTTAATTCAATTTTGAATTATTTATTATTCATTTTTTATTATTTGATATTTTTTCTTCATTTTTTGCTATTAAAACTTACACTTAATAAAAGCAATTTATTAGTTTTGGATTGTAATATTTTTAATTATAAAAGTTAATTTAAAACATTAAAGCTCATTTAATTTATTTGGTTTATTTTCCTTTTTCTTTTGATTGTGATTTCATTTTTTTTCATTCTTTTTTAAATTTATTAATAATTAATTAATCTTATTATTTATTTCATATTTTTTCTTCATTTTTTCCTTCTAATTAACTAGAGTGAAATGCCAATTTAATTTACAAAAGGCAAAATGTAATATATCTTAATAACATAATAAATAAAGCTAAATTAGCTTTAAACAGCTTTATTTTTGAGTTTTTAGAAACCTTTAAATTCACAAAATGTAAATTTTGAAATCATATTTACCGTGCATTCTTATAACAAATCATTTTTTTTTGAAAAATTTTAAGAATTCAAAAATCAAGAGTACTTTTTAGCTTCGTTTTTTTCGAATCTAATTTAAAGTTTTTAAAATTGGTGATGAAGGTGCATCATAGTAAAAACATTTTATTTGTTTTGGATTGTGATATTTTTAATTATAAAAACTAATTAACTAATTTAAAACAATAAAGCTCTTTTTTACTTTTCTTTTTCAGTTATTTGTGCTTACTTTTTTTTTGTTCTTTCTTTGTTAATTTAACTCATCATTTTATTTTCAACTTTTGCTTTTAATTTTTAATTAATCCTATTATTTCATATTTTTTCTTCATTTTTTCCTTCTAATTAACTATTTAATGATATATATTTTCTTCAATATTAAAAAAGTTCTAATGAAATTGGTGAAGAAAGTGCATCAGGCTTAGGTTCTGCTTTAGCAAAGTGCATTAATCTCTCAAATTTGACACTTGAGATTTAGTAAAAACAGTTTATTTGTTTTGGATTGCGATAATTTTAATTATAAAAATTATTTTAAAACAATAAAGCTCATTTTTCTTTTTCTTTTTATTGTGCTTGCTTTTTTTTTGAACTTTATTTGTTAATTTAACTCATCATTTTATTTTCAACTTTTGCTTTTATTATAAATTAATCTTATATTACATATTTTTCCTTCATTTTTTCCTTCTAATTAACTATTTAATGATATATTTTTTCTTCAATATTTAAAAAGGTGCAATTAAATTGGTAAAAAGGGTGCATCCAGCTTAGTTTCTGGTTTAGAAAAGTGCATTAATCTCTCAAATTTGACACTTGAGTTTTAGTAAAAACAGTTTATTTGTTTTGGATTGTGATATTTTTAATTATAAAACTAATTTAAAACAAAAAAACTCTTTTTTTTTTCTTCTTTTTATTGTGCTTGCTTTTTTTTGTTATTTGATTGTTAATTTAACTCATCATTTAATTTTCAACTTTTAATTTTATTATTAATTAATCTTATTATTTCATATTTTTTCTTCATTATTTAAAAAGTTCTAATTAAATTGGTGACGAAGGTGCATCAGGCTTAGGTTTTGGTTTAGTAAATTGCATTAAACTCTCAAATTTGATACTTGGTCTTTCGTAAAATCAGTTATTTGTATTGGATTGTGATATTTTTAATTAAAAAACTAATTTAAAACAATAAAGCTCTTTTTTCTTTTTCCTTTTCTTTTTATTGTTCTTGCTTTTTTTTGTTCTTTCTTTGTTAATTTTACTCATTATTTTATTTTAAATCTTTGCTTTTATTATTAATTAATCTTATTATTTCTTCATCTTATCCTTCTTATGAAATATTTAATGATATATTTTTTCTTCAATATTTAAAAAGTTCTAATTAAATTGGTGACAAAGGTGCATCAGGCTTAGGTTTTGGTTTAGCAAAATGCATTAATCTCTCAAATTTGACAATTAACTTAGAGTAAAAACAGTTTATTTGTTTTAAGATTGAGATATTTTTAATTATAAAAACTAATTTAAAACAATAAAGATCTTTTTTCTTTTTCTTTTTATTGTGCTTGCTTTTTTTTTGAACTTTCTTTATTAATTTAACTCATCATTTTATTTTCAACTTTTGCTTTTATTATTAATTTATCTTATTATTTCATATTTTTTCTTCATATTTTCCTTCTAATTAACTATCTTCGATATTTAAAAAGTTATAACTAAATTGGTTATATAGGTGCATCAGGCTTAGGTTTTGGTTTAGCAAAATGCATTAATCTCTCAAATTTGACAATTAACTTTGAGTAAAAACAGTTTATTTGTTTTAAAATTGAGATATTTTTAATTATAAAAACTAATTTAAAACAATAAAGCTCATTTTTCTTTTTCTTTTTCTTTTAATTGTGCTTGCTTTTTTTTTACTTTCTTTATTAATTTAACTCATCATTTTATTTTCAACTTTTGCTTTTATTATTAATTAATCTTATATTACATATTTTTTCTTCATATTTTCCTTCTAATTAACTATTTAATGATATATTTTTTCTTCTATATTTAAAAAGGCGCAATTAAATTGGTGACGAAGGTGCATCAGGCTTAGGTTCTGGTTTAACAAAATGCATTAATCTCTCAAATTTGACACTTAAACTTCAGTAAAAACAGCTTATTTGTATTAATATTGAGATTATTTTAATTATAAAACTAATTTAAAACAATAAAGCTCTTTTTTCTTTTTCTTTTTATTGTGCTAACTTTTTTTTTTTTGCTTCTTTCTTTGTTAATTTTACTCATCATTTTATTTTCAACTTTTGCTTTTATTATTTATTTATCTTATTATTTCATATTTTTTCTTCATATTTTCCTTCTAATTAACTATTTAAAGAAATATTTTTTTTCGATATTTAAAAAGTTATAACTAAATTGGTTATCTAGGTGCATCAGGCTTAGGTTTTGGTTTAGAAAAGTGCATTAATCTCTCAAATTTGACACTTGAGTTTTAGTAAAAACAGTGTATTTGTTTTTGATTGTTATATTTTTAATTAGTAAAACTAATTTAAAACAATAAAGCTCTTTTTTTCTTCTTCTTTTTATTTTGCTTGCTTTTTTTTGTTCTTTGATGTTAATTTAACTCATCATTTAATTTTCAACTTTTAATTTTATTATTAATTAATCTTATTATTTCATATTTTTTCATCATTATTTCCTTCTAATTAACTATTTAATGATATATTTTTTCTTCAATATTTAAAAAGTTCTAATTAAATTGGTGACAAAGGTGTCTCAGGCTTATGTTCTGGTTTAACAAAGTGCATTAATCTCTCAAATTTGACACTTGATTTGAGGTAAAAACAGTTTATTTGATTTCGATTGTGATATTTTTAATTATAAAACTATTTAAAAAAAAAAAGCTCTTTTTTCTTTTTCTTTTTATTGTGCTTACTTTTTTTTTTGCTTCTTTTTTTGTTAATTTAACTCATCATTTTATTTTCAACTTTTGCTTTTATTATTAATTAATCTTATTATTTCATATTTTTTCTTCATATTTTCCTTCTAATTAACTATTTAAAGAAATATTTTTTTTCGATATTTAAAAAGTTATAACTAAATTGGTTATCTAGGTGCATCAGGCTTAGGTTTTGGTTTAGAAAAGTGCATTAATCTCTCAAATTTGACACTTGATTTGAGGTAAAAACAGTTTATTTGTATTAATATTGAGATTAATTTAATTATAAAAACTAATTTAAAACAATATATTGTGCTAACTTTTTTTTTTGCTTCTTTCTTTGTTAATTTTACTCATCATTTTATTTTCAACTTTTGCTTTTATTATTTATTTATCTTATTATTTCATATTTTTTCTTCATATTTTCCTTCTAATTAACTATTTAATGATATATTTTTTCTTCGATATTTAAAAAGTTATAACTAAATTGGTTATCTAGGTGCATCAGGCTTAGCTTTTCGTTTATCAAAATGCATTAATCTCTCAAATTTGGCACTTAACTTAAAGTAAAAACAGTTTTTTTGATTTTGATTGTGATATTTTTAATTATTAAAACTAATTTAAAACAATAAAACTCTTTTTTCTTTTTATTTTTATTGCTCTTGCTTTTTTTTGTTCTTTGATTGTTAATTAAACTCATCATTTTATTTTCAACCTTTGCCTATATTCTATTTCATATTTATTTAAAATTTACACAAATTTATTATAAAATTTTTAGTTAAATGAATTAATCATAAAAATTCAAAGTAATAAGCAAGTGTCTTAAATCAAAAAGATTAGTTATCTTTAAAAAAATATTTCTATGATAAACAAAGTGGCAAAAAAAGGATGAATAAATATTTAATTTTTGAATAATTGAATTTTATATTTTTTATAAAATAATATAGCAAAATGCCATTCAAATATTTAGTGAATTGAGATCACTATTTTTTTGAATGGCTGATGCGTTTGAATATGATTTATATAAAAATAAATAATTTTATAATAGATTTAATTAATAATATTAATAATTTTAATTTATATCAATCTTTATGATTTTTCTATTCAATTTCTAAATTTAGCCTTTTTTAAAATTTTTTCTTCAAATTGATAAAAAAAATTAAAAAATAGAAAGTGTAAAATTAGCTTTAAATCATAAAAATTAAATGAAATATCACGATCTGTACCTACTCAGTTCGTGATATTTTAATTACAGGATTAGCTATATATAAATAAATATTAATCTTTATTTTTTATATTTTTTATCACTAAATTAATATTTATTTGATTTCTTTATTAGATGTTGATTCATTTATTCTAACAAACTAATTATTGAATGAAAATCATATTTTATAAATTAATCAATATTGTTACATTCATTCATATATGTATGTATTTATAAAATATAATCTATAATTTAAAAGTAATTGAGGAAAACAATATTTATATAATCAATCAATTATATTTTAATCAAAGTAGATAACTAAAAGAGTATCTGAAAATAAAAATGAATAATTTATATCTAATTTTATTTTACTAATAATAAAATTAAATTTATTAGAAATAAACTTCTTAAAATTCTATAAATAGATAACTATATTTTACTACCATAAATTCTTTAAATTGAATGAATTATAAAAATAAATATCTATAATTTAATCAAAATAGTTAATCATATAAAGTTTTTTTGGCCCTTAATTTATGCTGCTCTTAATTAATGAGGATTTAGAGTATATTTAATTTAACACACATTAAATGTTAATCAAATAAGTTTCATAGATATTCCTTTTATTATTTATTTATTCTAAAATGAAATTCAGAAATTTTATATAATGAATGACGTTAATATAATAAATTTTTTCTGTTTCAATAAAATACAAGTGAAAGAAGAGAATGAATGTAAAAAACATTAATGGATTTAAAGTATTTATTAATTTAATTAGATAAATAGCTATTTTTATAGTAAAGCTAAGTGAGTAACTGATAAGAAAAATAAATTAATTAATCAATCTTAATCTGATGAAACATAACTAAACGTTTAACATTTTTAAGTTGATAACCCAAAATATTAATTTAATATTTTCAAATCATAAAACAGCCGCATGTTTGCTAGCAGGCCTGTCTTAAACTGCAGCAATTAATCTTTGTGTTTTCTTAAAGTAAAATAAAGGCAGAATAAACTAAGACTTTTTCAGCATCACTAGTAATAAATTGCTAAAAGTTAAGATTAAGGTTGTCATAAAAGTGAGGATTGCAACATAGTGTATTGAGAATTGCACTAAAGCAGCTTCTAGTGTATCTTCCCTCTATTGTTGTTGAGCCTTGCTTTTCTAAGAACATAGCTTTGTTGGTTAAGAAACATCCGAAGTAAAATTCCAAATATCCTAGTAAACAGTTGTCATTTGCTTTTAATGTGAGTGTCTCGTTTGTTACAGCTTTTTTAATGACTATTTTAGGTTGTTGGCATATAAGACATTACCAAAAGCATCCAGGTTATTAATATTCAAATGATCCAATTGCTACACCTTTAACATAAACTACTCCATGGAAAGGGTTAGGGAAGACAACTTAGACTCCATCTGGCTACACAAATTCATTGGAGACATGAGGAGGCATATTATATGAACAACAACACTTCTTTATAGGCCAACAGCAGCAAGCATTAATGCAACAAGGATCAAATTTTTAAATTTTATGAGAGCCCCCTTAGGCTGAATTGTAGGTGCTAAAACGGTAATCCCAACCACATTGCAAACAACTTTCATCTCTATTAACTTAAATGTCAGTAGTTTACTTCATGACAACACTGGCAGCACTCTCTACATTTAGTTAAGGGTTAGGTCCTTGAGTAGCTTGTGGCATCATCATAGGAACGTTCATCATAGGAACGATATTCATAGGCTACATTGGCTACATGATAATATTTATTGATAATAATTATTTTTAGAATTTTTTTTTAATTAATCAATTATGAAACTTTATGATCAAAATCTCCTTTATTTAAGTTATAAATTTTTGCCTTAAAACGAATTACGAAGAAGATTATCAATAGAAATTAAACCCTGAATTCACTTTATTTCTTAATTTAATAATTGAGGTACTGCTATAATTTGTTTTGTTTGTAACCAAAAAAATATCAATTAATTAATTCTTCACTCAGTTATCAAATTAATTTCTAATAATATGAAAATTTATTTTGGTTATAATTTTAAGTAATATTTTTTATTCACTAAAATAGTTTCAATTTTCTTTTACAATTAATAAAAAATAAAATAAATGAAATATTCTAATACTAAGATACATAAGATAACATTTCTTCTTTATTTGACAGATTTATTCTTTAAATAAATTAATTGCAGCTTTTTGGATATACCTGTTTGCTTAGCTTAAGCTGCTTACAACTATTTTTTTTGTTTGATGTAATAGCAAATTAATAAAAAGGATACTAAATTTAAAAAAAAAATAGCTTCTTGGTTTATTATGGATTGTTTTGTTTGAGTTACAAACTATATTATTTTGTGTATTATCTGATATGATAGACTGAAACATACAAATTCTCTAATTTATCCATCTGAAATTAATAAAAGAAATATCTTTTTGCTCAATCATTAATTAATCTTCTTATTTTACTAATAGAAATCCTTTACCAACTAATTATATCATTCATGCTTTTTGATACTATTATCTTATTCTATCAATTTAAAGCTCTTTATGTTTAAAAATGATTGGAAAAGATTTGCAGAGTTTCAAAATTTAATTTATTTATTAACTTTCATTCATTTTGCAGCTTGACAATTCCTAATAATTAATAAAATAAAACTAGCAAATAGAGAGATAATTATAATATTCACTTTAGCTATGAGTAAAAAATAATAATTTAATTCAATTGAGTAAAATTTCAATTTTTAAAAAAAGTAAATGAGATATTTAGATTCAATTGATTTAAATTACTTAAATTCTTAACGCTTAATCTAAATACAAATTTTCTTTGGTTAAGTTTACAGATTTATATTTTTTTGAATAAATTTATTAAGGGAAAGCTTGTAAATTATACTGATTAATTATATTAATAAAATCTATTAATTTTACTAACACTTATAAATAGATAGATATATATTTAAACTATTTTCTTATGATGAGAGATAGAATTATTTACAAAAAGATAATATAGAAAACATGGATAATCAAGTCACTGTAAATATTGACGCTTTAAATAATCATATATAAAAATATTATTAACCTTATTTTAGGATATAAAAAGTATATTTCAAAACAAATTTCATAAATTGAGGAAAAAAAATAATTCAAAATTCAGAAAAAATATATTTGTAAATAATAGTTAACTTTTGTTACTAAGATCTCAAAATTTGTCAAAGTTGCTCAAGTAATATCAAAATAAAAAAAATTCAAATTAATTTCAAAGTAAATTTTATTTTTTGTTTTTGTAAGCTCCAATATTAGATACCCTTTCCTTGATCTAAACTGCACTCTTCAAAATAAAGAAAAAACCTTTATTCTTATTTTATATGCTAAACAAATTTATTATTTATTTATTTATTCCTAAACATATAAATATCTTAACTCATTAGATAGAAAGCTATCAATGTAAACATTATTTTCAATTGAAGTCTAATTTTTTTTTTAGTAAAAAAAATATATTATTAATTTTGAATATGTTATGAAGGAAAATTAAACTGCTAAAACAAACAAAATAAATATATATGTATTTTTCTTTTTAACTTTGTGAATGCAACATCTAATAAGAATGTGGATATAAATAAGGTGGATGATGATGATAATAATAATATAAATAATTAAATACTTGTCACCTTTATTAGTAATTACACAATACAAAAGATCATTAAAATTTTTTTAATTTAATAAAGCTAATAAAATTCTCTAATTGTTTAGCTAAAAATTTGAGAAATCTATTTACTTAATTTATTAAATTGGCAAATAAGAAATTGAAAAAATATAAGTGGTCAAAAAATTAATTTTTTCATTCATTTAAAATTGAAATTACATAATTAATTTTATGATAAATAACAAATCAAATATCACATTTACATTTCTCAATTACACTTTTTTTTGCTTTATATTTTTCTTTTTTTATAAGGATTTTTTTTTAGTTTTTAATTGAGATAAAGATTGATCTTATTTTAATACTTATTAGCAAGAATTTAGTTATTCTTCCATTTAAATTTATTCCTAATATGAGCACATTTGCTAGTCCACATATATATTAATCACTCATATAAAAATTTTATTATTCTTATTATTATATAGCATTTGCCTTTCTTCGTTCAGATAATTTAAACTGCATATCAGTTTGGTATGAATCTTATTAATCTACTTCCTCTGGGTTGGCTGATTGTTTTAATATCTAATACGAAGCATACTTCATTTAGGGTAAGCATTTATAACTTTATTAACCAGTGTTTTTATAACTACCTTTCAGTTCTTAGTTGATCAATTAGAGTTTTAAGACGTTTTTGGCACAATATTTTCAAAGCTTATCTTAGGCATCTTTTAATATTGATTTATTATTTTCATAATCTTATTCTTGAACATATTTTAATGCTTTTTGAATAGAATTTGCTGCATTCACTCTCAGATAATGAAATTCTTGCATTTTCTTTAATTTAAATTTATTTATAATGCATTTCTTCATTCTCAAATAGCAAAGAAAGCTTAGCGAAATTTATTTTTAGCAAACTTATTTTTACTCTTCTTAAATAGAATGAGTAGATAAACTTACTTTAAAGATATCTAGGACTTTTTCGATATCCTAAATTGAATCCACTTTCTTTTTAGTATCGTTAATTTCAAAAACAATGTCTCTACTTGTACCACATCGAAGTGAATTAAATTTATTTTATATATTTTTTGCTAAAGTAATGCACATATTTCCATAAGTTTTAGATACAGTGTATTTACTTAAAAACTTAGTGAAATTTTAATCTCTAATAGGAATTTCTATATCTAAAACTAAATCTTTGGAAATAACAGAAAAATGACCTGCAAGAGCATCTACAAAATATGTCAATTTCATCCATCTTTATAATATAATATAATTTACCATGTTTTAATCTGGTTATTTTTTCCATATGCATGTTATCATGATCACAGCCATAGCCATATATATGAAAGCTGAAATTTTCGTTTTTCTAAATTTGAATCACTTTACCTAATATACTTGTATAATTTCAAACAAACAAACAAATAAACAAACAGCAAATATATATAAATATTGTACATAATTTTTATTAAACAACATTACAATGAATTGTTTTTCTTCAAAATTATTTTCTTATCTAATAAAATAAAAAAAGAAAGAAATCTAGCCAAAATTTAATTAGCTGCTTCTAAAATAATTATTAAAAAAATTTTTACTTAAAAAGAAAGATAGATAAATAGATAGATAGATATCCACTTATTTTTATAAAATTTAAAAACTTTTTGTTTGACTATAGGATATACCTCTTTACTTACAAATTGAAAAAAAATGAATTTATTTAACATTAGTGAAAAAACTAAGTTCAAAAAGTATATTTAGAATGGATCTATAATTATTCACATTTAAATATGACTGTAAAATTAAAAGGTAAAACTATTTCTCAAAATTAAGATCAAAATAGAGGTTTTAAATAATAATAAAAATTTATAGTTGGTGAATATTAAAAGATCTTATGCAGAAAAATACAAATTAAAGCCTCTATCAATTGGGTTAAAATATCTATATTTATCTAAACTTTGAGTAATTAGATTTTTCTTATTAATAAAAAAATAAGTTAGTAGTATTTTTTTAGAATCTTAATAGAGACAAATTCTTAATTTATAAATGTAAAAATCTTTGTTTTTAGATAAATATTGTAGTTTTTTTAATGTTTGAAACTATATAAATTCAAATCGATTTCTTTTTATATTAATTAAAATTCAGCATTTCTTATCCTTAATGAGCATATTTAATTGTAGTGAATTGAACTTGAATATAATAAAAAATGAAAACTAGTAAAATTTACAATTTTTAAAAAAAATTTCAATGTATTTTTGAATGTTTCGATCTATAACTTTTTTTATTATTTTAAATTTTCTTTAAATTTTTTAAATAATATTTCCTACTACAGAAATAATTATCAGAGAATAGCAATAATAGCAAATTAATGTAAATTATAGCATAATATATTTATATAAAATCCTTTTTTTATATCTAATATTTTTGATAGCAGTAAACTCATATAATTTAAAAAAAATAATTTATTCATAGCTAAAATTAATATCAAACATATCTTCTAATTTATTTAATTCATTTTTTAAAAATCTTACTAAATTAATTTTTTATTTTGTTTTTATATATTTTATTAAGTACTTTGCTCATTAAAAAAATATATTTATATGAAAAAACTAAATAAAGGAAAGATTTTGAATTATTCAAAAAAGTAGAAAATGATAGATAAACGAAGGTGAATTATAAATTATTATTTTGTAGAAGTATTTTAAAATTAACAAAAAATACAATATAAAATTAGAATAATTTTTAGCTCATTTTAAAAATATTAATCACAAATGAGGCTTTTACTCTGTATTTAATGGGATACTATAAAGTCCTTCAATAACTTTCTTGAAAACTTATCTTGTGATATGACACTATAGCTTAAAGCTTGATGTTAAACAACAAAGAGACAGGTTCTATATTTACTTTATGAGCTTACTCAAATGTGTGCAATCCTTCCTTTTTACCTAGATCTGTGACACTTTTTAAGTAAAACTAATTGATTTGCTAATTCTTACAAAGGACTTCTAATTTAGTTTTTCTGATTTTTAACTCTTTAGTAATCTTTAGAATTTAATCTGGCATAGGAATTACTATTGTTACACAGTATCTTTAGAGGGAGCCTCCATAACAAAACTTACTTCTTGGTCACCTCTAGCTCTAACATAGATATTTTCAATATTTTCTGGAGAAACATATTCTCCTTATTGCAACTTTAAGATATTTTCTTTCTATCGAAAACTCTTAAAGTACCATTTGGCAAGATAAGACCAATATCTCCAGAATGGAGCAAATCTTCTTCATCAAAAGCTATTGCAGTTTTTTCATCGTCTTTGTAGTTAGTATCCAACAAATACAGTATATCCTCTAATACAGATTTCACCTCTCAGCATAGGGTTTTCATTTTCATCATTATCAGTTGAGAAGTAACACATTTTAGGAACATCTTAAAGCTTTAATTAAGCACTTGCAACAATTCCTCCTTCATGATTCTAAGTTGTGTCTAAGAACAATTCTACTGTTTCTTATCCGCTTACTTAAGTTTGATCATAACCTTGCTTAATGTAATAGTTAAAATTACACCAAAAAAATCAAGAACTCTCTAAGAGATAGGAGCAGAACCGCTAATTACAGCTCTTAATTAATTTTCTTCCAAACATCTTCTTGAAATTGCTGAATATTTTTTTGTCATAAACAGGGTGATGAACATTGAATTTTCGATTTTTCTAAGATTTAATAACTTCTCATTTACTACTTTTTATATTATTTCTCATAAATGCTAATTAATTAGCAATTTAATAATTAATTTCATTGTAGAATTTAATCAAAACTCTAGGGATAATGATAAGTACTGTGGGTTATGCTGCAGTTAAGTCTTCTCTTGGCTTAAGAGTATCTCTACTTTAAAAGCTTATTTTAGCTCCTCTATCAATTTTTTACAATAGAAATAATTTTTTTTTCTTTCTGAGTAGCTTTAAATAAAATGGTTAAATTTATTTTAAAATGTATCTTAAATTTTTTCATATTTAAAGACAGACTAAAGTATTTTTTTTAAATCTTCAATTGTTAAATTTATTTGGTATTGATTTGATAGACCATTAATAAATAAGAGATATAAATAAATACTTTCCATTTACTCATGTTTAAGATGAGCGAATAGCTATGACCCATTTTAATATCACTTCCACTATTCAAAATTATGCTGTATTATCTTTGTATAAAGCAAAATATGTAATTGCTTCTAGGAGGGGGAATCTATCCTAATTAAATATTTAATTTCTTATTAAATTACTTACTTAAAAAATAATTAATTAATCATGCATTATAACCATTTTTATTTAAAAGTAAAAGTTCAAAGAATTATTAAAGTATCTAGCAAAAAAAATAAATATTTTTTAGTTATTTACCTGCTATTTGCACATATAGTTTTAATAACATAATCTACACAAGATGATTTTAGTTTTAATTGTTTTACAAGTTAATATTTTCTACATTTTTAGTTTGTATGTGCGAATGAATTTATCAACTTTTATATATAAATAAATATTAGTCTTTATTTTTTATAATATTTATCACTAAATTAATTCTTATTTGATTTCTTTATTAAATGTTTATTCATTTATTCTAACAAACTAATTATAGAATGAAAATCATATAATTTATAAATTAATGAATATTATTGCATTCATTCATGTATGTATTTATAACTTTTAATCAATAATTTAAAAGTAATTGAGGAAAACAATATTTATATAATCAATCAATTATATTTTAATCAAAGTAGAAATAACTAAAAGAGTATCTGAAAATAAAAATGAATAATTTATATCTAATTTTATTTTACTAATAATAAAATTAAATTTATTAGAAATAAACTTCTTAAAATTCTATAAATAGATAATTATATTTTACTACCGTAAATTCTTTAAATTGAATGAATTATAAAAATAAATATCTATAATTGAATCAAAATAGATTTTCATATAAAGTTTTTTTGGCCCTTAATTTATGCTGCTCTTAATTAATGAGGATTTAGAGTATATTTAATTTAACACACATTAAATGTTAATCAAATAAGTTTCATAGAAATTCCTTTTATTATTTATTTATTTATTTATTTATTTATTCTAAAATGAAATTCAGAAATTTTATATAATGAATGACGTTAATATAATAAATTTTTTCTGTTTCAATAAAATACAAGTGAAAGAAGAGAATGAATGTAAAAAACATTAATGGATTTAAAGTATTTATTAATTTAATTAGATAAATAGCTATTTTTATAGTAAAGCTAAGTGAGTAACTGATAAGAAAAATAAATTAATTAATCAATCTTAATCTGATGAAACATAACTAAACGTTTAACATTTTTAAGTTGATAACCCAAAATATTAATTTAATATTTTCAAATCATAAAACAGCCGCATGTTTGCTAGCAGGCCTGTCTTAAACTGCAGCAATTAATCTTTGTGTTTTCTTAAAGTAAAATAAAGGCAGAATAAACTAAGACTTTTTCAGCATCACTAGTAATAAATTGCTAAAAGTTAAGATTAAGGTTGTCATAAAAGTGAGGATTGCAACATAGTGTATTGAGAATTGCACTAAAGCAGCTTCTAGTGTATCTTCCCTCTATTGTTGTTGAGCCTTGCTTTTCTAAGAACATAGCTTTGTTGGTTAAGAAACATCCGAAGTAAAATTCCAAATATCCTAGTAAACAGTTGTCATTTGCTTTTAATGTGAGTGTCTCGTTTGTTACAGCTTTTTTAATGACTATTTTAGGTTGTTGGCATATAAGACATTACCAAAAGCATCCAGGTTATTAATATTCAAATGATCCAATTGCTACACCTTTAACATAAACTACTCCATGGAAAGGGTTAGGGAAGACAACTTAGACTCCATCTGGCTACACAAATTCATTGGAGACATGAGGAGGCATATTATATGAACAACAACACTTCTTTATAGGCCAACAGCAGCAAGCATTAATGCAACAAGGATCAAATTTTTAAATTTTATGAGAGCCCCCTTAGGCTGAATTGTAGGTGCTAAAACGGTAATCCCAACCACATTGCAAACAACTTTCATCTCTATTAACTTAAATGTCAGTAGTTTACCTCATGACAATACTGGCAACACTCTCTACATTTTGTTAAGGGTTAGGTCCTTGAGTAGCTTGTGGCATCATCATAGGAACGTTCATCATAGGAACGATATTCATAGGCTACATAGGCTACATGATAATATTTATTGATAATAATTATTTTTAGAATTTTTTTTTAATTAATCAATTATGAAACTTTATGATCAAAATCTCCTTTATTTAAGCTATAAATTTTTGCCTTAAAACGAATTACGAAGAAGATTATCAATAGAAATTAAACCCTGAATTCACTTTATTTCTTAATTTAATAATTGAGGTACTGCTATAATTTGTTTTGTTTGTAACCAAAAAAATATCAATTAATTAATTCTTCACTCAGTTATCAAATTAATTTCTAATAATATGAAAATTTATTTTGGTTATAATTTTAAGTAATATTTTTTATTCACTAAAATAGTTTCAATTTTCTTTTACAATTAATAAAATTATTAAATAAATGAAATCTTCTAATACTAAGATACATAAGATAACATTTCTTCTTTATTTGACAGATTTATTCTTTAAATAAATTAATTGCAGCTTTTTGGATATACCTGTTTGCTTAGCTTAAGCTGCTTACAACTCTTTTTTTTGTTTGATGTAATAGCTAATTAATAAAAAGGATACTAAATTTAAAAAAAAAATAGCTTCTTTGTTTATTATGGATTGTTTTGTTTGAGTTACAAACTATATTATTTTGTGTATTATCTGATATGATAGACTGAAACATACAAATTCTCTAATTTATCCATCTGAAATTAATAAAAGAAATATCTTTTTGCTCAATGGTTAAATTATCTTCTTATTTTGTTAATAGAAATCCTTTACCAACTAATTATATCATTCATGCTTTTTGATGCTATTATCTTATTCTATCAATTTAAAGCTCTTTATGTTTAAAAATGATTGGAAAAGATTTGCAGAGTTTCAAAATTTAATTTATTTGTTAACTTTCATTCATTTTGCAGCATGAAAATTCCTAATAATTAATATAATAAAACTAGCAAATAGAGAGATAATTATAATATTCACTTTAGCTATGAGTAAAAAATAATAATTTAATTCAATTGAGTAAAATTTCAATTTTTAAAAAAAGTAAATCAGATATTTAGATACAACTGATTTAAATTACTTAAATTCTTAACGCTTAATCTAAATACAAATTTTCTTTGGTTTAGTTTACAGATTCATATTCATTTGAATAAATTTATTAAGGGAAAGCTTGCTAATTAGACTGATTAATTAGATTAATAAAGTCTATTAATTTTACTAACACTTATAAATAGATATATATGATCACTATTTTTCTTATGATGAGAGATAGAATTATTTATAAAAAGATAATATAGGAAGCATGGATAATCAAGTAACTGTAAATATTGATGCTTTAAATAATCACATTAAAATATTATTAATCTTATTTAATGATATATAAAGTACATTTCAAAACAAATTTCATAATTTGAGAAAAAAAAATAATTCAAAATTCAGAAAAAAGATATTTGTAAATTATATATATATAGCTTTTGTTACTAAGATATCAGAATTTGTCAAAGTTGCTCAAGGTAAATTAAAAAAAAAAAATTAAAATTAATTTCGAAGTAAATTTTATATTTTATTTTTGTAAGCTCCAATATGAGTCCTCTGATACCCTTACCTTGATCTAAACTGCACTCTTCATCATAAAGAAGCAACATTTATTCTTATTTTATATGCTAAACAAACTTATTATTTATTTATTCCTAAACATATAAATACCCTAACTCATTAGATAGAAAGCTATCAATGCAAACATTATTTTCAATTGAAGTCGAATTTGTTTTTTAGTAAAATAATTAATAACTTATTTTGAATATATTATGAAGGAAAATTAAAATGCAAAAACAAACAAAATAAATAAATATGTATTTTTCTTTTAATTTTGTGAATGCAACAACTAATAAAAATGTGGATATAAATAAGGTGGTTGATGATGATAATAATAATAATAACCAATTATTTGCCACCTTTATTAGTAATATACACAATACAAAAGATCATTAAAATTTTTTTAATTTAATAAAGCTTATAAAACTTTCAAATTGTTTAGCTAAAAATATACGAATTTTATTTACTTAATTTATTAAATTGGCAAGCAAGAAATTGAAAAAATATCTGTGGTCAAAAAATTAATTTTTTCATTCATATAAAATTGAAACTACATAATTAATTTTATGATAAATAACAAATCAAATATCACATTTATATTTCTCAATTACAAATTTTTTTGATTTAAATTTTCCTTTTTTATAAGGTTTTTTTTTGAGTTTTTTGCTATTTACTTAGTTTTTAATTGAGATAAAGATTGATCTTATTTTAACACTTATTAGCGAGAATTTAGTTATTCTTCCATTTAAATTTCTTCCTAATATGAGCACATTTGCTATACCTCATATATATTAATCACTCATATAAAAATTTTATTATTCTTATTATTATAAAGCATTTGCCTTTCTTCGTTCAGATAGTTTAAGCTGCATATCAGTTTGGTATAAATCTTATTAATCTACTTCCTCTGGGTTGGCTGATTGTTTTAATATCTAATACGAAGCATAATTCATTTAGGGTAAGCATTTATAACTTTATTAACCAGTGTTTTTATAACTATATTTCAGTTCTTAGTTGATAATTTAGAGTTTAAAGACGTTGTTGGCACTATATTTTCAAAGCTTATCTTAGGCATCTTTTAATATTGATTTATTATTTTCATAATCTTATTCTTGAGCATATTTTAATGCTTATTGAATAGAATTTGCTGCACTCACTCTCAGATAGTGAAATTTTTACATTTCCTTCAATTTAAATTCATTTTTAATGCATTTCTTCATTCTCAAATAGCAAAGATGCTTAGCGAAGTTTATTTTTAGCAAACTTATTTTTACTCTTCTTAAATAGAATAAGTAGATAAACTTACTTTAAAGATATCTACAACTTTTTCGATATCCTAAATTGAATCCACTTTCTTTTTAGGGTCGTTAATTTCAAAAACAATGTCTCTAATTGTACCACATCGAAGTGAATTAAATTTAATTTATATATTTTTTGCTAAAGTAATCCACATATCTCCATAAGTTTTAGATACAGTGCATTTACTTAAAAGCTTAGTGAAATTTTAATCTCTAATAGGAATTTCTATATCTAAAACTAAATCTTTGGAAATAACAGAAAAATGACCTGCAAGAGCATCTACAAAATATGTCAATTTCATCCATCTTTTTAATATAATATAATTTACCATGTTTTTAAATTGAAATATTTTTGGATTAAAAAATAAATGATTACTTATTTTGCATTTAATCAGTCATTAATTTTTATTTGTGATTTTATCTTGTTAATAGTGTAAACTGAACGAATTAGTGATTAACTACCTAATTCCATAAACAAAAATAAGTTCACTAATCGTTAGAAATTAAAAAATTTGTAAATACAGTACAAATGAACAATAAACCTTTTAAATATAAAATGATTATAAATTCAATCAACATCAAAAATATTTTTTTATTTTTTGACTGATACTCAGCAGCAACATATTTTTATTCTAAAATATATTTTCTCGAAATAATAATTTAGTAGCCACTTTAAAAAAAGATACATGAGTGTTGTCTATAATAATAATAACAACAAAAACCATACCTTAGAATAAAAAAATAGTAATTCTGATTGATTCTAATTAAATTGAACGCCACTTGTTTTTAGGATTAAATGATTTTTTTCCTTCTTTTTTAATTTTAGAAGTTTATAAAGTTTGAATTTACATTAGGTGTTTTTTACTCAGAAACCACTAATAATTTTAAAAACAAACACTTAGTTTACATTTTTAAATTTTTCATTTTTCCATTAAATCTTGTTTTAAAGATAGCAGAATAAAAAACATTAAATTATTAAAAAGTATTTTGAATTTTAATATCATAAAAAAATATTTTTTTTTGCATAAGTTTTTTACAGATAAAAAAGTAAACAAACCAATAAATACATTTTAGTAAATCAGAAAATTGATTATGAAATAATTAGAAAAATATAAAAGTTATTTAAGCTCCAATTTGCTACTTTTTATTAGTGAGAATATTTTTTCCCTTTCTTTGATTAATTTAATAAAATTAATTTGAACTCTTTTCAATAATATCTTCTCTTTTAATCTAATCAAGTGGATTTTACTTTGCTTATAAATTTTGAAAAGAACCTATTTAATTAATTTTCCTTTTTTCTATATTTTCGCATCAAATCATTTCTTGTATAATTTCAAACAAATAAACAAACAAACAGCAAATATATATAGATGCTTAACATAATTTTAACTAAATATCATTACAATAGATTATTTATCTTCAAATTATTTACTTTTCTAATAAATGAAATATAAATTTTAGTGTTACTATAACATTGCATAAATAAACCAATAATAAATTGAAATTGACAAAATAGCTAATATGCTAAGGTAATCTACTTAGGATTAATTAGCTACTTCTAAAATTATAATTTCAAAAAATTCTTCTTAAATAAATAGATATCCACTTATTTTTATCAAATTTAAAATCTCTTTGTTTGACAATAGGATATACTTCATTACTTTCAAATTGAGAAAAAATCAATTTATTGAACATTCGTAAAAAAATTAAGTTTGAAAAACATATTTACAATTCATTTATTTTTTTATTATCTACTTTTAAATATGATTACACAATTAAAGTATATAAAATGTAGTACTAATCATTTAGCATTTTCTCAAAATTTAGATAAAAAATAGAGGCTTTAAATATATTTGATTTTATTAAAGAAAAATTGATAGTCAGTCTGTGAATAATAAAGCATATTATGCAAAAAATACAAATTAAAGCCTCTATCAATTGGGGTTAAAGTACCTATATTTATCTAAATTTTGAGTAATTAGATTTTTCTTATTCACAAAAAAAATAAATTAATAGTATTTTATTTGATAGAATTTAAGTAGAGACAAACTCTTAATATAAAATGTAAAATCTTTCTTTTTGATTAATATTTATGGATAAGAAATTTATGAAAAATATCTTTGAAATTAGCTCTCTAATAGCTAAATTTTATTGAAATAGATTTCTTTCTTAATAAATTATATTTTAAAATTTCCAACAAAATATTTGAAAGAAAGATAAATTTAAAACGACTATAAACCCATGATTTTAAAAATATTTTATTTTTAGGAAAATGTTATGAAAAGAAGATTAAAATTAATTATCTTAGTGCTTACAGATTAAAGTAAAATGAAAGTATGCTTACATTTCTTAATTATTTATATATAATTAGTAAAAAAATAAGTTTATCACATTAATAAATCAAAACTTTTTTATTAATTATTTCAGCTCAATCAAATTTATTTGAAATAAAAGCTGATTAATATAAATAAATAAACAGAGAAAATTTTGTTAAATAGTGAATATATTTTTATCAAAATGCAAATGCAGCTCGCAAAGATGTTATTAAAAGTACATAGACTAAGCAAAATAATTTTATAGCAATAATTATTTATCTATTGATTTGAGTTTATTTTATATTAATAAATATAGTCAAGTTTAGCCTCAATTAGAAGAGGTAAGCTAGTACAGTCTATTCAATTTATTCATAATAAGCATAAGTTAAACTAGATTTATTTAATAAAAAAAACTTTGCAAATGCAAACTACTTTTAAAAAATATTATGAAAAAATAGTAAATATTATTTTTTCAAAAAAACTAAAATGTTATTTTTTTATAAAAAACCTAATAAGCGAAGGGGAAAATATGCATTCAATTCAATTAAAAGAATATAAAAGTAGCAGATTTTAATACAAAATTTTATTTAGCTATATATTTTAAGCGAAAGAGATTTTTCAAATCAAAATTGACTAAAAAATAGTAATAAAGTAAATTCATCACAAAATTTCATAATTTTTTAACTAGTTACTAACTAACTAACTAAATAAAGAAATCTTTTTTGCTTATTAGATTCTTAATTAATTTATTTAAGTAATAATAATTTAAATATAAAATCCTTGCTTCATTTGATTAACTTTTACCTATTCATTTGATTATCATAAAATTTTTTGAAATCTGACTTAAATTAAATGAATTATACAATTTAAATTTCAGTAATGATTTTGCAAAATTAATTAATTTATTTTCAAATACAAATTTAAGCAGAGAAATTATAAATTGATTAATACAAATTAAAATTCATAAGAATTATAACTTTATGGTTAATGCTCAAACTGCTGTTCAGTTCTTTGGAGTTTATGATGGTTTATGATATTTTTATTATCCAGATTTTTATTTGTAGTTTTGATAATCTTCAAAGCTACCTTTTGTTATAATTGGTAAAGATGCATTATGGTTGATTTCAATGTCTTCTATTGTTAAATATGTTTTTAATTAAGTTTGTAATCTATCATCTCCTGTTTCTAAGTTCTTTTTACTAGAAATTGTTACTTTTCTTTCTATCTTTTTTCCATTTTCTTCATCTAAGGAACTTTCATCACTTGGAGGAGTATCATCATCTGCTTCTTATTTCTGAGGATATCTGATTTCTAATTTTTCATGTCTTCTAGGCATTTTGATTTATTCCTCTGATTCTCTTTCTTATTAATCAACTAATATTTTAGGGCCTGGAGGTCCATTCTTTTAATTTTAAGCAGATTCATCAGAATCGGATGATTTCGATGTCTACAATTTAGATTAGAATAAGCTACTATTGTTTCTGAAATAAGAAACTTTAGTTTGTCTTCCAAATCTCGTTGAATCTTCATTATCTTCTTCTTGAGAAGTCATTTCCTCGTTAATTCTACTATTTTGTTTTTTACCGTTACGCTACTTGAATTAAGATGGTTACAGTGTGTTACTAACTTGATTAAGTTTTATAAGTCTTCCAGTTTAGTCTGAAGAAGCAACTTCTGAAGGAATACCTTCAAAATTGACAGTGTGCTTTGTTGTTATAGTAGGAGCAGGAGATTCTGAACTCTAACCTTAGAATTGATTGGCATTACTATTACTGTATTGTCTGTAGTTATCATTTTAAGGAGTCATAGGGTTAGATTCGTCATCATCTTCAATTTCTTCACTAAGAACATCTTTTTGAATGCTGTGTTAAGGACTTTAGCACATACCTAATATGTTTGTGTTAAGAACTTTGTTGAAGATATGATCAATTTAACGAGAATATTCAACATAGTATTTCTTATTACCTCTATTTCTATACCAGTAGACAATTTTATCAAAGTAGAAGTATTTCAAGTAATGGAACATACCAACTAATTTTAATAAAAGAATATTTAATATATTGGTTTAAATTGATAAATTTAAATATTTTTGTTTTAGAAATATAAATAATAGTAGTTACTTGTGTTTTTAATAAAGAAATAGATGGAACCAAAAGCACCAAGAGCCATAATAACTATTGGAGTTGAAGAGTTAACAAGGTTAGCTATTAACAAGACAGTAAGTAAGAGAGCATTTAAGAAAATCCATTTTCCAACAAACTCTATCTTTTCAGTATACTATTTGCTCACTCCTGTAGAACCTGTAAGACCCTTAGTACCCCAAGTAGCATCATCGATGTTACAGAAAGAGAATATCATAAGTATGTGATTATAAATAGGGGAATATAGAAGATAGCTGAAGAAGGATTTAATAACATTCCATACAATGAAAGGTTATCTTAAGTGCAAAAACATAGATAAATAGAAACTTCCATAATTAAGAGCAATCATGACATAAATATATATTAAGAACTCTTATTTCAATGGCTTAAATCCTGTAATGATGCCATAACTATTGTTCAAGGCATTAAAGACGATTGTAGCAATTACTATAACGTAAACAATGACACTCTATTAATTATTAATAAATAATTTAAAATATTTTATAAAAAAAAATAAATAATTTACTGTTATTGAGACAATTGAAGCCAATACTTTAAAAACATCATTTTAGAATTTTTGAGACATCTTATTTTATATTTCAATTCTAGCTTTTTTCTTTTCAGCACTTAAGGGAACATTTTGTTTTACTTTTGCGTTTAGGTCATTGAGAAGCTTCTCTTCTTCTTCAGAAATTTCTACATCTTTTGGCTTGAAGATAAGACTTGCAAAAATAATTAATAGAATGACAATGACAAACATAGCAGGAACAAAGTTGAGGAGTGTGAAGAAAACACTATTTTTTAGAAATAGAAAGAGTTAATAAAAATTGCTTTGAGAGAATAAATAATATTTTATTTACTTAGGAACTTTATATGAGACACAAAGTATGTAACATTCTTTCATTAAAGTATTTGAGCACATGGGCTAAGGTTAATCATCCATAGAAACGCAATGAAGATTTTCAAGAGACAAATACTATTCTTTTGTTGCTATGTAGGAATAGCTTTCATTAACTTGAGGTTAAAGGAATTGATAACTACTCAAGATAGAAACGAACAAGTAAAAAGCAGGAATAAAATATGTTGTCCATTTTCCAATTCTAGCAAAAGCCATATTAAATGGTAAACTAATTTACTTAGAGAATTGTGTGTGATTACTTTCTTCTACGTGAAACTCGTAATTTTGAAGGACGTAGTTTAAGGCAAACCAAGAACTGTTAATCCATCTTCTTCTTTGGTTTAAGAATTCTTCGAATTTATCAACAGGATCAGTGAAAGCCTTAGCATCAGGGACAAACTTTAAGCTATAAATAAAATTTAAGGAGTTAATATTAATTTGTAATTGAATGTTATTTATTACTAATATCTTGATTGAAGCTAGCAGTAAATACCTAGACAGAGAATTCTATCCTCAGCTAAAAACATATTTAATTCCTAGATATTGTTGGTCATCAGTTGGCTGTACAAAATTTGTTTAAGATATCTTTTTTGAATCAAATTTTCACGGTTTTCTTTACTAAGATTGAGTGCTTTATATCTAAATTTAATAAGAAAAAACAAATGAATAAAAAAAATAAATAACTCATTTTCATAATATAATGAATTAATTATATTTACCTATATGCTGACCACGCTCCAGGAAGTACGTGTAAAAAGCCTAAAGCTGATTCGAAGTTCTTGTCAATCATATGTGCTGTAGTGTATTCGTAATTTTAAGCATTAGGAAGAGAGGCTAAACTGAGATAAGACTTCAGGCACCATACAATAATATTGAAAATAGTATTGATAATATATTTAAAAATATTGTATATAAGCAATAAAAGTGATTGCACAAGGAAGAAAACATTAAAGATAATTAATAAGTCAGTAATGTATTTTCTTTTCTTCTTTTCGACTCTCAACTGCTCAGCAAGAAATTCTGCTGCATTATTTTCAACTTTTACTTCACTAAAAACAGGCTTAAAAGATAATTTTTTAGAACCTCTGCTTGGCTATTATTGAATCTTTCTCAATTTTTCCTCTTTCTGTTGCTTTTCATATTCTTAATTAATCCAAAAGTGTTCCTTTTTGTAGTCTGAAATTTGTTTATTAATCATATCTTTTATTTCTTATTATTGCTATTCTGTTAGTTCAGATTGCTAAATTACAGGTGCTTTCAAACCCATAAATCCGCAAACACCACCAATTTGGCTATCTCCTTCTAAAGCTTTATACATTTAGACAAGGCCGTCATTGGCAGGCTAATTAATGTAAAAAAAGAAAATTATAAAGTGTTTTATGTTGTAAAAATAATTTAATTTTTGTTAATAATCTTACTAGAGTACCGACATCAACAAGAGCGCAATATTTAGGCTAGAATTATCTGCAAAAACCTTCAAAGAACCACAAATGAGAAGAGAGTTTCTTACCATTTAAGTGCTTGAAGACAGAGAAAGTAACTAATTTATCTTACTTGTTAAAACATATTTCATTTTAATATAACAAAGCAGTCTTAGTAGGAATGGTTGTGGGGAGACCATTGTTGAATCTAATAGATTATTCTTTCTTTTATAATTTTAAGTAGTTCAACTGTTACTCGATCATAAATCTTCTTTCATTTAAATAATACTTACGCTCTAAAAATTTATCTTGCTCATTATAGAATTCTTCCATTTCTTCTTTCATTTTCATAATACCATCTTAAAGTACAACAACAACAATTTACTTTTGACTTATTCCTAATTTAGCAAACTGAGGTAAGTTAGCAGCAATAGAAGAAAGGGTGTTTTCTAAGAATGCACGAGGCTCACCATACATAGTAACACAAATAAGCATTTAAATTGTATTATTTTCTTGCTTAATTTAATTGATATCTGCTTTAAGCAATTTATTTTTAGAATAAAAATAAACTAAGCCATCATTCCTAGAAAAGTTTCTTAGATTTCTAATTTTATTAAAATGTTATTTAAAAAACATATAAAAAAATCAATGCAAATTTTAAATATTTAATTAAAAACCCTAAGTTTTTTTAATTAGATTTAGTCTAAACTTAGCTTTATCTTTTCTTATTCAAGCTAACTTAAAAAAACTATTTATTTTCTTCTATTTTTTTAGCTAACCAACAAACAAAATATTTAAAAATAATTTTAATTAATTAATTATTTATTACTCTTTGTAACCTTCCTTTTCATCGAAGTTTTCATATCCATAGACTTCTTCTCCGTTTTCTTTCTTGTGGGTGATTTTATATTAGGGGTTGATTTCTTTAGTATAAACTTGTAAGGGTTTACCGCGAGTTGCCTTTCCATTAATGAATGATTAGGTCATATAAATATCTATAGGAGGATACATATTAACATTGCTTTCTAGAGTAATATGAGGTTTGTTTAAAAAAGTGTGTGTTTTATTACTCACTTAACTCATAGGACTAGCAATCATTTCTCTCTTAAGCTTTGGAGCTTATAGAGAAAATCTCTTTAAATGGTTCATATTTTGTTAGTAAGCAGACATTTTATTATTAAAGTTAAAATTTTATATAGAAGTGAGAGTAAAGAATTCGAAAGATTAGTAATGATTTTAGTATTTATATTTAGTGAGTTAGTTTGTTAGTTAGTAGTGAAAATAAATATTCTTTATTTCTCTCTTTTTTATCTTTTAAGTTTAATTTAATTATAAATTTTAGCTAAATGCATCTATGTATTTAATAAGGTTAACTTATATTTATTAACAAATGTTGATCCAGTAAATTTTATAATGTTAATTATTAATAAATGTACTGGATCTTTATTTATTTCGTTAACATTATCTAAATAGTCATCAAATTGCATTTATTAATTAATTTATTTATGGATTTCACAAATTTTTAGTAATAATCCAAACGCATACTTAATTTTACAGCAAAATAATCAAAACTCTTAAAAACTGATTAAGAGTCACCATCTATTTATAAAAATAGCTAGCATTAATAATTTACTGACTGCTTGTCAACATATCTTTTAAGCATGCAAATTATTAATTTTTGTTCAGTTTTTGAAATAAATTCAAATGTGTTTGAGTGATGAATTGGAATAGATCTCAAAATAAATAACACAATATCTTAGCAAATATTGTTTTTAAAATATTTAAAATAGATTGATAGAATAAAATACTAATTATAGATTGAATAATATTTACTTGAAATATAAAAAAATCTATTTTCTCCTTTCCATGTTGAAGCTTTTAACAAACAAAATATCATTTTTTCTCTGTTAAAATGTGTCTGATAAACTCATTAAAATTATACAGTTTATAAATTAATTTTGGCAGATAATTAAATTAATATTTTTCGCATCATATTTTGAATCGGTAACGCTAAATTGCAAATTAATTTTTGATTCTTTTTATATTATACATACGTTTATATTTAAAATATGATCCATTTATTTTACAACTATTTAAAATATTATTGAGAAAGCTGCTCCAAAATATTCTTGATTTAAAATTATTTATTTTAATTCTTAGAAATTTAAGAAAGATTATTTATTCGTTTTATAAAATGAATGATTAGAATTAAAATTACTTTCTTGTAATTTATAGCACTAAACTTATTAGAATAAATTTTAATAAAATGAATTAAAAATATTTAAAAATAAAAAATATTTTATTTTAACCCTTTTCAGGAAAAAGTCCTAAACAGTAAAATCTTTTAAAATCTAGTTAAAAAGTTATTCAGACAATTAAAAATTTATTAAGTTCAATGCATAGTAATACTAAAGATACTAAGATACTTATTTTTATTAGTCTAATTAAAATTACTGAATCTTTAAATATATTTATTTGAAGCCTCTCCTTTTAATAATTGAAGCGCTTTTATTTAAGTCCATTACTTAAAATACTAATAACTCTAAAGTTAAAGTTAGAGTTTTATTTATTTATTTGTTTATAATGATAGGTTTTTTTGTTTTTGTTGCTTTTAGCACTTTTGTGTTAACAAAAATATATAAATCATATTATATTATAATACTTAATTTATGTATTCTTAAAAATGAAATTAATAGTTTTTGACATTACTTATCTTCTATTAAAAATTAGATTAGATAAAATAGTTAAAAATAGAACTCAAAATCTTTGAAACAAATACTAAAAAGTATCAGTAAATGCTCAAAAGATATTGTTAAAACTAGATAAATTAAGCTTACAAAAAATATTGGTAGAGAGACAAATAAATAAATTTATTAATTCATAGGTAATTAAAAGATTAATATGATTCTATCACATTAAATAAGTATTAACTAATTTCAATTAAATGCTTTCTTTCTTTGTTTGTTTATTTGCTAGTTTTTATGATTAGTTGATTGATTGCTACTGGAGTGTTTTTTGGAAATTATAAATTTTGAGAGAATAAATAAATGATTAAAGAATGAATGTTAATTAAATATAAACAAGCATATTTTCATATGTTATTAACAAAATTATAATAAACAAATAAACAAAAGATTAAGTAGAAATAAGATTATACATCCATCTATATAACTTTATATGAAAATATGAATTAATACTTTTGCAAGTTTTTTAATATACTCAATTTTATTAAAATATTTTAATTTATTGCTTTCATTTTTGTTTTTTACTTTCAGATACCACAATTTTATTCGCTCAAGATGCTTGAGGAACCTTCCAGTTCTTAGGAATATCAATGTCAGTAATAATTTCTCTGTGAGAAGTCCAAACAGATAAGATGGCTTCAGGAGTACCGATACCTGCACCTCTGGGATCACCACAAGGACCGAACCAGTGGTTTTAAGGAGCACCTGTAGTTCTAGCTCTAATACCAGTGTAGGTAACTCCATTAACAGTGTTTGAAGTAACATAGTTAAGGAATTTGACATCATTAGAAACAACTGCAGCAGTCAAATGGTTTTCCATCTTTTCTAAATGGGATAAAACAGTATCCAATTAGTTATCTTTATATTCTGTGACAATTTAGAAGGGTCCAAAGAGTTCTTTGCAAACAATATCAAAGTTTTTAGAGATAGTTTCTAAAGGAACAAAAATGGCAGTGGGTTCGTATGAGCCGTATATTGATGGGATTGAGTGATTAGTCAAAGGCTTGCCACCAAATAAGACCTTTGCTCCAGGTAATGCAAGAATTGAATCTATGTGGTTCTTAATTTTTTAGTTATCCCAAGTCAAAACAGGTCCGACAGTCAAATCAGAAAGTTTTCTTCTGGCAGCCAAAGATTTAATCTTATCAACAAAGCCAGCCTTCATCCAATTTTCATGGGCATATAAAATACTTTATGCAGAACACTTCTAGCCAGAAGCAGCGTAGGCATCTTAATCGCATTACCAAGCAACATAATCAATATCAGAAACATCAGGTCCGAGTATTTTCCAGTCAAAGCCAGCATCTTCAATTTTGACTTTACCATGAGTAAGCTTGCTTAATCTTTCAGCAACAGTTGAAGAACCTAAATAATTAATTTTATATTAAAAAATTTAAAAAGAGCCAATTTTACTTTCGTAAAATCTAATCTAATTCAAAATAATTTTAAAAATAAAAAAAATTTAATTATTCAAATATTTCTGCTATGTAAAAAATGTAATTAAATTTATTCTTTTTTATTTTTCAGAAATTTGATTTTTAAATTTTAAAGAAAATCTTAAGTAAGATAGTAACAATTATCTCTCTATCTATTTAATTATTGATTCTTCTTTTATTAAGCAGAAGATATAATTAATTTGTTTGACTTGAAAAGATTTTTAAAGATAAAATCTTGAAATATTTATTAATTAATTAATTTATTTATTTATTTAGTTGCTATATTTAATTTTAATTAGAAGTAGTCTAGTATTTAGTGCATCATTTTTAAAATAATATATGTCACTTTTGATTTCAAGTAATATCTTATATTAATTAATGATTCTTCACAATAATGTTACTTAAAATCTTTAAAAAAAATAAACTTTTTTTATTTTTTATTATAATGCTTGCTTGCTTGTTTTCTTTAGCAAAGGTTCTTTCTTTGGCTTCATAAAAATATTATTTTTTATTTATTTTCTAGCTATCTCATCATTTATTTTTTAAAATTTATCTATTGTTCTATTTTTGAATTATACTATTTAATAATTATACCTGTGAATTAAATAACTCTGTAGTTAGTGTCAAGGATGATCTTTTCCATTGCTTGAGGACCTGAGTGAATCAAATCAACATCTTCAGCAGGCATACCACAATCGATAGCAAGTCTTAAGAATTATTCCATTACCAAAGAAACCTTAGAGTCAATCTTTAATGTGGGTCTATTACCAGCTATTAAGCATCCAAATAATTAAAGGCAAGGAATTTCGATTGGGAAATTGAAAGGAGCAATTAATGCAACAGATCCGTAAGGCCATCTGTATCCAGAAGATTGTTGTCCTTGATGATCACCAGCTACGTTGAAAGAACGGCATAAGAATCTAGGATTATCACCTGCAAAGTTTTCAAAGAATCTACGAGTAACAACAATTTCTCCCTTAATTTAGACATCGCTCTTGGGCATGACCTAATTTTATAAAGTTGATTTAATATCTAAATGATTACTTATTGAATTTTAATAATTTTTAATGTATATTAGACTTTTGGTCCTTCTTAAAATATATTTTCATTTTAACTATTTAAATATTATATGTTTTTACTCTTTGGGTTGCCTTGCAAAGGAAGCTTTCAATTTCAGGTTTTTTCATTTCTTCTGCAATCTTACCACAAACATTGCCATATAATTAATATCTTTCTGGGTTCTTAATGGGGTTATGCAAACCAGATTTGGGAACCTTCTTTGCATTAACAATAAATTCATTAATTTCGTCTCCCTTAGTGTCAGGAACTCTTAAGAATTTGTCTCCATTCATAGGGTCTACGACAGTGGTGTATTCTTTGGCATCTTTCCACTTTCCACTAACTAAATTCTAAAGTGTGTAGGGTTTAGATTCGCTCAAAGTATAGGGATCGCATGTAGCCCATTTGGGAATGGTTGAAAAACCATATTTGTGCTTCAAAAGCAAATTTCTAGCTATTGCCTAAGTTAACATTAATAATTTTATTGTTTTATTCTTTATTTATTCGAAAACGAAATTCTGATATTTATTTATTTGATATTATTATTTATGAGCTAATCAAATATCTTTGGTAGGCACTTAAAATCTTCTAAAATACGCCAGAAGTATTCTTTTTCAGCATTTATAGTCTATTGTGATTATAACTAAATAAATTAAGACTAGTAAATTTCAAATCTATCATTTTTAACTCAAGTTTATAGTTAATATATGAATAAAGCACTTTCATCTACAAAAAAAAACAAATTTTTTAAAAAAAAGTTTTTTAATTTTTTATTTTTAAATAAATATTTTAAATATTTTAACTCAATAAATTCCCTTTACAAATAGAGCTGCTAATAAATTCAAAATAAAAACTTATCAGTTTTTGATATATTATCTGACATTTAAAAATGGTTCTACTAAAATTTCACAAGATAGCTTCAAACTCTCTGATTAGTGAAATACTAGAATAAACTTTGATTGAATACAATTAATGTAATTTAAGCTATGTAAGTTACCAAGTATTTGCTCAAATTACTTTTTCTAGTGAATTAATACCAACATAACCTTCTTTGCATATATTTCTCAATTTTAGAAAAAAGCAAACTTACTAATTTAATTCTTTTATACAATTTAACCAACGATTAAACCAGTAATTAATTTTTTCTTTACAATAAAAATACATTTTTAAATTTTGTAAATCAAAATTATTTTAGGTTTTTTTTCAAATAATTTAATTTATAAAATATTATTTCATTTAAAATAAAATTATAAATTTTGAAAAATTAAAACTTAATTTTATTAAAAAATATTTAAAAAACAAATGTTGAAAACTTATTTTCTAAATTGTATTTGTTCATTTATTTAATATTATCGAAAATAGATTTATAATAGAAAGAATAAATTGAATATTTTTATATGGATTGTATGAAATTTAAAGAGTAAATATATGGGTTTTGCTATTTATTATCGGTTAGTATCTCTAGTACAATTAATTTTCAATTTAATTATTTGAATAAATACTTTTTAATGAATTAAGAGAAATTTCTGATTTAGTTAAGACCATAAAAATTGAATGTGTTAATAATAGTTTGTGATTATTTGAAAGATTGGATAAAATTTAGGTTTTAGAACAATTTATTTAGTAATTTAATTTATTTTCAGTAAAATTTATTATGTAATTATTAGATTATTTAATTGATTTAATATATTTTTAAGCTTTATATCTAATGCAACATAAAAAAATATTAAACTGAATATTAAATAATCAGTCTTTTTAAAAATAAGTTTTTTCTTATTTATTAACTTACTTTTGTTTATCACTCTCAGCTTTGCTTGATTCATCAAGTTATATCGATTCACTTAGTCTTAAGTTTGATTCATTTTAAAATTCAAGTATTTAATTTTTACTTTAATTAGAAGTTTATCTCTTTAGTTCACTGATATTTCTTTTAATTTGCTATGTTTAATATGGCTCGTTTTTGACTGACACATGCTAAAGCTAATTTTAGTCTTTTTCTGTATTGGTCAGTTAATTATTTTAGATATTTTTTTATAACTCTTATGTACTTTAAAAATGTTTCATGGTTTCAAGTGAATCACCAAGATCTAAATTCTGCTTATCGAAATTAAATTAAATTTAATTTTAGTTTTAAATTTTATCTTAAGAGTTTAATTTATTTGAAAGCTATGAATTGTAAAATTTATATTTAGGAACAGAAGGTATTTTCTCATGATATTGAAAGGAGAAAAGAGAATCTTATCTAACTTAAAACCTTTAGCTATTTAGGGTAACCGATTTTTCGGGTATATTTTTTAAGTCAATCCTTAAATTATTTATGAAATTAGCATCACTTGTTATCTTTTCATCTTAGTTTTTAGCAACTGATGATTGGCCTATACAAATTTAAAGAGAATTTTTTCTTTCAAACTGAGGTGAAGACATTTATTTTGAATTAGTATTGCAGGAGTTAATTTCAACATCTGATTATTTATTTGTGATACTTTCCCCTAAGGATTTGCTTCTTTGATCTCTATAATAGTTATCTTTGATATAATCCTCTTATATGCTCTATTCTGATTTACAATATGAACTGATTGAAGATTCAGATAACTATTCTTCTCCAGAAGAAGAGCTTATTTAAATAAATTACTGCTCTTTCTAACTATCTTTGTTATTTTCTTTTTTATGTTTTGGGCTCATTTATTTTAAAGGTGACCACTTTTGAGAGCTGTACTGATAATTGAATTCCTGTCCTTTCATTTATAAAGGGCTTAACTGAACACCGCTATTGAAAAATACTATATTAGTGTCATCCTAAAGATTTTAAGCTGAATATTAATATATAGATTTATGCATTTAATTAACATTTATGCTATTTTATAGTAAAGAAAATTAATTGTTATTCTGAGCAGTTGCCTACTCTTTCCCGTTGTTTTATGCCAGTGTGAATATTTTATTTGATTTAGGAGTACTGTTTTTTTATAGATAAGTTTATGAGCTTATGTTGTCTTCTAGCTTCTAAGCTGATACTAAATTTGAATTTTGCTTTGACATGTTAAAAGGTTAATTTTGCTCCATTTAAATTAATGGATTAGCATATTAAGTTTCTGAAGAGTTTATTTTAGATAAATTGAAATGTTTTGTTTAGAAATCTAAAATTGATTTTGGTTTTTTCATATTCTATTTCTGGAACACTATATTTTAAATAGATTTGCTTTAGTTTTATGATGAATTTAATTCCCTTTTTTTACTTTCTAAAATTGATCGCTTCTAAGCTTTTACCGACACAGGAGACATATTACTCCAGAATTCTGTTAATCTTTTCAGCTTGCTTATTGAAGGTGTGGACTGACCTATTTCTTAATTGCTTTTACTATTCTTTTTTGATTTAATCACACTGATTAGGCTCATCTAAAGTTATTATATGTAATCCTAATAAGGTCTCCTTAGCTGTTCAACAGAAGTAATATGATTTCCTTTTTATATATTTTGCACAATTACATCTTTGGCAATTTATACTTTTCTCCAATTTGAAGAAGATCTTATGCCATCAATAGGAGGTTATATATTGATAAAATTGAACAGTGAAGGGATCAGCTTTTTTAAACGAAAAAATAGCTTGTAAAAGAAGCCGACGTATCTATTTTTAATTTTGGTTACCAAAATTTGTAAAACCAAAACAAATAGGATCCCATTATGTAGAAAAGCACATACATAAATAAAGAAATCGTAAACTATGCTATCGTCTTTGTTATATAGGAATAAATTAATTAGAATTAAAACGAACAAAGCTAAAGTAATTCTCAAATCAAAGTCATTAAAACTTTTGATCAGATAAGGTTGTCTTTTAATGCAAAATACCAAATAGCTTATGATTATTGCACATATAAGAATCAATTTTGTGTAGAAAATACCCTCGCACATGATTGATATGACCATAATGATGACTTTTTTGTATATTTTAATGAATTCCCAATAATAGTACTGCTTTTTATAGTCAACATAAAGAAATCCAAATTTAAGTTTAACTTCATATAAATCAAGTCTACTTTTATTGTTGTAAATATTTTTTAATATGAAAAAAGGTATTGCTACACCCCAAAGTATGATTCCTGGAATCATCAGCAAAAGGAGATACTAAAAGTACTGTTTAGTGTAGCATTCATAAGTTACATCAGCAGAAATATAGTACTTATCAGCTATTTACCTGCATGAAATAACATAAAAAAGAGAAGAAACAATACCAGGTTAAAACAACACAAGCATAAATAGCAAGCCATTGTAAATGTAAAATTTATTATATCTTTTTGGTTTTTTCATTATGTAGATACTGAGGTATATTATAGTTATAGTTACTAAGTAAAAAAATGGAACTATTAGTGACCATATTGACCTAAAATAGACTATAGGAATACTTACAAAGTAGGCAAACACACAGTCAAAAGAATAAATGGTATTTTTTAGAGGAGAGCTTATTAAATAAGGAACATACTCAGTTAAATATGGTACATTAAAATCATATGAATTAACTATAACAGCAATTTAAATGTAGTGCATAAATTATTTCACATAAAATTATGCCTGATTTTTTGTGTTAGACACTCCTATGTGTACAATACCAAATTTTTTGAAGTAGTAGGAATAAACATATCTTTTGGAGAGATGAATAGTTACCTTTTTAATCAAATTAATAATTAATTCTATAGCAAACAAAGTTGATAAAATAATATTTTTTTAGCTTCAATAAAATAAATTTAGTTGTAAAATAAAATTTGATCAAATTAATAATTAATTCAAAAGTACATTAGAATTTATTTTTTTAGTTTCAAAAAAATAAATTAAGTTATAAATTAAAAATTATCGTTAATTTAGAAATTTTACCCTGATTGAAAAGATTATGTAAGCTGCCATAATTGTGAAAATCATAATGAATGGAAGAACAGAAGTAAAATCATTTAATTCCGAGCATGAAATACACTTATAATCACTTAATCTCATATAAGATTTTTTCCAAAGTATACCATATGTATCGCATGACTCACAAAGAGGTCCAATATGACCCTCAATGCAAGTTAAATCTCCTGCTAGTGTTTCATTTTTAAGGTTACCTATTATTATAAAATCATTCAGTATTTTTTAAACAAATAAAACTAAAATATTTAAAAAATAAATATAAATATTCTCATTTTATTATCATGCAATAAGTAAAGTTTTTTAATTTGATTATAACAAAATAAATAAGAAATTTAAATAAATACCTAAGCAGTTTGAAGGCTTGTTGTAACAATAAACTATATTATCAGTATCTTTAGATATTCTCCAATAACCTTATTTTAGAAAAATCTAGTCTTTTTAGCACAGCTCAGCTGAGTTAGGACATAATTCACATATTTAGCGAGATTTAGAATCATTATATATTTATAGTGAATATGATCCTTTTGCACATGGTGTGCATGTGCAAAATTAGTTATCTTCATCACAGTTGTATATTTCTCCTTTTAGACAAGACCTAAAATTTATTGCAACTCTTACTTCGAAAGTAGGATAGTTAGTTATTAAAAAATTTTTGCTTTATAAGTAATTATACATGTCATATTATTTGATTTAACCCATGACAATCCTAAAGTATTTATTTTGTAAATTTGGGTGTCCAATTATTTTAAGTTCATTAAATCTCCATAGACCGTCAGTTGGTGAGGCATTTTAAATATTAATTTGGTTTTTTCCTGAAATTTTTAACCCATCTTTATCTTCTGGGTTGACTAAAATTATGAAAGTTTGCAGTAGCTTGATACTTTGTTCATGATAATACTCTACCCCTTTTTGTAAATATATCAATTTACCTTCTTCATCAAACATTTATATTTCTAAATTAAGAAAATCACCACTTCTAAAATTAATTATTTCCATACTTTGATTGAAATAGCCTACATTATTATCTGTTTATTACTGCTGTCCTCCTAGATATTAACTTTATAATATTCTATTTTACTGCCTATTTACATGTTAGCTTTAAACCTACCAATTTATATTTGAAATATCTTAGTCTACTAGATCATCTATTTATTACAGCTGATCCTCTTCATATTAACTTTATAATGTTCTACTTTAATATTAATTTACATAATAGTTTTAAACTTATAGATTTCTATTTAAATTATCTTTATTTTCTGAATTAAAGGGTGTAGAACTACTTTAGTAGCTTTAAATTACTATTTTTTTAGGATATGAGCCTATGTTTTAACCGTAAATGCTTGCAGTGTTATTTATTAAAGTTACATTATCAAAGACCTAATTATAAAATGAATTATAATAAATTCCACCACCTATATCAGCTACATTATTTTGAATTAATGTTTCTTAGAACGTTGTATTTGAAACATATTATAAATAAAGAGCTCCTCCAAAAGATAAGGCCTTGTTTTATTCAAAAATACAATTATGTATTTTTGTTATGTTTGTTTACTCTACAAAGAGAGCACTACCCATCATACCCACATTTTCTGACATGTTTGAATATTTTAACTTAAATGAATTAGAACCAAAAATATACATCAAAGTACCTCTGTAACATAAAGTACAATTATTTTTAGTGAAAGTAGAGTTTTTGATTGAAATTTGACTTGACTTAATGTAGATTGCCGCAACGTAATTTTAAGTATTATAATTACCAGTTAAATTTAAATTTATCAACTTTATCATCTCTTTTTACAGGAAAATAACTGCATCACTACCAAAGTAAATATTTTAATATGAAAGAAACTGTGTATCTAAATTATTTTGAATTAAAGCTGTGTCTATTACAGTTGATTAAACACCAAAAATATTTACTAGATTAAGATTTAGATCTGTTTATTAAATTTTCAAATTAATAAGGTCTTAGATACTTAGGCTACCTGAAATTTATTTTGTATTGATTATATTTATGTTTTTAATACTGAGCTGAACCACTTTCTGTATTATCATTAATGAGCTAAAATCCACTAAATCAATGTCTTCAAATACAACGTTTTCTATAAAGACTTGATCTAAATAAAAATGAAAAATTAAAGAATTTTGAATAAAAAATGAATAATTTTTTCTTTAAAATTAATTATTTATTTACCTATCTCAAATATATTGAAAAGAGTTGTGTTAGTTAGCGTAGATCTCTTTATTGTAACATTTTTAATTTCTAAATACAGAATACTTTGGAAACGGAAAAAATTACCATATCCAAGTGATTAATTGTAAATAGTTATATTATGTAATATTACTGCATCTAAGTTTGACATATATATAACTGGATAGTTAAGTTCATCACTTTCATTCATGATAACTCGTTCAAATTAAAGGCTATCAAAAATAACAGTTTTAACAGGATAAGTTATAGTGTAAAAATTATAAGGAAAAGATTTCAGCTAGATATTAAATCCTTAAATAGAAAGAAATTTAGGTTAGAATCCATTAACAAAAGCCAAATTTAAATCTTATTTTTGAGAAGGGATAAATTTTATTTTGAATTAATCGCTTTGGAATTAAGAAAGAATATAAGGTAAAGGTTATCCTATTTGGTAAATTATTTGAATTGAATTTTTGTTATCAGGATAATAGTAATCAATAACATTTTTGCTTGTCTATACAGCCTAAGTGATTTAGTAGAGTTTTTAGTTAGAACTTATTTCAATGTAACAAAAATTTAATTATTTATTATACTCAAAGAAATCTAAACCTTTTTAATCAGAATAAAGTACATAAGTGTCTTATTATGAATCTGAATATATTTAACTTGGATCAAATTTAATGTAAAATTTTATTTACCTTATTTCTTTTGGGTTTTTTATAACCGATTCCATATAAAAATAGTGCGTATAAAAAGTGGTATTAATCTTTAATATAACTGACTTCTGGATTGGGAATTACTTTTGTGAAAATTTTTAATAACTGTAATAGACATAAGTAGAATTGTTCGTTTAGCTATTGCTTTGGTTTTGCTACTCTAGGCAGAGTAAAAATAATGTCTAGTTCGTAGAAATAAAAAGTAAGTTATCTTAATAAAATAATTCAATAATCTAAGTTTCAGTTTATACTTAAAATATAAGCAAATTATTGATGTTGTCGTAAAGGTTTAATTAGTAAGAAGAATATATTGCTAAAAAATTATCATTTAAAATTCTAGTAGATGTTCTATGAGGGTAATAGGTTGGGTTGATAAATTAATTAACTTAAACTAATTATATGGAGCTATTATTTTGGTTTTTTGGATTGCTTATTTTTGTGATCAAAAACTTAATTGAAAAGTAATCAAAGGTAACAATTACTATGCTGTCCTTGTAAGTGATCATATTATATATTATTTATTAAAAGTTGTTAATTATTGGCTAAGAGTTATTTGAATAGCTAAAATCATAAAGTATTAGTCTTGTATTAGATTAAATCAGAAGACAATTTATTGAGTCTAAATATTTTAATTAGGAAATAATTTCATTTGAGTTAAGAACAATTTAGGCTACGTTTTGTAGTTTAAAGTAAATTGACCCCTTATTATCTGAGAATATTGGTGTTTATATAGAGAAAGAATATGTAAAGCTTGTTATTTCAGATGTAGAGTTAACTAAATTTTACTAATTAAAAATTTAAGTTAAGTTGAATTAAAGATTATCATCAATGTTTTGATCTAATTTTCTAATCGATTATCTTCCCACAAAAAATAAAACTTATTATTAACCATTTGTAAAAAGGTAAGGCTGCTCATCTAAAAGAATAGGAAAACTTTATTGAATACCTGTGTTTTGATTTTAGCTATTATAAAGACGGATCGACTAATCTGCAATAACTAGTAAGTTATCTTTGTAGTTTGATAGATATTGTATAGGACCTTAAAACTTTTATATCATCTTTTGTTAGTACTCAAAATCGCTAAACTACCAAAGCTAAAAATCGTCATCTGAAATGTATATGGAAGAGTCTTAACCAATCATTATCTATTTTTAATTGTTTGAAGCTGGATTTAGGTTTAATTACATGATGATGTCATATGAAAAAAGGAAAATACTATTAGAATTTTTATCTATCATTAAGATAGCGTTGAAGTATTTAATGTAAAACATCCTTAAATTAATGCAAGAAAAAGCGATTTGTTATATTTATTTGTAAGCAATTAGATCAATGAAGAGTAGTGCATCTGACATTTAAAGAACTAAAATATTATATATATCTAAGTAAATGAAATCAATAATGCTAAACTAGATTGGTAACAAAAATAGCACCATTCCAGTGTAGGCTTAACTTATATATACAGACGACTGCTTTTTCTTCACTATGAGTTACATTCTGTCAATATACAGAATTTATTAAATAGTATCCTACTCATTCGACCATTCATCAATCAGAGAGTAATCTTATAAGTTTAAAATTAATCCACTAATTTAAAAAAAATAAATGAATGAATAAATAAACAAATAAAGTATTTTCAATTTTTAATAAAAACAATAAATTCAATATCAAAAGAAACTGTATTATAAGTTGTTGAATTTAAAAATAATTGATTGTTTACTCAGTTTTAGTTTATACTACAAGGTAATTAGATATTATTTTGAATGATATGAAATTCTCAAGAGAGAAAAAAAGATATTGAATGTTTTTAGATAGAGAATTGACACTAACTCCTTTATTAGAAATTCCTATGAAGTGATCGCTATTGCTTGTCTATTCTTTTAAGATTATGAAAGACCAGTTTTGATAAATGTTGTATTTCATAATTGTGTAATTTTAAAGATTATAAGTTAAGAGTGCATATTAGATGTTTTAGTATTCAGTGTTATATTAGTAATATCCTCTTATTTGTAATATGTTTTTAGTGAGAGTGCTTTCAATGTTAGTAATATATGTAAAAAATTAACTAATATTTACTTGATTTACTATTTTCATGGAACTTAACTCTATTTGTGTTATGTTTTATTAAGTTAAAATTATTAAATAGTTTTGATCTTCAGTGATTATTGGTTTTATATTATTCAAGCTCTATTTATCAACAAAACTTTTATCAACTAAATATTAAGTTTCTACAGGATTTGAGCTATTGTAGTAATACAATACAAATAATTTATTTGTGAATTTATTTTCAGAGATGATCATTCCATATTTTGGGATGAAAAAGCAATCTTAACTTAAATATTATAAAAAATAAATTTATATGATCGCTTCATTTGCAATATCCAAACAAATAATAATTTAGTTAAAGTAATCTATTTTCACAGCAACTCCTGTTTTATAATCAAACAAAATATCGTTAGCCTAGAATGTCTATTGAATCTATGAGGTAAATCCTTTTTGATCAAACTTAGTTTGATTTTAAAATAATGCTTTCTTGAAAGGATTTTCAATTTGCAGGTAGCTGTGTGTTTTGTTTACCCAGGTTAAGTGTAAGATATTATTTTTTTCATTAAATTTCATAAAAGAGAGCTAGTTTATGGAATAAAACTCATATGTGTGTAAAACTTTGTATGAATAAACATCAAATATTACTAAAGCTTATCTATTAATCTAAAAAGCTATGATATGAATACTTTTAGTTTAAATAAAGATTGGTTTCTCTGCAATTTAATAATATACCGGTGTCCACTCTTTTGAAATTACCATTTTTCTTGATTCATCATAAGTGACAATTTAAGTTCCTTAAATAATCACTAATCTATTCAAAAATATATCATAAGCAGAAAGTAGGACCCTTTCTTCCAAATTATCTTTCTAAGATAAAAGTAAAAAACCAGTTTAATTGAAATGTAATATTAATAAGGTATTATTCACTAAATTAATGGTTAAAGCTTGTGATTAAGTAGAATAGAAAAAGCTATTTATTTAAACATTATATTTAATTTAATAGAATATACTTGAAACATTTTGATTTTATAGGTCTATTGCTTCAATTACTGCTTAGCTTTTAAAGATATTTATTAGATAATTCTATTAGAAGTAGCTAGCTGCATTATTAAATTTAGTTTTTGTAGCATAAATTTTATTCTAGTTAATAAGTTGGTATTAATTGCTAAGAATGAATAAAAATATATTTTGGGTAGAAGTCAAGACATATAAGTTGCTATTAATCATATTCACAGCTTTTGCATAGAAATCAGTTTTTAAATTAGCCACAGATTGCTTTTTTGTAGCATAATTTATGCCTAATTAAAATATTTCTATGCTACTGAAGCAATCAATTATGAGTGATGTACAAGAAAGATCTCTAAAAATGAGAAGTTCATTATCATTTGGTAATTTTTTCAAAAAGTTATTTCCAGGATTGTCAAAATTTATTGTATAAAGTAAAGTATGGTCTTTGTAGCTCCAAACATATAAACTTTAAGCAAATGAAATTACATAAAAATCATCAAAATAAACCAAATCCTACGGCTATGAATCGTTCTTTGGTACTATAATTTGCTCCTCTGCGATGTTTTTTAGAATAAAAGCATCTAATAAAGAAGTAGAAGAGTTATTTTATTCTTTAACCAATTATTTAGCAACTATTTAATTATCCTTTGACACCCAAATTAATTCTTTATTAGTTGTTTTGATTTATTCATAATCTTAAATTATATTTTAAAAAATAAATTCATTGTTTGAAGTCTAATTTGAGTTCCCTTGATAATTACCCTGTTAAAATCTTTCATATATATAAGAAGTGTTATTCAATTCTATTAAAAGATAGTTTCCTTGTAAAGAAAGTTCCAAAGAAATAGGCTAATTAGCTATACTTAAGTTATGATATTACTTGATCAAATACTATGAATTAGTCATATTATAAATGTATATAAATTCCGAATCTATAAGATAAGTTTCATTTAAATAATAATTAAACACATATTATTTAAACTAAATAGATTGTGTTTAATCAGGTTAACTGTAAACGACTACTTGTTAATTTAGAGATGTAGCATTTACTATTAAAAGCTAGGATCCATTTAACAGTTCTAAAGCTGTACCATTAAATACGGTTATTTTATTTTATACTAAGCTGAAATTTAGATTTAGATTTAACAATAGAATATTTCTAACCAAAAGCGATGGAGAATCTTCATCAACATCCCAAAATAAAAGGTTGCCTAATGCTGTCAATCCATAAATACTTCCATTACCAAATATTTCTACACTTTTTAAGTTTTCTTAGATAGGGATTGCCTTTAATATTTAGATGACATTATAATTATTATATTCTTCATCAAAGCTTCTTGAAGAATAAACCACTAAAACTGCAATTTTATGCAAAGAATCAGAGAAACCAACAAAATAATTCAAGAAATTTTGCTAAGTATTCATAACAAATTTAACGAAACCTTGCTTTATTTCTACATCATCATCTTCGTTCAGATTTATAATGGCTATTTTCTTAATAAAAAAATGTTAAATAAAAAGGATATTAAGAAAATTACACATAATTTGTTAATAAAGCAATGTAAATAAATTGATAAACTTATTATTTATTTTTAAAATTAATAAATCTTTTTCATTACTTAAAAATCGCTAACACTCCAAATGATAACTTGCTTTGCAGAGAAAGAGTAAAAATATTATCCACCATTACTAAACTGAACATCAAATATTTGATTTTACTCTTAATATTAGTCTGATATGAGCATAATTCTACTATTTTCAACTTTCCATAATATGAGCTTATCGCTTGAAAAACTAAGAATCCATTAATCTTGGTAAACTCTGATTCCTCTAATTTCTTATACATGAGACATCTATCCTTGGCTGATATATTTAGGGCATTAGAGTATTTCTTCACATAAACTTGTGCTTGAATTCTCCTAATATCCTGTTTCGCAAACGAAAACACATTATTTCTTTATAAATGAATAGTATTAAAAAGAATAAGGGCAAACAGAAACACAATATCCCAATTAATCAACTAAAAACCCTTCTGAGCATTTTAAACAATTTCCAACTGGGTCGGTCGCTAAGCAGAATTAGCTGTATTAAGCTACATATTTTAAAATTAAAAATGATTACTACAAATGGAGTTAAAAAATAAATAAATCAATGAATGAAATATGAAAGGTTTTTTACCTCTTATTTGAGCTAGCAAGTTAAAAAATATTACTAAAATTAATTTTATGTATTTGCTCATGGAATTAGCTAAAATTTATTTTTGATTGTTTTTAATTGTACTAAAATATTTTCTTAATTATCAAATATATTCTTTGCTAAATAAATACACTTATACAATTAATTAATTAGATAAATTAATTGTTTGTTTACCTAATTTTATAAAAAAGTTGTTCAATACTTTTTTTTCATAATTTGTCAAATAATCAATCTATTGAATGATAATTTTCCGAAATGTACAAAAAATTCAAGAAAAAGTATGTTATTTTAATAGACCTTTTATTAGGGTTATTTACCCTTTACTTAATGAATAATTATTTGGTATCAGGGGAATTTACAGTGCTTACTTTTATTTCTGTGCATTTATAAAATAATAAATAAAATAAATTTGTCCTATAAAATAATATAATTTCTAAATTTATTTTTCATTAAAATTTCATTTAAAACATTTTTTATTTTTAAATTCATTCACAAAACTTAAAATCATTTTATGTTAGATAGACAATGAAAAAGCTAACTTATAATTTAAATTCGTCATAACATATCAATATAGCAAATTTAGTAAATTATAAAAAAATTACAATTTATATCTAAAATACTAGAAATATCTTAACAAAATAAAAGTAAAACATATCAAATTTTGTTAAATCTTTTTAATTTTATTTTCAAATTTATTTATTCATAAAATATTATTGCTTAAAATTAAATTAAATACAAATTTATTAATTAAAGCTAGGCTGAAAAATAATTTTGGTTTATAAATAGATTTTCATTTTTATTTTAAGTAAATAAAAAATCAAAATAAATTCGTAAGAAAAATATTTCACAAATTTTATACAATTTGTCAAAAATATTTTATTTATTTTTACAAGTAATCACCATATTCTCTCCAAAATAGCATAGATAGACATACTAAACCTTATTGGTTTATCAATCAATTCAGACCTTTTCTAATTAAGCCTCCAAAAAACTTTTTTTTCTAGAAAGCTTGAGGGCTTTCAATATATAGAATAATTTCTGTACTTGAATTTTATAAGTTTTCTTAATTTCTGTATTATTTTGCTATTTTCTTCTTTTGTAAATAACTTTTATAATTTATTTGTTAGTGTATTAAAATCATTTTTTTTAATTAAACTTCAACTTTATTAAATGAAATAGTCTGAAAAATAAATATACTTTAATTGTATCACATTTTTTTATTCATATTTAGTTATAAAATAAAAATAATAAGGAAAATTTTATACAACTTATATACAATTTATGAAAAATATTTTACAAAACAATTTCAATTTCCCAAAACATTTTGCTTGTTTTAGAATTTATTATTTTAAATCTCTTCCTCACTGCTTGAATTTAAGGAATCTTCTTCATCGCTGCTGCTATCACTATTTTGCTATATTATTACATTTTTTCTTCTTTTAGTATTCATTCTTTGCATTTTAAATTAGCTAGAGAGACTTTATTTATCAAAGTTAACTTGGTTAAGATTAATTATTTACTTTTAGTTTAAACTTTTCATACCTTTATTTTATTATTAATTGACTGCTGTTTATTTATTATAATTTTAGACATTGTTTGAATCATTGTAAAGCCTTTTGACGAATTTATTGTTGATTTTTTAATCTCTACCAAGTGTATCATTTAATAGAATCGAAGGTTAATATAATTTCTTTTCAGTTTTTTTATCAAAATTTTGATAAAGCCTTTTTACTTACTTTTATTCTGCATTTTATGAAGTATTTTAAAACATTTAATTGCCATCATTTAGAACTCGTGTATAATTTTATTTATTTTAATTAAATTAATATGGATTATCTATATCTTAGCTTTTATTACTTTGCATTTGTTTTTGGTCAGAAAAAGTTTCTTATTAATTGCTAATTTCTTATTTATTCTAATAAATATAATCATAATCTGTATTACTTTTTTATTGACTATTGATCACGTCTATAAAATCACATATTAAAGGCATGGATTAAACTTTTTGTTGGTTACTATTTTACAATTGCTCCTCTTTTTGTTTTTTTAAAAAACTTTAGAATTTTTTATTTTATTTTTCAAAAACTTTATTTAAGACTTAGTTTTCGTTATCTTTCATTACAGTTTTATTATTTGAACTTACTTGTTTATTTGGATTCAACTAAGGGTTTTATTCCTCATTTTGCTTAAAAGAATTGTTTTATAATTCTATATTATTTAAAATTTTTAAATTTCTCACATCTTTATCTTCAAAATTATTATCATTATTATTATTTACTACTTAAATTGTAAATTAATTTGAAAAAACTTCCTAATTTTCTGCCTAAAATAAATAATTATTAGAATGTATTTGGCTAGTTGCTGAGCCCAAACGATTCAAAGTATTATTATCTTTTTATATAGTTTAGATGTAATCAAAATTAATACTTTACGGTTAAGAATCTCCTTAAAACATTATTTTTTCTTTTTGGACATCTAAATTAATAATTTCTTTTGAATTAAATTTATTATTACAAACTGATTTGTCATAATATCCTTAAATATTTGAATTCTCCTATTTTTTTTGGCCCTAAGAATGGCCATAGATTGCTTAAGGTTATTAAATGCTTTAAGAGTTAAATAATATTCTATCTATATGTAGCTGTAAATATCTCTTATTTTTAACTATATTAACTACCTTTTTCCAGTTTTTATGGGCTCTGAGGATATTTATGGGCTCTGTTGTATCAAAACAAGAAAATACTCTTGGATATTTCTTTTTTAGAATAGATTTTATTTTTAATATGTGAGTATGAAAATGAGACATTAGCTTTTCTCTAACTGAAATATAAAATAGATAAATCAAAAATGCATAATAAACAATAATGTTAAAAATAAGACATATGATCTAAGTAACAGGATACTTAGCTTCATATTGGCACATATTTATAAAAATTAAAAAAATTAAACCAATGATAAGCAATCTATCTATTCTATTAAATCTATTCATTTTATATGGCCTATATTAATTGCTAGTAATCAAATAAGCAAGCAAAGTAACGCCAATCATAGAGCATTTAATGAAAAATCTTTTTTAAATGGAAGTATGAATTAAAACTATGAATATTTTCTTGTAAGATTTTATGAATTCCCAGTAGTAAAATTTTTATTTATACTCTTAAAATAAAAATCCAAAATTAAATCTCATCGACACACTATCTAATCTCTACTTATTTTTCCATAGTTTTCTTAAAATACCGATAGGAATTATAAACTAAATTTAATTAATTAAATTCATTAATTAAGAAAAAATGATTAATTTGAAATATGTTTACAATCCATAATATAAGGCCTGGAATAGAAATCACAGCAATTGATTTCAAATGCATCTGACTTAAACACTCGCTCATTATATCAGCCTGTATATATAATTTATTGCCTATTTCTCTACAAAACACTGTTTCTAGTAGTGAAGAGATAATATTTGGTTGTAGGAAAATAAGAAGAACAAACAATCCATTACTAAAAAATAGCTTATTGAATTTTTATTACTTATATAAAAGCATAATACTATATATTATCACAATAGAAATAGCATAAATAAGAGGTATTATAAAAATCCAAATTATCCTTAAAAACGCTATTTAGATCTTACTTTCATCTACCTTAGCAAATAAGCAATCAAATGAATATAAGAAATTACCAATCGGTATTGAAACAGTGTTTGGAATGTAATAATATATTTTTTACAGCTAATAATCTTCATAACTTATAATATTTGCAATCTTTATTAATTAAATTATATTGAAATTAGTAAATTAAATACCAAAAAAAAGAGATATTTTCAAATAACTTTCAAAAAATTTAATTAAAATCTTGAATCATAGATTTTCTCAAAAAATAAAAATGTGTATTTTAATTATTGTTAAATAAAATTATTAAATATTCTTCAAAACTGATTCTTTTGTTAATTTATATTTTATTTGTAAAAAGTAAAATTAACATCAAAAAAATAAAAATTTTTAAATAAGTTTTCTCAAAAAATAAAATGAATTTTTGAATTAATGTTAAATAAAATTCTAAATATTCCTTCAAAACTGATTTTTTTGTTAATTTATTTTTTATTTGTAAAAAGTAAAATTAACATCAAAAACAAAACATATTTTAAATAGTTTCTTCATAAATAAATATAATTTAAATAATAAATTTTCTTAAAAATAAAATATTTTTTTGAATTTTCATTAAACAAAATTATTTAAATATTTTTTCAAAAACTTATTTAGATTAAAAATATACTAAAAAAAAATAAATAAATAAATTAATTAAGTAAGTAAGTAAGGATGCTTATATATAAATCAAAAAAAATGTCTAGAAATATAGTAAGAAATTACTTAAAAAAAATGAATAAGTTGCTTTATGTAAAAGGGAGATAAATCTTTGATCACGCTATTTCCTAATGATATCATACCTATCATCCTTAAATAATAAGAGTAAGCAAATCCTTAAGCCATTTGAATGGCAAGCTTTTTAAAAACCCAAAAAAAGTAAGTTAATCATAAAATTAATTAAATTTTATAAGCTAATAAATTTACTTTTATCGAGAAAACAATGTATATAATCATTACAAAAAAAATAATTATCAGAGGAAAATAATACTGGAAAGTAGACATATCTCTGCATTTATAACAGCTATTAACAAAAATATTTTAAAATTAAAGATTAAATTTAGATAAAAAATAATCATACTTTCTTTAGTATTTCATATAGCTTTCACCCCATACTTTACCATAAATGTCACAAGATTCACAAAGAGGTCCTACAAATCCTTATTTACAATAAAATCTACTTTCTTCACTTTCAGCTATTTGATAGTAAAATTTAAAAATTTCTTTTTAAACTTATTGATAGATTAATTGGTAAAAAGTAAAATAAATTAATTTTTATTTTTGATTATAAATAAATAGTAGGTTTTATTTAGTTTTTCATTTAAAGAATAAAATAATTAAACAAATAAATACATACCTTGGCAATTATCTGGATTATATGAACATTGTAAGATATCATCAGTGTAATTATCATATCTCCAGTAACCGTTTTTGAGCAATATAAGGCTTCCTTAGCAGGATCTAGCTTATTCTGGACACTTTAAGCATAGATGAGTGCTATTTTGGATTTAAGAAACAGCTTAAAGTGAATAGAAACCTTCTGGACAAGGATAACATATTTGGTATTATTTTTCTTAGATCAAAATTTCTCCTATATTGCATTGTCTAAAATTTACATTGATCTATATTATATTTTACATTTAATTTGTTTGATCTATATTGTAAGGAATGACATCAATATCTTTATCTAACTATTTTTTAGATAAATTATATAAAGGAGCATCGATAGAAATGTTTTCGAGTAAATTTTCAAGGTATAAAAAGATAAAACCTTGATCAAGAGGAGTACCTAATATTCTAATATCATCAAATATCCATTAATTATTATCTACGTCTGTATTTTAGTAATTAAGGATCATCTAACCTGCTAATTTAATATTATTTGTACAACTAATAGTAAGAATTTTTATTCTTTACAAAAATGATTAGACAAGATAGTGGGAGTGTTAGTATTTAGAGATCTTCACTATAGAATTTTCATCATCATATAAAACAACTCTAATTTCAATGATATCTCCACTCATAAAATTTGACAAAGTATAATTAAATTCATTATTTTCATCTTTTTTAATTTAATCTTAAAAATCTTGCAATACTATTTTTGAAGGCATAAACCCACAATTATTACCATATATTAAAGCAGAATTGTTAATCAGTTGCTGTTTATAAACGCCTATCATTTATTTACAAGATATATTATTTTGATTAAATATAGCTCCTCCAATGTTAGCTCTATTGCCTATAAAGTAGCTTGTAGAATCAATAAAGAGGTCAGATTAATCTAAAAATATTCCGCCTCCAAAAGCATAGGCTTCATTAAATTAGAAAAAAGAGTGATGCTATATATATAGCTTTGAGTGAGTAGTGGCAAAAATTGCTGCACCACTCACTGAGGTGTTATTTTTCATAGTAACATTAAACATTTCAGCGTTTGTTTAAAATAAGAATAATGTTGCACCAAAAACGCAGGTTTAGCATTTATTATTGAAAAAATAGGAATCTTAAAGGATAAAATTGTTAGATTTAATATTAATGAGCTGCTAATTGCATGAATTGTTTTAAATTTACAAATCATACATTTCAATAGACTCATACTTAAGGGATTAGTGAGATTTTTCATTTGAGTAGACATTATTGTAGAAAATAAAGCTAGTATTTATCATCCTTTGAAAAGTTACATTGCCTATTTATAAATTATATATTCCATTTATAGAAAATATAAAATTAGCTAACATCTATTCATCTACATTTGATTCAAAAACTTTATTATTTATATTTTAACTCTGGCAGTCTTAGATAAAGAGATTTTTTATTTATAGTGACTCAACATTTGTCATTTAAAATAAATTAATTTCTTTCAATGTAATATTTTTTATTACAACATTTTCTATTGTCAAATTACCTAAATAGTTTTTAATAAAAAATTTAATAATGAAATGAAAACAAAAAATTACTTTGTCCTTAGAATTCAAACAAGTTCATTTCTACAGTTAAATTTTACATTTAAAGATTTTTAATGATTATTTATTACTATCCTTTGAATCTAAACAAGGGGTTTCCTACAATTCTTAAATTTTTTAAATCTAAATCATTAATTATTAAAAGAGATTAGTCAGATAAATAAAATCCATTATTCTGATAAGAAATATCAAAAATATTAACTTTTTATAATATAACTATTTATGAATATTAAGAATATTTATTATTTCTACTTAATGAGGGAGCTTAAAGGAAAAACCCATTCACTAACAAGCTTTTTATTAAATATTTTGAAAAAACTAAAAAATCTAAAGAAAAGCTATCTTCTTAGCTGTCATCTTTTACTAAAATATAAGGAAAGAGTCTAAATCTCAATTTTTATTTAAACTCAGTCAATTCATTAATCATAAAAGGCTATTCTCCCTAGTTAAGAAAATAGTTTATTGTAATACCATCAAATTAGTTTTCTGCTTATATACATGGTTATATCCTATTGATGATTTACTTTTGCTAATACTTTTTCATATCAGAGTTAAAGTCTACATAGCAATTATTAAAAGGTTAAATACTCATATAATTTAAAGGCACGTCTAAGATATGCAAGCCTAAGTTGCTAAAAAATTGCATCTAAATACTTGTTACTCCTAATTTTTGTGATATATTGTAAAAAACTAGCCTAGGATTTTCTACTTAATAGCTATAAGCGATCACAAATTCTTAACTTAAAAAAACTATTTTACTTTAAGTAGCTATGACAAAAAACGGGTCTCCTTGTTGATAAAAAATAAATTTAACAAAGGGAAAATTAGTTTTTATTTGATTTAACTATAATGTATCTAGCTCATAAAAATTTATTTAGTAAGCAGTAAATACTACAAAATATTATTACTAAACAATTTAAATTTAGCTTTAAATACCTGGAGTAAATATCTCATACACTTTTTAAAGAGTTTTTATATCTAAAACTAAAATTTTTCTAGCTATTTTAGATAAGATAAACACATATCTATCGCTAAATTTTGTTTGATCTATCATAAACTACAATTCAGCTAAAGCTATCTACTTGAAAACTTATTGTGAAGAACGTGTGGATCCTTGAATGGAGAATTTGTATATTGAATAAGAATTAATTACAAAAATGTTATCTGGTGATAGAGCTTTAATAAAGAATATATCTGAAGCAAAAGAAAATGAGTTAACAGCAACCAAATTAAAATTATTTTTGGGATACTCTTCTAAAACATAAGATTTAAAGGAGTTTTACTTTTTGCTAGAATTTAAAAATATACCAATATCAGTATTTTAAATCTATATGCACTTTATTATTCCTTTGTAGTCAAACTATTCATCCATAATATTGATACTATTAATTTAATAACTTGGCCCTTTATCTTTTTTAGCAACTGTAATATCTAGTGTTTTCTTAATTTGTAAAAGCTTAATTCTAAAAATGGAAGAAATACCTACTTCAAAAATTTAATTTTATTATACTAAAAAATAATTGAATTAACTCTATGGAGTATAAATAGTTAAGCCATTCAAATCATAATTAAAAAAATAAGCAGCATTTTAACAAATTATTACTGGAAATAACCCATCAAGCAAATGCATGCTTATTACTAAGTTACCAAACTTTGCTATAAAATTGTAACTTTCAAATGGTCCCAATATGTATTTCCAAAGTACCATATCATCATCTATCATGAGATATAATGTAGATGTTATTTTTAAAATAAGTTATTAGTTGTTGGGTTATTGGGAAGCTTAAAGCTGATTTATTGAGTAGTATGGAATCCACTAAAGAGTTCCATCTGATTTATTGCAAAACAAAATCATGTGAGTATCCAACTTGTATAAAAATGAACCTGATAGTGGGTAAATTTAAATGTCAAATTAAAGCTGCAAATTTAATATATTATATCCAACTAAATTATTCATAAATTAGACGATAACCAATCCTTTTTCTTCAATGTATTTATAATTTAAATATTGATTTTAGTCATCAAGCATTCTATATCTGTAAATTAAATCCCCGCTTTTTTTATTAGCTATTGCTATTGATGAAACTTCTATGAATAAAACAAAATCTAAATCTCTAAAGCACATAAATTTTTTAACTTGCTCAGGCCAATCTGTATAATAAAATACTTTGTTTCCTTCGTTTTCAAAGTCTAAAACAACTCCCCTATTTTATAATTCATAATAAATTAGAATTAGAAGGTTTTTTATGAAAAAAAAAATTTTTTTAATATCTAATACAAAGACATCATGGCGGTTATAATTAAACTAATAAAATTAATAATTTATGTTCAGAAAGTAATTTTTAAAAATTTAGATTTTTGATACAAAAGTTATTTATTATTTAAAATTATTAAATTTTAGTTTGGTATAAAAAAAAAATTAATTTATTTTAATTTTATTAAGTATCTTTTAAAGAATTAAATTTTAAAAGCTCATAATTTATTTTACATAGAATTAGAGTAAAAAATATGGAAGAGTAAGTCAACAGAATAAGTGGCTGAGAGTGCTGAGGGAATCGAAGGCTAAAACTATAGGTAGAGTTCACCAGTTTTTCTATCATAAAATGTGATTTTGTCTTAATAGATTCCTACTACATAAAGATGAGAGTATTCTATTGGGATTAACTCATTTGCTTTATCTTAAATAGTAATAAAAGAGAAATCTTGATTTTAATATTCATAGAAGATAACATAATAAATTCCTTAATAGTTTATAGCTAAAATTTGTAGCTAGCAATTAATAATATCAATTTATAAATCCAAGAATTGAGTTACAAAAAGAAAAGTTTATTTCATATCTACAGAGTAAAGTTTTTTTATATTAGGAAAGGAATAAATATGAAAGACTTATGATAGCTAGTCGTAATAGCAAATTATATGATTATTATTATCTTAATCAACAATTATTCTCACATTTGAGAGAGCATTTTCAGGTAGATTGTAAATATTAGGTTAATAATTAGGCTCTGACACCATTTTCAAGTCTACAAGAATAACCTCACTTCTTTATGATGAGAATAATAAGAGTTATTGCATGAATTTAAAAGGAACAATTTTAAATATTGTAAATTAGTAATCTACAGAAAATACTAGTTAAGTATTTTTTAAATAATCGTAAATTCTTAGCTTATTATTTTGGGCATTAGACACAATTATAAAATTATCTATCTATTCTAAAAATACTTTTTGATTTTTAGCATCAAATGGAGTAATAGAGCTATTATTAGATGTGACTAAGATCGTTGTAGAGTTTCCAAACTGCTGATGATGAATAGTTTTATTTTGAAAAACATAAAAAAGCCTATCATTTAGACAATCATAGAAAACTTTAGATAGAATATTTGCAGAAGAATACTAATCCTAAATGAGTATCTTTTGTGAGCTGTATAAATCTATAATCATATATCTTTTATAATCATATAAGAAAAATATCTTACCTGTATCAGCAAAATCTTACCATAAGTTAACTATTTATGCATTAATCTACTATAAAAAGATTTCTACTTTTTGAACAACATCATAGATAACAAATCGCTCTCTCTGAAGGAGAGTAAGCTAATTCAAATTTTTAGAAAAATATAATCCTAAAACACTATTTTTCTTATTTTACTTCTTTGAAATAATATAATTTATCTAAAGTGTGTCATCCAAAATGTAGATCTTCTAAAGATTAGTGCACACCAAAATAAGCGTGGAACTATTTTCTTAATATTTAATGATCTCACACAGATTCAAGCCATCAATTTAAATATTATACAAAATTTTTGTTATGTTCAAGCAATTTTTAATTGTGATTAAACCTTGATTTAAGAATATTTAGATGAAATTTCCATTAACATTGTTAAAATAAATTTTGAATTCATTTTCTTCTTCAAAACTTTAGTCTTTACTGCTATTTTACGATTGCTAATTACCTAAATCCATATCTCCTATATAGAAAACTTTAATTTATTTGTTGCTAGAAGCTACTAAATATTGTTGCTTGAAAAGCATCAGGTTTTTGATATCTTTATTATATTCGAAATACCTTTCTCCTATTTTATAGAATCCATCCTATCTCACCATAATAATAGAGTACACAATCTAGTATTTATCTATAGCCCCTTCTTAAATAGTTGAAGCCACTGAAGCCGTGACTAACAAGTTCCCTTATGCTATCATATTTTGCTAAACACTAGAAAACTGTAAATTAAAAACAGCTTTTCCATGATATAAATTCCATGCAATTAAGTTATATTGGGAAAGAGAGTAATACAAATTAATGTTATAGCTCGAAGTTGCTACATTTTATATTTATTCAAAATTTTAAGAATAAATCTTGCTACTCGCTACATCTCCCAACAGCTATTAAAGTTAAAACTATTAATTAGGTTGTTCCCCGTCAGTAAATTATTTTATGTTAGTGCCATATGTATAAAAGTATTTCGAAGATATAAAAATCTTATTATCTATTTATTTAATTAATTAATTAAAATAATATCATTAGTAAAATAAGAGTCTAATTTATTTAATTAAATCAGTAAATTAATTAAGGAAATATAATTTGATCTATATTTTATTTTAATTAGCAATTTTAAAGGTATATTTTATAAAAGTTTTTTTTATAAAAATTATATAATATGCTTTTCATTAGTTTTGGTGTGATAATTTATGAATATTTATAAAAATAAAAAATTTAGAAATAATTAGATATTTATTTAATTTTTAATTCTTTTATTTGTTTCTTGAGCAATAAACAAACTATAATTAATTTTTTGGATTTTATTGTAAAATGTAAAAAATATTACCTAAAACCAAAGGGTTCTTACAAATTAGCTTTATTTAGCCTGTGTCATTAGATATGATTGAAAATATTGTTACAGAATTAAATATCTTTGAATATGCTAATAAAAATTCGCTTAATTCGTTTTTAAGATAGAATAATTAATTGGAATACTTGCAGTTTTACAAGTCGATACATTAAGAAATCTCTTGAATACAATAAAACGAATTATCAGTCTTATTCAAAAACCAAATTTAAATGAATGTATCAAGCTTAAAAAAAACAAGATTTTTATTTTCTAAGTAGATGAAATCAAAATAAGTATAATTTTCATATTTATTTAGATTGAAACTTGAAAATTATTTTTCAAACTAAAACTAGCCAATCTTATTCAAAGATATAATATTTAAAGTAGAGTTTTTGAGATACCATAAACTTTTATTATATTTTTTAGCTGACATTACAAATTAATCTACTCGATCGGCTTCTATAATTATGCCAGAATTATCTGAAAAGCTCCATTCAAATAAATTCTATTTGTATGTTAGTCCATAAACTTTATCACCAATACTATAGAGCATTTGTATAGCAGCAGTATCATTACAGTTCAAGATAATTTCGTCAATAATATATGATTAACTTGTAATTCCATCGTCATTAGACATTTTGGTTTCATCGCTATCAAAAATATCTGATATCAAATAATTGGCTTGACACGAAGAAGCATCTTTAAACATAATACTATTTAAACCAAAACTAGCATCTTTGACAAAAAAATTAACCTAGTTAAGACTATATCCAACAATATTTTCTATCTTTAATATTAAAAGATAAAGTTGAAAAAATTATTTTGAAATAAATACAAAATATACATACATATCCTTGCTAAACATTCCAAACCAGGATGCGATAGTTTGTCCAACCAATCAAAAAGCTTTCATTTAAAAATTTTATTCCTAAAAAAAATTCATTTTGAGTTTATGTTGAGTTTTCATCATCTGAGTTTGGATCATTATCTTTTCTTTAATATGACTATTACTATAAATTATTTTCTTCTCCGTAAACTTGGTTGCTCTTGAAGGAGTTCAATAATATTTTATTCTCCATATCCCATAAAATTACTGACTTTTAATCAAAAGAAGCTAGATATTTATCATTATATGTAGCTAATCCGCTTATTTCGCTTTGATAAAAAGACTATCCTAATAAAAATTATTAAGGGCATTGTAGGATTTCAGAGCAAGTCATATTAGAGTCGTCTTCAAACTGTGTATGAGGGCAAACCATAGTGCATTCCAAGCTACTTGGTATAAAATACATAAATTAAGGACAAACACAGTGGTTTCTATCAAGATTAGGAATCAAATCTCCATAACACTTCTTACATTAATTCTAATTTTAATCCAAATAATACTAACAATGTTCTACTAATGAATGAACTAACTACGAAAAAACCACTTTATAAAATAAATTAAAAAAGAAAGATATAAATAAAATAAATATTTTAATTTTAAAGTTTACTTAAAAATAAAATAATTACCAATTATTAAAATAATTCTTTTTAAGAGGTAAAATTATTTATTGTTGTTTATAGTCATCAAATATCTTAATAAATATATATTAATCAATAAATTCTTTGTTATTTATTTTGTCAAAATATTTAATCACTTTATTAAATTAATTATACTTTTTCAAGCTCCTCAAACAAACGAACATAAACATATTTATTATTCAAGAAAAGCAAGCAAGCAAAAAAACAAAAATATATACAAACCAATAATCTACTCGTCCTCGAAAATTTATATTAAAAATTTACATAGGTTTTACATTTTAACTATGTGTATATATTTTAAGAAAATTTTTGGTTTATGTATTCATTTAATTGATCATTTTTTATGGTAAAAAATAAATAAATTCAAGTTTAACCAATAAACAACTAACAAGTCAAATTATTTTTTATAATTCTTTCTATTTTATTAATAACAATCATTTTTTATGATCAAATTCTAAAAATTTAAATAAATACATTTATTTTTTTTATTTTTGTTCAAAGTTACATTGGTTTTATTTACAATTTAACCTTGACTATATTTTAAGAAAAATGTTTGTATATAGATTTATTTAGCTCATTATTTATCGGAATTAATTAATTTATTAATTTTAGTTCAATCTATAACAAACTAACTAATCAAATAATTTTATATAATTCAAATAGTCATTTTTATTATCATCTTTCTATGTTATTAGATGCTAAAAATTTTAGGTTTGCACATTTTTAAGAAAAGAGTTCATTTATATATACATTTAAAAGTAAATTTATATACACAATTAATATTTAATTTTGAATGATTAATACTAAAATAAATTTAACCAATAACAAACTAAATAATCAAAATATTTTAGTTTTATATTATTAAAAGCAATTATTTTTAGTTTGACCAACTTCTAATACTTTAATATATTTATTTGTAAAATTTTATATTTTAGTTAGAGACTCTTTAAAAATTTATCATAATTATTCTAAACTACCATAGAATTAGTAATCAATAGCTATTTAAATCTATTGTTTTTCATTATTGTGCTATTATAATACATATTATTAAATTTAGGGGATATATTTTTATCATATAAAAATTGATTAACAAAAAATTATTTTTATATTTTTATTTAAAATATAATGCTAACACAGCTATGATTATCAATTATGATATTGTTAAGGATAAATAAGAAGACAAAGTAAATAACATTTGTGATGAAAAGCTTTTTAATTTAATTAAATTTTGATATTTTTCGATATTTTCAATTATCAAATACAAGCACATAACTCGATTCATAGAAAATATATTGAAATAAATAATTTAAGAATTCAAATAAATTGAAAGAGTTTTTTTAAAGTATTACTTACGTAAGATAGCTTGTCTATACAAAAATTAGAATATTTTAAAATCAATCATACATAATAATCTTCAAAACACAATTTTGAAAACAAATTTTAATATAATTTTATTAGATTCATCTTATTTTTTTGTTAAAGAAAGTATATATATCTTCATTTAAATATAATTGAAATCTAAAAATTTAATCCTCTAGATGTATAAAACAAAAACTTTACTTGTAAACTTAAACCATCTTAGTATATTAATATTGAAAAAATATTTGTAAATCAATTATTAAAATATAATAGTGAATTTATGTATGAACAAAATCAATAAAAAAAATAAAATGTTTATAGATGCATATTTAAATGAATGATTAATTACTTTTCAAATGAAATTGTTTACAAATTGCCAAAAATAAATTTAAGATAAATTAGAATTTAGAGAAATAGTATTTTTCTTAATAACTTTTTTAATTTTGTTTATATGTATTTAATTTATTTTTATTATTTATTTAATTTGTTTTTATTATTTATTTAATTTATTTTTGTTATTTATTTAATTATCTTTTTATTTAAACATTATTTTATTTTGGATATTTTTTAAATTTATTGTTTTAATTATTTCTATCTATTTTTTGTATAGGCAAGAGCAATTCTAGAGCGCAGAGAGTCTCAGATAATCTAAATGTGTTAATAATATTGGCAAAAAAGAATCTTAATTAGTTTGGGAAAAGATAAGTGTTTTGATATTACCAAGAGATCAAAGATCTCTATGACTTTTAAAAAATATCCTCAACAATCAATATTTTTGGAGTGAATGGAGATACATAAAATGTACTAATTTAGTTTTACAAGTGATGGTTTTGATCTCTCGAAGAGAACATAAGTATTAAATACATTTTATTATCTGGAATTTAAAAAACTTTTAATCGTTGTTGAGGAATTTCCTTTATCAGCCATTTTAACTAATTGTTCTTTTTTTAAGTGATTTTTCTTTTATTTAATTAATCTATTTATTATATTTATTTCAAATAAATTTGCTTTGCATACATATATACATTCAAAGAGTAAAAAGTAAAATATCTTTCAAAATAAATTAAAAAGAAAAAAATTAAAAATAAATAATTCAAATAGGTAAAAACATAATAATTTGAATTTTTTAATGATAAAATTTGAACAAATATATTGCATTGCATATTATATTTAATTATTTTTTAAGAAAATTATGATTATATTTTGATGATTCGCTATATTAATTTTAATAGTTTATTAACACCTCAATTTTAATATATAAAAATATAAAAACATGAATAATTATGATTAAATACAAATAAATTAGAATTTCATTTTATTTAATCTTACTCTGTTATTTGAATAAATTTTGAAGATATTTTATTTTACAAATCCTTTTAACTTTTGTAGATTGGAGGCAGATGTACCTGCTGTTTGCTTTTATTTTAAAAACTGTAAATGGAACTGCGCTTAGGAGATTATTAATATTCAATAATAGATGCACGATTACTAGGAGTTACATTCATAAATGACTGTCTGTTTGAAGCTATTGATGAGCGAGTAGACACTTTTTTGCCAATTTTAGAAATTTGAATAAAAACAGATTACTAATTTAAATCATTAACAAGCTATTTCGCTGCTTGCTAGTAAGACAAGCTGAGATTCTATTATATAAGTTAATTAATTAATAAAGATTCAAAAAAAATAAATTTACTTTAATATTTTCTTCGTATTTACTTTCTTCGTCAATTTAGCACATTTGCTGCATAATTTCAAAATAGAGGTTATTGTCTTATATTTAAATATCGCTCAAATTGAATGGAATATATTTGCTATTATATCTAGGAATTGAAGTCCTCAAGTTTTTCATAAACCCTCTCCTATGCTCCTTTTCTATATTTATGTTTTAAATCATTTTATTTCTAAATTCTTGCCAATGTTTTCTTTCCCAATATATTTATCTGATATCAGCATCACTTGGATACCTCTTTAAAGACTCCTTATACATTTCATAATTTTCCTTAGGTATAATCTTGTTTAGGTCAAACACAGTAATATAAATAACCTCACAAGGAGTTGAGCTAATTGCACTATATTCTTAAACCTCTTAATAAAAGACAGAATACTCCCCAAAGACATCACCATCATCTAAAAGTTAAAAATAACAATTTTTAAAATGTTTTTGACTGTTTTTATATATAAATGAATAAAACTATCTTAAAAATTAATTACTAAATTCGTCTATTTCTATGAAATCTTATTTGTAATAGTAATCTTCACTATTTTCATAGTTTTCGCTCAATTAAAAATCAGCAGGTGGGTCTGAAATATCATATGGTACTTTTTACTTGGTCAAAGGATCATATTTAAATGGAATGCACTTTACAGCCTTTACTTGTCCTCTTCTTACGAAATAGATAGCAGCAGCATCGTCACCTTATCGCTTTATTTATTTATTTATTTTTGTGAAAAAAACTTAATTAATTTATAAAGTTTACCATAATTATAGTGTTTGAAGGGTATTTTTTTATTTAACATTTTGTGGTTATTTCTAATAAAATATTTTCTGGTAAAAGTGTAAACAAATTCATATTTTCTAAAAATGACTAAAGCTTTTGCAAATGCAAAGTCTTTTTTTCTTTAATAAAAGCTTGAAACACATCTTTTTCTAAAATAATCAATTCTGTAGGTTGATTTGCCATGATTGTCGCAGTTCTTTTAGAATTAGTAATCAGTGCTATTTCACCAAAGGCTGCTCCTCTTACAAGTCTATTTTTTTCTTTCTAAAAGAATAAAAAAACCAAGATTTAAAAAAACAATCATTTTAAATTAAAAATAATTAACAACTATAAAATAATTTAGTTTATTTAATAAATCCTACTTGTAAATTGCTATCATTAAATGGAATTTCTAAGTTAATTAAAAATAAACTTAAAGAATTATTTATTATTTTAGGGTCATTAAATTATTAATATTTTTTACTGGATTTTTTAGAATTGTTAAGCACAATTATAAAATGAAAAAAAAAAATTAAAAAAGCTATTTACCAATTGCATAAAATTTTTATATTCAGTTGGTTCATCTATGTAAATAGTCACTCCACCGCTCAATATGATATAAAAAGCATCTCCAATATCTCCCTAAATTTTATTTTATTAGTTATTTACTTATTTACTATTTAGTTTAGCATTTAATTATAAATTGCTTATTTCATCATATTGGTAGAAATTAAATTGTTTAAGAAATTTTTACTTATTTAAAGACATATTATCTTGTGTCTAAAGATTTTATATACAAGTATCTGCAAATATCTTTAAACTCTTAAGAATGCTTGTATTTCGAAAGAAATTGTATACCCTAGTATTCATTTATTAAAAATATATTTAAATGATTTGTTATGTATGCTTGGTTTTGATTATAAATTTGCTAATAATTATTTTATTACACTAACTTATTTAGCTATTTCCTAAATATTTTAATCTGTCCTTTCTTCTGGCGGAACAGTCAACAATTTCCTTAGCTCTTCTATCTAAAATTATTCTTCGCTCTTAACTTCATTTTCTTAGGTGCTAGTTTTTTGTTTATTTTTCTCCTCTACAATATGACAAAAAATAAATATTTTACTTAAATAATTAAATATGCAATAAAGCCAATTATAAAAATCAAAGTGCAACTATTGTTTATAATTGCTATTATAAAATTATTTTATTGCTTTTGCTTACTTTGATATTAGCTCGCTTTATTTGCCATCTTGAAACTATAAAATCTCCTTATATATTATTAAATAAATCAGTAAATTATTTGGTACTTTCAATAATGTAAGGTTTTATGAACTTATATATTTAATTTATTTATTTAATAGGTCTATTAGAATTTCAATTTTTTATTTAATAAAAATTGTTTAAAAATGAAAAAATTATTGATAATTTCATATTTGAAAATAGACTTAAATTCATAAAATAATATTATTCTTTAATAGTTAAAAAGTAAAACATAAATTAGAAGTACAAAAATGTGTAGAAACTCAACTAAGTCTATAAATTTGACTGAATTAAAATAAATTCATTTCCTAAATACAACAATTTAAAACAAATAATTTATTTTTGAGATGAAGAAAATAAATAAAAATTTATATATATTATATAGAATCTATTTAAGTGCTCAAAATTAAATTTTTTCAAATTAATACTTAATTTTTACAAAATTTTTAATATTTTCAATATTTGGCTAAACTAAACTTTTAAAAATGATTTTTGATAAATTAGACTGAATATTATTTGGTCTTTCACGTGTCCAATAAAAAAATTTATAATAATATTTTTAATATGGTCAAAAAGAGTTTTAGTGAATTTAACTTATGAAGAATTTAGTCAAAGTGGCTATCTAAGACTTTTAATATTTCATGTAAAATCAAGTTTTTTAATAACATATAGTTAAAAAAGAATTTTAGAAAAATATGCCTAACTCAGTATCGTTTGTTTAACAAAAGTTTATAAAATAATAAAAGAAATGTACTTAATATTTTAGGTTATATTTTAATTACATAAAACTATAATTTTTAATGATTTATTAAATGAAATAAAAGTTAAATTGATATTATTCTTATAATAATTATGCATATAGAGTAAAAATTTTAATGTAAATAATTAATATAAACAAAAATCAACGCATAGGAATAATCCTTTTTTCAATTAAAAATAAAATCTGAAAAATCCAAAAAATTTTATTGAAAATATTTCTTCTGATCAAAAATATTTACTATTTCCTTCATTTTGTTAATTTTTTGAAATAATTTTAGGACTATGATTTCTATTGTTTCTTACTTATAAGCTAAATATCATTCATATGTAAAATTTCTTTCAAAATTTAATCATTATATTTAAAAATATTGATTCAATCAATACTTTATCTTTTAGAACTAAAAATGAGAATAAGTTTTAGATAATTGCTTAGGTTTAAATCTCTTAATATTTAAATTTTGTTTGCCTTAATTTAGCTAATTTATAGTGTCTATTTCGTTTGTATAGTAATGAACTTCATTTGATTCTGTAGAAATTGGAGTTGGAGAGGCTACTTAATGGAAAAAGTTATATGAATCATGGTATATTTCTCCTCTAGCATCACGGAATGTGGGTAATTAGACAATTTTTTAATGGGCCCTCTCATATTTTCTATTAGCAGCCTCGTCTAGGTTATATTTAAATTTGTTTTTCATTAAAAAGTTTGTCATTTCAATACACCACTCCTTAGAGTTCAAGCGTGATTTAATGTTATATTGATAAAGTAAATTTAAGAAAATGAGTTTCTTATCTCTTGTTGTTATCTTTTTATTTTTCAAAATAGTATCTAGCAACATCTTTTTTCTGTGGATTTTAAAGCTCTCTGAATGATAATAGTTATATTCTTCAGGTGACAGTTTTAAAAAAAATAAATTTTCAATAGATTCCAATCTTTTTTGTTCATCTTCAAGCGACCTTATTTAGTCTTAAAATTATTTAGAGTATATGTATTCATTATCTGTTTCTTTGTCGATTTACATGCAAACCATATAATTGTTATCGAATTCAATAGAATTTTTTGTTGCAAGTAGTTAATTTTGAGATTTTTAATTGTCCAAATTCTATTAAAATTTATTCAATGAAAGTTTGTTATTCAAGTTTTGCTAATTAATAGGAGATATTATGTCGTTCTTAGAAGTAAAAGGAATGAATATATCAGAAGTCAATTTTTTATTATTATTTATATCTCTATCACTTGCAATATTTTATTAAGAATTTATATTTTTAGCTAAATCTCTCTCATCTACTATATTTACTCTTTACTTTTTATTATTTTTTATTTATTTAAGGCTTGGCAATCTATTATCTGACTTTCTATTATCAGAAGCATCTTCAGAATTGAGTAAAATTGTAAGTTTTTTCAAATTTGCTTCTGTTTAATTTTAATGATCTTATTTTTAGTTGTGTTCTTCTTCTATAATTGATTCTTCTTTTTCTTCTTTAATCAAATTATTTACTAATTTAGCTTATTACAATTTTGGATTAAAATTTTATTACACAAAGTTCATATATTATTATTTTAGTTTTTTGACATTAGCTGTGTCTTTATTATCAGAGACACTTTCATAACTAGAATATTACTAATTTCCATTAGTATCGTTATTGTTTATATTGATGAACTAAAATTTGGATTAGCCTGAACTCTGTTATGGAGATGTTGCAGCTGCTGTGAGCTTTGATGGAGTATTTTAATAGGATTGAGTCGGTGTTATTTATTACATTTAACCTGGAACTTGATATCTTTCTTAAGGACTTAAAATTTATGTTTAGCTTGGATTCAAATTACCAAAGGAGAATGAATTGCTACCTATATTATTATTTATAGGGGAATTGACTGTTCCTTTAGAAATATTTTCATATCGTACTTGGTTTAAAGAATTTAAAGGAGCTTCTTTGAAGTTTGGAACAGTTTCTTTGACTAAATCAGAAGATGAAAGCTTAGAGTTGTGAGAAGCATGAGAGGCTTTCCTAAAACTTTACTCTTGAGAAAGCTGTTCCTATTCAATTTTGAGGGGGTTTTAAAATCTGGGCTCTGTTATTTTGAGGTCATTAACGAAAAATCTCAAATGCTTGACATGTGTTTGAGGTTACTTTGATTTAAAAATACCAATCCTTTCAAAATTTAAGTCTTTTATTCTTTCCCTATTCCTGGTAACAAAGAATTTTTCAGCATTTAAATCATTATTAGAGAAATACTTATATCTATTTTCGTTGAAAAAAGAGAGAAGTTCTTTTCTTTAATCAGAATTAGTCTTCTCTCTTACTTAATTTTATATAGTTTGTTGATTTTAAAAGCGTTAGTTCATTTGATATTTCATTATAACTACAGGATTGCTCAAAATAGGCTCATTTACTCTCTTTTTTTACTTAAACATAGCTGGACTTACAGTATTTGCATTCCTCATCACATAATTTTAAGACTAAATGGAATTTTAAGAGACTATTTAAGGTTGCTTAAATAATTCTTAATAAATCCCACATTTTTATTAATATTCGCTTGTAGATGTATCTTAAATATGGTTTGAATTTTCATTATTATTAAAATTTATTTACATCACTATTAATAAGTTATTAAAATGTTTGTTTGTAAGTTAGTTAGTTAATTATCAAATTGCAAACAAAAAAATTAATTATAAATTGTTGTCTTAATAATAAAAAATTTGAATAACTTATAATTTAATATTAATAAATCTTGAGAGTATAGCAATTTAATTATTAATGAAAATGTTTATACATATCTGATAATATTTTATAAAAATTATATTTTAAAATATTAATCTTAGCTAAATAAATTTCTTTAATGGAATAAAATCAATTTTTCATTAAATTATTTTTAAAATATTTAAATTGTTTTATTTTATTATAAGATTTTTTTGATTAACTTTATAAAAACAATATTAATAAATATCATTAAATTAAATTTAATTGCTATTAAATAATTATTATTTAGATATATTTTTCATAAAAAATTTATTAAACAAAGAAAAAATCTTTTCCTAAACTTCACTATCAATTAACTCTTAAACAACATTTAAAATAATTTAAGTTATTTTATTTGTTTATAAATTTAAAATCATTAATAAAAATTGAGTATATTTGCTACTTTGATAGAATAAAAAATATTTATAGCTAATTTATTTATAGATTTTATTTTAAAATATTGAAAAAAAATGAAGAATAAATAAATAAATTAATAATTGAAACACTTTAATGAATAGTAAAAATATTATTTCTTAATTTCTTTTGCAGTTTGTCACATATAATCTTTTATTAAGAAATCGGCAACCATCTTTGGATTTATTTCAACAATTTAAGCATAATTCAATATTTTTTATTCGCCATTACTCATTTCTACTTCGAATTAAGGATATTCCTTATTGTTGTTTTGAGAAGTTTTTCCTCCTCTTTTTTACTTTTTCTATGAAAGAAGACCTATTATTTTAGAAATATTTGAATAGTCTATCTAATTCTAATTTTATTTAAAGTCTTAATTATTTGCACTTCTTTCTGAGTTTTTGTTAGAAACTTAACAGTCTTACTTTTATTCTTCTATCTCCATATCTTATTCTTGAAATAAAACTTCATTTGCTTGTTTTTAAGTCATGTTATTATTTTATTTGATACTGCTTCTAGTCAGTCTTCCTTTAGGATCTACTTTCTAATTATTATTTCCACTTGATTTCACTGGAGTTCTAAACTAATCTTGTTATTCATTTTACTCATTTTCTTTATGATTATTTTAGCTTCTCCTGGTAGTTACTTAATTATGCTAATCATTAGAAGCTATTGAATTAGGCTATATTTTATCTTCCTTTGAATTATCTTATTTTAAATTTGATAGCCTTTAGGATACTCTGCGAGATTTTTAACTTTCAGCTTTTGGTGTTATTTCTAAGTGATTGATTGAATTAGTGTTTTATTCCACTGGCTTTTCAATTAAATCATTTTATTTCTCTTATTTTTCTTAATCCTTTTACTGATTTTTTTCCTCCTTTTTATTTTTAATCTATTTATTTTTTTAGCCCTTCTGTAAGCTTTCATTGACAGCACTTTAAAATTAAGTCTCATTAGATTATTATTCGCTATTAACTTTCTATTCACTCAAATTTTCACTTTATGACTAACCTTTCCCTGGTTAATTATTTAAAATTTAAATACTTTACTTCTCTTTTGTTGCAGATCTTTAATCATTCTTTTTAATACTAGTCTTTGGATCTATTTTTTTATTCTTTTTTGCACTGCCTTGTCTAGAGTTTTTAGATTTACTTTCTGGAGTTATTTTTTCATATGATGATGTCTTCTCTTTTACAGGAGTTTCAAATTTAGACTTTTTACTAGTAGCAGTAGTTTAATCAGAAGTTTATTAATTTTATTAAATTATGCTTTCTACTCTTTTCTTGACTCTGCTATACAAGTCTTCCTTTTCTTCTTGTTATATTTTAAAACTAACCTTATTGAGATTATTCAAATTTTCTCTACTATAATTTAAAGCTTAGTTAATCTTTTCAGATTAGGCTTAAAGTTGAACTCTATTCTCACGGAGCTTCATATGAACTTAATTAGAATCTTTTTTTATATAAATATGTTTCAATATATTTTATATTAAATCTAAAATATTACTATCATCAATTTATTTCTCCTTACTTTCATCAAATTGCTCACTTTTATCATCTTTGTTTCTTATAGATCTTCTTGTAGGTGTAAGATCTCCTTTTTTTAAAGGAGTTTAATTCAAGCTTTTCTGAGGAGTTAAATCTGATTTTGTAATTACTTAATTAAGACTTTCTAGCTATTAATTTTATTTAAAGGTATTCAATTCATCATCTGAAATTGATGAGGGTTGTCTTCTTCTCTTTCTTTTGCTATTTTCCTCCACTTCCATAGTTTTACTTATTGGAGATTTTGAATTTTATTTGCTTATTGGTGATTTTTGATCCTATTTGTTTAAAGGAGATTTTTTATTTTACTTGCTCATGGGAGATTTAGGATCTATTTTATTTATTGGTGATCTCGTTTCTTTGTTGGGTGTTTTGACAGATTAATTTTTTTAAGGTGTTTTTTCATTTTCTTAAAAATTATTTAAAGGGGTTTTCACATTTATTTACTGGTTTTTATTTGGTGTTATCTAGTCTTTTTAATAGGTATTTTTATTATACTACCAAATTGAATTTATTTTCTTATTTGGTGTTGTTTGTTGCATGAAGGCCTTCTATTAGAGTTCTTATTGAATCTTTTCATTTTCTTTTTAATTGTTTTTGTTTAAAGGAGTGCTGTTTTATTGATTTTAAATAGAAGTCTTTGATTTTTAATTGTTGGGGGTGGTATTACCTTAAAATTTAGTAGGAGTTATAGAAGTAGAAATTGTTTAAGAGCGAGAATTATTACTTAATCCTTTACTTCTTGTGTTTTTTTAGTATTCCTAAAATACAGGAAGTATATCATCATCATATTTGTTATTTCTATTCTCCAAAAATTCTATATTTTAAATATCAGAACTTTCATGATCACTTATTTCTATTCTCTTATAGAGCCTTTTTTTCCTTCCAGATTATTACTATTATTATTATTTGAATTCGATTTAATCATTTAGTATTGGAGGACTTTATGGTATAGAATTTTCTTTGTATACTTGAGTTTTATTTAAAGGTGTTGCTCTTTAGATGGGGCTTTTTAGCAGATCATCAGAAATTTAAATGTCTTAGTAAATTCTTTAGCGGTTTATTTTTGAAACAGGGGATTTATCGTTAATATTAGGTGTAGGAGTCATAATTGGTGAGGGAGGAATTTCTAATCTTTTATTTTGAGCAGGACGACCTCTTTTTGCAGGTACATACTAGTCATCAATATTATCTTCAATATTCATGCTTTCTGTTGTAAACTAATTTTCATATCTCTTATCTTAAAAGTGAAAATTATTTTCCTTTTAGTAATCTGTTTGATTTGCTGTATTGATAGGAGATTTCGATTTTGGTATATTTTAGTTTTATTTAGATTATGACTTGCCAACTGGGGTATGAAAAGGAGATTAGTCTTATAATTTATTAGGAGTTGTCTGTGGGGTTTTGTTATTATTATTATTTGATACTATATTTTAGTAAAATGCAGATTCTTTAACTAGCTTTAGTAAAGGAGACTTATTTTTATCAGAATTTTGTTTATCATCTTTAACCATTTTTTTTTATTCAAAAATAATTTCTCCTTATGAGTTATAAACTTGCTTTATAATATTTTCATCTGATAGAGGTTCTACCTTTTTATTATTTTTTGGAGTCAGAGTTTTTCCATAGTTTGGTGACTTGGAATTATTTTCAGTTTATAATTTATTATCAAAAACGCGGGAATTTTAATTACTTTAAATACTATTTGATAGATAAAGATTTTCTTCAGCTAACTATTTTTGATTTAGTTTATTATTTTAATTAACAATTCTTTTACCATAAGTAATTAAAGGGGAAGCTTAGTTATTTTTTTAATACATTGGGCTTTTTATTGATTGCTCTTATTAAGTAATACCACTTTTAATTTATGGAGTAACTGGTTGGCTCTTTCTTAATGGCGATCTACCTCTTAGCTGAGATAAATTACTATTTTTTTATAAATTTGGGGAATGCATTTACTTTCTTTAAGTTGGAGTTAGCATTGGTGATCGATTATTACTCAGCGTATTCTATTTGTTTCCTGTTTACTTTTTAGAGTCTTCAAATAGTTAAATTAGATCAAAGGCGCATACTTAAATATTCTCTGCTGGTTCCCAAGTACTTTCTTCAGCTGAAAACTCAACCCACTTAACTAAATATTCAATTTATCCATTTACAACCCTCTTATCTATCAGATATTCAGGTTCATACATATCTTCATCTTCATCATCATCTTCTTCATCTAGATTTGGTGCTTCTTATTCAATTTCATTTTATCTCTTACCAAAAATTGTATTACCATTCAAATTTTATTTATTTACCTCATTGTATGTTTTATTATTCAAGTTATTTGTTTTAAATTTTTAAATTGGAATATCATTTAAATTATTTTCCCATTCATTTTCAAAGAGAGGATTAGGTAGTCCTAAGGCTTTACTTGAGGCAGTACCTGCTGTAAACTGAATGTTATCTTTATTCAAAGGTTTACTAAATATATTATTAGAGTATTGAGAATTTAGTATCTCATTATCCTCATTGAATAAAGAATCCTAGGAATTATATTATTATGAAAATGGAAGGAGAACTACTTGCTTTGTATCTTTCTTTTAAATAGATTTGTTTGCTCTTTTACTCATTCTATTTTAATTAAATTTTTAAATTTAATAAGTAGAAACTATTTTTGATGATAAATATTTTTAATAATTATTCGTGCTTTAGATTTATTTTAGAGAACATTTTGATAGATTATTTGCAATCAAAATCAAAAATTAAAATAAACACATAAGAGCCTTAAATAGCTGTTTAAATTTGAAAAAAAATAGAATGCGAGCCAATTTTTTAAGATTTTCAAAAAATGTTAGATTTCATCAGAAAAAAAATAATTTTAACATCAAAAGGCTTAAATGAATTTTCACTTTCAAAAATATTTTTTTTTTAAACAATTTTGATTAACAAATAAATTTATTGAATAGTAACTTTTTTCTTCATATTGTAATAATTAAAGTCTTAAATAATTTTATTTAAAAGTATGATACTTTAGATCAATAAATAATCAATTTAAAATTAAAGATTTTATAATGTTTGAAAAATATTTAAAAGGTGTTTATATTATTCTGTAAGCAGAGAAGATTGATTTTTTTTAAATTGAGAATTTAAAAAGAGATTGGATAAGGAATATAAAAATGTATGTACTATTTAAATACAGTGAAGTCTATCTAAAAAGGCACCTAGGTTACCAAAAATTTTGCCAAAAATATACAGTTACCCAGTTTATTAATGAATATAAGTTAAATTTTGGATAACAACTTTTACCCATTTTTAGTAAGTGCTCAGCTTATAAGGGAGCCCAGTTTAATTAGCTTTACTGGAATATTGTTTTATTTTAGGATTATTAAAATATTATTTATATAAAGTAAATTTTAGCTCTATTTAAATTTTTTAATTATTCAAAATTATTTTATTAAATAAATTCTAATTAATATATATATCATTAATAAATACTTAGTATTAAACAAAATAATTTTTATTCTTTTTATTTAAGTAAATTAAAATTAATTTTGATTAATTAATTATAACAATTATCTATTTTATAAAATATTCTATTTAATATTATATCAAAACTTATAATAGTCTTGTTTTATGTAAAAAAGAACTTAAGCACTTTCAAGAGGAAATTTTTCTATAAATTTCACTTTTATATCTTGGTATTGCTAAATATTTCCCTTAAAATCCTTGCATATAGAAACATATTAATTTGTATTTCCTATTTTATCTATTTCGCCTAACAACTAATAGTAAACCTTATTAATTTAATAATATATTTTAATTTATTTAAAAGATCACTCAAATTAAAAATAATATCAATTTTATGCTTAAATCTTTTATTTTTTTTGCATTATTTATTTCTTAATTAATATTATTTGCTAAAAAATATTAAAAATTTACCTTGTTCTTATATATGTCAGTTATCATAAATTCTTTTGGTATCTCTAACTAATTGAAAACATTTTTCGAAGTATATGAATTAACATTTGAGTAATATGTATCTATTTTAATTTCTAAAGGGATAATCAGTAGCTATGGTAATTAAATAAACTCCATTTTTTGGAAGAAAAGCTTATCTTTCATGCAGAAATCACAGTAATTAGCTTCAGATTTTCCAGTTGTGTACAAGTTATGTAAAAAGTCAGTTTAAAATCTATTAATTTCCATTTTTAATGTTTTAAATATATAAAAATCTTCTAAATTAGTGTCTTCATTCATGCATGTTTAGCAAAAGAATTTATATTTTAGAAGGCCGAAAATATTAGAATAGAGTTCATTGTTTTAATGATTAAAGGCTAATTCTTCATAAAGATCACAAGCATCTTCATCATTTTATGAAAAATTAGCAAGTCTTGTTAATTTTATCTAAGTCTTAAATATATTATTTATTTAATAAATTCATTTTAAATTTCAAAAAGAATAATAAATAATAATTTACTGTCCTTAAAGGTGTAGCATTGAGGAGAAGCTATTCTATAATAACATTAACAATAATTTCAATTTCATTCATTTCGTTATCATTTCTATTTAACTTATTTAATTTTAATTAAAAAAATATAAAATTTTATGAAAAAAATAATTTATTACTTAAGAGTTTAGAAATGTTTAAAAAAACTAAGATATACTATTCATAAATTATGGGTCTTATCGTTAATCCAGAGACTCGTATAAATTATAAAGGATTGGAATGAAATCATTTTATTATTAAGGATTTTAAATATATTCTCTAATGAATGGTATATTTCTAAAAGTTTAAAGAACAGAATTCAAAGATGCTATTCGACTGTTTCTGTATAAACCTTTATCACACCTGTAATTTGGTTTTTTGAAAGGGGTTTATATTTATTATGCAGATTAATTTAATTAATTTTTGCTGGTTTACTCTCTTCTTGAATTTTTAGAAACAGGTCTAAGTGGTCTAAAAATATTTTTACTCGTTATTACATCGCTATAATTTGTCATAGGGAGAATGTCAACTTCTTTTTATTAGCAATTATCTTCTATTTTTTCAGATATTTTTCTTATTTAAACAGATTTCCTATTAGAAATCGGAGTCTTAGGTTTGTTATTGCTTGATTCTTAATCTTTGTTAGGGATACTTGCAGCCTTAATATTTTTATTGCTTGTATCTCTGTTTGTAGTTTCCTCTGTTTTGGATTCTTATTTTTTTTACAAATTTTAAATTTATTGCTATTATTATTCAACTGGTTATTCCTAAAAAGATTTCTATAAATTAATCAATCTTTGTTCAGCTCCATATTTTGATAAATTTTATGACATTGAATTCGAATTAATCATCAGAGAATTTTTCAAAGGGCTAAACTGGTTTTTGGGACTTTAATTGAAAACATCGCTTAAGATGTCACTTTAACTAACCTAATTATTGTCCCAAGGAGTAATTTCATAATTCATAATACGATTTCTTTTTTAATTAATAGGAGTATTAAATAATATGTTGTTAACATTTTTATTTGATAGGTAGTTCATATATAAGTTTTCATGTGTTTAGTTTTACTAATTTTTATGAATTGCACTATTGTAATGCATAGAGATATTTCTTGATTTTTTTTTTGACAGTTTGATATCAGTGCTTTCAGCTCTATTACAACGAGTTATTTATGAAAAATCCTCTCTTGATTTTTTTACTTATAAAGCATGCTTTTCTTCATTAAGTGCTGATTCAAATATTCTGTGATTATATTTAGAAATTTGTAAGAAAGAGTTATTTTTTGTTAAATTAGTAATGCTCACATTATCTAATATTTCGCTTGCCTCTGTTTAAGTAAATAAATTTTTGAAATTACTACCATTATATACTCCACTTTTACTTTAGGATCTTATAACTTTAGTACCTGTTTTTATACCTGAGTCTTTACGAGGTACTATTAAAATTTTATTACCTTGCTTATCTGATGATTTTTGTAGTTTTATAATATAATTATTGCATTACAACTGTTAGCTATCTTGATTTTAGTTTTTTGTGATAGGAGAAATGTTGCTACGATAATTTTAATTTTTTTATCCTTGAGAATTACTATTATCACTAATTTTATAAAAAGTTTTGGAAAGGCTTTATTTTGCTAAAGGAGTTATTGATATTGCAGGTTGATTATCATCTGTTTAATTTACAGTATGATTATAAACTATTTTCCTGCTTTATGGTTAGTAGCTTGTTGAAGGTCTTTACTTCTCTGTAGATTAATTTCTCCTTAATTAATTGTTATTAATAGATAATTTACTTTATTTTTTACAAGATGAAGATATAGTTCTTTATTCTTAGTTTAATGGAGAAATAGAAGAAGAAAATGATTATAAAAATTAGCTCAAGTTATTTTGATTTTTATTCTTTTACTCTTAGCGAAATTGTGAATTTTCAGTTTTTATTTATTTATCAAGTAAATCCTTCAAAAAATCATTAGAAATTTTGATAGAGTTTTCATTCCTCTTGCTTTAAAGTACATTACAGTCATTTATTTATTTCTACATATATGCTTAATAAGAAGATTATTTAGGTTGAGAATGGTAGGCGTTTATTTATATTATAGGTTTAGAAAAAGAAGACTAGTTTTCTTTATTATTTTAGCTCTCAGCTTATTATAAATCCTTAATATTGCCATATTTTTAAATTTGCTTTTTCATAAGCGCCAAACTTGCTGCCATCTCAATTAAGAAATTCTGAGTTTTTAATGTATTTCAGTAAATATTTATATTTTTATGTTTTGAAAATACAAAAAAATCAGGAATAATAAACAATTACATTTGATTGATTTATTGAAATTAGCAAGAATCAATATTGATTATCATTTAACTATATAAGAAATATAATTTGGTAATAAAATTTATTAAAATTTGTAAGTTAAATATTAGCATCTATCTTTCATAATTTGATTATAAATATTCTTTAAAAAGTAAATATAATTTGCAATATAAATACTTTACATATTGAATCTACATATGTAATTTAATGATAAACTCAAAATAATCTTGCACAAATATATTTATTCAATTTTTATCTATATATTATCTATTAAAATAAGTAAATTTGATAGCATATTTATAGGAAATTAAAATCAATATTGTTAATATTTTTATACACTAACCATTTATTGATTGACCTCAGCTTCTAGAAAAAATAATTAAAAAATTTAATTTGTTTTAAAAAAGAATCTTTCATACTTTTTGTTATAAACACTCTTCGAAAATTTAATTTAATTTACCATATAAATATTTTATATTTTGAATTAATTATATGCAATTTAATGTTACTCACGAATAAACTTTTTATAATTTTTTAAAATTGAATATTTTTAGAGCTCAGCTTATGAAAAAATTATTTAAAAATTTAGTTTATTTTAAATAAATTTATAGCATTTTTTAGAAAAATAAAAATCCCATTTATAAAAAGAAAAAATTATAAATAAAATAAAGTTATAAAAAAATTATTTTTAAATTAAGAAAATAAATTTTTATAAAAAGTAAATAAAAAAATGATAAAGTAAATGATATAAAACACAAAATTATAGATACAGAAAAAGAAAGAAATTTAAAAACTCAAGATAAGTTTAATTATTACATTTTATCAAAATTTATATATTTATATAATTAAGGAAAATACATCACATATTATTGTAAATGTTTTAAGTCCTTTGTTTTAGAGATTAGATATCTATCTATCTATTTATTTTAGTTTTAATCCAATTAAATTTTTTAGTTAAAATCATTTGTATTTTAGATATATTGATTGTTTGATCGGAATGTTTGTTGTCATAAGATTAAGAGTCTACTCAATTTTTAAGAAGTCAATTTTATATCAATAAAACTTTTAGTTGTAAGCTGGAAGATTGATATCATACATATCAGGATCATCCACATCTTAATCATTTTTGTCATGGATTCTATTTTGAGCTTAGAACATTTCTTGATTGTATGGTTGGTTATTTTAGTATATATTATATTGATTTTATCTTTAGTTATTAAAATAATTGCTATTATCATTCTGATTACTTTATTAATTAATATTATTGTAATTAGAGTTCCTGTGATTATTATTGAAGTTTTTATTATTATTGTGGTTGTTAGCTTCGTAGTAATTCTATTAACTATTAAAATCGTTTTTATCCATATTATAATTTTATTAATTTCTGAAGCTGTTTGCATTTTCTTAATTATTGTGTTTTTAATTGGCATTGAATCCAGTATTTTTAACTTTTTAAATCCTATTATCTCCTTAATGCTCATTGATTGTTGTATTTGAATGGTTATTATCGTCTTCAGGTATTCTATTCATATTATTGAAATTACCACTTGAATATTAATTTTGGGAAATAGCATTGTTTTGAGAATAATTATTTGGATTATACTATTATTAATCTAATTTGCTTCCAGATTTTATTTAGAAATTGTTATTGTTAAAATTATTCATATTGTTGCTATCATTATTTGAAGTACGATCTTGACCTATATATTATCTGTGAGAATCAACTTCAGGAATAGTCTAAATCTTATTTGCATATTCATTTTATTTATTAAATTATCCTGGCAAAGATTCAATTGAATATTTACTCTGTCTATTTTTCTTATCACCTTGAAAATTATTTGATAATCCTCCAAAATCGTTGGATACATTAGAGTCATTAAATTGGTTCATAGCAGCTGGTTGTTGAATGACTATATGATTAGAATGAAAGTCTAAGTCAATTGTTTAATTTTACTCATCTCCATTCTATTAATTCCTTTCCATATGATTAATATTTCTGCTATTAAAGTTGCTGCTTATTTAGTTTGAACTCTATTTTTGATATTCTTAAACATAATCGCTGTTTCTAATTTACATGTTTCTATCATTCTATGTAGCTCCTGTTGGTAAACCTGATTAACTGCCAGCTGTCATAGCCTCAATAACTCTATTACTGGCATATTAAGAGGGTTAGTGAGGTGATTTTTTAATTATTTCCTGCTAGTCTGTTTGTTAAGTAGTCGTCATTTAATTTGTCATTTACAATTTTTGTTCATTACCCTATGTATTTTTATTATTGTATGTCATGCTTTCATAATTTTTTATTTCAGGAGGTAAGATATTAGAATAATTTAGCTGCTACGTAGCTTATCTAGAGTTAATTCCTTAATTAGCTTGGTTGTTACGGCTTTAGAGAGTATACAGACCTGGTCCCATATGAATAGATCTGTTATTTGCAGTAGTTATATCAGCACCTAATACACTCAAATGCTAAACAAATGGATTTATAGTAGTATTTATACCATTGCCTCCATACATATTATGTGTTTGATACTCAGGAAGTTCCAGTCCTCTCTTATTATTACTATCAATCTATTACTACTGTGCTTTACTTGAACCTGGTTTTGGCATATATTTAGAAGATATCTTTACTTTAGTATCTTCTTTTAATTTCTTGCTGAGAAGAGGTACGAGAGCTAATAGTTCAATAATTACAATCGTTGAAAAAACTATGAAATTGCTCACAATATACCACAAAATATTTGTATAATATTCGCTTTTTAAGCTACTTACTAGATTTTAAGTATATTGATCACCAAGTGTTCCTTAGTTCAGTGTTGTTAAGTACAAGTAATTTTAAATTGTTAAAACAAAAGTAACCAAAATAGATATCATATGTGCCAGAGAGATCAATATCTAAATTTTAATAAGAATTAAATTAAAAATTTTAAAATCATTGTTGGTTTCTTGATAATAAAAAATCAGTAAAATTCTATCATAGTAAAAGAAATTCAAGTAAATTTAATAATTTATTTAATAATAATTACTTTTAGCCAAAGTCTTTTAAACAAGTGCGATTTTTGAGTTTCCAAATCTGGTTCTAGGTCATAAAGATATTGTTTGTATAGATGTTTTTTATTGAGAATATTTAAAATAGAAAATATGTTGTATATAAGCCCTATACAAACTAAATAAAAAATAGAAGTAACTAGGATACTCACACTACCATTATAGACTGTATCATAGTTTTAGTATGAATTCATAAAAGTAGAAATATCTGAACCTCTTCTATCTTATGCAAAGACTATAGCAGGTCTTACGTAAATAGAATATAATTCTGTTGTACTTAGTGTGTAACCAGGAAGAGCAGTGTATTAATTATCAAAATAATTAATTTGATACAAAGATTTTTCATTTAAAGTAAGAATCGAAGTAAATCTAGTATCTATTTAGCTCGACTATGAGCAGACTTAAGTTTAATTTACATTTAGTAATGGATAATATGATGGTTATTAATATAAATTTTAGATATTATTATTCATGCATACACCAATGCCTTTAGTTAATCGTACATCAACTAAAGGTGCTCCTGATCCAGAACTAGAATAGTACATATTGTAAGAGGCTCCTATAGCTTGAGATTTCAAGTTTTAAATGTTTTAAGTAGCGTCTGGTGCAGAGCCAAAACGTATGTAATTAATAGGACAGTCTTAATTGGAGTTAACACATATCTATGTTTCTGGAGTACTTCCACCGCAAGTTTTTTAGCAATTTGTTTAGCTCCCAACATTGTTATAAGTCAAACCATCTATTCTATAATTAAATTATTATTAATTTAAATAAAATATTTTCATTAAAGTTTTTGATTAAATATATTACACCAAAACTTTTAAAATTAATTTCTTAGTAAACAATTAAAATGATAAACTAGAAATAAAGAGAAATTTGATTAAATTAAAGTAGTTTACACTGGTAAATGTGTTGTTTGATAAAAAGGAAAAATTTAAGCTTAACTAACTAAGCTTTTTATTTGAAATTTAGAAAAATAATTAGAATAAATATCTCAAAATTTTTATATGGGATTGTATCAAATTTATTTTAGGAAATCAGATAAGATATTATTTGAGAATTAATAAATTAATATACCAAACTTTCTTTTCTTTTTACATTGATCAAATAAATTTATGTGATAATTTAGAGTTTTTGTTAATTTATAATTTATTTTTATCAAAAGTTTTATTATAGAGTATTTTTACTAAATCATAATTAAGGTTTACTTTAACTATTGATATTACTAAGTTTTATATTTGCAAAGTAAACTTGTTGGCTTATATTTTTTATGATAATTTATTTTAAACAACTCTACTAATTTTCATTTAAAAAACAGATGATAAAATTTTATATTTAGTATATTATTTTTCTTTATGTTTATGCAAATTTTGCGACTAATAAATAATTGAAATATAATATGCTTTAAGTATTCAAATTTTTAATCAATAAAAATTACAGCTTAACGCAAAGGGTGAAGGTAACGCTTCCATCAGGAGTCTACCAGTTAAATCCAACTGGTGGATCGAAGCCCTTTACATTTGTGCATCCACTTGCTATTTAATCATCGCCACACTTACCTACAATCATAGCTTTCTGGCTATAAGTGCTACTTAAGCAATTGCAACCATCTGAGATAGGTAATCCAAATACTGTATACAAACTTTTGTAAGAACTAGGGCATAAAGGTGATTATTTATTCGCTATTTGCTAAGCGGTAAGTTAAACTACTTAAATATCACTCCACATTTATTGATTCCAATTATCTATTGTTTCTTACATGTAATATCTATTCGTTGAGTTTTATGGAAAATAATACACTAAGATAGAAGACACAATAACAGTAGCAAGTGAATATAGGAATACAATAGTTAAATGTGTCCATCTTGTGCAAAAAGAAAAGGTTTTTTCGTCCTTGATATCTTTTTTCATTAATTTCTTAACTAAATCGCTATTTTACTCAGGCATTGGTTAACTATTAGCTTATATTGCTGTATTACTTAAGGTATTTCCATCTTTATTTATCTGCTACATAGATGAATTCTACTTGTTTTTACTATTTTGAGTGAGTAATTATTGTAAATTCTAGTTTAAAACTTTCTTATCTCTATAAGATGATTGGTTTAAGCTATTATTCAATTTCATAGATTAATTTTTCTGTATCATATTGCTTAGCTTATAATTTTGATCCATGTTTGAAACATTCACCTAACTTCTTTATGATTCAAATTATTATTGCTGTAGCTGCTACTAAGGTTATCCATTTCCAGCATATATTCCTACTCCATCATTGTAACTTGATCCTTGATTTTAATTAATATTTTAAATTTATTAATGACTCTAATATGCTTATTGTTGTTTAATAGCTGAATTATAGTTTGAAGAGACCTATGGATTGAACATCTCCAAGAACTTTATCTATATTGTTAAATTTTTATACTTTCTATCTATTAATAATTAATTAAATTTTGCAGTTAAATTATTTTTAATAATCCAGATTCTATTTCTTCCAAAAAATTTGTTATAAAATCTACTTAAATATCATGAAGAACAAATTAATAATTGGCTCTTTCATTCATTTAGAAAAAAGTTAAAATAAAAAATAGAAACCTGAAAATAAATAATTGCTTTTTTATTATATTTCTCTAATTTTATTAAGCATTTGCTTCTGATTTGAAAATAATTAACGGGTGAAGCAAGCAATGAACAATTATTATTTGATTGTATTATATTTCATCAAGCATATTATTAGCTTTTTAAAATCGCTAATAAATTATAAAAGGGAATTTTTCTGTGAGTTAAATTTTAAATTATTTATTTAAGCTTAAAATTTAAAGGTAATTTTTTAAAATTAACAAGAAACTTTAAAATAGATTGAGATCTTCAAATATAAATATTATTTTAAAAATATTTTCTTCTTTTTATTTATTGAGTTTTTTTAATTTAAAAATATAAATTTTAGAAAAATTTCATAGCATTTTAAAAATATTTTAATAAATTATTTTTTTAATTTTTTTCTGAATTATATTAAATATTCATTTAAAGTAAATATCAAATTCAAATAAATAAATTCTTTCTAATTTTATAAAATGCTAATCAAATATATTTTTCTAATAATATTAATTAATACATTTTCAAATTAAAGAAAACAATTGATCATCAAATTAAACATTTACACTTTACTTTTTTGGATTAATAAATTTATTTTACCTCCATGCTAAAATCTTTAATCTAATGTTAATATCGAAAATCTTAATAAAATTTGCTTAATTATTTTCTCAAGATAATTTAGATTGACAATATGAAAACGTGCATTAAATGGGTTTATTTGCAAAAAAGTATAGTAATTATATTTTTTTTCAGTAGAATCAAAAAAAAACTTTATTTCCTTTTATTAATATTTATCTTAAATCAAAATTAAAATTTTAACAAACTTTAGTATCAATTTGTTTAGCTGAATTTTGTTTAGATTTAAATAATATATCTGCAATTTACTTAATATCTAAATTAAAAAAATTTAATTGTGTATTAAAAGGCTAAATATTTATTATTCATATTTCAAGCTAACTTCTTTAAATATTAAGCAAATTTACCAAATAAATAAATAAAAATGTCTGGCACTAAGACTAAATAAGATGAATTTAAAAGATTTATGCTTGATTTCCTTTCAGGCGGGTTTGCAGGAGCTATTGCAAAGACTGTTTCAGCTCCTATGGAAAGAGTCAAGTTATTGATGTAAACATAAACAGAAAACACCAAATTAAATAAGCAATATAAGGGAATCATTGATTGTTTTGTAAGATGTTTTAAGGAAGAAGGTCCTTTATCTCTCTGGAGAGGTAATGGCGTCAACATTATTAGGTAAACTATTAAAATATATCCTTATACTATTAAATTTTAAGTGATAAGCAAAATTAACAAAATTATTGCTAATAAATAGTTATTAACTTCAAAATATTTTATATAGAATAGCAATAATATAAAAAGTAGCATAAAATTGATTCAAAAATTACCTATTACATATTTATATAAAATAATTGTATCATTTAAATAATTTTTTGATACTATAAATTATGATTGCTTCAAATAAAAATGAATATTTATTTATTTTTGCTTTAAAAAATTAGATACTTCCCCACCTAAGCCCTCAACTTTTCTTTTAAAGAAAGATTTACTAAATTATGTAATCCTTACAACCCTAAAACTGAGCCTAGAAAGTTCTTCTGGGGTTCTTTATTAGCTGGTGGAATGGCTGGTAGTGCAACTATTTGCTTTGTCTATCCTTTAGATTTTGCTAGAACCAGACTTGGCGTAGATATTGGAAGAAATAAAGAAGAAAGATAATTTAAAGGTATCAAGGATTGTCTAATGAAGGTATATAAATCAGATGGTTTTGCTGGTTTATATAGAGGATTCGGTATTTGTTTGTTTGGTATATTTATTTATAGAGGACTTTATTTTGGTACTTATGATGCTGGTAAAGCTATTATACTTAAAGACGATTATAAAAATAATCTAATTTATAAATTCTTCTTTGCTTAATGTGTTGTTATTTATAGTGAAACAATTGCCTATCCTACTGATACTATTAAAAGAAAAATGATGATGCAGAGTGCTAGAGGTGAAAAATTATATAAAAACTCTATTGACTGTGCAATACAAATGTATAATAAGTAAGGAATTAAATCTTTCTTTGCAGGTAATGCTTCAAATATTTTCCGTAGTTTTGGCTCTTCTATTTGCTTGGTTCTTTATGATGAAATCAGAAATTATTCCCTCAAATTCTGATATCATTAATCTTAATTATTTTATTGTCATACTTATTTCATGTATTTAGTATAATTAATTAAGAATGTTTTGCCATATCTTTTCTAAAAAATTAATCTTCTTAAATATATTGAAAAATGTCTGACTGTTAAAAAAAAGAACCATCATCTTTTTCGTGTATACTTATGTAAATAAAAAATCCTAATTATAGCTTTTTTGATTCAGATCAGAGTTGACATTTCTATTTTAACTTTTAAAGTAGTGGGGGTCATAATCAATTTAATTTTTAATCAAATTTAGATTTTTAAATACAAAGTAAATCAACTCCCACCTTTTAAAAAATTGTCTAATTTTAGGAAAAGAATTTTAAATTAAACAAGATCAAACAACTTTTTCTAAATGAAATAGATTTATATTTCATATTTATTTGAGAATAGTAGTAAGTTTTTATCAGGTGTTAGGAGATCATTTAATAATTAGCTTCAAATGATGATATTTTTAAACATAATAGTAATAATATTAAGCTAAAAAAAAAAAAATAAATTAAATAATTTGAATATACTAAATGGGATCCTGTTTTACACAGCCAAAACCTTCTTTATAAAAGTAAGCTTAATTATCTAATCCTTAACCAGCATAAAATGGTTCTCAGAAAATTGAAAAGATCTCTACAAATGTTACTGATGAGAAGCCAGCATAAAAGGATTGTCAGAAATTCAAAAAGATTCTAAAAAATTCTACTGATGAGAAATAAACAGATGAAAAAAATTAAATACCAAGAGTACTTGAAATTAAACCTAATGAGAAATAAGATGGTAAATAAACTAGCAAAATTTAATAAAAAAAAACAGAACATAACATCAAGTAAAAAAATTAAAGTTTACTAGAAAGAAAATAAATAGATTTAAAAAAATAAATGTTAAAAAAGGATAATTAAAACACCCTTAAAGTAAATTCTAAAAATAAAATCATCTAAAAAAATACAGTCAGTAATCTTTAAACAACCACAAATATTTCTGATAGAGAAAATACTAATAATAATTATAACCCTATTAACTCAATTAACCCTGCTATATGGTAAGATTAAGATATAGAAGGAAATATTGATAATCCCTTAAATAACAATTAAATTAACAATAACAATAACTCTGATCAAAGTAGTTCTAAGTCTAATAGTTAAGATAGTAACAGAAGAAGAACAAGTGATTCCAGAAACAATCATGATAATAATAGTAATCATCAAAATCTCCATGATCATGAAAACAATCATCATCATCACCACCACCATTGTCATGATCATAATTAATTAGATAATTAGAATTAAAGAGTAGAAAATGGTAGAGTTACAGGTGATCTTTTTACCAGCTAAGAATAAGATTAATAAAATTATAATCAAGCTTAAAATGATAATTGCAACACTCACTTCCTTCATGAAAATAATCACCATCATCACCATGATAATACTATTAACTAAAGAACTATAGATGTTAATAACTATGCTTCAAATGCTCAAAATGATAATAACTATGGAATAACAACTTAAAATGATAATAAGTATGGGATGAGTAATGATAACTATGGGATAACCAACAATGGTACAAAAACTGATAATTATAATGATTATGGGATAAGTCATGATAACTATGGAACAACAACACACAATAATAACAACTATGGTACAGAAACTGATAAAGATAATAATTATGGGACTAGTAACTATCACTATGAAACAACAAACTACAATCATAATCACTATGCAACAAATACTTAAAATGATAATAATTATGGTACAACATATTATAACGATAACAAAAACACAACTAGCGATAATAACTATGGAGCAACTACTTATAATGATAATAATTATGGTACAACAATATATAATTATGATAATAATTATGGTACAACAACATATAATAATGATAATAATTATGGCACAACAACTTATAATAACGATAACAACTACGGAACATCTAACGATAATAACTATGGAACAAGTAATAACAATTACGATTACTGAAGTAATCAGTGGTATTTACTAAGAGATAGAAAATATATAATAAAAGTGATATAATTTACTTTTGTGGAATATAAAATACAATTTTAAAAAATGCACCAAGTATTTTTGTTTTTTATTATTGTAAGAGATTTGAAATAATTTTATTAAAATAATTTAAATAAATAAATTTTTTAAAATAAATATAAAAGAATAAAAATCAAAAAATTTAAGAATAATTTAACTTAAACAAATTATAATTTTTATCTATAAAAAATTATCTAAATGATCAATTTACAAAATAGCTAAATAATTTACATCAGAATATTAATTATTAATATATAAACCTAATTATTTTTTAACTTAGTAAAAACTTAATAAAATTGCATATAAAAATTCTATAAACATATGAAAAAGTAAAATATTCTAGATAATAAATGGGTGTGCTAACATAAACTTTTCATTATATATTAATACTATTAAATATTAAATGATAAAAAAAATTAATAAAAGTTGCAAAATAATAGCTTTAAATTTCAAAATACTTTATAGAATAGTGATAATATCAAAAGTAGCATAAAATTTATACTTAAAGTATATCATATATTCACTTAAAATAATTGCATCATTTAAATGTTGTGAACCATTCATTATCTTTCGTGTATATATGATATAAAAAAATCCTAATTTTTTTTTTTTTGACTTAGATTAGAGTTGAAATTTCTATTTTAGCTTTTAAGTAGTGGGATTATAATCAATTTAATTTTCAATGAAATTCAGTTTATTTTTATATTCAAAGCAAATTAACACCAACCTTTTAAAATATTGTCTTTATTTAGAAATAGAAGTGGTTCAAAAACTTCTTCAAAATGAAATAGATTTATTTTTGATTTATATTTGATAATAGAAGTAAGATTTTATCAGAAGCAAGGAGATTATTTAACATTTAACCTAAAAAAATGATATTTTTAAACATTATGGTTGTAATATTAAGCTTAATAAAAAATAATAATTGAACAATTTGAATATTCTAAATGGGTTATTGTTTTCGATACCAAAACCTTCTTTAAAAAAGTAATTTTAATAATCTAATTATTTAACAGCATTTTAAGGTTCTCAGAAAATTTAAAAGACAGTTAAATATTTTACAGATGAAATAGTTTAAAAACCTCCCAGAATTTAAGTTTAGCCTTAAATCTAAAAAAATGAAATTAATAATCTCAAAGCTACTACAAATATCAGGAAAACATAAAATAAGAATTTTAGTGAAAATCAAATTTATGAAACAAGTCATAATAATAACTGTTATGAACCTATTGACTCAATTAACTAATTTTAATATTTAACTCTATTAATTAATTATCCAAATTCATATTTCCTCGATATATTTTTTTTACTTTTAACTAGTTATATAATTTACCACACACGCTTAAATTTACCTTAGTAACTACCTAATCATCTATCCTTTTAGATGATCAGGAGATAAAATTCATGTAAGTATTTATTCAATAAATTTATGAGAATGATAACAATAATTAATTAAAGATAAAAATTAGACAAAAAATAAAAATCTAAAAAGTAAAAATTTCAGTGAATAATAAAAAAAATAAATCATACCAAATAATTCAAATGGGAAATAGCTGCTGCTTAGAAAAGTAGTAAGGACATTATAAAAATGGAAGCAGTAATATGAATTATGGACACTATGATACAAATTAAAACGCTGCTTATTTTAACTCTGATAATAATGGCTACGATAACCACCATCATCATAATCATCACCATCACAATAATGATCATCATAATCATCACCATCACAATAATGATCATCATAATCATCACCATCACCATAATGATAATGACCACCACCACCACCATCATCATCATGATAATAATGATTATGGAAATAATGGTGGAGGTAATGATTATAGTAATAATGATTTTGGCGGACATCACCATCACCATCATGATTGATTAATATTTAATAAATGTAAAAAATATAATATCAAGATAAAAGGATGAATTTTAATATCTACATTTTATTGATGTAAATTATTAGAAATATAAATCTAATTATAGATTATTTAATCAATTAAAAATAACATTTTTAATCATAATCAAAAAATAAAATTAATAATTATGTAAATTTTTTTCTTATGTATTTATTATTCATTTAGAAATTATTGAAAGTTTGAAGTATAAGAAAAATTCAGAGAAATTTTATTATACTATATTTCAAACTGTCTATATTCATTTTAATATCCACTAGACAAATTTATAAATTTATGTCAAAAATTTTTAAATAATACTTTAATTTTAGGTTTTTATCACTATTCTATATTCTTTTATTGAACATTTTAACAAAAAAAATGTTTATTCAAAAAAAAAATGTAAAATTAAAATTCATTTAAAGTAAAAATTTTTTGAGAACTTTTAAAATTTAATTAAAGAAAAAATATTAAATTTAATACTAAATCATATACATCAAGATATTAATGCCTTTTAAATTAAATAATGAATAGCTTTTTGCTAAATATTTAATTAAATCAGTCAATCATACAAAATTTAAATTTTTTATCAAAGAAATTTTTTTCTTTAATTATGAATTATAGTAAAAAATTGAGTTAATTAATTAATATGAAGTATTTTAAACTGTTGTAAGTAATTAAAAGTAATTTTTATTTTGTGAAAATATGCATAATTGTTTGAAATTATTTTAAATTCTTAATTTATGGTAACATAGAAAATGAAAAACCTCTAAATTAAACATTTTTTAATATTTTTAGCTACATAGGGATTATTTTTTTTATATTTTATAGTGAAAAATAAAAATTTTTTATGTATTCATTATTAGTATTGTAATTTATATAATTTTATTGACAAATGTATTAAAATCTATAAAAATGATAATAAATTTATAATTTTTATTTCTGTAAATAAATATCATTTATATGATATAACTCTTGAAATGTATTTTTTTCCAAAAATATAAATTTTAATAAATACTTTCTTTAAATTTCAATAAAAATCATTTTTGTGATCAATTTTTAGATTTATAAATTTCTTAAATTAAAATAAAAGAAAGTAAATATATAATCAAAGAATAAAATCTTTTTAATGTTAGAAACAACAATTTTAGTAAACTAGACATACATATAAATAAATAAATCAAATAACAAACTTATCACTTTTTGTGTATGATATTTTTGTATTTTATAAGGTTTTATATAATTTTTTAATTGTAGACTCTTTCAAAACTGGAATTTATTAGTCTAAAACTTATTTTGTAATTTAGGCGATTTATTTGATATCTATCTTTTTAACTTGGAAATAATTGCTGAGTAAATCATATGCTGCTAAGCATAAAAGACTACTCTATTTACAGTTTATTTCCTTTAAGTTTCTAATTTATTCTAATCTTTCTTCACAATACACTAATTATTATTCTGTTATATCTGACTTCAGATTTATCATGATTTTTAAAAATTTTTCATCTTAAGTCAGTGAATTAGAAAGATTAAAAGTTTTTTATTTCTTTTCATCTTTAATTCCTAATGCAATTTTTAACTATTCCTATAGTTATTATTGCTGAGATAAGTCAATGAAATCTTTGAAACTATTGAAGAAGTAGTTATATGCAAAATCTTTTGCATCTGGATTATTTTCAATTCTGTATATCTATTAATCCAGATTTTAGGTAAATTCTTATTTTTGAATGAATATTTCTTTTTGGTTCAATTAGAATAAGGGTTGTACAACACTCACACATTTATCAAAGAGATTTAAAGTAAGTTGCTTGATTTCTTTTTTTTGATTTTGTGATTATTATTGAATGTTGTTTAAGTAGACACCCTTAATATATAATTAACCATCAGAGTATAAAACTCTGCTTAAACCCTTTTACCCTTACTCTTCAATATCTTGATAGACTTCATTTTCGTAGGTGATATAACCCATAGATTATATGTACCCACAACTTTTGCAAGTGTGATTTCCGTACTTGTTGATATTCCAGAAAATAGATTGGCACTTATCGCAGGTTTTTTGAGCGTTTATTAAGTAATTCTATGAAAATAAAATTAGTTAGAAAATATAAAAACAATAAGTAAATCCATTTATATACTGATATTATAATCATAATTTATAAACAAAATTATGATAATATATTACCATTTTTGTAATGTTTATGAGAGTTGATTTTTTTCTAAAGTTTTTGGTATTTAGATTTTTTGTATTAATTAAATTATTATTTTTTTTGATTTGTATTGGAGTATTTATAGTAAAATAAGTGTCTCATAAAAGTATTTTTTATTAAATTATAAAGAAAATTAATTAGTAGGTAAGTAGATACTTTAGTAGACACTTTATAATAAATACAAAAGTAATAAAAGTCTTTTATTTATTTTTTGTGTAAAATAAAAATATTATATAAAAATAAATTAAAATAAATTAATCAATGTGTACTAACTATATTTAACATAAAATTCAAACGAAGCTTTATCCATGCTTAAAATTTCTTTTGAAAATTTTTGATAATTTTATTTGTATAAAAGTTTTTAATAAACTAGATACTCATATAAATATATAAATAAATCAAATAACAAATTTATCACTTTTTGTGTATGATATTTTTGTATTTTATAAGGTTTTATATAATTTTTTAATTGTAGACTCTTTCAAAACTGGAATTTATTAGTCTAAAACTTATTTTGTAATTTAGGCGATTTATTTGATATCTATCTTTTTAACTTGCAAATAATTGCTGAGTAAATCATATGCTGCTAAGCATAAAAGACTATTCTATTTACAGTTTATTTCCTTTAAGTTTCTAATTTATTCTAATCTTTCTTCACAATACACTAATTATTATTCTGTTATATCTGACTTCAGATTTATCATGATTTTTTAAAATTTTTCATCTTAAGTCAGTGAATTAGAAAGATTAAAAGTTTTTTATTTCTTTTCATCTTTAATTCCTAATGCAATTTTTAACTATTCCTATAGTTATTATTGTTGAGATAAGTCAATGAAATCTTTGAAACTATTGAAGAAGTAGTTATATGCAAAATCTTTTGCATCTGGATTATTTTCAATTCTGAACATCTATTAATCCAGATTTTATGTAAATTCTTATTTTTGAATGAATATTTCTTTTTGGTCCAATTAAAATAAGGGTTGTACAACACTCACACATTTATCAAAGAAATTTAAAGTAAGTTGCTTGATTTCTTTTTTTTGAATTTTTGATTATTATTGTATGTTGTCTAAGTAGACACCCTTAATATATAATTAACCATCAGAGTATAAAACTCTGCTTAAACCCTTTTACCCTTACTCTTCAATATCTTGATAGACTTCATTTTCGTAGGTGATATAACCCATAGATTATATGTACCCACAACTTTTGCAAGTGTGATTTCCGTACTTGTTGATATTCCAGAAAATAGATTGGCACTTATCGCAGGTTTTTTGAGCGTTTATTAAGTAATTCTATGAAAATAAAATTAGTTAGAAAATATAAAAACAATAAGTAAATCCATTTATATACTGATATTATAATCATAATTTATAAACAAAATTATGATAATATATTACCATTTTTATAATGTTTATGGGTGTTTATTTTTTTCTGAAAATTTTAATGTTTTAGAAATTTTTGTGTTTAATTAAATTATAATTTTTCTTGCTGCTGATTCTAAGTATTTGAATATAAAATAAAAGTGTTTTATTTTAAATTAAAATTGAAAAAATAAAAGTATTTCTAATAAGATAAATAAATTAATATGTAAGTAGACACTCTTCAAAAACACAAAAATAATTAAAATTATTTTTCATTTTTAAAATTTAATAATAATTATCTGAAATAAAGCGTTAATAATTGATGATGCTTTTTAAAAATAATTTGATATGTAGATTTATTAATAAAAAGAGTATAATTTTCATTTTTAATATTAATTTATTAAATTATTTTTTGAAAGAAAAATTTGAAAAAATAATTTTATAACAATGTTTTTTAATTGTTATTTTGATAACATAATTTTATGCTTTTAAATTATAATTTTTGACTTTTATTAATTTAACTTAGCTTTTGTAGATAGACAACATCATAATAAAATAACAATTATTTTTTTATGTTCTGAATTAAAATAAAAAATTTTAAAATACCTTATTAGAGATATTAATTATTCTACTAATAATAATTAAATAATTTTATTTTCAGTAAATTAAACTATTTCTCAATTATCTTAAAATAGCTTATTTTTAAATTTTGAAGTATATAGAAAAATCCATATCTAGCCACCTTTAATATTTTTATCTGTCTGATTATCTGATTGTCTATATCAATTAGAAACCCACCATTCAAACAATCAAAGTTTCTATAACAATTTAAAAAAATAAAATTTATTTTATATGTTTTTCATATTAAAGATTATTTTATTGAGATTTTTAAACTTGAATGTAGAATTTTTTTTTCTAATAAATTATTTTATTTAAAAATTAGGAACTGAGTAGATTAATTTTAACAAAAAAAACCTTATTACTAATTTTAATAAAAAATAAAAGATGTCAATCTATTTTAAAAAAATCTTTTTGTGACAAAAAATTATAATTCTCTTCATTCAAGCATTGCTTCTTCTTATATCCTTCTATATAAGGTATCCACTAATTAGTAACTATTTCGAAATTAATAAATAATAAATATATTCTATTAATTAGTTTATTCAACAAAAAATTAAGTAGATATAAAATCAAAATAAAGCTAATATCACAAAAAGTAAATGGGTTGTTGTTGTATGGAAAAACCAAAAGGTTAATCAGCTAGTCAGAAGAATACTAATGGTTAATACTCAAATAATTATTAAGTAAAATCTGATAATAGGTAAAAAAATATGAATAATGATAATTATAACAATGATAATAATTATAATAATAATAATAACATTGAACTTGGTAATAATAATTTTTAAAATGACTAAGGCAATAATTATGATAATAACTCAAACAAGCATCATCACCATCACCATCACCACGATAATAATAACAATAATTATGCTAATGATCATCATCACCATCACCATGGTAATGATAATTATTAAGCAGGAGGAAATGATTATGGAGGTCATCATGATCATGGAGGTGGTGGCAATAATTATGGTGGTGGTAATGATTATGGAGGTGGTAATGATTATGGAGGCGGTAATGATTATGGTGGTGGTAATGATTATGGAGGTGGGCATCATCATAATGATTGATTATATTAGTAAATAATTTCAAAATGGCTCTATGATGTTAAACAAAATAAAAATAAGAATTTGATATGTTTTTAATTAGATATTGATAAATTATTATTATTTTACATAAATAATATATTTTTAAGTAAATATTTTTTAAAGTAATTAAAAAAGTTATTTTAATTTAAATAATTATTTTATTAATTTATATTCTGAAATATGAATTTTTTTTATTTTATTGTTGAGTGATATCATCATGAATTTTATAATATAAATATTATAATAATTTCTAAAAATATAAAGCAGATATTAAAAGTTAAATGAGTTTAGAGAAAATTTGCTAAGAACTTTTTTAGATATTTTTAATAAATTAATTAATTTTACAACTTTTCTATTTGAAATTAGCATGCAATTCAAACATTTTATACATATTTTTTAAAAGTATTTATTAATAAGAAAGATTTATTTAGTAATCAATCGCTTATTAGAATATTAATTTTCTTATTGTGCTCTTATTATAATTTCTATTTTAAAATAAACAGATTAAAAATCTATTATCATAGATACAAAATATAAATAGTATTTAACAGAATTCTTTTTTTTACAAAACTAAGAAAAATAAATTACATAATGAACTACTGTTTTAGTATGTCAATTTTGTAGTTTACAAAGTATTATTTAATTTTATAATTGTTCACTCTTTAACTATTTAACTTTTTGTATCTATAATTTATAATGTAATTAAAAGCTAAAATTAATATTGATCCTTTTTATATTGAAGTAATTAAAGGTTGCTCTATTAACAGTTTATCTTTTTTAAGTTTCTAATAGCCCTAACCTTTCTTAATTTTATACAAATTATTATTTTGCTTTTATATTATTTTCTATAATTTTTCATCTGAAGTTAGTGTTTTAAAAAGTTGATTATTTACTTTTTATTTTTAATTTTAATTCCTAAACATGCTTGGTTTTAAATCTACTTCTTGTTGTGATAATTGATTTCGGTAAATAGTAAATCAAATCTTTTAAACATTAATAAAAATAATGATATATACTTATTTTACACATTTTTCAAAAAGATCTAATTCCATTTCATTCATTTTTTTATTTAGCTTTTATAATTGTAATTGTTATTTTTATTGTGCGTTATTTAAATAGACACCATTTATATAATACTAACCATCAGAGTATTAAACTTTGGTTATATATTTTTATCCAAATTATTTAATGTTTTGAGATTTCATTTCTAAAGTTATAACCCATTGATAAAATTATGTACTCAATGTGTTTTGCAAGTAAGATATTTAGCTTGCTGATATCCTAAATAAAATATAGATTTGCAATTATCATAAGTTTGTTAGATATTAGTAAATAAATTGTATGAAAAGAAAATTAGTTAGTAAATATAAAAAAAAAGAAAATCCAATTTTATTTTCTTATACAACAATTGTATTTACCAAGATATGAATAATTTAATTTTATCACTTTTATATTTTTTCTAAGTTGGGAGAATTAAATTTTATAAATTAATAAAAATTTTTATTTTTTTAAAGTATTAAAATCAGTCTATAATAAAAGCTTTTAATCATTTATAAAGACAGATAATTCAATAATTACTTTTTTGCTTTTATGTAGCCTAAGTTTTAGTCTTATCATTTAATTAATAATCAAAATATAAAGCTCTAATAAAACTCATTCTCCTTATTTTTCAATATTTTGATGATTTTAATATGTTTAGTAATATAAACCATAAGCTACATGAATCCATAATTTTATAATTAGGATACCTCTAGTTATTGATATTCCAAAATATGAAATCACACTTTTCACAATAGATTTACTCCAAATAAGATTAACTAATTAATAATTTAGTACAATATTTAAAAACTATAAAAATTAATCAATAAAGGCTATAAAGCTATTATATTTGCAATTATCAATTAAAAAAAATTCACCCACCGAGGGGCTCGAACCCTCGACCACCAGCTTAAAAGGCTGGCGCTCTACCGACTGAGCTAGACGGGTTTGATACTTATAATATATTTAAAAATAAAATTTTTCTAAAATATCAAATAGCATTCATAAAAAATAATTTAATTAAAAAAAATTTGACATCTAAACATTTTAGTTTTTATTTGTTTTACAATCAAATAACTAAAAAATTCACCCACCGAGGGGCTCGAACCCTCGACCACCAGCTTAAAAGGCTGGCGCTCTACCGACTGAGCTAGACGGGTTTTGTATTAATTAAATAATTTAATTTAGTAATTTTTATATTTTTTGATGTTTATAATTATAAAAATAAAAAATTATTTACAATATATACTCATTAATTTAGTTTTATGAAAAACACTTTTTTGATTGTTATAATAATTAAAAATTTTATAGCGTAATAATTTTATTTATCATTTTTTTAATTTAAAAATATAAATATATTTTTATCGAGTAAAAAGAAAATGAAATAGCAACATTTTTAATTTGCTTTAAGAGAAAATAAGTTTTAATTTATTTATTTTTAAATAAATTAATAAATAAATAAATTATAATCTTCATTTATTTTTTTTAAATAAAAATATTAATTAATAAAAATTTAATTTAAAATGAAGGTATGAATGATATTTATTTACTAATTTAGATTTTTTAAGTGACTTTTATATTAAATTATGATACTAGTCTTCTAGAACAAATGATTAACTCGAAAGTAATGAATTTATAAAAATTCAAAAGTAATATATCGATTAATATAAGCCCACAGAATTATCATCTATATCCCATTATATTAAAATAAATGACTGGTTAAAAATTATTAGCAATAGTTAATGTGTTTGTTAAAAAAATAATCTGATTATAACAGACTAATTATATAATGAAAATGATATTTTGTTTGATGGTAATGTCTTTTGTTTTGAATATTTGGATGTTAATTCTAACTCAATTTAATTATTGTTTTATGTAAAATTCTGTTTGTTTTTTCATTTTTTGTTACCTTTTATAGATAGAATTATCCATCAAATAAATATATAGAAAATACCAATTATAAGTATAAAAAGCGAGATAAATATTACTTAAAAATCCTTTTTTTGAAAAACTAAAAGAGAGCGTTTAGCCTTCTTTATTATGAATAAAAACAAGAGTTTTGAGACTCTTTAACAATTAGATTTGATAAGGAATAGATACCACAGTGACATATCCTTAATCATTGAAGACTTAATAGATCTAATTTAATTAGAAACAGAATAACTTTATAATTCTCAAAATAAAGTTGATATCGAACAACAAGAGTAAGAAAATCAATCTAAATTGTAACAGAAAATTGAAGTAATAATAAGCTCATTATTTTAAAATTTAATGACAAAAATTTTCATTAATTTATAAAAAATTATTCTAGCATTTGGTAAGTAAAGTAGACGAATAATGTTAAACATACGCAAAGCAAGTTATTGATTACATCTTTTAAATCAATTCAACTAATATTTCGCTATTAGAAGTTTAGCTCAAAAATGTTTTAATTAGCATTAAATCGTTTGTAAAAAAGCCCTAAAATAAGACTTTTGTTACCAAGTTAAAAGCTTAAGTCGTTTCCGATTTGATGAAAGTGTAGTCAGTGGATAACTCTATTCAGTATTATGATGAAGTTAAAAAGAGTGATAATAACTAACAGCAGGGCTCTTAGAAAAAGAAAAAGAAGAACTATAAAGAAGAAGGTTTTATCTCTAGCGAAAGTGAAAATAGTGATACAGATTAATCTGAGTAATAGGGAAAAAATTTAAGAAAAAGAATAGATAACGATCATTTGGAAGAGGTAAAAATGGTAGAAGACTAGCAAAAAATGAGCGAAGATGATTAAGAGTCTCCTTTTAAGCTCAAATAAATCATAAAAAATTTAGAGAAATAAGTTTTAGAACTAAAAGAAAAGGTAGTTAATAGAGAATGTATCCTGAGTGAAATAACTTATGGCTATATGAAGGATGTATCCCATTGGAAAGAAATTTTTAATAGAAAAGATAGAGATTTTTAGAATTGTTTTGAAGTTAGTTACTTCGAGCCTTCAATAATTTATGATGATAAAATTAGGGAAGTATTAAACAGTAGATTGTAAGACTTAAAACTTTAATGTGAAAACAAGATGTATCAAATGTAAAAGAAGTTCAAAAGACACCAAGAGGAATTTGAGAAAGTAATACAAAAATATATTTTACACTGTAGATTTTTTAAATTGGTGATGTATATGTATAAAAATTCGCTTTTGAATTTCATTCAAATTATCATACAAAAATAGACATTTTTCTATCAATCTTTAATAAATATTTTTACAGACTTTTTAAGATATGAATTTTCTTTAGTTTATTCTTTTTTTTTAAATGTAGCTCTAAGAAACTCTTTTTGCATTTATGAGCTAAAATGATCCTATTTCTGTTGCTAAAACTCTGTTTGCCATGGAATAAAACCCTCATAAAATATGGAGAATTCTTTAAGATTAAATGGGAAATACATATTTTTTCAGGATATTTGAATAATAGAAGGCTGGCTATGGAATTAGGTAAATAATTATTCTCAAAATAAATTAATAAATTGTAAAATTTAATAAAAAGATATAAAGAAATCGATGAATTAATCTCTCAGAGTAAGGCGAGTTCAAGAGAATATGAAGAATTCAAAAGGTAAATTAAACACTAAATGGAGAAAATGGTTGAAAGGTCTTAGCAAGAGATAGAAAGCATTAGAAAGGAAGTAGCTGAAAAAGAAAAAGAAATAGAATAAATTAGAAAGGGTTTTAGCCAAGATCTAGAAAATGTCAGATAAGAAACTATTAAGTAGATGGAAGAATAATTTAAAGTTAGAGAAGAAAATTGTAATTTATTCTAATATTTGTATTGAAAAAAAAAAAAAAATATTTTAAAGTGTATTAGGAGTTTGAGGAAAGAAGGAAAGATATTTATGAGTAATTAGGCAATAGAAATTTTGAAAGAATTATTGAAGAATCATAACTTAAGCTATTCTTTTAGAAATGGATGTTTGCTGCTAAATTGATGAAAGTAAAGCAGTCTTTAGATCAATAAGAGGAAGAATCAATGGAAAAAAAATAAGATTTTTTGAAAAAATATATATTAAGGCAGCTCACCTAACCGTAGCAATAAAGTAAGAAGGTAGTAGAAATACCTGGATCTTTATTTCAATCAAAAAGATTAAAGGCTAAAGTTTCTTAAAGACATTCAATAATATCCATATAACAGAGAGCTAGATTGTAATCTTATTAGCAGGATGAGTTTTCTGATAATTTGAATGATTAAAGTTAAAGAGACCCCTCTTTGCTTTCATCAAAGATTACATAAAAATTAGAGAAGAAGCCATCTGAAAATTTTAAAATTGATAGAAAGCCATCTTTTTTATAAGAAAAAAGCTAACTTGATTATTCTGAGAAAAAGATGGTAGAGAGCTAAGTCACTATAAATGATTAAATATCTGAAAAAGAAAAGGTGAAAGAAGAAATAAATAATTTATTAAATGAAGATTAAGGTGTTGAAAAATAGGGTGTTCTATAAGAAGAAGATATAGATTAAATATTCGAGTTGGAGATGCAAATTGACTCATTGAAGTAACAAATTTAGGAATAGTAAAATTAAAAAAGTGGACTAGAAGAAAGAATTAGTTTTTTAAACAAACAAGTTGAAAGAGTCACTCAAGAATTGCATTGTCAAAGAGATTTTAATACATAATTTAAAAATGACAATAGGGAACTAAAGCTTAAAATTACTTTATATGAAGACACTTTTAATGAAATAGCTCAAAAAATTGGCTTTTAAGATTTAAAAATTTAAGTAATTTAAATAATTTAAATTTTTATTTTATAAAATGACTAAAGTATTTAATAAAAATTTTATTGAGAAAAAAACTGAGCTATTTTTGCAATAAAAAAATATTCATTTAACGAAAGGAGAAATTTGTTTGTCATAATTTTTTTTTTTCTTGAATTTTAAATACTTTTCTGATAAATACATTTTTAGAATTTTATTATTTTATTTAAGAAGTAGAAAAATAGTTTATTCGTTTTTAAATAACTTGAAAATAAAATGATAAAAAAATACTATTTTGCTTTTTAATTAATTAGGATATTGGTGATCCATAAAGTAAAAAAGCTAAGAATTTTATGAAAGCTATTTCAAACTCAAGTAATTTTGTTTACTTTTATTTATTTGTAAACAAAATTTAATTTATGTTTTAATATTAAAGATAAGCAGGAATAAAATGGCTTCATTTTAGCTCTAGAAACCTAATAAACTAAAAATGAAGCAGCAGATATTATGCTTGGAGAAAAATATAAAGAGAAAGGAACAAGTACTAAAATTCAAGGGATAAATGAAACTCTGTCACATCTTGAATAATAGTAAAAAGAAATTGAAATATAGTTAGAAGCTGATAGTCTAGACTAAGAAAATGCAATAGTAAATGCCAGAGAAAGAATTAAGAGTAATGGATAAATATTGGAAGATAAAGAAACATAAACAGATTTAGAAATGAAAGATGTTGATTTTAAAACAAAAAAAAGGCTTAAAAGAAGTGCTGATAATAGTCCAAACCCACAAAAAGCAGCAAAGAAAAAAGAAAAATCTATTTTTGATAAATTTGATGTCGATGAGATAGAAAAAAATTCCTCAACAAATATAAATAAAAATCTAAACAATATTAATCAGTTGGAATCTCCTTAATTTATGAAATAAAGAGTAATAAATAAATGCTTTATATATAAATTTAAGGAAATTAGCTACAACTTTTTATTTTAAATAAGTACAAATTAAACGGCCAAGATAAAGTCGAATAAGACTCCTCAGATGAAGAAAAAAAAAATTACCATAAGAGAAACAGTGTCTGGGAAAGGTTATTTAATGATTAATTTGATAGGAAAAAGAGAGAAGAAGAATTGAAAAAACAATTAGAATCTATAGAAGAAAAGCACTGGCAAGAAATTTTAAAAATACTTAATCTATATTCACGTAAATTAATAACTAAAAATCAATTTAATTTATCATTTTTTATTTTTTTAGAGTAAAAATTTGACACTGAGAATGAGTTAATAAGACCTTTTTTTCCAAAATATGCCCCAAAAAAGAAGTAACAATACCAATAAATAAATGAAAAGTAATTTATTTTTTTATTTGTTATTTTAAATAGAGTCATTTTATGAAATTGAAAAATAATTAAATTAAATTGAAAAAAGCTAACTAACTTAGGATATTTATGAATTATTTTAACTTTTAAAAAATCTTTTTTTTATTTCTGCTTTGAAAATTGATTAATTTTAAAATTATTTTACTTAATTTTTATTATCCACTAATAAAAAAAATCTAAAAAAGAAAATAATTAATTTAAAACATACTCTAATTCTAATTAAAAGGGAATAAAAAAGATGCTATACTCCAAATATTGAACTCAATAAAGTTAGAAATAATTCTAGCAACAAAGAAACCTTATTAAATTAGTCAAGCACATTCAATGTGATGTAAGAACAAAAAACACCTCCATCATAACAAGCTACAATTGGGTTATAGAAAATAAAAACAAGTAAAAAATAATTTGCAAATTAAAATATAAAATTAAAATTTTAAAAAATAGGGGCTGACTACTTCTACAAAAAATTATAAACAGAACCTAGTTAAATGGATATTTAATCAAACAATATTTATCTTTTGTCAAGCAATGGTAAAGAAAGAAATATCAATGAATTAAGTAACAACAAGTAAGAATAACATATTGACAGCTAGATAAAAACCTCACCTTTTGAATACTTTGCAAATATTTATAACAAACAACATAAGAAATAAAATGCTGAAAGTCAGCTAAAAAATTAAATTTAGTTTTTATAGAAATATCCTCAATTAGATAAAAGTATAAATTAATTATTATATAACTGATTTTCATTTATTTTGATTACATTATTAAAAGCCTTTAATTAACCAATATTCCCTATAAGTTCCATACCATCTTCAAACTCCAAACAATAGCAAGCTTAAAGAAACAGATCTTATTCTATTAATAGATAAAAAAGTAAATTAATTTTATAAATTTTAAGCAAATAATATAGATATTTAATACTAATTAGATAATTCAATGAGCGACAAAAAAGAAAGCTTTAACCAGTCTGGAGCTCTTAACAAATCTATTAACTAAAATATAAATTTAGCTCCATCTCATCAAACATTTTATTAAACACAGAATAGCTTTTATTATAGTAAATATCCTCAAATGGCAGGTAAAAAAGCAAAACTTGAAACACAGAAATAGAATATTTTACCAAACTCTTGATTTTTTTCAATTAAACAAACAATTTCTAATAAAATAATTTAATAATCATTATTTTCATTTAAAAAAATATTAAAGTAAATGTTTATAATAATAACTAATAAACTTATTTATTAAATTTCCAATTTAATCAAGTTAAAAATTTATATTTATATTAAAAATTTAATTTATTATGTTTAAATAAATTAAGATATTTATCAAAAATCTTTTAAAATACTTTAAAGTAATAAAATAAATAAAGAATTTTATTTAAAATTTAAAAAATAAATTATCTAAATAAATTAGTGAAATTAAGAAATAATTTTAAAACATATAGTATTTACTTACTTACTTGCTTAATGTAAGAATTATGTATATTTTAAGAAATATTTTTTAACTCATAATAATAGTTGTATTTATGGTTAAGGATTTAGTAGATTTTTGAAGTAAAAATTTTTCTTTTTAAAAATTATTTGCAGAGAAGATCTATTTTTATTTTGAGTTTTTTGTAAAATTTTTCTAATAAAATAATTCATTTTTAATTTAAAAAAACCCATTTTATCTTACTGAATAATTTAATTTATATTTAATGAAAAAAATAAACCGAGTTTTTGTAAAAATAATTTAATGTGTTTACTATTATTAATATATATTTATTTTAAATTAAAAAGAGAATTAAAAGACTAAATTTAAAGATTTAAATATTTAGAACTTTTAAAATTTAGTCTTGAACTAAGCTTGCTTGCTAGAAACAGATTCATGAAATTAAATAAATAAAAGAGTAAACAAAAAAGGCAAAATAATTAAAATTAAATTATTTTTCATAACTACAAGATAAAACCATATTTCTAATGAATATATTTGCATAAATTAACTTATTTTTAAAAGAATTAACAATAATTTGCTCTTAATAATAAATTAATTGATAAATAATTTAAAATTAAAAAGTTTAAAAAATTCAATCTCATTTAATTATTCAAAATAAAATATAAAATTAATAAACCCTGTCTTATTTTTGTAAAGATATTTAAATATAGTAAATAGTTAATTAGATTAACAAAACTTTGTTCAATTAATTTATTAAAATTTGTTGAAGATTCAACATAATCATCTTGGAAAACAAAATGAATGAGTATATAAAAAGGCAAACTAATTAAATAAAATTAATATATGTAATTTTTTAATCACATAGTTTCAATCTTTTAGTAGAAGGGTTCTACTTCAGTTTTTAAGACAGCATAAACCTTCTTGAAATCCTTGGTCTTGAAAGTTTCTATTAATTTATTAATAATTAGTTAGTGTGTTATTTAATTAATTTCATTTATTTTTGTATATAGAATTTTCTATTTATCAAATTTAATGCATACAAAATATAATTGATAATAATTGAATCGATTCTTTTTTAAGCTACAAATAAACACAAAATTAGTTCATATTTTTTTAATAAAAGTTAAATGAAAACTAATTTACTTCTTAAAATGGAGTTTTTAAGTTTTCCTGTATATCTGACTGTATTAACTTTATTAAGTTCAAGACCGTACACTAATTTATAAAGAATAAATAGTTTAATTTTTAAATATTCTACTTTTATTTTATGCTTTTAATATCTCAAATTCATTGGTATTTTAATTTGTAATTAAGTTTACATTTTGTAAGATATTGCTTAATTTCGGGTTTGGCAAGCTTGGGGTCGCATTTTAAGACAACTGTATTATTTTCAAGGGGTTTTTCACCTCTGTGAACAACCATTTCCCAATTGCAGAACTTTTCTACTTTTTATTCTTTAGGGAAATTGCTAGTCTTTTAAGCCTATTATTATAACAAATACAATTAGATGGTTAGGGTTCAGCTATAATCTATTATATATTTCAAAATTATGCAATAATAATATTACTGTTAATCCTAAAGGATTCAAGCAGTAGTTTTTAAAGGCTTTAGGATCCTTTAGAATATTCAAATTTTTAGGGAGTCTAACAATATTATTCATATCTAGATGCAAAACTATTTCTAAAAATTAATACAAAATTTTATTAAAAAAGAAGATTAAAGATCAATTAAATTCTTGACTTAAATTACTTCTTATTTTGATTGCAAAGCTTTTTCTTATTTATTTATTAATCAGCATATCAATAAAGTATCTTGCATGCTTTTAGATTAAAATAATAAAATATTTACATTTAGTTGATAATAAAATCGAATTTCTTTTTTATTTAAAAAAATTTTTTTTTGTTTAAAAATAAAAAAATATTTTAAATGAAAATTAAAATTATTTTTTTTTTTATTTTACAAACATTTTAAAAACGAAAATATTTCTAAGATAACTTTTTAACAACGACTAATCAGCTTCATGGCTGAATTTTTATAATAGTAAATTAGTAAAAAAAGAGATTCAATTTTGGTAAATTGCTAGTTTACTAAAATATTAATGGATTTATTTATGATTTAAGGACTAGAGAAAAATATAGTTGTTAAGATTTTAAAGAATTTGATTATTCAAAAATTTTTTAATGATAAAAGTTAATTGTTGCCATGAACAAAAATTGTTTTTTGTTAGTTTGATCTTGTAAATTAGTTATTGAAAAAATAAATTAATATTTAGATGGTGGTTGGATTATTAGATACTTTGATTAATTAATTATAAATTAAAAAAAATAGAGTTATTTATATCCAACTAATTAGTTAATTGTTGTTTCGTTATGGCATCAGTTTAAACTAATATTTTAGAATTTAATGCAAATCTTTGCATATAGGATTTAGTAGACACTTACAACGAATGCGATTTACCTTTTTTTAACCAAAATGAAGTAATTTTTAATTCGTTCTATTAACAATTAGGCATTTTAATTTACAGAAATTGAATCATTAATACATTAATTACAAAAATATATTCACATTTATTTGATATAGGTACAAGAGCTAGATGAGCATAAGTTTTTCATAACATTGAATTAACTAGCTTAAGAATATGTTTTAAAGGATTACTAACCGTTCAGCATGCATTTAATAGACTATTATGTATTTATTCATAATTAAATAATACTGAACTTTGCTAAGATTTTTTCATTATTTAGTGTAGTAAATATTCCAAGAAGTAAATCATAGCAAAATCTTGCTATTCGTTCTACTACTGTTGGAAGAAAATACTCAAATCCTCAAGTGATGCAAGGCTCTATGCATTTTGCTGCTTCAACAAATTAATTCCTAGTAAGCTAATAAAATTCTATTGCAAAATAAGAAAGCAAATTCATTCATTAGTAACAGATAAATAATAAGTTTTGATACCGACTATTAACAGTATAGAGATTAATTTGGGTAAAATTACTTGGTTTATTTATACATCTTCAAATATTTCTTAATTAATATCATTTTATTTATTTATTCTGCATTTAAATTAGGAATTAAAATTAATTTATTTATTTTATTTATTTATTATTGAAGAGCAAGTGTTGTCTTTGATCAAAAAAATGTTTTAAAAAAGCGATGCTATTTAGTAAGTTAATTAAAATTTGACAAACTTCCTGTAAAAAAATAAAGTAGTCTATACTCCCAAGGAGAAAATAAAAGCTTGCTTAGTAGCTGAATTTATTATTGAACAATATATACAAATTACTCTAGGTTATGAATACAACAATCTATCTTAGGAAGGCAAATTTTAAAACGGTAACAAAAATCAATTTTAATAAGAAAATAATTATGAAAGTTCTGATTAGCACCAATAACAAAAAGACTTATAATAATAGAATATGAAGTATTTTATTTAAAATGATAACTAAGAACCTAACAATAACCTATAAGACTAAGTTTTTTAAAACAACATGATGAAAAATAGCCATAGCTCATCTAATTTAAAAAGCCAAGGAAATGGTTACATGCGCATTCACAACTTAAAATAAAGCAAAAGTTAATCATAAATTCTACCAATAAGAAATAGATTTTTAGGTAGTAGCAGTAAATCACCTTTAAGGAAATCTTCTAGCTCTTAAAATAGAATGAGCTAGAATAATAGAAATTAAACTCCTAATATTATCATCACACATGAGGAATAGTAAAACGATCTACTCCAATCTGACTAAAATTTGCAAAAAACAATTAAAAGAAAAAGTGAATAAAACTAAAGTTAAGACAATACTTTGTTTTCAACAATGGATGAAAACTCAAAAAAGCCATAAATCTTATTGGAAATTTAAGTAAGTATTTCTTTAGAAATAAATAAAACATTAAATTTAAAACATAAATAGAACAACAGCATGAAGTCTGAAATTGAAAATTTTAAAAATTAAGTTGCTAAACTTTAAGATGAAAACTAATTTTGTTAGATCTTTAACCAGAAGTTAGAACAGATATTCTTAGAAATATTAGAAATATCCATAGAATCTGATTACAGATCAAATGTAAATAAAATAAAATAAAAAAAATTTATTCTTTTTTCAACAATTTTAAATGAAATTTGATTCGTAAAATTTTAAGAAATTTGGAATGTTTTTTTAACAAGACATAAAAATGTTTAATAAAATAAAAAAGATTTACTTGATTTTATTGGAATTATTTAATTTTAATAATAATAAGAATTAATATAAAAATAAACTAACAATTAATTTATTTAGGATGTTGATAAGATCATAGAAAAGTATGAAGAATTAAAAAAATAATAAGGAGACCAATGTTCTCTTTTGGAATTTAGAGAAAATATTAGCTAAATGAAAGAGCTAGCATAACTTAAGTCGAATACTTTATAGCAAAATAGTTTATTCAGTTCATAAGAACATTTTAATGGAAATAATATCCGTAAAATATCTCATAACAACTCTTCTCAAGTTGAAAACCCTCACCCTTTTAGCATTTCAAGTGGTAATGAAAACCAAAACAATGCTCTTAGCTCTCCTGCTGCTATGAAAAGTTCATAAAAAAAAAGATCTGCAATTCTTGAAGAAGTAAACAATTAGAATAATTCTAACAATTGCTACTTTACGGAAGATGAATAATAATAAAGATAGCATTTAGCACTTTTAGAAGAAGTCTCATAATCTTTATCATAACAAATAAATAAAAATAATTTATAAACACTTGAAAAAATCATAAAATAAGATTAGCATCAATAATAAGTAGACCAATCTCCTTAGCTTTTATCAGTTAGTTTTACTAATTTAAACAGTTAATAATTACCATAATCAAGCTCACCGCTCATGTAAAGCTCGTTTTATTAAATAAAAGATATGCTTTAATCAAACAAAAATAAAAGAAATAGCTTAAGCCCTGCTATCTTCCAACAGAGTATTTCATTTAGAGAAGAAGGAGAACATTAATTATCTAAAAAAAACTCTGAAAACCACAGAGAATTCTTAAATTCTATGAATAGTTTCAACTTTCAACTTAACAACGATAGTGAAAATTAAAATTGCAAGTAATAAGAAATGTAAAATTTAAATATTTAGAAATAGCCATCATAATAGTCAATGTCATCTTTGCAATAATTGTAAAAAAATTAAGCTAATGATTTATCTATGATTAATCCTCAAAATAATTTGATGAATGAGAAATCTAAATAAATGCAATAAGACTAAAAATAAGAATTAAAATAATCTTATCACCTTCAACTTTAAGCAACTAATTCTAAATAATAATCGTTGCAGTCTCCTTTAATTAATATAACCAACAGTAGTAGCAACAATAATAACAATCTAGATAAATAATAACCACAACAAGAAATGAGTTAAAATTAACAACATTAATTCTAATAATAACAAAAATAAACATTTTAGTTTTAATAACAATCTAATATTTAAGAATCTTCCAATAATAAAAGTATTTTAGATTAATTAAATTAAATATAATAATAAAAGCTATTAGAAATATAGTAAATACAGTAGTTAATATAATCTTAAAAACCGAAAGATATGTAAAAATCTTAAATTCCTTAAATATTTGGCTAAAATAATGATTAAACTTTACAATAACAATAAAAGAAACAGGAAATGGGTTTATAAAATTAAGTTAATTAAACATTTTAGTATTAACAGAAATAGCCTTTTAAGCTCAATTAGACTATTGAATCAGATATAAAAACTTTTGATCCTTCAATGAGTATTCCATCTAGTATAGCCTCAAATCACTAGCAAAATCAATAAGCACTTCATAGACAGCATTATTAGAACCTGCTATAAAGACAATAAGAGAAATAAGAATAGGAAAATAATTAGCAACTAAAAAATCAAAGCTAATTTTCAAGAATAAATTCTGATAAGTATAACGAATATGATCATCACTCAAATGCAGCAGATGATAGTTGGAGTATAAAAACTTTCGATCCAGATAATATTCCTTAAGTTAACTCAGCTTTTAACAAAAATAATTAACTTTGTTTTGGAAGTTAAGGAGGAAGCCATCACCATTCACAAAATAGAAAAAGCTTGTCTTTAATATAGTATAACAATTAAAAAATTCATAGCAATTATAAAATAAATAAAATGTCTGAAAATATGCATTTTTTAAATGGAATCAAAGAGTAAATAGAAGAAGGTTATGATAAAAAAAGCAATTCAATTAGAGATACTCCCAAATCTTCCTCTTGGTAATTTATTCAATACAACTTTCAATTAGTTATTATTTTTAAGCATAAATTTAATTTTTAATAATTTTTTAATTAATTTATCAGATTTTTGATAAAAATTTTTAGAATTTTAAATTAGAATTAATTTACTCTAAATAGATTATTATACAATAATGTGAATATTAAATATAATTAAATACAATCGAATAATTAAATATATTTTAATTTATTTACACAAGTTTTTATTAATTTATCAATTAAAGAGCTTGCTATTCAAAGCTTATAAATAATAATTATATTTACTAGGAGGAATTTTGATTAAAAAGAAAATTCAGCAAAAATTTTTTTATTTAAGGATAATTTTATGATGAATTAAATCTTCATAGTATGTATCATTTATTTAGGATTTTTTTAATTATAAGTATAGTTAAGTTATTTATTTGTTAGAAAGTTTAATTAATTTTTTATGCTTTATTAAAAGATTCTTTGTTGTTTAATTGAATTGAGACAGCTAAATAAATTACCAAATTTAATATTATTGCTTGCTCCTCATTTATTTATTTTTTTATAATTTATTCTCTCTTTTTTATTTTATAGTGGTGAAAATATTTAACTCTCTGAAAGCGAAGGGTACAAAACTTACACAGAGACTTAAATCTCAGCTTTAAAAAATATAAAAAATAAAATTATTTGAATGAATAAAACTTAATTATCATTAAATTTATTAATATTTGTTAATATTTACATTTTTATAACGTTATTAATACTGCTGTTGTTACTTCCCATACTTAAATTATTATTATAATAATTTTAACTCGCTTGACCAGCCTTTTTTCCAAATAAGATATAATCTCCCTGATAATTACTTTAAGTGCCTTTTTTAGGTTTTTCTGTTTTTAATTTAAGTTATTTTTTTTAATTCGTAAAGCTACTTATTAATAATTTCAGAACAAATTTAATAAAAATATATAATTAATTACTCTAGTATTGATTGGCAATATTGTTTTTTTAAACAGATATATACATTTTTTTAGGATCATAAGTCTTTTTCAATGTTTATGCATAAGTTATAGGTTTATTTATATGTGGAAGTGCAAACTTATTGGTAATGATAATTAAAATAAAAATATTTACATTGTTTAGTAAATATAAAAAATACCTTAATAGTTTCTTCTTCTGTAGAAATATCATGTGCATAAGAACTTTTAAATGGATTCTCAACTAATTATTTATTTATTTAGATATTAATTAAAATAAATGGTTTTATTTGAAAAGCATCTTAAAATGAAAAACCAAAACTCTCCAAACAAATTAAAAATAGAAATATTTTTCATTAATAGAATTATCAATATAAAATTAATAAATTTTGATAATATTTTAGCTTGTATTTTTAAATTCCCTTAAATTTTGTAGAAATTCATAATTAAAATATAAAATTAATTAAATAAATCATCTATTAATAATTAAATAAATAAAGCCTTATGAAATTTGGTGATTAAAACTACCTGAATATTTTCACATTTTATTAATGTATTATTTAGCTTATTGATTAAAAATAAATCACCTCAAAATTTTTTATAATTAAAATTGCCTGAATACTTTTATTTATTATTACAAACAAAAATCTATATTTTTATTGATCAAAAATAAAATTTATCTTATCTATTAATGAGTCATATCAATAAATTTTATATTAAAGGGATTTGAATTTTAACAAATTTGATTACCTTTTTTTTATTTATTAGGAGGAGGAATGCTTTAAGATTTTTTAGATGGCTATTATTTATAGCTGTACATCCTTTTAGAGCTTCTATCATCTTCTATCAAACTGTCATTACCAACTCTAGATGATCTAATATCAAAATTTGTTATTAAAATATATAAAATAAATAAATTATATTTATTTATTACTTATCATCATAACTGGGCTTTATACTATTTTTTTTTAGAATACTCTCAGTTTTTAAATTTGATTATAAAACTTTATATTATTCATATTCTACTAAATCTCTGAAGTATTCATGGTTTATTGCCTGTTTAAATTAAATATTTTAAATCATGATAAATGTATTTATCTATGTACTTAGTTTGCGTTTATTCTTTAATCTGGGTCATAGATTAACAGTTTTTTAATTAAATCTATGCATTCTGGAGAGGCATTTGCATTTACTAAAAGTTTATCGATTCCTGTACCATGCTATGGTTAGAAATCAAATTCCATATGAGTTGCATGCTTTTTAAATCTATCTAAAATTTCTTTAGGAGGAGTTCCCAGAATCTAAAATAAAAATTAATTAATTATTAATTAAATTTTTGAATGGTTTAAAACAAACACTAACAAAATACATTATGGATTTTATGAACCTAATCTAATTCGTTGTTTCCAGGGAACAGAGGATGTAAACCAATAATTTCAAACATAACACACCCAACTCCCCATAAGTCCATCTATTTTATTTAATAAAAAACAATTAAAACAAAGTAGAATTAATTTAAAGATAAATTTCACTTTATAATCATAATAACCATCAGTTAGCAAGCACTCTGGCGCTCTGTACCAACGTGTGGAGATGTATTCAGTGTAAGGATGCTCTGAGTTGATTCTCTTACAGCTACCAAAATCTGCTAGCTTAATGTGTTCGCCTAGCAACAAAATGTTTTCGCTAGAATAAATATAATTAATTATATGGTATTTTATAATTAAATTAATTAATGGTTAATAAATTAATAATAAACACCCCTCAAATTTTTATTTGTCTGTCCGATTTCTCAAAAATAATTAATTTCAAAATCTAAAGTATAATTAAAAATCCTGTCTATAATACATAATTAATGGCTTTATAAAATCAAATTTGAATAACAAATATAATTTATTTGTATTTTAAAAAATATTTTTTAATTTTATTTGATATTTAAAAATATTTTTTAATTTTTAATGGATGTTTGAGGTAAGTAATTATTTCAATTAGTAGGAAAAGTAGAAATATATTCTAAGTAATAGATTATATTAATGTACGGTTTGATATCCCTGTGAAAGATATTGTTGCGGTGCATGAATTCGATAGCCTTCAAAAGCTAAAATATGTAATTTTTGACTTTATTTGGATTCAAGTATTTATTTCTGCCTATTTAATAATTGAAAGTGTTTAAGTATTGCAGTTACTCCTCATTCAATACTATTTTATGAATATATCTTTTCTTACTGGAAAGCAGTTTACTTTACCAGAAAAGAGTTAGCAAGTAGCTAATAATATATATATATATATAAACATACCTTTAATATGCTCGTACAAATTGCAATCCATCAATTCGAAAACTAAAACTAATCTGCCAGTTGGCTTATCACTTATTTTATTAAAATATTTGTTAATTAGCTATATAAATAAATGCATTTTAATCTTTTATGTTTCTCAATATGAGTCTTAAAATATTAAATATACATACTATAGGATTTCATGTAAAGTAATTATGTGCTCATGAGGTGATAACCTTCTTAAAGCCTAGATTTCTCTTAAATTATTGACCTTTTTTATAAATTATTGTATCAAGAAAACCGCTTTGATAATTTGCTTCAATTTTAATTTTATAAGCACTATTCAAAGTCTTTATTTACTTATTCCTCATTTGCAAATACATTTTTCATACACTTAATTGCGACTAACTTTCCTGTTCGCAAAGACTCAGCCATCCAGACTTCGGAAAATGTTCCTTCACCCTTCAGCTTAATTAACTTGTATTCTATATATTTGTATTGAAATTTAGTTTATATTTTTCGCTTAGTCTAAGATCATAGCATTGAACTAAGCTACAATCTATAAAATAATTTAAATTACAGTTCATATTTAACGATCTTCTTTATTTATCTAATCAAATAAATGAATGTGATTTTATTAGTTGAATTATATTTTTAGATATCTAAACAAACTATTCTATATTTTAATTAATAAAAATTGTCTGTCACATGATCAAAATTCTTCTATTTAATATACTACTTATCAATTCTATAATAATCGCTACATCAAAATTCATATTAAAAGTGCTGGTTGGGGATAGAAAGATAAATGCTTTTATTCAATCTCAAAATAAATCTTTTGATTCTCCAATGAATTTAATTTTTATTAATTTGTATTTTTTATATATTTCATTCATATCAAAATTTTTATGAAAATACATACATCCTTCTATTTTTATTAACCTTACTACTCAAATTTTAGTCATTCATTTAATTTATATCTATCTACCAAAATAATATATTTTTTTTACATATATAAAAATATAATTTTTGGGGTTGGGGTTGGGGTTGGGGTT